TCAGACATAAATGTTTCGTAACTGTTATGAATCGTAATCTTATAATACAGAAGTATGAAAACATAACTTTGACAGTTTATTTAAAATTTTATGAAATCATACTTACAACGACCTTTTGGACTGACTTTCAATTATTGTCAAGTGTCTCAAGTTTCTTCAAAATGTAACGGCTTTGCTGCTCCTTGTTCAGATTCAGTCCTTTCTATCAAGCTTAAAGCATTGCGCAAGAATTCATTGTCTGAATCAGTGAATATATTTCATAATAAGCTAACTGCAACATTTGCTTGCACGTGTGGCAAATACACCCTCTTCTTATTTAAATGGCTGAAGCCACAGGATAAACCGTTCAATTAGGTTTGTTTGGTCGGCTGATTACAGTTGCTATTTGTGCTCACAATCTAGTGATTCTGTGTTTGAACACTTCATCAGCTCAGATGCTCTGTGATGAAACGGAAAGACCCTCCGCTGGAATCTTACATCTCTTTTCACAGTCCACCCCCGCCCCCGTTCCGTGCCATTTGAAATCATTCAAGCGAATTAAGTGATAACAGCAAAATGGTTTTTTGCCACGAACAGCACTTGTGCCACACACACACCCCCGCCCGGGTCGCACCCCTCGAATGCGCCCCATTTACGACAGACAGTAATTAATAATGATGATATTTTCAGGAGTAAAAATTTCACTCTGCTGCAATTCGTATATCATTTTCACCAAATGCAAACGACCACTTGTAAGTGAGCATGAAAAACAGCCCCGAGTACACACGGCACAAAGTGAGCGTTATGACAAGTGGAGGATCATAAATTAGCCACAGCCGAAATCTGCACCGGACAGGATAAATAGCGTGACACGGAAGAGGCGTGTCTCCTCCGCATCCTGGCCGCCACGATGTGCCTGACAAAATCCGCATGGGAAGGTTTGACACTGGGCCCGGTGAGGTCAGGAAGTTGGTAATCGTTTTATTAAGTTCTTCGCCCATTTGCCCAACCCTTCGGAGACACACGGAGCACAAAAAAATTACGACGGGCCAAAGCAGCTCACGACAGCGACAAACCAAGACATCATTTACCTGGACTTCCACATTCTTTCGCCTGCAAGGGAGGCAAAGCCAAGGGGCAGATAGTGTGGCCGGAAGTGGTGTACAGCCTTTGAGGAAGTGTTAGGAAGTGAAACTATAGAAATATTTAGAAAATCAGCACTGCAAAAGCTTCTTTTTCAACAAATTCAGGCGTTTTCTAAATTTTATCGCTTAGAAAAATCAATTTTATGGCATTTCTAGGTTATGTGATTGATTTAAAATAGATTTTGGTTATTTTAAAACACTGAAAATCTTCAAATTTGTGTTTAAACTGTGAATCTTTCTCTCTTTCTTGGCAGATTGGAGCATTTCTGATCGAAATAACTGCATATTGGTTAAGAAAAAGCTTAAAAGTCAATCATAACCTCAAAAATATCATTATAGTGTAGAAAAACGTCACTTTGCTGAGTTATTTCCGCGTTTTGAGCTTTCAAAGTGTCAAATTCATCCTCAATTTCTAGTAGAAAAATTGTGATTTTTGCTATATTTACTGATTTACAAGTTTGAAAGGATTAAAATGAGTCTAAGAAATATTTTTAAGCCGAATTCATAACCTCACAATTTGTTGAGAAGTTTTCAAAGCATTTTCTGAAGGCAAAACCTAGCTTAGATTGTGATAAGTCAAAATTGAGTCTGAAAAACGATGGAAAATGCCTCTAAAGACGTTCAGAAGTGTCTGAAGTGTTGAAGAATCTGCAAAGGAAGTGGTGTACAGATTTGAGGCATATTATCAGCCCCCTTGAGCCAAGCAAGGGACGAGCATACCTGAACCCGGACGTGGTGGCGAAGAAAAATCGAGGACACTCTCATATGAGAATCTTATGGGGGAATTCCTGGCATATTCACGCCCACAACTCAACCCTCGGCTGGGGACATCTCAGCCGCAATGCGAGCCAAATTTCAGGGACCTAATGATTTCCTCCCACAATCGCTCATTCTTTCTCACCATGTCACGGACTCTGCCACCCCCGCGCGTTCGGGTGGTTGCAAGAGGGAACTAAATCAATTCCGGAAAAGAAGATTAATCGACGTCGCCCCAAGAAGCACGAGTGACAAGAAGGGATGTTGTGAAAAAATGCCAGGACTTTAATGAATGAATAAAAATTTTCCCAATCTCATGGTGGACGCAATAATTTCTTTTCTCCCCGTGCCTTCGTGCCTCCCAATTTGCAGAGTCACTAAACGATGCCCCAGAAGAAAAAGTGATTGCGGTGTTTTTTCTCCCTCCCTCCAGCCAAGAGGGGATGATCGATATGGAGAGCAGGAAAGGATAGTGGGTGAGAGCATCTTGTGGCATGAAAAACACAGTAGGAAAGTCGCACAATTTCTCTGGGCTCTTCGCCCTTTGTTATGTCATAATTCTCACTTAAAAATGTCAAAGAAAGCCGCCCCTTTTGCCCTCAGAAATTCATGGCTGAGTAAAGGGTGGTTTGCCGAGAGATTTCACAGAGTGTGTCCTGACTTGGGTTTGGGGAAGATACTCCCTCTCTCTCCTGTTCTATATTTATGCAAATGCTCCATCTCACAAGCGCACACACACTTTCTTGTGCAAATAAAGAAGAAGAGTCTTTGGAGGCGAGGAGAAAACCCCAAAATGTATATTTACTCAGCGTCTCTCAAGCTCTTTGTCTCATAAAATATTAATTTTTTGTGTGTTCCTTTTGTTTTTCCGGGGTGACCTCCTCGCCAACAGAGAGAATGCCTAAAAGGTGGTGGTCGTTCTGTTTGATTCACCCCAACTTTCGTGCTCAATTCTTCGAATTCCACTCTTGTGGCTCCCAAAGCTCAGGGTTATTGGACATCACGTGAACTATTCACCTTTCTATTCATCTTGCCTACAAAACATTTTTATCAAAAATCCCCCAAAAATGGAACACAGACATCCCAAATACAAACACAAGGGGAAGATTTTATGACCGGAAGTGGTGTACAACCATTGAGGAAGTGTCACGAAGTGAAAGTGTTTAAATATTTGGAATATTTTCATTGCAAAAGCTTTTATTGCTACAAATTGAAGGGTTTGTTTTTAAATTCCCTTTAGTTCATCTGAGGTATTTTGAAAAGCTTTTTATTTGTTCTTCCCTTACAGAAATTTTGAAAATAATATTTTATGACACAATAGTAAAAAAATCTTTTTTATCCATAAAGCACAAATGGAAAAAATTAATTAGGAAAACGTATAAAACACCTTTTCAGAAAATAATTAATTGATGTTCAGAATGATTCTAAAATATTTTTTAGACTTTGAACGAATATTTCTCATAGCTTTAAATTTTTTTTTCACTTAAAAACTTTAAAGAAAAGTTCAAGTAAAGTATGAAAAGTTGATTTTTTAGAACTCTTTTGGATAAAATCGACTGGAAGACTATTAAGAATCGACTTTGGATGGTAAAATTTTCAGATTTTCTATTAATTTTGTAATATTTTAGTCAAAAATTTAAATAAATGTCGATAAAATCAACTAAAATAATTTTAAAATAATTAATACAGAGCAATATTTGAACTTTAACGGACGATTTGAAGTCGTTTTTAAGAGTTTTAAAGGAAATTTGGCAAATTTCATAGCTTTTTTAACGCTAAATTGTGAACTCGCTCTGCTGAAAAATTACGATTTTGGCTTTTCATAGTTTTCAACTCACCCGTCGAGTTAGAAAAGATGATTTTATTGTTTTTCTAGGTTATGTGATTGATTTAAAACCGATTCGTGTGATTAAATAACCCTCAAACTGGAAATGTTTCTCTTTTTCATATAAAAGTTGTGCATTTACGTTAACAAAAACTTCAGATTAGCTAAATGGTAGTTGAAAAAATTAGTTTAAAAGTCAAACATAACCTCAAAAATATCGTTTCAGTCAAGAAAAATGTTTCTTTGCTGAGTTCTTTCCGAGATTTTAGCTTAAATGTGGGAAATTCATCCTCAATTCCCTAATTTATAGGTTTTAAAGTATTAAAATTAGTCTAAAAAGTATTTTTAAGCCAAATTCATAACCTCACAATTTGGTTAGAATTTTTCGAGGCATTTTCCGAAGACAAAACTAAGAAATAAAGATAGAAATTGTTCATAAACAAATCCTGCGACACTAAAATCAGTTCCTGCAATCTGAAATGGTGTACAGATTTGAGACACAACATTTCGCCCTTGATACAGCATTGTGGCTCAAAGATCAAATGCACAGCATCTGCGGGGGCTGAAACCCTGGAGCATCGTCTTTTTTCTCATTGCTCGTATGCTGATGCGAAATTCTTTGCAGTGTGTGTGTGTGTTTGTCCGGCAATTCCGCCTGAAAACCACTCCACGTGAGCCATTATTAAAAGCGATCCCCGACCAGCACACGCTCCACGCCGTCCCCACGCCCGGAGATGGGTTCTGCAGAGGAGCACCAGGTGTGTATGATTTATGGCGAGTGGACAGCGGGCGATGGACAAGTACATGACTCTCTCGGGCGCCCTTCGCCACCACTTGCTTTGTGTGATGTCTTCAAATTGATTTTGATAAATGGACGCCGAGTCGCGATTTCTCACCCACACACCCATTGATGACCGAAGCGATTCCCAATCCCCGAGCGAATACATCGAGCTTCAGTCCAGCTCTCCGGGGAATGGTGGGAAAAATTCCACTGCATTTCTCCAGAGCACTTTCAATCCTCAAAGTGTTACTTTAAAATAAGACAGCATTATAGTTGAAAAGCTCGCAACTTTGCCAAAGACAAATAAAACAATTGAGTGTGTGTGTTTTAGGTATAGAAGAACGACGCTTTTGTCCGAAAAACTTTTGAATAAATAAATTCCCTGAGAAGCTCCACAATTGTGGGATAAAGCTTTAAGCTTGTAGTGCCAGAAAGTCTTGAGAAAGAGAGAGAGAATATCTTGTGAGAAAAGCAGATTGTTCCACCAGAAAATAGTCATTTATTTTCCTCTCTGTTATTACAATGTTAGATGAATATTAATTCATGAGTCATTACTTCTGTGAATTCTCAACTCTTCACTCTGATTTATGGAAATTTCGAGTGCAAAGACTCTGGAGAGCTTTTAATTTGCAATTTTATAAACATTTCCAACTCAGTTACACAGAAAATTCATTGGTCTCTGGCTTAATATTAAGTACAATTGAATGCACAAGATTATATCTAAGTCATTCCATTAAGTGACAGAAAGTTCAGGGCAAATTTCAGACTAGAAAGTCGTTGCAACTTTATAGATTTTGTAACAGTTACGAATTTGAGTTGTAACTTTATTCTATTTAAAACGAATTTAAGCTGTCAAAAAAGAGATTTTAATGCGGTTTTTATGTTAGAATATTCCATCTTGTGCCCAGTTTCTGACCATTTTCCTCCACATTGAAGTTAGAAAATGTTCTTTAGTGTAAGTGAAGCCCAATTTTCTGGATCTTCCAGGAGTTTTCAGCGAGTATCGAGCAATTTTTTCACCGCAAAGAATAGCGAAATAGTAGATCACATTGACAATATATCTTTATTCTCGACTATTCGTTCAAAGAGTCTCTTTCCGATGGGTTGCTTGAAGGATTCTGCTGGCAAGAAGAAAGATGTCTTTTTTCTCTGACATTTTAGCATAGCGACATTTTGTACGTGTAAATATAATCAAATATTATGCTTCTAAATCCTTTGGGAAACAAATCAGGTTCCATGGAAAATGTTAAACAACGTCCGGAAACACATAACCTCAATCTAGTGCATTGAAATCTTTACAAATGATCAGTTTTCACGTGATTTTCCCTATTTTTTGGAAGATAAATTCCTAATTTTGGTAAATATGATGAATCGCAATCTTGCAACGCAATTTATAACTTTGACAGCTTATTTAAAATGTTATGAAATTAATGTTGCAACGACTCTTATGTTAGTTTTGTACTTTGTCACACAATCTCTGTGTGTAATAAACACATGACATATATTTTAACCTCTTTCATTTCTTAAGTACTAAAAAATTCCTGTTTTTCAATATCATTCTTCACGAATCTTCGCTGATTTAGTGCCAAGAAAACACCACGTGAGCCAATAGCAAATATGCTGTGGTAATCACGACACTGCCTAGCATTAGAGGGAATCCAAATCTGAAAGAATGAGGGAGAATTTAGAGTGTTAAATCACTGAAGCGGCGTTGAGAGAGTCTTACATGAAGAAGTCCCGAAATGTGATCACGTGGCCTCTTTGCTGCGCCAAAGCTGCGCACACGACATTTGCAGATGCACCGAACAAGGTGCCATTGCCACCTAGACAGGGTCCGAAGGCCAGCGCCCAGACGAGCGGCTGCAGCGGCAATTGCAGCTTGGCGTTCTGCGCCAAACCCACCACAATGCGCACCATCATCGTGGTCACCGGAATGCTGTCCACGAAGGCGGACACGAGCGCTGAGACCCAGAGGATGATGACGATGGCCATGGCGAGCTGATATTGCAGCGGAACGGCCAGGATGAGCTGCTCTGTGATTCTACCAATCCATCTGATCAGCCCAAGACGATTCAGGCACTCAATGAGGATGAACATGGCGGCGAAGAAGAGGAGCGTGGCCCACTCCACCGACGCCAGGAGCTCCTCCATGTTGGAGTGATTGTGGAGGATGAGGAGCAACAGCATCCCCAGCAGCGCCACCCATGCTACGGAAATGCTGTGAAGAGTCGGAATGGATTGCACGAAGAAGAGAATGATGATGAATGCGAGACAAATGGTGGACTTTATGAGCAGTGGCTTATTCCTAATTGAATAGAGTGACTCCAGCTCCTGCACTGTCCTCATGTATTCATCTCTATCGACGATGCCCCATCTCGACAGCTTTTTCACCCTCTGCCGAAGCTGCGGTCGCTGGCTGGCTGATGCCATCGCCACTTCTTGCTGCACTTTTTCAATGTCCTCCGGCACCACAGCGCGCCATGCATTGACATCCCGAAAAAGCAGCAGCCGGAGCTGCAGCAGCGTCTGCACTACGACAAAAATCACCCCTGTCGCCATGTGCCATGTGAACGTGAGGAATGTCACTCCACTGGTGGCGATAAAGTGATTCGAGGTGATTATCACGTTCGGCGGATCGCCCACGGGCGTCACCGTTCCGCCAATATTCGCGTGAATGACAATCGCCATGAGCACTGGCGCCGCTTTCAGCCGCATTACCTCGCACAATCGCATCGTAACGGGCGTCATGAGGAGGATTGTTGTGACATTGTCGAGGAACGCCGACACCGCGAGTGTGCAGAGACACAGTCCGTGGATCAGCGCCCAGATTCGGCCGCGCGTCAATCGGAACACTCTCACGGCGAAGTAGTCAAAAATGCCCGTGCCGCTCATCACGGAGACGAACGTCATCATGCTGAAGAGCAGCATGAGTGTCTCATAGTCGATCCAGCTCACGATCTCCTCCATCGTGGGCCGATCGCCGAGCATCGCCAGCACGCCAATTGCCAGTGTTGACATGAGAATGGCGGCAAAAGTGCGATGAACAATGTCAAAGATAATCAGAACGTAGAGAGCAATGAGAATCATTGTGGCGTAAATTACTCCGCAGACCTCATCAAATGCTGCCACATCAACACCCAGTCGAATGAAGACATCCCTCGACATACTCGTCCACAGGCGAAGTGCACCACCTTCCGGAAAGCCGTGCCTCAGGCTCAGCCACGGCGACTCCTCCTGATCACCCACAATCGCCACCCGCCAAACATCATCACTCGCATTCCGCCCAGCAGCAGACACAAACAGATAATCTCCCTCCCCGCTGGCCACGTCTTGGGACTGCCGAAAGGGTCCATTGAGCAGCAGGACGAATGGCCGGGGCGGAATTTGCAACTCTCTGCCACCCGGTGGCACGGACACTCCGACAAATTGCACCACCTTCTTCTCCCCATTCCGCAGCAGCATCCACACGAAGAACAGCCAGCAGACGCTGAGCAATGCTATCTTCACATGAACACCCACCAAATGCCAGCGATTCGTGCGCGCTGCATCGCCATCAGGTGACTTCAGCGGCTGACCTTCGTGACTGCACTCAACCTTAATTGCCTCCTCAGTCAGAACGTCCATTTCTGTCTCCTCCTTGCCGGATCCTGGCGCATCCATTGCCCGTCCGTATCAATTTCTCCTCACAGCTTCAGCGAGAAGAAAAGCAGAAGAAGAAGAAGAAGAGATAACATTTTCTCGATTTCACACCGATGAGCAAACAATTTCATTTACATACCTTTAAATTTCATGCATTTACGCGGATAATCTCGTCTGAATCAGGGGAAAATTCACATGAAACAAGAGTGAATTTAAGATTTTTTTTGTTTTTCACACAAAGAAAATTACAAAGAAAGTTTTCATGCATTTGTGAAAGAATTCATCACACAAATTGAAAGCAAAAGCTGATGGAAAATCAATTTGAAGCATTTTTATCGTTTCTATCGAATTTTTATCTAAATTGTATATAATATTCTATATAGATAATATTTTATAACAGTGCATTAAAAATAGAAGATTCACGGAAGTCTTATCAATGAAGATTAGAAGTAGTTTATTGCCAATTTGGTGCTTTATTTTGCCACTCGCCAGCTAATTTTCATTCAGTAAACTCTCAGAGACTCTCGCAAGCAGTAAAATTATGTTTTTCCTCTTATTATCGCTGATTTTTATCAAATTTTTCACACAAAATAGTGCTCTAACTTGTGTAAAATGCAATTCGACCGTCGATCAAACTTGCCATTTTCTCCAACCATCAGAGAAAGCAATTGATTGCAGTGGAAAATATCCTGAAGATCAGAAGTGCTTTTTCTATTCCAACAGTGAAAACTTCACAATTCGTGGTTGCACTTCTGACAATTCGTACTGGAAGAATAATTGCAAGAACATCAAAGGCTGCAAACTGTGTTCAGAAGATGCGTGCAACTCAAATCAAACTGTCAGAGAACGCTGTGCAGTTTGTGACTCTCAAACCTATTCAGGATGCTCGAATGAGCCTCAATCCTTCGTCGAAACATGCCCAGATGCGTATGAATACGCAGAAGGAGGATGTTTCCTGCACAAGAGGAAAAGCGGACACGTTCAGAGAGGATGCATGTTTGGCCAAGCGGACAATTTCGTCGAAATCTGCCGAGAATCGGGAAAGTGCAAAATATGTCGTGGACAAGAATGCAACACAAAAGGTTACAATTAACACTTCGACGAGTGAATAGGAAACTATGAAGAGTCAAAATCGTCATCTTTTCAAGAGACAGAGTTGAAAATATACCGAATTATTGCTCTTTGATAATTATTTTGTGAATATTTCAGTTGATTTTACTGGTATTTATTCGAATTTTTGAATGAAATATAGCAAAGTGAATAGAAAAACTTATAATATTGCTTTTCAAAATCGATTTTAAGGGATTCTTAATGGTCTAAATATAATTTAGACGTTAAATTTATTATTTTGAACAATTTATTTAAATAATTTCTCAATAAATTAATTAATATGATGAGATTTGTTCTCTTCTTCTGCTGTTTTTGATGACGTTTATTGCTCTTTGAAATATTCATCATATCAATATAAACAAAAAAATCATTTTATATGTACAAAAATGTTACAAATTTTTTTTATTAATCTGCTGTTGAAATTTCATTTGATGGGATTTATAGCGATTAACAGATTATTCGGAGGCGTTTAAACATAGATTGATTTGGGAAATATAATCGGAAATATTAATGCTGTTATAGTGCTGCCCTCTAGTGACAATTTGTGGAGAAAATACTTGAAATTTAAAGAAAAAACCACGAAAACTTTAAAAATTACGAATAATCACAAAGTTACTGGTCTGAAATCGCGAAAGATTTTCTCCTTCTTTTAATTTCAATATGATATGCCAAATATTATATTCATTCAAAATTTAAGTGTAATATTCCACTACGTTTGCAGATTTTCAAAGTCAGATTTCCATCTATTTTTGGGGTGAAAACGGTTTAAATCCTTAGGCGAATGACAAATTTTTGAAGAATGAAGCTGATAATTTTTGAGCAACTAAGGCAAGTTTTTATGCTTTTTTAAAGGCATTTAAAGCCTTTTTAGTCAGCCAATTCATGCTCGTTATTGCTAATTATGTTATTGTCTTCTAATTTAAATCCTTTTAACCTCACAATTTGCACTCAAATCTTGTTGCTCCGTTTAGGAAAATCCTGAAAATCTGCACTTAATTTATTTATCAGAGTCGCTAATTGCATTAGACTGCAATTTGAGACAATTTTCTTAGGAAAACTCTTCATAGTTTCTGATTGAAATGTCGATTTAACACTTGCAATTGACTGAATAAGAATTTATCTCTCCTTTTCCTCGTCAAACAGTGGATTTTCAGGAATGTCACGTCTGCGAATCTGACTCGGAAAATCCTGATAGCGCAAATTGCATAAGCGCAAATGCTGAAATGCCGAGGAAAGTCTGCTCAAGCTACGATGATCAGTGCGCTCAACTTGTTACTCCCGCCGGAAAGACAGTTCGTGGATGTTATCAGGAAATATTGACCACTTGCTCAAGTCACAACTGTGAAATCTTTCAAACTTGCACACCTAATAATTGCAACGGCAAACTTTTCCCACCCAATCGACTTTTCTGCTATCAATGCAGCGACGGCACAAATTGCCCCGAAAACATGATTCTGCATCAATCGCTTTCGCAAGTTTGTGGAAATTATGAGCGCAGTGATCAATGCTTTGCCGTGACCGATTACAATATCGTCCATCGCGGCTGTGTGTCTGACAAGACAGAGGCAAAAGACACTTGCGACAGACTCGGAAGCAAGTGTCTCAAGTGCTCTGAAAGCAACTGCAATTCCGCCTCGTCTGGGATTGAGGGCAGAAAGCTTCAGTGTCACGAATGCTTCGGAAGTATCAAGACCAGCGATTGTGCGGCTTATCAGGGAAGTAATAGCAGAATTTGGTGTGACTTGTATCCCACATTTGGTGTGCGGCAAAAATGCTACACGAGCGTCGCAAATGGCATTATTCGGCGAGGATGCACAAGTGATAATTACTGCAAGTCGCATGATTGCGAAGAGTGCAGTTTTGACAACTGCAACAATCGAAACAAGGCTCAAATGAGTTGCTATCAGTGCAATAGCTTGGAGGGAACTTATCAATATCACAAAGGATGCATAGACTTGAAGGACTTGCAGCCTCGCTCCTGTCGACTTCGCTTCGACTTCGATATAACACATCGAGGATGCTACAGTGCTTGGATAAGTAAGGGTTAAACCAAAGGGGAGATATTATGGTCAGAAGTGGTTTACAGCTAAAGCAGAAGTGTTAAGAAGTGGAAATGCTTGAATATGTACAGCATTAGGCGTTAAAGAGCTGCTTTCAAAGTAAATAACCGCAATGCTTTGGGAATTTTTACGCTATTTTCCTCAAAAAAAAGATCTTATTGCTTTTCTAGGTTATGTAACTAACTTTAAACCAAATTTACTAACTAAATAACATAGAAAAACACCAATCCATAAACTTTACAAAAGAAATATGACCAAGTTTACAAGTTTTCAATGTTAAACGCAATGTTAATTAAGCTATTATTGATCATAACCTCAAAAATATTATTTCACCATACAAAATTGTCGACTTTAAGACATTCTTGATAGATTTTCTACTCTAATATATAGCAAATTTCAGCTTATTTTTGATTTCTAACAGATTAATATTCCCCAGATTTTCCTTTGAAACTGTAAAAAAAGTTTCTTTCGAGTTTTTTTTTAAAGATATCTCAAGGTAATTTTGAAGTTATGATCAACAGTGTAACAAAAAAGATGATAAAAAGAAAGACATTTGCATTTAATAAATTCCGTATAAGTTTATATCAAGGATTCTTTCAAATATCTCAATGTAATTTCTAGGTTATGTTCTGAAGTGTATCCAAAATAGTGATTAAAAATTCAATCACATCAAAATATCCTCGGGAAACATCTAATATTTCTTACATACTGTTTCTCTGTAAGTTTTTCTGAGTCATACAATAAAAAATAGAGCCTTTTTTAGACAATTACGTCCTATATTTGAGGTTATGATACTCTAAGCGGTTAGAAAAATCTACAGAATTTCGAAAAAGGAGAAGAAATTAAGGGAAATCGCTTGTTTAAAGCACTGTCAAAGTTCCGCAAGCGTCTGTGATTCTGGCACAGAAATTGTGGAAGTGTTTTTATCTCCCCCTTGGAAAAACTTCCAGTGCCTCATGAATATTGTAAAGCCATAAATCTATTCTATTTGCAGATGCAACAGTGAATGGAAAAGTCGTGGCGTTCATCGAAAGGGCCTGCATTGACAGGGAAATGGAAGGAAAAGCTGCATGCGAGGATGATGACAATGATTCCTGCATCGCCTGCAAGGATGACAATTGCAACAATCACGACGTCAGCATGAGCAAGAGAATCACGCTAAACATCAGTGTTTTCATCACATTCACGCTCTTCATCCACATAATTAAATTTAAGCAATTAATTTAAGTGATCCTTAATCCGATGCAGTATTATGAGTCAAACTATTAATAACTTGCTAAATGCTTTATTATATTTTTGGCAACTACACTGTCAATGTTTTTCCACCCCCTTTCTCCCCATCTCCGTCTCTCTCTCACCCCTTCTATGACACCCCATTTTCATTTTCACCAACTCCGTGCACACACTTTAAGCTTTTATTCTTGATTAATGAAAGTGCTCAACTTACAGTGAATTTACATATATATGAGCGAAAATATATAACACACATGCGCGCATATATAAAACAGAGTTGCAAAAACACTACATTTCAATTCATATTCAAATTTTATAAATTCCAAATGACATTGAAACTTCTTAGCACAAGATATGCAAAATATGCCAAAAAGCATAATCATTAAATAAACATTTGCAAAAGTAGATGCAAAAAAATGAGTGAAAATTTATTCTCTGTACAAATATTAGATGGAAAAATCTCTATGAATAAACATGCAATGGTAAAATCCAAGAATTATCCACTTACACAATTTACCAAGGGGGAGATAATACAGTCAGAAGTTAAGTTCAAAAGCTTACAATCTTCCTAAAATGCTTCTTTTACTGCCAAATTATTCTTATTCTGAGGAATCTCCTTTGATTTTCACGCAGAATCAATCGTAAAAATCTTTTTTCTAGGTTATGTAATGAATCAAGTAAAGATTATCCGAATAATTCTTATGTTCAACCCGGGAAAACTGTTAATCATTGGCAGAATTAAGCATTTACATGCAATAAATAGTTCTTTTCTGAACCTTTGATGCACAGAAATACTTCAAATTGCATTGAACTGGAACATAACCTCAAAAATAGTTATTTATAAAAACTTTTTGGATGATTTTGACTCTAAATCAGTAATTTTGAGTTCATTTGCTGATCATTTTGTGATCTTGAAAGCTTCGAAACGGTGTTTTTGAAGATTTCTCAGTTATATTTTGAGGTTATGGTTGGAAAAGTTGTCCAAAAATGCGTTTTTAAATCAATTCAATGAATGAAACAGTCTAAAAACTTCAAGTTCTCGAAATGTCAGGCAAATTTGGAAATGTTTGGAAAATGTGTACAGATTTAAGACATATTATCTCCCCCTTGCAATTTTCATTTCTTTCACATTCATAATAAATTAAGTCGCGCTTCTATCGACCTAACGAGCCACCATTTGAGGGTGAAAACCGCAGTAAATTTGTAATGAGATGACATCTATAGAAAACCTCATCAAATAAATACAAAATCTCAATGGAGAAATGCTGGGAAAAGTACTTTTCAATTGATAGCAAAATATGCTTCCAATCATTTTCTGTTATTTCGCAATGATAGCATCAAAGGGAACATTGTAGAAACTTTTCCACAGCATTCAATTAAAAGTGTATTTTGCTGATACTAATTAGTAGTTCAATATAATAATTTATTGCTCTTTTGCTGGAATTTCTCCAATTGATGCTTTTCCACCCAATCAAACCATTAAATTCTCCCTTTTTCCACTCTTCAGAATTGTTCATCATTGAGAAATACTATTTTAACATTGGAAGTTTATTATGAATGATTCTGTTTCCCTTTTCAAGTTCTCAATCATCATTCAATACACCAAAGATTCTTTGCTTTCTTTGCTTTCTCTGCTAAATATCGAAGAGTTCCTCAGAAACTATCAAAAGGCGACTCTTGAGAGTCGATATTTGATGGAATTAGAGGAGAAATATTAGATCTACTGGATATTTATTGAAAATTTCGTTGGAAAAAGGGTATTTTTTAGTTATTTTTACATTCTAAAATCCACTTGTAATCATTCACATTAATTGACGTAATTTTGAATTGTGAAAAGTATCAAATTTGAAGAAAAAAATCAGTCAAATTATAAATTCTATTTTGAAAGAATATCATTTCATTATTATTATTCACAGAAAATTACAATAATTGTTATATTTTGCTGCGGAATAAAATAAAATAACAAATATTCTCTAAATATCATATTAATAATAAGCAAATTAATGTAATTCAATCTGGATTTGGCTCCAAAGCAGTGAACATGTGAATAAATAGTTTCTCTTTAATTTATCCAAAAAGCATTAATTTTATTGGAAAATTTTTATGTTTTTCAGCAAAAAACCTATGAAAAGTCGACTATTCATCGTTTTCGTCGTAGATTTTTACTACGAAAATGGTCTAAAACTGCAGTGAAAAACGTTTAAAACGTCTTTTTGGGTAGAAAATCTTAGATTTTCAGAATTATTCTAAAATGTTCTTAGACTTTTAATGAATATTTCTCATATTATTGAATTTTTTCACTTGAATTGGGATAAAATCGACTTGAATGGTATTAAAAATCAACTTTGGAAAGTAATATTTTCAGTGTTTCTTCTAACTTTGTTATTTTTCAGTCAAGAATTCCCATAAATATCAATAAAATCAACCGAAATACTTACATCATATTTATTACAGAGCAATATTAGCTCTTTAATGAACGATTTGAAGTTTTTTTTAAAGTAAATTTGGCTAAAATCGAAGAGATTTTAACGCTAAATTTTCAACTTACTTTCTTGAAAAATAATAACTTTGAATTTTTAACATTTTCGATTCATCTGTCAAGTTAAAAATCTTATAAATTATGAACAGAATGTACAGGAAAAATGTGAAAAGTTCCTTTTTACGAACTTTTTAGGAAACAAACACAAAGAAAACTATCAAAAACCGAATTCTCTGATTTTTAGTTAATATTTCAATTACTGACCAATGAAATCAACTAAAAAGCTATAGAAAATAATTGTAATCGATCAATATTATCAATTTAATGGAAGATAAGAGGGAGTTTAAGGACTTCAAATCGCCCTACGTCGATTTAAAATATATTTCTTTCCTTCTTTCGATGCAAAGGATTTCCAGTAATGGAAACTCTAAATGTTGCTGTCATTCTAAAGTCAGAAAAAGCTCCAAAAACACAGCAACTCTGGCAGGAAATAAGTAATCGCGAACAGGTAATCGGGAGACAAAGAGATGAAAAATCCTAACGAAAGTGCGGCGGGTAAAAAATTAAAATGTTATGTTTAATAGCACTTGTATGCAAGAGGCGAAAAGCATGGCGGAAAGTCAGCGAAAGGTTAAGTGGTATCGTGAATTTTTCGCTCATTCTCTCACGAAGAGCCACCCTGGGGTTGCAAACCCACCCCCTCGCGCGGAGAACATTCACATAAATGACGGCAATGCTGGGCTCTCGTTCCATCACCGTGAAGCGCTCTCTTCGTGAGGAATTAAAAAATAAAACTTCGCCACCGTTTCAGCGCCTCCACCCTCACCATTGAGGGGGTAGTTTGGGCCCGTAGAAAAAATTACATCCAGCCACACGTATTCTCGACTCAAAAACGTGAACGATTAAAAAGCATTACACTTTTTTCCGGACGCGCGCTGAAGAGCAACCCTTTTTCCCTCTCTCTCCCTCTCTCTTCAGCCCCTGATTTCGCCCAAAAATTTCACGAGATTTTCCCCCCCGAAACGCAAATTAAGAGTTTGACACGAGATTTCGGAGAAATTGTAACACAATCAATTGGGTTTTGCTTGCAAATTTGTGGCATTCATTGATTTGGAAGCTTTACAAGTGAATTTCCAAAGTCAAAGTGGGTCAAACTTGAGCAGCTCCTCAAGTTTAGAATGATTCAAATTGGACAAAAACTTGAGATTCTGCGGAGAATTCAGCACACAGATTTCTCCCAAACCGTAAATGTTTTGGACACGTTATTAAATAAATTATGGTTGAAACGGCATGAGGTCGAAGTTTAATGAATTTACTGCATTTTTCATTACAATTGTTTTAAAATTAATGGCTATTTTAATTATTTAGAAGCTTCTGACCAGAAGTGTCGCGTTTCCCTCCGCGCGGAGGGAAATTATTGAAAAATGTATGACCGAAAATGTAAATAACGCGCGCTAATAAATACACCATATTTTTCCTCTTCCTGCCAAGGGGCAGATATTACGGTCGGAAATGGTGTACAGCTCTTAAAGGAAGTGTTAGGAATTAGAAGAGGTTAAAAAATTAGAATAATTGCACTTCACAAGCTTTTATTTCAACAAATTAAGGAGTTTTCTAAATTATTTCGCTTAGAAAAATCTATTTTATTGCGTTTCTAGGTTATGTGATTGTTTTAAAACACATTCTAGTGGTTAAATAACCCTTAATATCATCAAATTTGTTTTTAAACTGTAAATCTTTCTCTTTTTCTTGGCAAAAATTGAGCATTTGTGCTCAAAATAACTCCATATTGGTTGAGAAATAGCCTAAAAGTCAATCATAACCTCAAAAATATCATTTCAGTGTAGAAAAATGTCTTTTTGAGCTTAAAAGTGTCAAATTTATTCTCAATTTCTAGTAGAAACGTTCAGATATTTACTTATTTCCAGGTTTTCATGGATTAAAATGAGTCTAAGATAAATTCATAACCTCACAATTTTAGTCTGAAGCATTTTAGAAGCATTTTCCATAGTTTTTACAATCTTAAACGACCAGAAACACTTAAAAGAGTCTGAAAACCGATAGAAAATGCCTTTAAAAGCATTCAGAAGTGTCTGAAGTGTTGAAGATTCTGCAGAGTTTTTGTGAGACAAATTTGAGGCATATTATTTCCCCCTTGATTTCTCCATTTGACACAGCCAACATTCTAAGTAGCGCTTTAGCGTGGCTGCATTATTGCTGAGGACTCAAATAAAGCAGAAATTAATTTTAAATGCAAATTATGACCAAAATAAGTGCCATAAATTGCCATTATTCACTCTTGATGGACTTTTTTGCACTCAACTCGTGACAATTTCACCGCCAAGGAAAATTATGAGCCCCATTTCAATAGTAAATTTCCTCACAAACATCCTGCGTGGGCGGAAACTGTGTATTTGCGTGGGAGAATTCAGTTTGACGCGCGTGGGAAGAGCGAATTTTATCACAATTTCCTCTTAATGAGTCCAAAAGGACTTATTTATTGCACTGGCTGGAAAATGAATTTGTGCAATATTGTGATTGTTTCAACTCTCTCGCCCCAAAATTTATCAACCCTCGCGAGCGCGCGTCTCGTCACATTAATGAATTTCAATTGTAATTAATTTTCGCCGCCACGTTAAGTATCTCCCTATAACTTTCGCACAGAAATTTCAATTGCAAAACATTCATTTCCCGCCATCGTGCAATTTTTATTGGAATATTGGAATGTCGTAATTACGCACTGGCATGCCTTCGCGCGCACCCTGTGTGGGACACTGGAAAATTTACTGCATCACATAAAAACAAGCTCGCTCTTCTCCAGTCATTTGTGCTCCTGTTTTACGACAAATCCTAATTTATGTGCGCAAATTAAATTGACTAAAGTAAATGCAATAAAGCTCACTAATAGACAGCCGGTGAAGAGAGGTGAATTTGTGTTGAAAAGCGGGATAAACAAAGCGACATAACCACAAAAATGGCCAAAAGGTAAACATTTTTCGTTCTCACTTCTTTCATCTCGAGTAAAATTGTCCTTTTTTCTCGTGTTCTCGGCAGATACGGATTGATTCTGCCTGGCAAGGGTGAGAAGAAAGCTCCCGTGGCGAATTTCTCCAGGCCATCGGTCTTCGGCAGTGATTCAGACTCTGACGATGACGGACGATCCGGAAAGACTGGAATGTTGGGTCCGGGAGACACACAGAAGCGCCAAGCGAGGCTGATTCAGGAGAAGGCGCTGCAGGAGGACCCAACAGTGTTCCAGTATGATGAGTTGTACGATGAGATCGAGAGCAAGCGACAGGAGGCTAAGAAGACGCTGAGCGCGGAGGAGAAGAAGCCCAAGTACATAAAGAAGCTCCTGGAGACGGCGGAGAAGCGGAAGAAGGAGTACGAGAGGCGCGTGGAGCGTCAAGTGCAGAAGGAGCGTGAAGAGGAGGGTGAGAAGTTCAAGGACAAGGAGTCCTTTGTCACGTCGTCGTACAAGAAGAAGCTCGAGGAGATGCGGAAGGCCGAGGAGGAGGAGGAGAGAGAGGCGTATCTGGAGTCCATTGGGGATGTGACGAAGCAGAAGGATCTCGATGGCTTCTATCGGCACATCTATGAGCAGAAGATGGGCAAGGAAGTGCCGACGGAGGAGAAGGATGAGGAGAAGAGCCCGGAAAGGGACATCAAGACGCCAGAAAGGATGGTGAAGAAGGAGCGGAGCTACAGGAAGCGAAAGGAGTCGGCCGAAGAGGCAGACTTGGAACCTGAAGAGTGTTCTGTGACCAAGAAAGCTCACATCCAGTCAAATATCGATGCAGATTCGGACTTCAGCATTGATTCCTCCTCGGAGGAATCTGAGGATGATGAGCCGAAGGAAAATGCCCAGAGCAAATCAAGTGACGTTGCAGAGACGAGTGAAAAGCCCCTGGAGCCCAACACGAAGGAGGCAGAGTCTCAGAAGGCGCCGGAAGAGAGCTTCAAGGCGCCCGAAGAGGAGAAACCAAAGGAGCAGCCGAAGGAGCAAAGGAACAACGAGACGCCCAAGGAAAAGCGGCCCAGGATAAACATCTGGGCCAAGAGAACTGTCGGAGCAGCCTTCGATGCCGCCCTGCAGAGATACTACGAACGCAAGGCAGCCCGATCCGGAGGTTAGAGCTGCATTCCAGCCATTTGTGAGGTTATGTAGATTTGCGGGGATATCATAAAATGAAATCTATGAGCGAAATCGTCTTACCTTTTGATTGTGGCTTGCGTGGGTGATGAATAAATGAACACTTGAGCACTGATAAGACTTTATTGGGTGATTTTGAAGGGAATCACGGGGAAAAAACACCAAAACACTGAGTATGACGAAAAGACGACTTGCGCGCAACACCTGAAAAAACCCAATAAGATTTTCCTCCGCATTCCAGTTCTTGTCTATGATTTTTTCAAATGTGTCCCAAAACTGTTGAAATCGCTCTCAAAGCAAAATAATGAAACAAGCATGAAATTGCATGACAAATTGGACAAATCTCTTGTAGTTTAAATTCCTCACAGCTCCAGAAGACTTTCCTGAGTCCTCCGATGCGGAAAATGCCGAGATTTATTGTAGAAATTTGACATAGAAAATTCTCACCGAGACACAAATCATAGACATAGAATTGTCATGTCATTTTCTTGTCACTTTTTTTCTGGCCAAAATGCTGGTGCGAGGCCGTGAGTTTTCGGAGTTTTAATCATTTTACACTTATTTAATATACCCTATTTATGTGTTAATTTATTACTGGCATCCCAGAGCTTAGATATTGTATATTGGCGTGGTGTGAAGATGCATTCAATCCAGATAATCGGCAATCAAGGTGAAACGCAGAGCGTCGATTGAACAAACGAACATTTATCGCGTCACATCATCAGTGGAAAAAACGACGCTCAGCATCGTACAAATTGCATGATATTGCGCAAAAAGTGTGTGCCCAGTGACTGGTGGCGGGCGCGAGAGGAGTTTCCGCGTGTGTGAAGTTGCTGGGTGGGTGGAAAAGTGGAAGCGAGGAGGAAAGAAGAGCGTTTGACACTTGAAGCGCTTGGCATCTCGGTTTCCCTCCAAATCGCCTCGAGGCTTCGTTGCTGCTTCGCATTGAGCTTTTTTGTGTGTTGCGGCGGTGGAGAAAAGAAAGACGCCGCGCGAAGCGAGATGCCTTTGATGAAGAGAAAGGCTTTTGTGCCCGTGCCGCCGCCAGATGATCTACAGGACGACGAGGAGGTGTTCTACTGCTCCGTCACCAAGGAGGTCTTCCGGAGGCACGAGTGAGTATTCGGGGGTGGAGAAAAGCGGTGGGAAAGAGTGGATTAACGGTGAATCACTTCCAGGGACTACTTCGAGCGGGTGATGCTGATAAACTCCATGCTCTGGACATGCGCGCTCACGGGAAAGTCCAATCTGACGTACGCCGAGGCGCTGGAGAGCGAGCAGAATGCCCGGGAGACGCTAAACAACTTCTCCAAGGCGCTCAAGACCGCCGTGGTGATCGTCACGACGTACACACAGCGCAGCTCCATGCTGGATCTCACGGAGCAGGTGTACGGCTACATGAAGGATCGCTACTTCAAGCACGAGGAGGTGATCTACTGTCCCAAGGATGAGCCCGAGATCACGGGAAAGGTGGTGGCCATCGTGAAGGACAGCGAGGAGTGCTCGGAGATTGTGTACAAAGTCCACCTCATGTGGAACAAGGAGACAATCTGTGTGCGCGGTCAGGAGTTGCGGAGGCGCAAGACGATGCTGACGCGCGACAAGCTGAAGTTCTTCATCAGGGACAACACGCAAATGCATCGCGGCGCGCTGGTGATCAAGGACTCCGTCCTGAAGAAGTACACAAACAATTCCACAGTGAAATTTGAGCACATTCACATTGGCAAGCCGCCCGTCTTTGAAACCTTCATCCGGATGATCTGGACGGAGAAGCAGCCGAAGAAGCAGTCGCAGATCTCCAAGTTCTTCACCAAGGATGGCGGCGACAAGAGGAGCGCCGCGAAGCTGGAAGCCTCCAATCGTGAGATTGACGAGATTAATCGCCAGGCGGCGGAGAAACTGGCGCAAATGCAGGCGGAGGAGCAGAAGAAGCTGGCCGAGGAGCGCGAGCGTCAGAAGCAGGAGTTGCAATCAATGGTGCAGAACACCGTGAGAGCGATAAACTCCGTGAATGAGGATCTGCTGCTGCAGGATCAGAGGATTCTGCCCACGCCCAAGTCAATGGAGCTCCTCGTGCCGAAGCGCTTCTACGGCAACTTCCTGATGGTGCTGGAGTTCATTCACTCCTTCTCCGAGGTGCTGCAGATCAGAGACAAGTTCCCCAAGGGAGTCACCATTCCCATTCTCCAGCGGGCTTTTCTCGTGCGCGATGTCGCGGGGCCGCTGAGTGACATCGTTCAGGTGCTTCTCGCCACGATTCTCTCTCTCCAAGTGGAGGAGAAGAGCGAAGTTCTGGTGAGTAATTTTACGTAAAACAATAATTACGGGTCGTTGCAACTTTACTTTCATAGCATATTTTAAAATAAGCTGTCAAAGTTATTAATTCATACTTCATTGCATTGCAAGATTGCGATTCATAACATTTACGAAAGTTGAGTAATAATGAAAAGCCGAAAAATTCACGTGAAAATCAATCAAATAGACAGATTTTTTGGGTTTAATATGCCAGATTGAGGTTATGTGTTTCCAGACAACATTTGACCATTTCTAAGAAAACTCATTGATTTCTCAAACATTTGCAACTACATAAAATAGTATGTTTTGATTCTATTCATTGTTAACATGCACGAAAATGCGACAGTGCTGAAATGTCACAGAAAAAACATCTTTCCGGACATTCTAACCAACAGAATCAGAGACAGTCGCGAATGAATATGTCTTGTTAATGCGATTCACTATTTTTTCTTGTTGAATTCATTTTTTGCGTTGAAAACATTAATAATTAATCATCGAAAATTCCGGGAAGAACACTGAAAATGGTGCTTCTCTTAATCTAAAGGACATTTTCTTAACTTCCAAGTGGTGGAAAATGACCAGAAACTGGGTGGAAATTGGATTATTCTACGCTGAAAATCTAAATTCGTATTAAATAAACTCCCAATTCGGCCTTGCAACGCCTTCTCTTTCGTATTTCATTCGTACTTTACACTAGCGCCGCCATACGGCCGCTAATAAAGGCTATGAAAAGTGTAAAGTTGCATCATCAATTCGTAATTTTTACAAATTGAAATACGAAGTGTGTAAAGTTGCAACGACTTCTGTAATTTTAACATTAAGCTATGAAAATCACAGTAAAAAAACATGTTTAAACCGGGAATTCTTGAAAAGCTAGTCTAGTTAAGCCGTAAGAAGTGAATAAGGACTCAGTTTGACAATTGTGCCTTCCTTGCAGATTCGATACAAGACAATTTCAAAGAGTCGCTTGGCCGATGCTGACAATCCCATTGAATTTGCGACGCTTCACGCCACGAAAGCCATGACATATCCGAAGAAGTATTACAGCATGGATGTGACGGATCTACCGATGGACGCGACGACGGTGAGTGAGATCCTGCGGCTGCATCTGCTGAGCTCGGGAGCTCTGCTGGAGGACGATCAGGCGGTGAAGTGGAGATTTCAAACCCGCGGCGGTTATCGCAACACTGACGATCCGGGACTGCTTTTGCGGGTTCGTCACGCTCACATCATTCGCGCTCTGTCTAATCGGACACTGTATGAGCTGCCGCTCGGGGACATCTTCAAGATACTCGACTGTCTCATCGGTCAGATAATGACGTATTCTTCGGTGCGTGACATCATTGATGAGCGCATTGAGAAGGCCACGAGTGCGCGGGCGACCATGAAGTCCCTGACGCAGGCTGAGCGGCGGCGCGTGGTGAGGTGTGAGACGGAGAAGAAGGATCTGCGCGAGGAGGCGCAGCGGAAGAAGGAGGCTCTTGAGGTGGCCGACAGTGAGGCGCAGCAGAAGGTGATCGATGAGGAGCTGCAGAGGAAGCTGGAGAAGATCGATGCCGAGGCCATGAAGGCCAACAAGCAGTTTATGCAGAAGTTGGAGCAGAACAAATCCCAGTGTTTCGACTATCAAGTCTATTTGGGCTCTGATCGGGCGTATCGAAAGTATTGGCTGTTCAATTCCCTTCCGGGACTCTTTGTTGAGCACAGCGAGGAGGATTTGGGTCCGTGCTTCGATGAGGTGGTGAAGAACATTCCAGAACTGGTGAATTGTCCGTCGGATCGGCGATACAAGGTGATTAAGCAGCTGGTGATGTCGCAGATGAAGATGAGCGAGAAGGAGAACAATCGCGTGAACGGGAGCAAAGTTCAGTCGCCAATTGCTGGCTTCAGTCTCGTGTCGGAGGACAGTGGGGCGCCGGAGGTGTCGCAGCGGGATCTGTGGATGTGCACGTCAGTGGCGGAATCGTGTCCGGTGCACAATCGTCAGTTCGCTGGCAAAGTTCAGTGGAGTTACTTTCACACCGCCGACGAGATTGACGCTCTCACGGCGGCGCTCAACACGCGCGGCTTCCGGGAGAAGTCACTGCGTGAGCAGCTGGAGTTGGAGCGTGAATTGATCGTGGCTCACGTGATCACGTGTCCGCATGCGATGCTGCAAGTGAATCCGGAGTCGAAGCAGAAGATTCTGGCGCAGTACATGATGGATCAGAAGAAGTACGAGGCGGCGAATTTCCAGAAGGACGACAAAGACATCAATGTCATTATGAGCTCAGTTTTGTGTGATTACATCCTGGATTTGGAGTGGAAGATCTCACAGGGATATTTGGGCGCCAACAAGGATCCAAACAGGCAATTGTGGAGAGATGCAGTGGCGAGATTTGACTACAAGTTCATGAAGAATGGCATCAATCTTGCTGTGCCGAAGAGTGAGTGAAAGCCGCCATTTTGAACATTTCTAAAACACATTTTGCTCATTAGTTCAGCCATTATGGCATAGAACGGACTCAAATTCTAGTATATTGTAGCTGAAGTTAAGACCTTTCCAACGAACCCCCATTTATGGGGATTGCAATCATAGGAGGGGAGATATGGAGGGTCAAAGTTCACGCCTTGATCGGCCTATATCTCCGCTGTTTATTGACCGATTTTGATTATCTCTTCACCAAAAGATGTATCGTGGTGCTCTTTAGTAGGTCACATTCACCGTTAGTCTGTGACGTCATCTTGAACGCCGCCATATTGAAGAAACTTTAAACTCCTGTATCTCGGCAACCAGATGGTGCATTTAGATAATTTTTTAGTATGTTGTAGTCCAGGTCAGGACGTCTCTAAAACCAGATTATAACTCCCCATGGGAATAATAGAACTGGAGTTATGGTGGTTCAAAGTTTGGATTTTGTATGTGTTCTAACTGCGGTTCTATTAGTCCGATCGTAACGATTTTGGACTCACTGGAAAGGTTTTGAAAAACTCTAGAACTACTTAGAACAATAGAAGTTCTTCAGACCACCACTAGAGGTGCTAATGTCAATTGAAATATTTTCAAGATTTCAAACTTTGTATTTGTTCGCTTCCAGAAGCCACAAAAGCGAAGGACGAGAGAAGAGATCGCGACAAGGATGACACAGATGATGACGATGACAGTGATTATGAGGATCCTGGGTCGGGATTGCCGGATTCGCTGGAGGTGGAGTCTGAGGACAGTGCGGACGAGGGAATTCCGCTGTATGATTTCCAGGAGGAGAAGAAGAAGGTGCACTTCCTGGCCACGGCGCTGCTGCAGGTGAAGCGGACAATTGATCCCAAGTATCTCAAGTGGCCGTTTGGTGTGGCCAAGGAGAATCCCAAGCTGGTGAATTCCAAGCTGCCGAAGACGGTGCGCAATCAGCAGCGCTGGGAGACGGCTCTGACGCGCGCCGTCAACTATTCGCAGGTCTTTCTGCACTACAATGTGCTGTACGATTCCATTCTGTGGACGCAATCTGCGTCGCACGCCGCCTGTCAAATCTGCCGGCGCAAGAGTGAGCCCATGAAGATGCTGCTGTGCGATGAGTGCAACAGTGGATATCACATGTTTTGCCTCAAGCCGCCACTCACGAAGATTCCGGCCGGCGATTGGTTCTGTCAGAAGTGTCGGAAGCCCGAGGCGCCGCGGAGTGCGCGAAAGAGGAAGATCTTCACGGAGGATGAGAGCACGGAGGAGGAGGACAATACTCAGGAGGAGGAGAGTGAGGATGAGGAGAGTGGCGACAGTGAGGAGCAAGAAGAGTCTTCGGATGTCGATCGGAACAAGAGGAAGAAAACAAGGTAAGAAAAATTGCGTTGTAAAATGAAAAAATTCTGCATCGTTTTAAAATTGCAGATCGCGATTCTGGAATTTCAGCGATACGAGTGAGGATGAGTGCGAAGCGTGTCACAAGTCGGGGAAGTTGATCAAGTGCTCCTCCTGTCCGAGCAGTCGGCATTCCGGCTGTGTCAGCAAGAGGAATTGGGTGACGCCCGGCAGGAAATGGGAGTGTACAAATTGTCGGAAAAGTGAGTAGGAATTTTATTATCTATTCGTCGAATCGCAAAATGACGAAATATGGCGATAATGGAGAGGGGGGTCATTTTTTTCGTGTCCGTTCGTCCGTCCGTCTTGACAAACGGACTTGTAGCGCTAAAACGGTAAGAGAAATTGACACGCGGTTTGCGCCAAAGGTTAAAAGTATGCAGTGCTAATGAACATTTTCTGTCCGTCCGCCATTTTGAACACCCTCAAAATACACTTTTTCCTCAATTGTTCAGCCCCTATGGCATGAATCGGGCCCAAATTCTAGTATGTTGCAGCTGACCTCAAGACCTTTTCAACGATACCCTATTTGTAGGGCCTGATGTTTTAGGAGCTGTGATATGGGGGATCAAAGTTCACACATTTACCGGCCCATATCTCCGCTGTTTACCAACTGATTTTGATAATCTCTTCACCAAAAGACGTATCTCGACGCCCTTTAGTAGACCACAGTCGCCATTAGTCTGTGACGTCAACACGAACGCCGCCATATTGATTTGACTTTGAACGCCTGTATCTCGGCAACTAGACTGTGCATATTCTTTAAATTTCAGTATGTTGTAGTCCAGGTTAGGACGTCTCTAAAAACAGGTTATGACTTTTCACCGATGCAATAGAACCAAAGTTATGACGGTTTAAAGTTTTAATTTTAACTATGCTAAAACTTTGGTTTTATTTGCCCGATCATAATGGTTTTGGGCTCGTTGGAAAGCTCTTGCAAAACTCTACAAATATTTAGAACAACAGAAGTTCATCAGACCACCATCCAGTTGTAAACTCAAATATTTTATTCTAATTTGAGATAATTTCTGAATTATTTTGATAGTCCAAATCGATAGAACCAGTGTTTATAACTGTTTGAATTTCAGAAGTTGGATTTTATATAGCTTTCTTGCCTTCTTACTAAATCGAGTTGGCCACGGAAGAGATAAATTGTCAATTCCAGCTAGATTATACATTTTTGTGTGATGTTTTTGAGAAGCTCATGGGATTTCTCTGGGATGTTTTCAGGTGATGATCAGAGGCAGCAGAAGTCTGTGAGAGTGTCCAGGAGACAAATGGCGATCAATGGCAGAAGCGATCAGAAGAGGAAGTCGACAATTCGGCTGCGGAGTGTTCAGGAGGAGCCAGACTCGGTGTCGCAGGACGATGAGGATGAGGAGCCGCCGGCGAAGAAGAGGAAGCAAGCAGTCACGCCGCGGCGCTCGCTCAGGACGTACAATGAGATGAAGAGGCAGGAAAGTGCGACGGAGCGGAGCGCAAAGAAGCGACGATCCGACGAGAATCTCCCACTGGACAGCGTGACTCTCTATCATCTGCTGGACGGGATTGCCAAGCATGCGGACTCTTGGCCATTCAATCGTCCTGTGGCCAAAGTCGAAGTGCCTGATTACTATGAGATCATCAAGAATCCCATGGATTTCGCCAAGATCAAGTCCAAACTCAATTGTGGCGATTATGTGACGAATGAGATGCTGATCAGGGACATTGAGCAGGTATTCCAGAACTGTGATGCCTACAATAACAGCGACTCGAAGATTTATCAGTGAGTGTGTTGAAAGGATTCTCCTGGTCAGGACGATGTTGTTAAACTGCTTTTTCTTCCTCACACAGAGCTGGAATCAGGCTAGAGCGATACGTCATGCGGCGATGCAAGGAGTTGAATTTACCATTTAAGCACAGCGACATGATATCCGACGAGGAGAGCGAGATCGTGGCGGAGAAGAGCAGACTCAGTCGTGGGCGGAAGTAGTTTTGCCAGCAGAGATTCTATAGAGAAAATGTCACTTAACCTACCGTAAATTTAATGTATAAGAAGAGATCCCAAGCTAGAGGCAATTAGATTTCATGATTTCGTACAAGTGCTTTTCAATAGTGCAGCATGACGAGCATGACTTTTATTCATCATCCCATGAGACTACAGAAGCGATTATGCTATGTTTCCGGAAACTCTTCTTAGTGGTGTTCAGCGAGTTCCTTCCTCTTCATCTCCGCCCACTTCGCCTTGTTCTCAGGGGAGTTCGCTGCAATGGAACAAGGAGAATGATTAGCTTCCACTCCAGACGCCTGGCCAGGATTCACACTCACCCAATCGGCTGATCTTGTAGAAGATGGGAAGGGAGCACACCACGGCGACGGCATAATACTTCCAGATCCATTGCTTGGTGAAGTAGAATTTGTAGGGAAATTGGGCGATTTTTGCGGAGTATGTGTAGGGAAATTTCATCGGTCGGGACACTTTGTCAGACATGATGGCTGGATGTTGCGATTTTCACTCGAATTCAGGGGGAAAAGTGAGAAAATTCACCGTGAAAATCCTCCAAGAGCACAAATTATATAATTTCGAATGTCAAATTGGCTGACGTTCGAAAAGTCGTGCCAGATTCGAGGGAAATTTCCCCTTTGAAATTGTCCGTTTGCCTCTGGCATATTTTGTAGATAAATTAACACAAAATGAGGGAAATTCGGGAAATTAGGTACTTTTGTGCCTCTGGAAAAGTTGCAGAAGCGATAAATGAGCGTCTGAGTGGCTGAATTGTGTGCCTGGTGAAATATCGCGGCGCACGCGCCATTTCCCTTCGCTCTGGCAACCCGCGCGCGAGTGCGGATTTCTGGCCATGGAAGCGCGCCGAGCGACGCGGCAATGGCAGAACGTGTGTGACTGAGCCCCACTACGCATGCGCAGCGCTTCTGTAGCGTGACGGTGGATTTGTGAATGTGTAGCGCTTTCTCGGACGGCTAGACGACCGTTTTTCCCACGGAATATCTTCTTTTTTATTGGACTAATCAAGACACGGCGAGCGCGCGAGTGTGCTACGAATTGGCAATCGTGACCCGAAGAGCAATAGAACTGCCAGCAAGATGCCAGATAAAGTGGAGCGGAATAGTAGCAAGTTGAATCTGGAGGCGCAGAGGTTGTCCGCCACGGACGCTGTCATTCCCAAGGAGTCCTACAAGACCATTCCGGACATTGATCACCATCAGCATAAGGTTGACGTTGAGGGACTCGAAAACGGTCTGTGTGATCTTTTGTCGCATTGTGTCTTTTGCATGGGTACATCATCTTTCTTTCTCTCTATCATAATCTGCTATATATTTTGCTTCTCTTCCTCTCCTCCCACTTCCCTTTCTCCTCCTCCTCCTCTGTGACGTGTCTCAGCGACGGAGCCCGTGGGGATGAGAATAGCCCACAAAGTCGCCCGTCTGCGTGGCTCGACGTCCGGAAACCAGACACTGACGTCCATATGTCAACGCCTGCTTGGATTGCATCAGCAAAATCCGGACAAGAATGCAAGGCAAACGCGATGAGACGAAAGGACTTTTGCCCTACCCTGCAACCGAAGGCTATTCTCATCACGGATTATCTCGCTTATCGCTGAGACACCGTAGCTTGTTTGCCTCAAATCTACAGTTTCTCTTCTCTCTCTTTCTCTCTCTCTCTCTCTTCATCTGGCCATAAATTTGTCAGCTTCTGTGCAAATAAGTGATAATTGGCCCAACATTTCACTCTCGTTCTCTCGTCTCGCGCTTCCGTCACGAGTTGCTTGAGTAGTTTAGCCTCTCCACACTTATCAATCGTCCCAGTAGAGCATCCCCATTAGAGCCAATTGGGCGACAACGCTTCCCTTCCAACTCCTCAACAAACACACACACAGATTCTCGCCGTGGAAAGAACCCAAAGGGACAGTCATTGCCAGATCACGAGCACATCACAGCACGCGACGCTCTAAAGACCCGCTGGATTGAAGAATAATCTCAGTATTGCATTAAACTCTGCGGATAAGCGTGGAAAATAAGCACAGATTAGCGCTTTTATGACTCACGAACGTCACAAGCTCAATGAAGATGTAGAATTTCACTGTAACTGTTATTGAGTCTTGAAAGATTCTGTGCCAATCGTGCCAATTTACAAGAAAGCGCTAATTTGAGTCATTAAGTGAATACCAAAATCGTCAAAATCTGAGAACTACTTAGAAAATTCTATACGCATTTTGAAGCACTGAGAGAAAAATCGATTAAGAACAGATTTACAAAGATTTTTCTCTTGATTTTAAACGAAAAAGACAAGAATCAAGATTATCTGACTTAGATCTGTATTCTAAATAAAATTCAAGTCATTTTCTTATTTAAAACTAGCCTTATTCGTGATAAAAAAAACGATCAAAACTTTTCATTCAGTAATTTTAATCCCATTTTCAAATCCGTTTCAGTCTTAAAACCAGTATTTTTCCACTTTTAAAGCAAAATATTGAAAAATTCCTTGATTTTTATTTAAAATGTAGAAAAAAAATTTAAAAATAATTTCTTCTTATAATGTTTTCACTCCGAAATCGACTTGCTTTTAATTCTGTAAAAAAATAATTTCAATTTTTGAAGAAATCGCTTTGTTTTAAGTATTTTTCAAAATCTTATTTAGTAATTACGAAAAAGGCTTAATTAAAGTCGAAAATAAGGTGGAATATTAAGCTGAAATATTCTTAATTCTAGTCTTTTCAAAGATTAGATTTGAAAAAAGTCTGCAAACCTTATTTTACACTTATATACGTCTAAAAATTCTTGATATTATGTTAAAAAGGTTTTAATTTTACGCAAAAACTTGGCGAAATCTGTCGCAGTTCTAGGAAAAGTCAGAAACTTTAATTTCTGATTATCGAAAAGCTTGATTTTATGTAGATTCAAGCTTATTCGGCTTATTCCCTCTTTCCTATCACTCATCTTTCTGTAGTTCCGTCTCAATCATTAGTTTTTAGAGTGTCTTTTTCTTGTATTTACTGTTTATTAGTTAATTAGTTTTTCTCTCTTTCATCAACACGCTTTTTCTTAGCTGAATTTGAAAGCATTTGCAAAAACTGCATAGATTAGAGATGATAAAATCACTTTTTACTTAGCTAAAAAGAGTCTTTTTGACTTGAATTTGTGCTTGTTTGTCGCAAAGCGATAATTTTTGCTTGCTGTGCTAGAAGAGATTGTGTAATTAAAAGTGGCCAATCTGTATCAAAGACCGTCAATGATTGTCCCCTTGGGTGACCAATTGAGCGAAATTGGGCAAATATTGATTGTTTTTCTGCTTCTTCCGCGCGCGAACAGTGATTGGCGACGCAGTGAAGAACTCAAACATGGTGCGCGAGAAGGTGGACATGTCTGAGGAGGGCGCGGACGAGAAGATGCTGGGCGCTGGCGAGGAGGAGCAGCAGAATCTGGCCAAGAAGGAGGAGGTGAAGTTCATCAGTGGCGGCGATCAGGTGAATGGCGATGCGAAGATCGATATTGGCGCTGTGGACAAGGCGTTCACGGGACTGACGAAGGAGGAGCTGCTGAAGTTCGCCAACGATCCGTTCTGGGTGCGTCTGCGTTGGTTCCTCTTCGTGTGCTTCTGGGGCCTCTGGGCGGGCATGCTGATCGGCGCCGTGCTGATCATCATCTATGCGCCCAAGTGTGCCGCTCCGGAGCCACTGTCGTGGTGGAAACAGGGACCGCTGGTGAAGATCGACACGCCGACGCCGGACGACAGTGTCGTGAGTGCCATCAAGGCGCTGGGCGTGAAGGGTGTGATCTACGAGGTGCCCGCGGATGAGACGTACAACATTGGCACGGATCCGGCCATTTCCGACGCTCTGAAGAAACTCGCGGGCGCTTTTAGTGCGGCCGGAGTGAATCTCATTGTCGATCTCACGCCGAACTTCGTCACGCGTGAGGATCCACTCTTCCAGAGGGCCACGAACAATCCGGACGCGAGGAGTGCCTTCGTGTGGCGCGAGGGCAATCAGGTGCCGAACAATTGGCTGTCGCTGGTGAATGGAAGCGCGTGGACGAACGAGGGTGGTTTGATCTTCCTGCAGCAATTCGGCGCGGATCGCTTTGATCTGCAGCTGAAGGACCCTGTGGCGCTGACGAAGCTCAAGGGTGTCCTCAAGGAGGTGGTTGGCTTGGGCGCCAAAGGAATTCGACTGGCCAACACGAAGCATTTCATCATCAATCCGGAATTGCCCGATGATATTCCCTCAACCATTCCGAATTACGTTCACACGCAGTACGATTTCTGGGCTCACGCGCACACAACTTACCAGGACGGCTTGGGAGACTTGCTGTACGATCTCAGGACTTACGTGCACAACATCACGAGTGGCGAGGGATTCCTGGCATCGCTGGATGACATCGATCGGCCGGAGTTGTATGTGTCGTCGTCTGGATTGCCGTCGGTGGACATGATTCAGCTGGGCAAAGTGCCGAATCTCGTGGCCAACAGCACAGCGGCGAAGAGTGTCTACAGGGAGTTGAGGAATGTGTGGGTGACAGTTGAGTCTGGGAAGCACTTCTGGATGCAATGGAATTACGTGAAGCAAGAGATGCTGAAGCACATCAGTCTCTCCGAGTACAACATCTTCCTGCAACTCCTGCCAGGCGTGCCGGTGTTCAATGTCGATGCGCCCAAGGCGAAGCCCGAAGATTACGCCACGGACGCTTTCCACAAGATCCGTTCCTCGCCATCCTTCATGCACGGCAGCTTCGATCTCTACAGAGATGTCAACAGCACAGTCATTGGATACTCGAGGTGAGTCTTAATTCCCTCTCTAAACTTACTAACAAGACTAATTGACTCTTAACTCTCTGGATTCCTTCGTGATCGCTAACAAAACACTAACAGAATCTGGTAAATACATCTCTTGTCTCTGCCATGAAATTGCTAATGATTCACTGAGAATCTCTCTTCCTCAATAGGTCAAAGTCTGGTAACCCCGGATTCTTCGTGGTCCTCAATCCCACTGAGCAGTTTGTGGATGCCAACTTCACAAATGTGGCCGGAATAGCTGACGAGCTGACTGTGCACACGATCAGTGCCAATTACAACGTCACGAATGTCTCTGTAAAGTGAGTATCGCATTTCGCAGGCTTCTTATCTCAGCTTCTAAATTGTTTTGTATGTGTGTGTGTTTTGCAGGGCAAAGGTGACCAGCTCATCGATTCCCGTCTCTGGATATTCAGCCATGATTCTCACCTATGTTCCCAAGGGCTAAGAAATGCGCCCGCTAAGCCAGTAGAATCGTCCGCCTTGCCAATGGTTCGTGGGCAACACTTGTGGGACGAATATTTTATCCATTTTAGAGCTCAGGCTTCAGTAGAGTTTGTTGCTTTGCAATTTAGCGTGAAAACATGGAATTTCTCAGCTAAAAATACAGCTAAACAAGCATGGAAAAATCTGTTGTTTCTTCTCTTCCCGATGATGAAAATCCATGGAGAATCTTATCTAAAAAAAACTCATTTTCATTTGATTTGCTTTATTAAACATCAATAATCATAGATATACATTAATCTGTGAATGAAATGTGAAGTTCCGGTGCATTGCCTCATCCGTCATCTTCCGGGAATCTGCGACTCTACTAGATGATCTGGACAGCTACTGCGATTACTGGATGTCAAGTTGTCCTCTGATGTCTATTCCCATCCGTCCGAATAGGTTTGGAAGATTCTGGAACACAGAAAATAATAATTACTGATCGAATTTGTAAGTCGAATTCCCAATGACAACCGGCAAAACACCTAGCCCTGCCCAATTGGTACCCCTGGAGAGCTTGTGGCGGGAATACCACTATCATGGCGGTCTTCTCCTTCTGACGAGAATCTCGCTGTTAGCATTTTGTGACGGTAGAGGCAGCACTGAGAGTTGGCTACATATAGCCAACCTCCTATGGTATTTGGAACTTCAAAATTGAAAAAGGACGTGATAAGTAAACGCTAAGGCTATCTTATGGGTGAGCTGGGCGACGTCACCAAGTCAAAAACATACTAAAATCTTATCAAAATGCACCGTTTAGTTGCTGAGATACAGGCGTCTAAACTTTAATCAATATGGCTTACTTACACTAGACAGTTCTCCTCGTTCTCCTACTTTGACGCTGGGAAAGTAGCATCTTCTCGTTGTCCGGAAACTTATCTTTTCACAAGTCTTTTCTGGCCGTGTAAGTCCTGTAGTCACCTCCATCGCGGACATTCAGCATTCTTCAGGAGAAGAAGTTCACAAGACCAAGAGTAATATGTATAGAATTATTCCTATTATGAGAAATAGATTGGAAGATTTTCAACCATGAAATCCGTTTGTCACAAGTTTGCCATTCAAATAATTTCCCCACTTCGAAATGCAGAAAAGCGCGCCAAGGCGTGACGTCAGCGGCGACATAACCTCAACAAATACAGTTCCGACGACGCGCAGGGTCGCTTTTATTGCTGGATTTTCAGGAAATTACAACTATTGTGCTTCTGGGGCAGAGCGGAAGATGGTGGAGTTGACAGTGAAGGAGCGACAGCAGAAGATTGCGAAGGCGTGCAATGCGTCGGACGCGCTGGAGAGCTTGAGCGAGATGTTTTCCTACACCAGAGATGACTTCCGGGTGAGACTGAGAGCGTGGAGGAAGGCGGAAATCCCCCAGAAGACCCTCAAGTGGGCCATTAAGCTGGCCGAGAGGAATGTGGGGCCCTTCTACAGCTCCTGCTCGCTGGGCTGGCAGCCGAAGATCAAGCAGGCGGATCTGAATAAGCACTGGGCGAGATACTTGATTGCCTACACGGAGGACGGCGGCGATCCGGTGGCTTACTGCATGTTCAGATTCGACATGGATCACGGACGGAGTGTTCTGTACTGGTGAGAGGATGCCTGGTAATGCCTTTCCCGCATGATCAACTGGCACTCATTTTCCCCGGCAGTTACGAGGCTCAGCTGGAGGAGAGCGCGCGACGGAAGGGCCTGGGATCGCACATGATGAGGATTCTGGAGTGTGCCGCTGCCCAGTGGCACATGGAGAAGGTCGTGCTGACTGTGCTGAAGAACAATCCCAGCGGTATGAATTTCTTCAGGAAAATTGGGTAATTGAGCTGATTGGGAAAAAGTTTGTTGTGTACTTTTGTAACCGTCGGGGATTTCTCAATTCCTCCACAGATACTCAACTGACGAAACCTCGCCGGGGCGTGAGGAGAGCGCCCCTTATGAAATCCTGAGTAAAGACATTTCAGCATAAGATGGAAGAACAATTGCAACGTGAGAGTATTCTTTTTATTGCCCTTAAATGCCGCTGTTTTTGGACCCTTGAGAAGCGCGCGCGCGCTCGTGATTCTGGAGAGAAAATTCACTGGTAAGTCTTGAAGACGTCTTCCATGAATGTCGCCACCCGGACGTCCTTGCTGCTCAGCCCGGAGACATCGTGGGTGGACATGGTGACCTGCACTTTGTTGTACACATTGAACCACTCCGGATGGTGATCCATCTTCTCCGCCAGCAGAGCCACTCTGGCCATGAAGCCGAAGGCCTCGTTGAAGTTCTTGAAGAGGAACTCCTTGTAAATGGCATCGCGGCCCTCGACCATCGTCCAGCCAGCACCGAAGAGGGGCTGGAGTTGCTTCTGGCGCTCATCACCTTCCAATTTCGGCTGGAATGCAGAGACACAGAATCGCGTGAGAAACTGCCCGAGAGACAAGCTGATAAACCTTACCATTTTGATGCGTTTTGATAACCTTTGAGGTGGAGATTTGTGAAAGTGTCGAGAAACTGTAACAAGTGGTTGTGTGCTCTTTGACGGCCGAATTGCTTCTGGAGCTGGACCTTCAGTGGGAGCGAAGAGGGGGGCGAAAGACAGACAGAGAGAGTGAGAGAGAAGAAGAGAGATTGAGAGAACATCTCTGAGAGTATTGATTTTCCTACGCACGAGATGAATGGCAGAAGCCGCTTTCGAGTGGCACAGAATACTGACACTTTGGGAAGCATTTCCACAGTCCCACTCTGGGAAGGACACTCCAGGATGTGCGGAAAACGCTCATTTTCTCAGGCTTCACGAAGTAAACAGCAACCTGAAGTTATTGAACTTTTCGAAATTCCACTTTTTTCGAACTACACTGAAAAAAAGGGTACCATTTTCGAAATTTTTTCCCTCCGCGTAAAACACCCTTTTAATGGATTTGGAAAGAATGTATTGATAATTTCAATAAAAAATAGTAATATTATATATTCAAGCTCACTTAATTGCCATTTCCTTACACAAAATAATGCCAAATCAACCTGAAAATTCCCTATTTTCACACTGAACATTGTCCTGGACCAGCTCAACTCCAAGGTGCGAGCAATTTCTCAACGGGATAGTGTTCCTGGGCTCTCTGGCCATTCCCCGCACCAGGTTTTCTTTAGGCACCCCGCTTCAGTTGGGCGCAGCGCGCCCCTCAACTTAAGCGGAAATGAGGTTATGCTATGCTCACATGGCAATCCGCTTTTTGGGACAGCCGGCTGGTGGTGTCCCATATTGCGCGCATTTTGGCATATCACCGGGAGCTTCCGAGAATTTCACAACGCGTCTGAACTTGTTTTCCGTGTTTTCTTCTCCCAATACATTCCGAGGATTTGCTGAGGTTTTCGTGAAAAGATTTGTCTAATCATGGATTTGCCATTCTTAGCTGAGTACTCGAAGAGTAATCGGGCGTCTTGTCGATTTTGCAAGAACAAAATTGAGAAAGGCGAGTTAAGGATAGCCGCCATGGTCCAGGTTAGTTTCTTAGCATCCTTTTTCATTGTCATGGCAGTATCAGAGCAGAAACTTGTAAATAATGCTATCTTTGGCTTCTGTAGTCGGCGTTTCATGATGGTAAGCAGCCGAATTGGTTCCATTCCAAGTGCTTCTTTGAGAAACAACGTCCGGCGTCTGAAGGCGACATCGCCGGCTTCGCTATGCTCCGGACGAAGGATCAGGAATTCATATCCAAGGAAATCGGTATTGGAACTCGCTGTGCACACTTGTGACCTCAGTATTGACTGTTCTGTGCATTTTCAGCCAAGATCACCCAGCCGGGCGCGTCGACTTCCGGGAAAGGTAAGGGCAAAAAACGGGGAGCGTCAAATACACTGATTCGTGATTTTGGCGTGGAGTATTCCAAGTCAGATCGCGCCACGTGCGCTGGATGTCAGCAGAAGATCCTCAAGGGTGAGGTGCGCATCAAGAAGATCGCCTATGACACGGAAGTGGGAATGAAGTTCGGCGGACAGCCTCTGTGGCACCATGTTGAGTGTTTTGTTCAGGTAATTTCGCACCAAGCAACTGAAGCTTTGTACTGATTCTGGATGTCTTTGCAGTGCCGCCAAGATGTGGGCTACTTCACGAGTGGGGATCAACTCCCTGGCTACAATGCTCTATCAAAGGAGGATAAGAATGCTGTGAAGAAGGCTCTACCGTAAGTATTTGTCTGAAGGATGCTCGAGATTGAGATGTTAATTGATTCGCTCTTGCTGCAGTGCTGTTAATGAGGCTGACTTGCCTGTGGCAATCAAGAAAGTCAAGACAGAAAAGGAGGAGCCAGAAGACAAAGCGCTGAAGAAGACGATGAAGAAGCAGAATGATAAGTTCTTTGATCTGCATCGCTTGCTCGAGGAGCGAGAATTGAAGAAGAACCATTTGATTGACATCTTGGAGGCCAACAAGCAGGATGTTCCAGAAGGCTTAGATGCTGTGAGTTATCATCAGCTATAATAGTTAATGAAGACAACTGACTGTAATCTCTTTGTAGGTGAAGAATCTCGTGTGCGATATCCTCGTCTTTGGCGCTCTGAAGCGCTGCAAAGAGTGCGGCGGTCAGCTAATGTTCAACGATAATGGCTACAAGTGCACGGGAAACATCTCGGAGTGGGCAAAGTGTGAGCATATGGAGAAGGAACCAGAGAGATTCAAGGCCAAGATCCCGAAGGGCATTGTTGAGAAGTTTGATCTGAAAAGCGTAAAGCCCGCCGTTGACAAGCGCGTCTTCAAATACTACACAGCGAGTGTGGAGACTGTGAAGGCGATGGTCAAGGATGAGACTGATGGGTGAGGATTTCTCTGGCGCAGAGCCATTCGTGTGACTAATTGTTTGTCTCTCCGCAGGCCGAAAGTTGTTCGCGAAAAGGGGAAGCTGTACAACATGGAATTCTTCGTGATTGGCAAGCTTCAGCGCACCAAAGACGACATTCGTGCGGCTCTGAGACCTTTTGGCGGTCGCGTAGGCACGCGTATTCACGAGAACACCATGGCAGTGATCTCCAATGAGAAAGAAGTGGAGAAGATGAACGGATCAATGGCACTGGCGAAGCAGTACAAGATTCAAGTGGTGCCTGTGACGTTCCTGGATGAGATCGCCAATGTGGATGTGTTTCAATACATAACATCCAATTCCCTGTGTGACTGGGGTGCAGATCCTGCCACGCGTGTCAAGGCTGAGGAGGCAAAGTCCAAGTCCAAGAGCATTTACGAGAAGTCAGTGTCCAAGTCTGTGACTATGCGTGTGAAGAATGGCTCGGTCATTGATCCCGATTCCGGGCTGGAGGATGTGGCTCATGTGTACAAGGAGAAGGGCAAGCAGTGGGCAGTTGTGCTCAACAATGCGGATGTGCAAACGTCTAAGAATTCATACTATAAGTTGCAGCTGCTGGAGGCGGATAATAAGCGTCAATATTGGATCTTCAGAGCGTGGGGACGAATTGGCACGACCATTGGAAGCAACAAGTTGTCCAATTACAGAGACTTGAGCGAGGCAATGGTGGAATTTGAGTCTCAATACCTGGACAAGACGGGCAATGATTGGGGAGTTGGCAAGTTCAAAAAGCAACCGGGAAAATACTTCGAATTGGATATTGATTATGGCGATAATGGAATGGATAATATGTCGATGGTGAGCGACATACCGTCCAAACTGGATCTTCCGGTGCAGAATCTTATCCGGATGATCTTCGATATTGACGCCATGAAGAAGGTGATGCTGGAATTTGAGCTGGACATGGACAAGATGCCGCTGGGGAAGCTGAGTGAGAAGCAAATCCGATCGGCTTATGGCGTGCTGACTGAACTTGCGCAGATGGTTGAGAATGGCGGAAGCAATGGCAAGTTTATTGACGCCAGTAATCGCTTCTTTACTCTCGTGCCGCACAATTTTGGCGTGAAGAAGCCACCGATTCTTGACACGGTGGAGGAGATTCAGAGCAAGATCACCATGTTGGACAATCTGATGGAGATTGAAGTGGCGTACAGTCTGCTGAAGGGTGGCAAGCTGAAGGAAGCTTCAGCTTCAGCGTCTGCTGTGAATCCCATTGACAGTCACTATGATCAGCTCAAGACGGAACTTGTTGTGCTGGACAAGACAAGCGAGGAGTTTGCTCTGCTCGCCAAGTATGTGAAGAACACCCACGCGGAGACGCACAATTTGTACAATCTCGAGATCGAGGAGATCTTCAAGGTGAAGCGCAATGGTGAGGATCGGCGCTACAAGCCCTTCAAGAAGCTCCACAACAGGCGACTTCTCTGGCACGGATCGCGTCTCACGAACTATGCGGGCATTCTCTCGCACGGTCTCAAGATCGCCCCGCCAGAAGCTCCAATCACGGGCTACATGTTCGGCAAGGGAATCTACTTCGCCGATATGGTTACCAAATCCGCCAATTACTGCTGCACCAATCCCACGGATAATACAGGACTCATGATACTCTGCGAGGTGGCTCTGGGTGATATGGAGGAGTACACACAAGCCAAGTATGTGACGAAGCTCGCGTCTGGAAAGCACAGTGTGAAGGGCGTGGGAAAGTCCTTCCCGGATCCAAAGCAGAGCGTCAAGCGTGAGGACGGCGTTGAGATTCCCCTGGGAAAGGCCGTGAAGAATAATCAGCTGAAGAATGCGTCTCTGCTCTACAATGAATATATCGTCTACGATGCGGCTCAGGTGAATATTCAGTATCTCTTCAAGATGAACTTCAATTACCGCTTCTAGACCTTGTTTTCTTCACTCAGTTTATTACTACTTATTATTTGTTTTGTTATCCATAAGTCTATGTGAGTTGAGTTTCCTCTTGCTTTATCAGCCCCTCAGCGTCGGGCAGCCTTCCATCCTCATGCTTGATGGTGTGAGCTGAGAAGGATTTAAAAACTTTTCTTGTATACGTTAAGATAAGTTGAAATAAACTACAATTACTCACTAGCCAAAGCTGTGTAGGTCATGAAGTCCACCTTGCAGAGATCGCATGAGTAGGGCTTCTCGCCCGTGTGGATCCTCGCGTGGGCGCGCATCGCCTTCAACAGCCGGAAGCTCCTGTTGCAGAAGCTGCACTTGTGTGGTTTTTCGCCAGTGTGGCGCCTCATATGGATATTCCTGTCGCCCGACTGCGCGAATGTTTTGTCGCAGAGATTGCACTCGTACGGCCGCTGCTTTAAGTGTACGCCATTTATGTGGATCCTCAGGTGTTCCGCCCTCTTGAAGGAGTTTCCGCATTGCGGACAAGCGTGCTTGCGCACTTCCGTGTGCACTTTCAGATGACTAGACAGAGATGAGGGCAGCTTGAATCCCTTGTTGCACAGCTGGCAAATGTAAGGATGAGGTCGCGTCTCTTGAGATCCGGTGGAGTCACGCGCCTTCCCGATCGGCGGCCCACCGTGGGCTGAGTATTTGTGGTACTTGAGCTGCTGCGCCTGGATAAAGGCCTTGTCGCAGGAGTCGCATTTGAACGGGCGCTCGCCAGTGTGAGTCCTGCAAAATGATACAGAGATTAAGATGTCGAATGACGTCTTTATCCAATACTAATTACCTGAGATGAACAGTGAGACTGGATTTCTGAATAAAATGCTTTCCACAGTGTTCGCATTGCCACTGTTTCTCGCCTGAATGTTGCTTTATGTGCATCACGAAAGAGCCTCTCTGCACGAAGTCTGCAAATGTCAATGGCACATGAAGCATGATCACAAAGACTGCTTAATTTCCTACCTTTTCCACAGATGTTGCACACGTAAGGGCGCACTCCGGTGTGATAGCGGAGATGTAACTTGAAATTGCACTCCTGCTTGAAGTGCTTTCCACAATAATTGCAGAGAAATGGCCTGTCGCCAGTGTGCGTGCGCTCGTGATTCACGAGATGGTGATGCTGGATGAATGACTTCTCGCAATAGCGGCACTTATACTTCTTGTTGGGATCATGCGACTTCAGGTGATACTCGTACTTCACTTTGTTGGCGAAAATGGCCAGACAGTGCGGACACTCGTGCTCTGTGACGTCGTGCACAGACTTCTTGTGCTTGTTCATGTACACCTTGCTCTTAAAGCCCTGTCCGCAGATGGAGCACTTGAAGGAATTGTTCTGATTGTGCGATTGTATGTGAGTGTTGCGATTGGAGATGCTCTGGAAGGTCTTTCGGCAGATGGGACACGCGTGGGGTCTCTCTTTAGGGTGCAGTGAGCGCATGTGGAGTCTCAGCTCACTCTTGCCTTTGAATTCAGTGTCGCAGATGTGACACACGAGATATTTTGCTGTAGGATGATCAATCACGTGCTGCAGCAGCAGAAACTGGAATCAGGAGATTATCAGTCAATGTATTATCCTGCAGAGGTGATAGACTACCAAAGTATCTACCTCTTCTGTGAAACTCCTTGGACAGATTGTGCATGTGAATTTGGATTCTGCTGGCTGATCTACTTCCATTTCTGGAATTTCAGTCTCAAACCATTGCCAGGATGCTTCTGTGTCTTCCTCCTTCTTGTCAGATTCCTTCTCCGTACCCTCTTCAATGTCTTTTGTAATCAGTTCAGATTCAACTGCGAGGAGACAAGTCAGTATAATACGCCCAAGAAAAACTATTCTATTTATAACCAACCTGTGAAACTAGCTATGAGATCTTCCGATTTCTCAGCATCCTTGATGCCTTCATCGCTTGTATTCTCTGTAGGTTCACTAAAATACTTTTCAAGAACCTCTTGAGACTTCTGGCACAGCGTCCGGAAGCTTGAAACTGTCTTGAGTTTATCAAGACATCCGGAACAAATCTGCTGCGGTTTTCCATCGTCCACGTCAATCTACCAAGAAAAATAGATATGCCTATGAACAAAATAGAAAAGAAAATTCTTACCTTCAAGTCAAGATACTGAAATTGCTGGATAATTCTCAGTCCTGTCGATTCCTGAACATATTCATCTTCAATGTGAATCCCATTCTCTAAATTGGCCAGGCAGCATCTGCACGTGTGCTGCAGTGAATAAATCACGTATTCCACGTGGGAATCACTCATTGCTCTCCTCTTGAGTGCAATTAACTGGCCACACTGAACAGGAAACCCAGGAAACACGGAAATAGAGGATATCCTCTGATATTTGGTCAATCAGCTGTGAATACACAATAAACTTGACATTCTAGCAGTTTTGAATGCCGCGAGCAGCGCCTCTGATGATAGGTCCCATCAAACTACCGGTGCCGCATAACCTCAAATTTTCAGTCAAATGCGCGCTGAGAAATTGTGAAAATATCGCGAATTTTAGTTGAATAATGGATACAAGCGCAGAATTGAAGGATGTTTCTGATGAGGCGGTGGTGGAGATCAATAAATACCGGAAGATGATAACGGATTTCATAAATTTGGTGAGTTTGACTACAAAATGACTGGATTGTAGTTTGTTTACAAAAATGTTTGTTCCAGAGACGCTACCAAACAGCCTTGTTCTGGGCAGAGAAAGTGGCTGTGATGAGCAAGTATGAGACGATGGACGTCTACTGGTATGCCCAGTGTTTGTTCCTCCTAGAAGAGTACCACCGAGCTGCCTTCGTGTTGCGGTTGCACAAACTAGAGAATAAGGATCTCATGTGTCACTGTCTGGTACTAGAGAGTCTCTATAAAGCCCGAGAGTTTCAGGAAGCCATAGACATTGTCAATTCCATCGACTCGTACTACATCATGCAGTCGAATGATGATTCCATAGACAGGAATGAGATTATGTCGGCAATAACTCTTCTGAAGGGAAAGATTCTGGAGGCGCTGGACAAGCGATCCCTCGCCACGGAATCCTACGTCCAGGCATTGCAGACGTCCGTCTATTGCTCCGAAGCACTAGATTGTCTCACTCAACATGAGATGTTACTGGCTTCTGAGGAGAGATCGCTAATGGATTCCCTACCGATTGAAGAGCAGTGCTCAGAAGCTGATGGGAAGATCGTCAAAGTTCTCTACGAGAGCAAGCTAAAGAAATATTACGATAAAATCAACGCTGTAAGATTCTCTAAACTTAAAACGAAGTGTCAATATTCTCAAGACTGTCTCTCTTTGCAGCATTTCCTTCCCGGGCGACTCATCACGAGTAATCTGAGTATTCTGCAGTCGTTCAGGAAGAACAAGAAAGACACCTCATCAACTCCATTCAGCTTCACAAAGACCACTGAATCCATCAGGAATCCTCAAGCACTCTTGCAAATAACTAAGGCTACGCCACTCACCTCAAAGTGAAAATCATGCTTGACGGAAGAAGTCAGAATTGTACTAATGTAGAATATCTTTTCAGGCTCTCGCAGGGAAAAACATCGGCCAAGGCAGAGAAGGAAAGACTGCAACACAAATTTTTTGACACACAGCAATTGCCCCTGAAGGAGTGCCTGGCTCAACTCATGCAGAGCATAGATATGCTGGTGGCCAAGGCTGAGAGATCCTTTTACAACTGCAACTACAATCACTGTCTTAAGATTCTGGATGAGTGAGTATTTCACAGCACAATTTGAGTTGGTCATGAAGTCGTTGTTCTCTTGCAGGATATTCAAGCGCGATCCTTTTCACACGCAGAGCTTGTCCATCCAAATCGGCTGCCTGTATGAGCAGAAGGCAATAAACAGTATGTTGGCGGTAAAAAGAGACAAAAGGGTGGATAATAAAGAGTATATTTGTATTTCAGAGCTCTTCTACGTAGCGCACAAGCTCGTGGACTTGTATCCGGAGCAGGCGATCTCCTGGTACGCCGTCGGCAGTTACTACGACCTAATCGGGAAGAGCGACTCAGCGCGGCGCTACCTTTCCAAGGCCACGACACTCGACAGATTCTACAGTCCTGCCTGGCTAGCGTACGGGCACTCCTTCGCGAAGGAGAACGAGCATGATCAGGCCATGGCGGCGTACTTTAAAGCCACTCAGCTCATGCGAGGCTGCCACTTGCCTCTGCTTTACATTGGCGTGGAGTGCGGCCTGACGAAGAACCTGGAGTTGGCGGAGAACTTCTTCGAGCAGGCGCTCGCAATCGCACCCATGGACGTGTCTGTGCTCCACGAGTTGGCCGTCATTAAGTACGAGTACGAATTGTGAGTATCTCAGCGCTTTTGCGCACTTCCCAGTGTAAACATCTTCTCTTGTATTCCCTTCTGTGCACAGCTTCAAGAATGCTGAGGAAGTATTTCGCGTGACGCTGGACGTGGTGAAGCGCCTTGCAGAGTGGAATAACGAGGTCTTTTCCGCACGCTGGGAACCGCTTCTCAACAACTTGGGCCACTGTTGTCGTGTGAACAAGAAATACGCCGAGGCGTTGGAGTTCCACCAGCAAGCGCTCGTGCTGAGGCCTCAGAATGCCGCCACGTACACCGCCATCGGCTTCGTGCAGGCCATCATGGGCAATCTCGTGGAGGCCATCGAAGCCTTCCACAAGAGCCTCGCGCTGAGGCGCAACGAGATCTTCACCACTACTATTCTCAAGTACGTCATCGAGGAGTTCATGGAGGAATCGCTCGTCACGGAAGTGTACAGTGACACCTCGAAAATCGTCGATGACAAGAGCCCTCTGGCCACACCACTCTTCGCCACCGAAGATCCCACGCGGCAGGAATCCACTGAAAATGCCAACAGCCAATCGACTGTCTTCGAAAACTTCGACATCAGCATGGATGATTGAGCTTTTCGCTAGATAATTACACTTATTTCACATCTCAAAAAACACTCTACACAGCAATTGGAAACAAAAAAGTAATTAATTTAGAGTGATTAACAATGAAGACTCTACTTCTTCAAGCGCCCCTTGAAGAGCATCAGGGACTTCTGCATGAGAGGCGCTCGTTTTGGTTTCACCGCTGAAGCTGCAAGAGAGAATTTCCCATTAGCATCCACTTTAGCAATAAATCATGGGCGTTTCTACTCACTACTACTGGCCGGATCGTACTCCCGATTTGCGGCCGCCACTCGCAGTCGAGCGTCTCCAGCCTTGGCTGCATTCTTGCTGATGCCACTGAGCGCTGCCACGCGGGCAGCCGGAGTGGCGCTGATCTTCTGACGCGTGCCGAACTGATTCTGCTTGCGCAACACATTCCTTGGCGGCTTCACAATGCTGTCCACATACGCGAGCTGCGTCTTCCTCACTGGCACCGAAGTCGAGAGTGATTGCTTAATGTTCTGCGTGAGACTGTTGAATCTGGCCTCTTGTTCGTCAAAGCAGCGCTGCAAAGATGACCAGAGTGAGAATGCTAATCATGTTCAGGTCAGGAAAAGTGACTTACCAAGTACATTTCTCGCCACGATTCCATCTCTCGCCTCTTCTCTGCCTTGAAGCGCCTCTTGCAGTGCTGCTGCCACAGCTCGTCGGTGTCCTCCATGAGGTAGGGGTTGTAGTGTTCGAAAGTGAACAACTGCTCTGGCGTCGCACGCTCAATCACGGGCTTCAGGATCTCGAAGGGAACACCGCCCGTGTACTCCAGCGCGTCAATGTTGCGCTGTAACACGCGAATGCACAACTCATGCAGTGTGGGGACGTTCATGACGGCGCCCGTCTTCACGCCGGAGTACACCTTCGTACGCTGGTTCTTAGACTGCATGCTCGTGCCCATGGCCTCCTCGTCAGTCATGTGGAATGTCGCCGCGGGCGCTTTCTGCTTACTGCTCGAGGGGAAGACGCACTCCATTACCGCGGGATTCAGCGGCATCGGCCGGTAGTTGTTGCTGATCTGTGGCATTGTGATCTGCGGCAATTCAATATTATCCCCTTTGATGATCTCCGGATCAAGTGGAGCGAGCTTCTCGGGACTCTTCAGCATCTCTGGCGGCGCCAAAGGCCGCACAACTGCAACTTTCACCTCTGACTTCTTCCTCTTGGGACTGCTCTCCTCCGTGTCGCCTGTCGAGGTGGTCGCTGTGGACTTTACTGGCGTCTCTGTGGGCTTGTGCCTCTTCTGGCCACTCTTCCGCGACGGTACGTCCGGTATCATTGAGAGTACATCGGCGAAGCTCGCCCCTTTCGAGTTATCAATGCTATCGTCAGAGTCGCCGCTCTGCGCTGGTTTCACCTTTCTAGGCTTCTCCGGCGCGTCCTTCTTCGACGAGTGTCTGTGCTCTCTGACCTTCTCCTTGGACCTGTCTTTGTGTCTCTCCTCCCTCTTATGCTCCCTGTGGTCGCTCTTGTGTGAATGCGACCTGTGATGACTGCTTTTCTTGTGAGATTTGTGATGCTCCTTCTTCTTCCCACTCTCAGACTTTTCCTTCTCCTCAACCTGCGCGCTGGCCTCTTCCCTCTCCACTGCCGGGGGCTCGGGCTCGTGGTCAGAATTGGAGTCCCTGTGCGACTCCCTGTCGTCATTTGCCGCACTGTCGAGCTCCGCCTGCGCCACCATGGCCTTCCATTTCGCCACGAGCGCCCTGGCAGCCACCTTCACCTCCCCCTCCTCTTTCCGCAAGTTGTTCACAGTTTTCCCAATGCCCGTTTCCTGCAAGTGCTCTATAGTGATGGGGAGCTTGTACAGCTTCTCTATGCAGTGCAGCAGCTGAAAGGACAAATCACCGCACGTCAGCATTATCACTACGTCACACACATGCACATGTGTACGGAAAATACGCAAATATCACGGAATGAGAGGTCCATGCAAAAGAGATAATGTCTCACCCGTTTTTTGTCTCGAGTCTTGTCGATGCTCTTCTGGTAGTGCTCCACTATTTCCTTCACGGACCCCATCTTAGCTGCACTCTCCGTCCAAAACACTGTCAAAACTGCTAAAATCTCACGCCAAAACTAATGCCTACATCTCAGAATAGTGAGAGATCATATCTAAAATTTCCACTATAATTTTTTCACTTTTAGGGGTTATGTTCGTCTGGGCCATCAAGGCTAGATTCGCTCATTTCACGTTAGGTGTTCTGGAGGCGCTATCGACAAAGAACTCGTCAAAACTCGCCTAAAAGATGTTGAACCCTGTCACCAGAGGCGCTGCTCTAGACTTTCCCCGAAAAACAAGAATCCGGACTTTGCTGTTGTTTTCTTTTGGTATCGTCTTTCTTATCGCTCCCCTGATTACAATAATCGCTTTATCATTGTGAAAGTGACTTCAAGTACCTCTTCGGCAAGCACTTGTATACTCCATTCACTCGGTGGCTGACATTTTGTTGGATCTGCAATTACCGCTCGTAAAGTTGCGCAAGAAACAAGAAAAAACTCTGTGTGAAAATGTCTGAATTGCGGTTTGATGGTCGTGTGGCTGTTGTGACGGGCGCTGGAGCGGGCCTGGGCCGTGAGTATGCCCTGCTGTTTGCGAGCCGGGGGGCAAAAGTGGTGGTGAACGATCTTGGCGGAAATACTCGCGGGGAAGGAAATTCCCAGCAAGCAGCCGATGTGGTTGTGGATGAAATCCGTGCAAAAGGGGGCGTCGCGGTGGCGGATTACCACTCAGTGACAGATGGAGAAAAGATCGTCAAGACGGCAATGGAGAACTTTGGCCGCATCGACATTCTAGTGAACAATGCTGGCATTTTGCGGGACAAGAGCTTCCCAAGGATCTCCGAGGATGACTGGAATCTGATCCATGATGTTCACGTGAAGGGCAGCTTCAAGACTACCCAGGCCGCATGGCCCATTTTCAAGAAGCAGAATTTCGGCAGAATTATCATGACGTCCAGCAATTCTGGCGTGTATGGAAACTTTGGTCAGGCGAACTACAGCGCAGCCAAGCTGGGTTTGGTGGGCCTGGCAAACACTCTGGCCATCGAGGGCGCCAAGTACAACGTCCACTGCAATGTGATTGTGCCCACTGCGGCGTCTAGGATGACACAGGGAATCCTCCCGGATCTGTTGTTCGAGGAATTGAGTGAGTTTCTCGTGCGATTCCGCAATTAGACAGCATTTCTCACATCATTGTCGATTTCAGAGCCTAGGTTGATTGCGCCTGTCGTTGTTTACCTCTGCCATGAGAACACCGAAGACAATGGAGCCGTTGTTGCCAGTGCTGCTGGCTGGGCGGGAAAGGTGGAAATCGTGGCGGGAAAAGGCAGTGTTCTCAGATCTTCCCTCCATCAGGACGTCACGATCGAGAACGTGCGTGACGCCTGGGGAAGAGTGGTGGACATGTCTCAGGCCGAGAATAATAGAACAATCGGAGCGGCGAGTGCGAAACTCCTGGGCGTGCTTGAGGATCTGAAGAGCCAGGAATCTGGAGCGCCACAGACGCAATCGAGCGGCGTAATTTCAAGCGATTTCACCTTTGGCTTCAAAGATTTGATCCTGTACGCGCTCGGCATTGGCGCTTCAGTGACCGACGAGTCAGACCTGAAGTATCTATACGAGAGCCATGCGGAGTTTTCTGTCCTACCGTCCTTCTTCATTCAGCCGGGCCTAATGCTCACAATGGGCTCCTCCCTCACAAAGAACGCAATCACTCACAAGGAGTTCGATTTGACCAACGTGAGTGGCTTTGAAGCATTTTTTTCCATCAATTTCTCTGACTATCACCTCACTTTTTAGGTCCTCCACGGAGAGCAATACTTGGAAGTGTTCGATTTCCCACTCGAGGGAAATCTGCGCACCGAAGGCAGAGTTCTGGATGTGATGGACAAGGGATCTGGTGCCGTTGTGGTGACAAACTGCGACACATTCGACAGCAAAGGCAATCTCGTGGCCAGGAATCAGAGTGCAACATTTATTGTGGGATGTGGCAATTTCGGGGGCAAGAAGAATCCCAGTTCGGAAGTGATTCCCACCTTGCCGACGCCAACTGGTCCTCCGGAGACTTCAATCACTCTGAAGACTTCCGTGGATCAGGCGGCAATCTTCCGACTGAGCGGCGATCCGAATCCTCTGCACATTGATCCCAATTTCTCCATCATTGCCGGCTACAAAACGCCCATTCTGCATGGCTTGTGCACTCTAGGTATGTTCAGGCATGAGATTTAGAGACCTCTGTGCAACAGTTTGATGGTTGGTGTCGTTTCAGGATTCTCCCTGAGAGCTGTGCTTAAAGCCTATGCCAACAACGATTCCACGCTCTTTAAGGCGATCAAGGTGCGATTCGTGAAGCCAGTAATTCCTGGCCAAACACTCAAAGTGGACATGTGGTCAAATGGAAACAGAATCCAGTTCAAGACGAGTGTCGTGGAAACTGGACAAGATGTGCTGACTGGTGAGCTATCTTATCTCGAGAATTGGCTTATTTTTCTCCCTATTTATTGCTTTATCTAACAGAACTTTACCCTTTAGATTCATGAATCGCTCATAATCTCACGCTTTGGCGAAAACTCAAAACTCATCGAAGAACTCATTACCTCTTTGGCTTTATCGTGAATACTTCATTTCACTTTAATATTCCTAATAGCTTTCTTTAAATGCCTTTTTTGTTTTATGCGCGAGAAGAGCTCATAAAAAGCGATTTAAGGTCAAAGTCTCTGTTGTCTGGGCTCGTTGCATAAAATGTACATAAATTTCGAATTGATTTTGAGGAAGATTCTCACCTAATTTACTCAAAATACTGTGGACAGACGAGTAATATGGTTAGATAGACTTCATGTGGCATTAAATGGGAACTACGATGGTTTTTGGCGTTGAATCCTTCAGCTGGCCCTATTATTCACTTGGTCACTGTATAATTTCACTTGCCGAGACTCCATGGGCATCTCTTTCACTCGCGACTTCACATGTTTGTCTCTCTTCTTCAACCTTCCGTGGTCGCGACTTTATGACTTGCTCAATACGCTGACAGTGTGCCTTCGCGAGTGGAGTGAGATTGGCTGAGGAATTGAGAAAATTGATAAGATTTCGCACAATAACTTGATTTGAAGTGTAGGAAATTCCGCCTTGGACGAGATTGATCATTGCGCTGACCTGTGGTCCTCGATTTCAGGTGCTTACGTTGATCTGAAGAGTACAGTGAAGCCAGTAAAAGCGACCACAGCCGGCAGCAAGATGGGTCTTCAGAGTGATGCCATTTTCGGAGCGATTAAGGATCGCGTGGACGGAGAGCCGGCGAAGGCGAAGGCCGTGAACGGCGTGTTTGCGTACAAGATCACGGAGAATGGACAAGTGGTGAAGGAGTGGAGTGAGTATCTGGTCAAAGGTCGAGTGTTTTTCGCGAAGCTCATGCTTCCGTTTTTGCAGCACTTGACCTGAAGAACGCCAAAGTGTATGAAGGAGCGCCCCAGGGCGGCAAGGCCGACACCACTCTGACCGTGGGCGATGCGGACTTTGTGGACATCGCGCTGGGCAAGATCAATCCCCAGGTGGCGTTCATGAAGGGCAAGCTGAAAATCACAGGAAATATCATGCTGACCCAGAAGTTGGTGCCATTCCTGAAGACCGATGCTAAGTTGTAGTTCGGTGACATTCCGTCGCGATTTGGGATATGGTTAAAATGTTTTTTTATTGGTGATTTTGCGATTATATCAGGAAATGTATTCATTTTTTATGAAGAGGGTGTGAAAAATACACATTGAAGTTCACATTTTACAGTGTACTTTTGAGCTGCTAGAAAGATGGAGAGTCGTCTAAGAGTGCGAGAAAGCAGAGGGCGCAGTGCGCGTTAATGCGAAAATTTGGATTTTGATTGTCGCCGAAACGCGTTCGTAGAGTTTAGTGCGGATTTTTCCTGATTTCCTCAAGTTTCAGTGGGTTTTTCAGTGGTGAAAGTATGTGGACAGAATTTAGGCAGTCATCCAACGAGGAGGTTACGATAAAAGACAACCTGTGCTCCAATGGACTCTTTCAAATTGCGTCCTCTTGTGTGGTAGGAAAAAATTTTCATTGTTTCGTGGCTCCCTGATAGAGAACGGGTTATCCCGTAAAATATTTTCCTGTAGGTTCGCACAGAGCCCAAAGTTCATGCTGCCGTGCAGAATGGGAATATCGTGGTGGCTGTCGATCAGAGCGTTGTTTTGATTGAAAATGAGGAGTGCAAGTTTCTCAACATCCCGGAAACTCAGATTGACTGCGTCTTCACGTCGGAATCGGGAAAGCTAGTGGTTTGCTGCATGTCCAACGGAAATATAAGTGGATTTTCAATTAAGGGATATCCATTGTTCAATCTGTAAGTTGTGTGAACAAGACTCTGGAGTCTGAAGAAGCGAATTTATCAATAACTTCTTTTGTGACTTGCTCGACAGGAAGATCGATGAGAATGATATTGGGTCGGAGAAGACCTTTGTCGGGATCGCCAGAAGTTTCCAGGACATCTATGTAATGTGTACCAGCGGCAGGATGTACAAGATAAGCAATGCGGATGAGGAAAGAAGCATGACAACGATTGAGAGCAACGATACTCTGGAGTTCAATGAAACTATTCCTTCAAATGCTCAACTTTTCAAGCTTTCAACGCAGAAATTCTACAATCCGATCATCTGCTTCGCAGTGATTCCGCAAATGCAACCTCTAACGGCGGTATTTTCCGATTACGCACGCATTTATATCTATTCTGGTGGAGAAATACAGCCAATTTGGCATCCGGACGATGCCAATGAGATCCGGAAGCTTCTCCTCGTTGGAAATTACTTGCTTGGTTTGGCTAAAAATGGGAATATCGTGGAGATCTGTCCCTTCACAGGAATGCTGTACACCATGAGCGTTCCTGGAGATCCCAGTATTGAGGACATGACTCTCCTGGAGAACTCCGAGGAGAAGACAGAGCTGATAATTCTCACGAAGCCCAGTACAATCGGCGTGAAGGCGCTGAAAGTGATGGATTTCCCTTCGATGCAAATCATGTACGAATTAGACGCGAATAACCACATCTGGCTAGTGGATCAGCCGAAATGCTCCACTGGAATGTATTATCTTGTTGGGAATATTCAGCTAGATCTTGAGCTAGACGACGAAATCCCCCAAGAGATCGAAATGAAGATCATCACTGAGACGCTGCCACAGCATCAGCTTGACAAGATGCTCAGCCATGGGCGATTGGATGACGCTGAGAAGTTTGCTTTGCAATTCAAACTCAGTCTGTTGCCCATCCACAAGAGTCGAATCAGCAGACAAGTCACGATTTTGTCTGAGTGCAGAAACACAGAAGTTCTTCGACAGTTGTTCGTGGATTTCCTCCAGTTGCTGGACAAAATTGACGACAATGCGGTGTTCCTGGATTATTGGGATATTGAGATTCCGAACAGACAAATAACAGCGGAATATTTGAAGTATTTGCAGAGAAAGATCACCGGAGAAGATGATACTGAAGTGACAATCAAATTGAAGATTGCTGAACATCTGCGCAGACTGGAGACGCTGCAGCTAATGGATCCGTCTGAGTGGATTCTAGAGTGGAGGAATTTCATCAACAGTCAGAATCTCTTGCAGATTTGCAAGGATTTCCTCTCAACGAATATCTCCAGTGCTTGCTTGATCTGGTCCAGACATTCAGCTTATCTGATTCCTAATTTGGATAGTGGAAATCTCATGAAAATACTCGACACTTTCCCGAGCTCAACTGAACCGCTTTCGGTGATTCAGTGGTTGAATCACTTCACACCGTCTCTTCTGCAAATTCATCCGGAATTCATGCCCATCATTGTGGAGTGGAGCATTAAGAGGATTAAGATCTTTGAGAGCAATCCCGCATGGAGGAACAATTCGCTTGAGATCTGCAACAGCATTCTGGACATTTTCCTCAATTTGCACTTTGTCATAATCGATCGTCGGCGGCAACATGACAGTAGCATTAGAAGCCTGCAAGTTATCAAGTTCGCTCTCGAAGATCTTCATGTGCTGAAGAGCAATTACAACATCACCATCAACTTGACTCAGTATCTGGGCAATAATCTGGAGGAGACGACATTCAAATTGCTTTTGGGCGTCCAAACAGAGAACATTCAGAGCCTCATCAATGACTTCATCTATCCGAAATTCATGGAGAAGAGCTTGTCGCCAATAGCATCACTCGTGCAGTACGTGAACTACCTCGTAACTTACAACAAATCCTTCTACTACTGGCAAGAAAGGGCTGTGACAGTGATTGAGCTGATCGCGGATGAAGATGAGAGGTTGCAGTGTGCGCAAAATGTGCTGAAGAATGCTCCTGTGCCGTGGTCAATTGTTCTGCAGCCGCTCACGAAGTACAGCATCCTGAAGCATCCTCTGGCGCACGAGATCAGCTTGATCTACAAGCAGCAGAAGGTGACGATGATCAAACTGAAGTATCACTGGCCACAGAATGCGCCGGACAACTATTTTATGCTCGTCAGCAGGATTCTAAAGGAGAAAACGCCAGATTTGTGGAACGATGTGAAGAGTCTGATCGACACGGTGCCGCACATAAGGAAGATGGCTTATCACTGCTGCGTGCACGAGTTCACGAAGCAGGGAAATCACGAGATGGTGCTGCATATTCTCAGTGAGTTACAAGAGGATCACGATGAGACTAATGATTATTTGATGGAGATCTTCATGAGGATGCTCGAGGATGGTGTTGATGAGAGTGCGGAGAGGAATTTCATGAAAACGCTGAATATTCTAAACAACAAATCCAAGAATTCACATAATTCTCAAGTGCAGCAAATTAATCGACTGTACAAGTTGAAGATGCACTTTGGCGGCAAGGCATTCACCAGACTAGCTGTTGACAATTTGGCTGAAGGAAAAGAGATGCTCGCAAAGGGATTAGTGATGATTGTAAACAATTTGCGCAACTATGGAAAGGATCTCATCATGCGCATGTGGAACGATGTGAAAGTTCTCACGGAAGCTCTTGAATTGGACTTCTTGGAGGGAATTATCAATCTGTTGCAAATGTGCTCACATCTTCAGCTGTCCTGCGCCATTGCGTACAACATTCTTACGATGATGGAGATTAACACGGATAATTGCGACAAAATACTGCAATTGTGCGCTCTTCTCATTATCCAGCAATCACAGGCTTTTGAAAGTGAGGAAACAAGTCTTGAAGATCCTCTCACATTTGCCATAATCCACAGATTTCTTGTGAGAGTTCTGCAAGTGACGAAACTCTACTACATTGAGGCAAAGGAAATGGTCGTTTGGATGAGAATTGTCAATGAATTCTATACGGATTCCACACTTGATGAATATTACCGAGAAAGATGTGATGAATTGAGTGAAGAGATTGCTGAAGTATTAATCAGAGATCACAAGACGACGAAGGAGAAGAAGAGTGAGAAGAAGAGGATTTCCATGTCGATTTTCGATCAAGTTTCCGCACCATCTGTAGATGTCACGAAGGAAGTAAAGGTGGAACTGCAGACAATCATCAAATGCATTTCTACGATCATGCAGATTGTCGTTCATCATCCTGAAGGGACGAACTTTGGATATCGACTGAGGAAAATCATCAAAAGTGAGGAGGAATTGTCGCTGGAGAATGGAGATTTTGCAACAGAAAGGTAAGTTGTTTGAGATTTGTATATTCATGAATGTTTACAAAATAATCTGTAATTCTTCTTCAGTTTGCAGGCTGATTTGTCGGAATACATTCAGAAGCTCTTCAAGCTCAAGATGTATTCGGCACTTTACTCAATTACACTGCTAGTGATTGACTTGCAGAAGAAGTGCGGTATTATGCTGATTCCAGAGGAGTCGGTGAATATTTTCCACAAGAAATTGATGAAATCATCACTTATTGAGCGAGATTTCAACTTGATAGGTGAGAAATATGAAAAATAGATGAAACTTCAGAAGTGTTAAAATACTTTTACATCCACCAGAATGCTTGGCACAATTGGTATCAACTAAATCACCTGAGAAATTCCTGCGATCGCTGAGCGTTGACAACAAGAACGATGCTTACAAGGTGAATTACTTCTCGCTATTGGAAAATTATTTCAATTTGTGTGGAGATTTAAGTGGCGCGATGGGATACAGAGAGAGGTAAGAATGTGCATGTAAAGATGTTTCACACTTTACAAAATTCTCCTCGTCTTTTCAGTCGCATTAAATTCCAATTCATGATGGAGATACGCAAGAAGAAGCCTGATTTTGAGATGACTTTCAGTGTGGAGAAGTGCACACTGGCGCAGTTGATAACAGAGGTGTGCACAGTGCCGATCGATGTGACTCTGCTGCAGAAATTGTTCAGGGACTTCTCCTGGAAGGGAGACTATGACGAGCTGATGGTATCCCAGTTGCTGACTGTACTGAATAGGCAGGAGCTGAAGTTCAGCATAACAACAGATGACTTTGGGAAGGAAGTGGTGAATGTGCAGAACTCTGTGGAAGACATTCTGAAGCAGTGTCGACCGTACATGACGGAGATTAGCAAACTGAAACTGTTGATCACCAGGTTGAAGGCATTCATGCAGTCCATGAATTTCTACTTCTATGAATTGTATCTCAGCATCATTGCGATTCTGGATGAGATCAATGCAATGACGCCAGAGATGAGTGTGTGGAAAGATATTCTGGAGTTTTTAAAGCACAAAATGACGGTGAAGCGACGCAATCGGTCGATGCAGAAGGAAACTGATGAGTGGCTGAATGGTCAGTGTGAAGGTGGAGTTTTGCCCAAGATCGCCAATTATCGTTTTCCGTTTCAAGTGATTATCAAGAATGGACTTCACGAGACGCTCGGTGAGGAGATTTACGTGGAGAACTGCGAAGAATGGTTCCCATTGATAAAAATTCACACGGCGTACTTCAGCAAGGATATGAGCTTGATGGAGATTATAGAGAAATTCTGCATGACGGCGATTAAGAATACGATTTTCGAGTACAAAGCTCTGATGGAGAAGAGTGAGAATGATGGCTGGCAATTGAAGTCCAGCGATAATTCACCACTCAAGTCAATCATTAAATTGACACGCTTCATGTCAACGGAATGGAAAATTTTCACAGTTCTCTACTTTATCACGAATTACTCTGTCAGTGGAGTGGATCAAGTGGAGGCGGTCCAGGAGTGCTACAGATATGCGGTGGAGAACGAGAGGGCGATCATGGTCAATGAGAGAGTGTTGGATCAGATGGTGAAAATAAAGAGGAGATATCCGATGATTAAGATTCAGCATTTACTACATGTGCACAAGTTAAATGAGGAGCACTTGCTGGCGCTGGTGGAGAATCCCACTAAGCTCATCCATGCGCTGTACATGCACGAGAGTTTGCTGATGGCACAGCCACCGAACATCACGTACGTTGTGGAGGAGATTGCGGCGCTGAATGAGTTGAATTTGAGGATGCTACAGGAGAGTCTGTTGACCAAGTGGCTGGCCATTTCGGTGGACTGCAACGAGACATGCCTGGATGACACGCTTTTGCAGGAGAATCTGCAGGAGAGCATCCTGAAAGAGGAGAAGGGAGCGAATGAGGACAGTGATATGGAGGATTATGTGAAGAGGGCTCAGTACATCTTGTCCAGCTGGCCAATTGATGACACTGTGAAGTTCCTCAGCACAATTGCTTACCAGAATGATCAGAATGCCGAGAGTCAGCTGAAGATCTTTGAGTGGTTCGTGCAACTGTTCGACAACGAGGATACGGACAGTGTGATTATGCAGAAGAACTATGTGCAGATGAAGGTGATCAGTGATCTGAAGAAGGTGGGTTTGAATTTGCCACCAACCAAGTATCATCAGTACGAGAAGATTGCACTGCTGAAGAAGATCTGGCAGAAATGCCACAGCAATCCTACGGCTATTCACGCTATGGCTCTAATTTGTCTTGAGCATAACATCAATGAACCTAAGATTTGGGATGCGGTTCTGCAGAAAATGACTCACTTTGGTATGAAGAAGGAACTGCTGTCGATTGTGAACTTCTTATCAGTGAAGCAGGAGTTGCTGGATGTCGATGGCTTGAGAGCTGCGTGGGAATTACTGATCAAGTCGCCCTTTGAGAAGATCACAGGCGATAATGAGGAACTCTGTAGAGCTCTGTGTCTTCTGCAAACGTGTCCAGTGACTGCCAAGATCAATCTCGTCAATCTGGCGCATCTCTGTGAGCACATAGATCAGGTTCACATGGCGGCAATTTGTATGGTGTATGCCAACAAGGAGGATAAAGAGATAATCAAGAGACTGGTGATGAAGCACAAGTCGCAGAAGATGCAAAATGAACTCGAACAGTTGGAACTCCATGGAATCCTGCCGATTCTTATCAAGACTGCCATCTCAGAGATATTCAGCATTTTAGATTAATGCAATTAAATACATTCTTACAACCTTTCGTGACTCTTTTCGTGCTTGTATCGTGCAGATGAGTGGCCAAAGGCTTTTCCGCAGTGACGACACGCGAATGGTTTCTGGCGTGTGTGAACTCTCTCGTGATTTTTGCAGTCTTTACGGGATTTGAACACCTTCGAGCAGAAGGAGCAGACAAACGGACGTTCGCCTGAGTGGATTTTCATGTGATACTCAAGGGAAGACTTTAAGCGGAAGTCCTTCCGGCAGAGATCACACGTGAAGGGCTTTTCGCCGGTGTGAATTGTCTGATGCTGCCTCAGCGTGAGTGCAGTTGAGAAGACTTTCTGACAAATCTGGCAGGAGAATTGATAAATCAGTTTGTGAACAAAGTCTTCGTGATACTTTAGGGATTTCCTGCCACGGAAGGACTTTTCACAGAGGCTGCATGAAAATTGAGGAATATCCTGGTGAGTTTTCATATGTCTTTTCAGGAAAGCGAGAGATTTGAAGAGCTTCGCACAGATGTCACATTGGTAGCATTTTTTCTTGGATTTCTCTGAGTTCTCCTCGATCGATGATTCCTGCACAATACTTGTCTTGCATTTGAACTCTACAAACAATTCAGAAGACTTTTCATCGTTTTTTGCATCTTTTTTGTGCTTCACAAGAAGATGTTGGAAACAATTAGACTTCCTCTGAAAAACTTTGTAGCAAAGAAGGCAAACGGTCTTTGTGGGAATCCGAGATGATTTACCATTTGCCTCTGATTTCTTACATAGCGTCAAAGGATCGTCGCAGAAGCTTTCGTCATTGATGTTGTGTTGCTTCCGAAGGTGTCTCAAGCATGAAGACTTGCAGGAAAGAATTTTTCCACAGAGGCAGCATGAATAAGAAGAATCGGATTTGCTGCTGACGCTCTCTTCTTGTGATGTACTTTCTTCTGGCTCTTCTGAGAGTGATCTGTACCACTTATTATAGTTGATTGACTTACAATTGATCTTCTTGTTGTGATAAGTGTTGATGTGTGTTATGCAGGTGTACTTATTCACAAAGGTCTTCTTGCAGATCATACAAATACAGGCACTTTGTATTCTCTTACAGTCAGATATGCAATTACTGGGAATCTTCCTGATAAAGAGATAACTCTGATCATGTGACACTTTGTGATGAGTCTTGAGGTGCTCCAGTGAAATATTTGTGCTCGGGAAGACACTTTTACACATTAGGCACACACTCAGCATTTCCTTCTCCTCCTCCTCCTCAATGATCTCAACATTAGTCTTCAGTTGTTGCTCATTTACCGCATTCATGGTCAGGATTTCTTCACTGCAAGTCTCACAGTTGGAAGTACACTTGATAACAGTATGATTTTCAATGCGATCCTCAAATGCAGAAAGAATTTTACTACACATTCTAAAGTGGTGAGTGCTTGTTTTTCAGTAGTATTGTATTAAATATTCCAGAAAAAGTAGCAATTGACGCGCTGTATTCAAGAAAAGCTTGTAAAACTGTCCCCGATAAGAGTCTGATTTTTATCAGCCAGTTTTGTTTTGAATTTTCATATCGGGCGCCTTTAGACGAGTGTTGTTCGTGTGTCGTCGCTCTGCAGTAAAAGTGCATTCGGGCACGTTCGGCCGCCATGTCGAGTTGTGGTTTTTGACAGACGAGCCGCGAAAAAAGCTGTATAGCTTTTTTGCATAGCGAATTTCCGTGTAAAATCAAGCAGAAGTCGCTTTTATGGTGCTCGCAAGTGCTGCAGGATGATCATAAAGAAGGAAGTGATAGACGATGAGGGTGCGGAAGATGGAATTATCACAGAGGAGCTGGAAATAATGCCGTCCGAGGAGGATGATGTTGACAACGCCAGTGACGACGGGACATCACAACACATCGATGATGAGGAGGCTCACATCAATGGCGATGCAGTGGTCAGAGAGCCTGGGATTTTGCTGCGGGACTCGCCCAAGGTGCCACTGCTGGAGTGTCAGTACTGTGAGACTTGGTATTTGTCGGCGGACACTTTCCGGCAGCACTCGGCGTTGCACAGGACGCGCAATCTCGAGACGATCTACAACTGCAGGCAGTGCCTTCGCGGCTTCTGCACACGGGAGCAGCAGCAGGTGCACGAGCGCAATCATTCCGGTGCCAAACCGTACAAGTGCGAGGTGTGCCACGAGCAGTTCTCCTTCCTGCGCAGTCTTGAGTATCACGTGCAGCTGCACGGCGGCGTCCGGGTGTACAAGTGCCAGTTCTGTGATAAGATCTTCCTGCAACTCTTTGAACTAAACATCCATCTCAAGTATCACGCCTCATTCGATCATCACGCGTCGGCCCAGGCGCACTCCTCGACAATGGCGAACGGCGGCGTGTCAGCCTGGAAAGGCATTCTGGACGGCAATTTGAGCGTTTCGAAGAGCATATCAGATCCTGGTAATCTGCTAAAGCCAATAGAAATGTTGACGACAGAGGAGCGAGTGAAGAGGGAGAAGGAGGATGATCTCATTGAGATTTACGAGGAGCAGGACTTTCAGGATTGTATCGATGATAACAATTCTGAGGACACAATGAGGGATTTGATGTCAAGAAACACTGGTAAGTTTCTACAGAATCCATTATTATAGCTGTTCAGAAGCTAAGAGATGACTTGTTTCAGGCACGAGTTCCAGCGCGGAGGAGAATAAGTTCACGTGCAAGAGATGCGGCCTGGATTTCAAGTTCTTCAGGCTGCTGCAGCTGCATAAGAAGACCCGCAGAGGAGTTCGGTGTCCTGAGTGCTCACAGAAGTTCTGCTCGAGTAAACTCTTGGATGATCATTTGACGGATCACGCGATGGAACGGAAGCGCTTGCTGCGGAATCGCCAGAGAGTTGCCACTCAAACTGTGCCTGAGACACAGCCGAAGGCGCACTATTGCCTGATATGCAACAGGGAGTTGAAGATTCTCAACGAGGACAATGTCATCAATTTCCAAAACGAAATCTACTACAAGTGCAGCGATTGTTCTGACATCAGTCTGGACGCGACAGTGAAGCGGGAATTGATTGAAGATTCGCTGTCGCGCGTGTACGAAGGACATGGCGTATTCACGAAGGATGACACGGATGAGAATACCACTCAGGAGGAGGAAGTCGTGGATGTGAAGTCAGAGGAGGAGTCAAATGCAAATGATGAGTACACTTGTGGCCATTGCAAGGCGAATTTCAATGCGGAATTCGCTCTGAAGGCGCACAGACGGAAGACAGTGGAAAGAAGCTGTCCTAAGTGTGCGTTGCCATTCTGTAATATCAAGCTGTTAAGGAGACACATGAAGGATCATGAGAAGGAGGAGCTCGAGAGAGAGGTGAAGCCCAATTTCCCTTTTTACTCCACAACATCACAAATGAGCAATTCTCATGAGAACTTCAGTCGCTCATACGACAACTTGAACCACTTGAATCACAGATTGTATGATGAGACTGTAAATGATCGTGAGGTGAAGAGAATGCCGCCGGGTGGCGATGACAGACTGACGTGTCCGAAGTGTGGCAAGGTGGTAACTGGCAAGGGCGCCTTGGCGGCGCACATGGCATTCACGCACAAGGAGAAGCGGTCAATTTGTCCACACTGCGGAAAGGCGTTTGCCTTCCCGAAGATCCTCAACATGCATCTGGCCTATCGCCAGAGGACCTCTTTTCCGTGTGGTTGCAGGTTCTGTCCGCATCGGTATCGCAATCAGGCGGAAGTGAATGCCCATGAAGAGTATCACAAGCGCCACCATGGACTGAAGACAGCTGCGGCGAGTGGCGCGAAGAGTATTCTGGAGAAGAGACTGCTGGCCAAGTCTGACGATACGCACGAAGTGACGCGTTCCGATGGGAATATCTTAATAATCAGGAAGAAGAAGATGCGCACTCTGGAGAATCCTGTTCCTATGGTACTGGAAGATGACAAATTCTTCGAGGATTTGTACACGGAGAAAAACGGCGGGTATCAGTGCAAGCAATGCCCGAACACTTATCGGGCTCGAGGGGCAATTAAAGCGCACATCTTTCACTCACACAGAGACAAGCCGTTCACGTGTAAGTTCTGCGCGATGCCCTTCCCGTTCGAGAAAATGCTGGAGTTCCATCTGCGGCGGCGCAAGGATCTCAAGTGTGATGTGTGCAGCGATCGATTTTGCTCGTACGGCAAACTCGAGGAGCACGTGAAGAGACATCAGTCAGGGCCAAAGACAAATGACGCCCTCATCAAGAGGGTGATGCAGAATTCAGAGATTGAAATCGCGCTCGTGGGCGACGAAAAGAAGCCCGTAGTGAAGCAGGAGATGGCGAAGAAGGTCGCTGAGCCAGAGCAAAAGTGTCCGCTGTGTGACAAGGTGATGGGCAAGCGAGACGTGCTGAATGATCACATCACAACTCACCTGAAGAGAGTCGGTGAGTACTTCCGGTGCAAGGATTGCGACCTCAAGTATCTCTATCCCATTTACCTCGTGCGTCACTACAAGAACCGCAAAGTCTCGAATTGCGAACTGTGCCAGAAGGTCTTCTGCGCGGAGATCAACAGGATCAACCATGTGTGTCCTCAGATGGCGCAAAAGCGCCAGAGGACTCGCAGTCCGTCGTCGGAGGAGGAAATCCTGCCGAAGCGCGTGAGTCGCGTGAACTGCACGGATGGACGGCTGACCAACACGAGCGCCGGTCAGCGCGAGGGGAATATATCGCACGATTGGGAAGGAATGCTGGATGAGAACAAGCCATGCAAGTGCAACTTTTGCGGACGCGTGTACGGGAAGCCTGGCGGTCTCGGGCAGCATCTGTCGACCATGCACGCCGTGGATTCGTTCCCTTGTGGAACTTGTAGTGCCGCCTACTCATCGCTCACCAGCTTAATCCGACACAAGAACATGAACTGCGAAGGAGCAGCTGCCAATCGAGCTGCAGAGACCGAAGTGGAGAACAAATCTCCGAAGAATGACTCTGCAGTTCAGGCGGATGAAGCCGCAGAATCTGTGGATTCGCCAGAGTCGAAGAAATCGGCGGTGGAAGAGGCTGAAAGTCCTGAGATTGTGCCAGAAATTAAGCCTGCGACGAGGAAGACATCAGAATGTCCGGTGTGCTTTGAGCGATTCGACCACAGATGTGGTCTCTCGGCTCACCTGCGCCTGAAACACAAGGATGCCCGGCCGTACGAGTGCGAGGAGTGCGGAAGATGCTTCCAGTACGAGAAGGCGCTGGAGGTGCACAGGAAGTACCATGACATGGAGCCTCCGAGTCGGCGAAGACGACGTCGAGGCAGGAAGAATGCCTTACAGGATAACGATCTATCGACTGTGGAGCTCAAGGAGGAATCTTTAGCGAATGATGCAGAGGAAGCTGAGGAACAACTGGAGAGCGGATCAAATGAGGTGAGTAATTTCATTTTATCTATGTTTTTTTTTCTCTCTTAAGATACGTAAAAATTGTGGCTGCAGTAATGATTATTTGACATAAGATAATTCCCAAAGATATCGAATTGCGAGTAAAGATTTGCGTACTCTTGCAGGCGATTGATATGGAAATTGATGAGGAGCTGACGCCGCAAGTTGATGCGGAGGAAGCTCAGCCTGAGGAACCAGAAAGCAGTGAGGAGTGAAAGCGTTTTTAGATTGAAATTAATCTTTTTTACCATAAGCAGACAAAATCTATCTCCGCATTGGTTAAAATGTGTAAATAAGACATGTTTCACTTTCGAATCTGTTTTTATGTAATTGCACAGTGATAGAGAGAAAAGTGCTTTTTTAGATTTTCTTAATCGAATGACTATTCTTCACGTGGCGCGTGAGATCCGCCTTGAAGCCATACTTCTTGTCGCAGAAGGGGCACGGCATGGTCTTCTCCTGGTGGATGCGGCGCACGTGATTCCGGAGAGCGCACGGCAGCTTGAAGACCTTCTCGCAGAAGCCACACTGCAGCGACGCGGGCTTGTGCATGTTGATGGTGTGCAGAGACACTGCCATCTTGCTCTTGAAGAGCTTCTCGCAGATGCTGCATTGGAAGGGCTTTTCGCCCGTGTGCGTGCGCTGGTGCAGGACGAAGGCGGCCTGCGTGACGGACTGGAAGGTGCAGGACTCCCAAGTGCACTGGAACTTCTTGGGCGCCACGTGAATGTGCCTGTGATGCTGCAGCATCAGATCGCGGCGGTCGAAGCTTTTGCCGCACTTAGGGCAGGCGTGCGCTCCGGGCTGGTTACTGTGTACGCGGATATGTAGATCCACGCTGTTCTTGGAAGCGTACATCTTGCCACAGACGAAGCAGGAGTACTGCTCCTTGGAAGTGTGCTGCGTGCGGATATGCACGAGCAGCCCTTTGCGCAGCCGGAAGGCCTTGCCGCAGTGCTGGCACACTTCCTTTAGCTTCTTCATCTCCACGTGCCTCATGAGCAGGTGGTCACGCAGCGCGTACTTGTCTGAGTAGCGATTCCCGCAGATGGCACACTCGAAGGGCTTCTGGCCACTGTGCGTGCGGATGTGCTTCTTCATGTTGGAGAAGGTCTTAGACCTGTGCGGACAGTGTGGACAGTGATACTTGCGCTCCTCCTCCTCGGTCATTATCTTCAGCTTCACTCGCTTCGGTCTGCCACGCTTTCTAATCCTAGGCTTCTCCTTTTCCTGCAGGACGTCCGGCTGCTGTGGCTCCTCATCACTGGGCGGATGGTCTGATGTGTTGTCAACCCGCTCGTCAGCAGACTGCTCCTCTTCCTCTCTCTTCACCTGCACAGAAGACTCTGCAGAGCCTTCAGCTGACGCTCCGTCGAGCAGCTTCTCCTCCGGCAAATGACTAGGTAAGTGACTGTTCAGTTCCCACAAATGTGTGAAAATCTCCTGGCAAACAATGCACTTGAAGAACTTGAATCCCCCGTGATTCTGTAGGTGCAACTCGAAGTCTTCCAAGGAGGATTCTTCCTTGAAGCACGTCTTGCAGGAGTAAGAAGAGCTGCAGATCACTTTGTGCTTCTCAAAATCCTCCGTTCTCGTGTAATTGCGATTGCAGATTGTGCATCGCGCTCCCTCCGTGAATTCCACCTTCACTTGGGACTCTATAAAGTCCATTCTGGGGCTCTGCTTTCGGTTGAAAACACCACGAAAATCTCCACTGTTTTGTTTTTGTTGTGACTTTTCTTTCGGGTGAGGTTAGGAATCTGACAGCCTCTGGAGGGCAAAAAACATTTTGTTTTGATTTCGCTGCTTCTATTTATATCATTATCATAGCATAGGATTTGAAAGATTAGGTAGCTGAGGATTGACTCCTGGTCCCTTTCTCGGCTTTATCCTTTTTTCCCAACGAGTGGGTGTCTCTCATGTGTCTCATTGCATCTGAATTGGATCCGAACTTCTTGTCGCACGCCACACAGGAGAACTTCCTCTCCTCGTGAACCCGCTGCATGTGCACTTTCAGGCTCTCACGCACCTTGAAGGACTTGTCGCAGAAGGAGCACTGGTGCGTCGGCACGCCGTGCTTGTGAGCGACATGCGTGGCCAAGCCGTTCTGCGAGGCGAATGGCTTGCTGCAGATCTTGCAGTTGTAGGGCTTCTCGCCAGTGTGCGTGCGTTCGTGATTGCGAAGCATCGTGCTACTCAGAGCACTGTAGTCGCAAAACTGGCACTTAAATTTCCTGGTCACAGTATGAGCTATTCTATTATGGCGCATCATTTGAATGTGAGTGTCGAACTTCTTATTGCACTGTGGACATGGATGAGCTTCACTGTTCTTGAAGTGACTCTGCATGTGCGTGCTCACGCTGCTCCGGCTGGTGTATGTCTTACCGCAGATGAAGCACGGATATTTTTCCCGGTTCGTGTGAATCTCACGGATGTGACTCTTCAGTCGGCGAACGAAATAGAAGGATTTTCCGCAGAACTGACACACTTCCGTCTTCTTCTTGTTGGTGTCGTGCTTCATAGTCAGGTGTATCCGGAGAGCAAGCTTTTGCACATACTTCTTGCCGCATAGGGCGCATTCGAAGGGCTTTTCTCCGGTGTGTGTGCGAAGATGAAGCTTGAGGTTCGTCATTGTTTTCGTGCTCAAAGGACACTGAGGACACTGGAATTTCCTCTCCATTTGAGCCCATGGCACTTTTCCCTTCTTGGGTCGCCCACGTTTCTTGGGCACTGGCACTGATTCCACATCGTTCTCAGGAAGCTCCTCAGGACAAGGTTGATCTTGTTCAGAATCCTCGATCTTCACTTCAACGTCTTCATGTTCATGTGAATCACGAGAGTCGGTTTCCTTGAGGAACTTCACTTCAGACAAGTGACTGGGAAGATGATCATTGAGCTCTGAGAGGAAGGAGAAGTTTTCCTGGCAAATAACGCATCTGAACAGCTTCAATCCGCCATGAATCTGCAGATGATACTCGAAATCCACCAAAGAAGTCTCTTCCTTGGCGCAGGATTTGCAAGTGTACAAATTGTGGGCATTTTCACGGTGATTCACCAACTCAAGCCACTCTTTGTAACTTTGCCCGCATTCTCGGCAATGAATCTCTTCCAAAGACTCCTCTTTTATCTGCGAATGCTCCATTTTTCCTTGAACTCTCCTTCACTCGCTTCACTCGTGCATTCGAAGCAATCTCTGGAAGATGTACAGAACAATTACATTTTAGGATAGTTGACAAGGTATTGCGCTATGAATTACTCACCTACGAGTACATTTTCACTTGCATTTTCATGACAAATCCTACCATTTGTTTTTATTTTCGGGGTCAAAACAATGAACTTTTGTATTCCAGCAGTTTTTATGACTCAGAGATTTAGCCGAGATTTTTTTTCTTGTAGGAGGAAAATTCATAGACTTGCTAGAATCGCTGCACCAAAGCACTTGACGTGTTGTTTGTGGCTTTCCTCTGCAGTTTTCCAATAAGTCTGAAAATACCATCCTTATCGTAATATCAAACTTGTTTTCTGTAACTTCTCGGCATCAATTGCAATAAATAATCCAAGAGTATCAGAAATAACAAAAAGGTGAGAAGTTTTTGTGATAAACATAAAATGTAAACATTGAAATCAACACCTTTATCCTCTTTATCTGCAGAGAAAATGGACGAATCAAAGGTGAAATCAGAACTTATCACTGATATTTGCTGTCGAGAGTGTGGAGAAAATTACACAGAATGGACAGAACTTTTGGATCACCGGGAAAACGCCCACAATTTATACAGTTGCAAATCCTGCGCGAAGGAAGAGACTTCTTTGGTAGATTTCGAGTATCATCTGCAAATTCACGGCGGACAAAAGCTCTTTATGTGCATAATTTGTAAGGAGAACTTTTCATTCCTCTCAGAACTGAATGATCATCTGCCCAGTCACTTGATTGACGAGGAAGAGGAGAAATGCATGCCAATTACTGAAGAGTTCGTGGAATCCAAATTGGACTTCGAACTGGATATAAAGGAGGAGTCTGAGAAAGACGAGGATTTCGAGCAAGAGAATTTTGTGGATGAGGACAAGGATGATGAGTCGGACGTTCATGAAGAGAAATCAGTCGTTCTTGAGTATGTGAAGCCACAGAAGATCTTCAGGTGTACAATTTGCTCTCACACCTGCAAAACCAACACAAATCTCAAGTTACACATGAAGAAACACAGCGAAGATCGTCCTTATCAGTGTGCCAAATGCAGCAAGAAGTATAAATACATGTGCAGCCTGAGATCGCACCTGCTGATGGTACACGACAAGAACAAGCAGCGGACGGAAGTGTGTAAAATCTGCGGTAAAGGATTCTACATGAAGGAGCGGCTGAAGACGCATATTCGCGACAGACACACTTCTGACGTGTCACGATATCCGTGTCAAGTTTGCGGCAGGACGTATTCCACGAAGGCTGGCGTGGCTGTGCACATGCAGAAGCACGACACGAAGAACAACCATCATCCATGCCCGACGTGCGGAAAGGTCTTCAGCACGCATATCAATATGCACAAGCATTACAAGAGACACGACGCCGTGAAGAAGTACTTCTGCGACTGGAAAGCCTGCACTTTCAGTTCTCTCGTGCGCTCAACACTCACGGCACATCGGCGGATTCACACGGGCGAGAAGCCCTTTCCATGCGACTTCTGTGACAAGACCTTCAGCGTGAAGAGTTGCCTGAAACTCCACGTCGCACACACGCACAATCCTGACTCGGTGCCCTGCAAGCAGTGCGATAAGACTTTCCCAACGCAATCCTCTCTGCGGAATCACATCCAGCGCGTTCACGCCGAACGGACGATTCCCTGTCCAGTGTGCAACAAGAAGTTCGGAAACAACGGTGACCTGAATAGGCACTTGAAAGACAGTCACTCGATAAGGAAGCAGAATAAGTAAGATAAGTAATTTATATGAAATAAACTGTGAATGAGAATTCTGTGTTACCCATGCTCATCGCACTCATCGTGTAAACAAACAATCCCGTCTGAGAACTTTAAATGTAGAACTGCTAGAATGTCAGGGAAATCATTTCTGGTTAATTTTCTGGCTGGGATTTTAGAAAGCTGAGATCTTGCATGAGTAGATTGTGAAGATATTTCTTTTTTCTGTGCTGAATGGTGATACAAAGAATCAACAGCCTTATCATAAAATGGATGGAGAAGTAAAAACAGAATCCTTTATCACGAACAATTGCTGTCGAGAATGCGGAGAAAACTACACAGAATGGACAGAACTTGTGGATCACCGGAAAAATGCCCACAATATATATAGTTGCAAATCCTGCGCGAAGGAAGAGACTTCTTTGGTAGATTTCGAGTATCATCTGCAGATTCACGGCGGACAAAAGCTTTTTATGTGCATAATTTGTAAGGAAAACTTTTTATTCCTCTCAGAACTGAATGATCATCTGCCTAGTCACTTGGCAGAGGACAAACCACTCTCAATCGAGACAAAGACGACAAATGAAAATGAGATTACGAAGGAAACCGAGAATTTCGCCCAACTTTCACCAAATATTTACGAAGAGAAATCAGTGGTTCTTGAGTATGTGAAACCACGGAAAATCTTCATGTGCACTCTTTGTCCGCACATCTGCAAAACCAATACAAATCTCAAGCTGCATATGAGAATGCATTCTAATGAGAGACCTTACGAATGCGCCCTTTGCGGCAAGAAATACAAGTTTATGCGTAGTCTGAAATCGCATCTCCTGATGGTACACGACCAGAACAAGCAGAGAACAGAAGTGTGCAAAATCTGTGATAAAGGTTTCTTCATGAAACAGGCTTTAAATACGCACATTCGTGAGAGACACAAATCAGATGTGTCACGATACCCGTGTCACGTCTGTGGGAAGACGTATGCAACAAAAGGTGGAGTTTCTGTGCATATGCAGAAGCACGACACGAAGAACAACCATCATCCTTGTCCGGTGTGTGGAAAGGTCTTCGACACGCACATGAAAATGTATAGACACCACAAGAGACACAATGCTGTGAAGAAGTACGTGTGCGACTGGAAATCCTGCAATTACAGCACAGAAGTTCTGTCGATTTTCACAATCCATCAACGAATGCACACAGGAGAAAAGCCCTTTTCCTGTGATTTCTGTGATAAGGCATTCAGGATCAAAAGCTGCCTGAAGCTGCACATCGCTCACATTCACAAACCGCACACTGTTCCGTGCACGCAATGCGATAAGACTTTCCCAACTGCGACTTCTCTGCGTTATCACGTCCGGCGATTGCACACAGAAAGAACAATTGCCTGTGTTGTTTGCGGCAGAAAGTTTGGAAGCAACGCTGATGTGAACAGGCACATGAGAGATTGTCATTCTGTAAAGAAAAAGCACAAGCAATAGAAATATTTCTGTGCAGTTCCATTTGTTTTTGTTTACATCGGATTTCTTATCACTTTAGGCGAGTTGTTCAGAGAATTATACGAGAAAGATAGAACTGCTAGAAAGGCATGGAGGTTATATTGTTGCTTTTACACCTTTGCATTTATTCTGGAATTAGCATCAAATTTATATTTTTAATGTTGTAACATACGCAAATTATAGTGTTCTTAGTTATTTTCAACTTCACTAGTGATGATTGGAATGTTTAATTGAAAGTGTTGTGGGAATTGAAAACCGAAAAGTAAGAAATTTATTTGCCTTGCAAATTGTAAACAAACATTCATGAAACATATTTTTGCGCAGTAAATGGACAATTCTGAGGTAAAACTGGAAGACACAAGTGGCATTGACTGCCGAGAATGTGGAGAGAACTTTAAGGAATATCCAGAACTTGTGAATCACCGGGAAAATACCCACAATTTGTATACTTGCAAATCTTGCGCCAAGGAAGAGACTTCTTTGGTGGATTTCGAGTATCATCTGCAGATTCACGGCGGATTGAAGCTGTTCAGATGCGTTATTTGCCAGGAAAACTTCTCCTTCCTCTCAGAGCTTAATGATCATCTTCCCAGTCACTTGGCAGAGGAGAAGATTTTACCTGATGTCAGTCAACATATCGAATCTATCGAATTCACTGCCGATGCTGAAGAGAGTGAAATCAAGCATGAAAATTCAGATCATCACTTCGAGGGAAATAATGATGCCAGTGATCAGGAAGATTCTAAGCAAGACATTATGAAAGTCAAAACAGTTCAGAAAGTGTGTAGAAAAGGCCCGCGGAAGCGAGGTCGCACGGAGAAACAGAGACTGCAGTATGCTTTGCTGGAGAAGTCATACAAATGCCCTCAGTGTCCACACAGCTCCAAGACAGCTTCCAATCTGAAGCTACATATGCGAACACACACAGGCATTAAGCCCTTTGAGTGCGCCGTATGCGAGAAAAAGTACGCCGTGAAGAGCAGCCTAAGGATTCACTTGATCATGAAGCACAGCAGCAGCAAAAAGAAGACGGAAGTGTGCAATATCTGCGGGAAAGCCTTCTATTTCGCGCAGCGCCTCAAGATTCACATCCGTGAGATCCACTCATCGCACCGTGAGCGATATCCGTGCTTTGTATGTGGCAAGACGTACGCTTCGAAGGGCACTGTAGCCATTCACATGCAGAGCCACACGAAGCAGTCAGGCGCACATCCTTGTCCCAAATGCGACAAATCCTTTGGCACTCACGTGGCGATGCTGCAGCACCACAGGCACATGCACGTGGCGCCGAAGAAGTACCTGTGCAACTGGGAGTCCTGCAATTTCCGCTCAATCTCGCGATCGGTGCTCGTGGAGCACCAGCGCACACACACCGGCGAGAAGCCCTTCCAGTGTGGCATCTGCAACACTGCCTTCGCCACCAAGGCGGCCGTGAGACGACATGTGGCGCAGCGCCACAATCCCGCTACGCTCCAGTGCGAATTCTGCGAGAAGGTGTTCAAAGTCTCCGCCACATTGCGATGCCACATCCGGCGAGTGCATCTAGAGAGGAAGATTCAGTGTCCTGTGTGCGAAAACAAGTACGCTTCCAAGGGTGACTTGACCAGACACATGAAAGACAGTCATTCCGTGAGGAAGAAAAAAACGGACATCAAAGAATAAAGTTCACATTTCGCATCTTATTTATGCTTCCTTTTGCCCTCATTCAGCTTCGCTTTCTTCTTCATGATCTGAATGCGCTTGTCGGCGCTGATAATATTGATCTTGGGTGTCACAGAGCTGGATGAGGACTTGTCCCTGCTAGAAGATTCCTTGGAACTGCCAGAGCTGGACTCTCTAGAGCTCGATTTGGACTCTCGGGAACTCTTGGACTTGCTCTTGGACGATGATTCATGGGATTTGCCTGAGGATTTGTAGGAGGATGAGCTGGATTTTGGGGGAGGAGGAGAAGCGACCGGCTGAGGCGGCGGAGTAACGATTGGGGCGGGAGCAGAGGCAGGTTTTGCCATTTCTTTGCTCTTGCATAGCGTGCAGAGCCACGAATTCTCCTGATCATTGGCGTCAGACTCAGAGATTTGGGGCTTGTGGCACTCCTGGTGGTACAGCGAGTGACAATCGGCGCACTCCACCAGGCGATTACGAAAGCTGACGTCCACTTGACGGCAAACCACGCACACGAGCTCCTCCAGTTCCTTCAGCTGGTCGTCCTCCATAATCGTGTCTTCGTCCAGCGTCTCCAGCTCCACCATGATGGGCGTGTCGATGGGAATGGCTGTGACCTCGAGCGCAGACACAGAGGAGTTGGACGAGCTCTTGCTGCTGGAGGACTTTGAGTTGGAGTCCGTTGAGCGGTGCCGCTGATGCGGCGGATGGCCGGCAGAACCACTGCCCGTGGCCGTGTTCTCTTCTCCCAAGTGCTTCTTGCTCAGCACGTTCACCAACATCTTGCTGGTGCTGAAGCGCGTCTGCAAGACCCTAAAATCAGTTACTTGTTCCCATATATCACCCTAATTCTCACCTTGATCAACTCATCGAGAGTCAAGCGAATTTTCTCAGCCGCGTCAGAGTTCGAAGAGTGCATTAACTTGATGGCATTCCTTATTGTCGGGTCCATTTCGGCCACAGCTGACATCATTCACTGTACTTCCGCTTGAACTCCAGGAAGTTTTCACGAAAATCCCATAAAATACACGGCTTCCTCCAGACTGCTCGGGATTGTTTGACAGCAAAACATGTAGAAAAAAACTCGTCTAAAGCACTAGAATTGCTAGAACATGTCACAACCGCGCGATGAAATTAAAATCTGCTGGGAATGAGAAAAATAACTCAAGAAACTACAAAAAATCATTTCACAGATATTTATTTCTTTCTCAATCTCAATATTTGTTATGCAATAGTGATTCTAATTTGCAAATTTAGAAGTTATTACATTATAAAAGAGAATGTTTTCTCTTGAATACACTAAATATATAAATATTTATATATTCTCTTCTTCATTTTTTTTATCCACTAAACATACTAAATTTCTCACTAAATTGAGTTTTGGATGTATTTTGAGGGATATTCATAGCAATATTTATCATCTTTAATCAGTAGTAAATCAGTGTATTATAAAAAATCCACTACAAAAAGTGATGCTCTTTAGGATCTAGTTTGGGATATTATATCTCTTCACATGAAAGACGCGTATAAAAGTACCAAAAATCAAGTCAAATCTACATGATTGTTCCACTTCTGCCGTCTATCACATTCATGAAAAATAAATTATTCCTCTTTTGCTTCAATTTCCGTCACTACATAAATTAGAAGGAAAGTGTAAAACATGAGCTACACAGGAAAATTTCCACCATAAAATCTCTAATCCAAATAGTTTTGCTTCTTATGATATTTTACTCACTGTTCCCATTAAATAGAATAGATTACACACTGTATTGGCAAAGAAGTCCTGCTCTTTTTTCACTTTCTAATCAGTTATTCAATATTCTTTTCTTTTTAATCATTTGCGGAAGAATCTTGCACAAAGCTCTTGAGAAAATGGACAGGAAAATGACCTCAATTCAAGTATCTCGTCTCTTGATATTACTTGTAAAAGGTAATTATGATGTATATCTTAATATTTTATGCTGCAAAAGTGTGTAAAAAATCGCCTTCACTGCTCAAATCTTATCCTCTTTCAGCGTTCATTCGATGGACACACGCGTGAGCAAAATTCCTCGTTTACTCAGCCACATTCTGCAGACAGAAAGGAACATTGAATTAAATTCAGTATTTGTGCGGAAAATTTCTGTGCACTCACCCAAATCCTGCTCCAAGGATTAGAGACAAGACATTCGTGAGCAAAAGGGAATACAGCACTTCTTTTGAGAACAGAGAATTTTTCCCGACGCGGGCCAAACGCACAGAATATCCTTGACTTCGTCTCTGCGGATGCTGAAATTTCCAGTCCCTGCAATTCAAGCAGCCCAGTTAAATCACGCTCTAGGTTCAATAATTGCAATAACTCACTTTGGCGGCTGTTGATCCGGTCGACTGCTCCACTCCCAGAACCAATCCTTATTCTGAGCAGAATCGCTTTCCTGCAAATGCATCAAAAGTGTGACCTTCAGTAAATCATTCAGTCAATATTTTCTCCATACACAAAGTCAAGCAAACAAATCTCTCCTCCAAATTTGGTATCAACAAGTCTTGTGTTGCAGATGCGATGATGATTTTATGACGCAAATCGAGAGCACACTTCGTGTTGAATTATTTGGTCAAATAGGGTAATTTCCACGGTGATTTTTTACACCTCCGCAGTTTCTTGTCTGCGTTCATGCGCATTTTCGTGTGTCTCGCGGAGGGAAAAGAACTCCCCGGAGGTTGAAGAGCTTCCCAGACGAACAGCCTTGAACCATTTGACTCCACGAAGGTCATGAACTGACGCCAACTCAAACCCAGCCAGTGTCTTTTGACCCGTTGAGTGTGTTTTTGCTGCACCGAGAAGCCACAAAAGACGGCAAAACCACAATTGAAACACACGTGCAATTTGATATGTTGCAGGAAAACCACAAAAGATACTGAATTTCGCGTAAACAACAGAGAAATGTTGTTTATCACTCAAAAGATGAGCCTTGGGTGCAACTAAAGTCTTGCTCTAGGCTAGAGCAGTATCGCATTTCTCACGTTAAGCTTCTATTGACTCACTAAAAGAGAATGGAATAAATTTAGCTACTGCGTCTCATTTCCAGAACGTAAATCCGATAAAATTAGATACATTTTGTACTTTCATGTGAAAAAAAAGTTGGGTCAATTAGCTTTAGATCTTGTTTAAATCAACGAGTTGAAGTGTCGTAAAAGTTACGTATTGACAAATGTGGAAAAACTCTTTTTCCTAATTCAGAAGAAAGGGATTTAAGCCAATTCCTTTCTCTCTATTGCTTGGATGATCAATCAAACTGCATCAAATCTTGCGATATCGTTCAAGGATAGTCACCAACATTTACGACTCTAATCTCTGCCGAGAACAATGTTCCAATGGGAGTTTTCCTCTGGTGACTTTCTACGCAATAACTCTCTAATGGGAAAAACAGACGCTCTCGCGCACGATAAGACGCAGATATCGCGCGGTGACGTGACTGCCTTCTCTCCCGCGACTCACCTTGACGGAGTTCCAGTAGTTGATGTACACCCCCTTCAGCTCGTCCATGCAGAGCTCTGTGTTGGGGCTGTTGGGCGGCGACTTGGGACTGCTGCGTGGCGTGTCACGCCTGGAGCCGGCCAAAGACACCACGCGGCTAGACTCCTTGGACTCGCGCTGTGCCTCACGCAGGAGTCTCAAGTACTCCTCGCCAGATGTGAAGGGCAGCGGCGTGACGCGCTCGGGACTGCGATGGCCAGAATTTGTGCCAGATCCATTTGAGTTCAGCTCAATCCATGATTCTGCAGAGAGACAGATTCGCTGTTATTTTGCGCCTCCTCCAGAAATACACACTTTCATTGATACATTGTGTAAACAAAGAGAAGCTAAAAATATTCCCTCGTGCACAGTAACTTGCTCATGTTTTGGATAAGTTTGTGTGATACACATCACATATTGATCAACATTAGAAGCATAAAATATTCATAATTGCTCCAAACATTCAGAGTTCATTGATTTCTACTGCAAATCAATCGATTTTCCCTCAAGTTCAAGTATGAAGCACAACGTAAAACCACATTTCACATCATATGATGTGAATTTTTGCATCATTAAATCATCCTCGTCTGAATATACTACATGTCATAACACTTCACACACCACTATTCCTTATCATAAAGTTCACTTTCTAAGCGCGAAGCCGCGTGAGAGAAAGATCGTGCGAGAGAAAGATTGAGGAAGTCATTTTCATCCTTCTTAATGTCTTAAATCACAGTGTAATTGCCTCTTTGCCGCAGAATTAAAAATATACACACATGAAATAATGCTCTTGCTGACCTTCTCTCGCTCGAGTGTCAACAATAAAGACTTTGGTGGACTGGAAAATATATTCTACACGTCTCTCTCTCTTCTCGCATTTCTTCACACAAGTCAGCAGCACAGCTGATAAACCAATTTATATACATATTCTCAATAAAGACTGTTTATAAATAAAAATCCGGTCTTAACAAGAAGACAAAGATTTTTCTTATAGATCAAAAGTTCATCAGTCATGAGAAAATGTCTCCATTGACCGTTTTCTCCTCCAAAGAAGATCAGAAAATTCACCATTTTTCACCATGATGTGTGTGAAAGAAGTGTGACGTTATTTAGTTTTACTTGCGCGCATTTGCTTGTTCAATGTCAATGCCAGTAAATGGAAGAACTGCGTTAATTTGCCTCTCCGCCGAAAATAGATAAAAATTTGTCCCATCTTTCCTTTGTCTCTCCAAAGCGCTAAATGGAGCGAAACAGAGTTTTAAATTGTTCCGTTGTTGATTTTTGCAATTTGTTGTGTTCTCCTCCTCACTCCCCATCGAATCTCAAGGAGATGAAGATAAGCAGTTTCACGATTCATTCTGCACTTCATTGTTCTTTCGCATTTCTTATCATTCACAATGGTGATTACTCATAGTTCGAGGCGACACACACTGTTTCCGCCAACAAGCCAGTGATGAATTTGAGAAAATGTGTGCGAAATGATGCGAAATAGTCTGTTTGGATGACGATGGTAACTGCGCTTAAGTGAAGCATTAAAATTAGATTAGTAAATCGTGCCACACTTCAGCATTCCGTCATCAAAAGCATCAAATTATAGAAAGACACGTTTCTTGGCGCGAGACAGAAGGGATTTTGTGATAAACTACGCAATATTCATAGATGATTGACCTTTGTTTGTCAATTGAATGCATTTCGTTGATGAAACAATCACACAAAACATACAATATTGTCCATTAGGTGATGAAAAGATGACAATAGATTACACGAGATTCAGTCCATATGGAAATTAGCTAGGAAATTTTCATTAAATGTAAATTTATACCACAGAATATGCGGTGAATTCTCACCTGCACACAGAATAAACTTGCAAAACAACCCCCAAAAATGCCAGCAGAATAAGCTTAACATGAATAAATGATCGCATAGTTCATTCACACGCGCCGCTGGTGTAAAATGGAGAAACATTCCTCGAATACTTAGTACGATTCTTGTAAATTAATGTTGCAGTATGAAATTGTGCGGGGAAAATTGCAGTTGTAAATTGGAATAACACAAATAGAAAATTTCAGAGCTTAAATCAAGGCTGAAGTTTGCAGTTGAAACATTAAACATTTTTTCCCACTGCCTAAATGCTTGAAGGTGGACTTGAAGAGGCGTCTCGGTATAAATTGTGTCACCAGAGAAGAATAATAATAGCCAGAAAGACGGGAAATGTAACGCTCAACCTTGAGATACACTCGTTTTGTGTTTCTTTGAGTTCCCCAAAAATTTTATATCATCGTGCGAATTTGATGTGACGGAAAGCCATCAACACACAGAGTGAAGAAACAGAGTGAAGAAATGAGAGTCAATCACCGACAAAATAGAAAACAAGATATATATGCGAAAATTCAGTGTTAATTTTAACCTATCAAGCTTGTTTATTTCACATAAGCCTCACTGTTTAGCCGCAATATCTCTAAGCAAATATGAAAACAAAGTGATCGGAAATGTTGATGCTGATTTCACTTCACATTAAGGAACTTAAGGAAGAATACACAAAATTTAAGGCGTATTTCTACGTTCATCTTTTTCTTATTACATTGAAATTTTTTATGCCACGTGTTGGTAAAGTATTTGTCCACTTTCCTATGTTTTTTGTTAGCAAACAGTCTGGAATAGACTATTCATAAGCAAGCTTTATGAACCGTTGAACCTTCCGGATAATGTGCTAATGATTGTAAAAACCATAATAACGTCTAATATTAAAGAATATAATATACAAAAAAATATTTGATCAGTTTTAAGAAACTTCATTGAATGTAGAATCAAACTATTATCACTAATTTTGATTTTTCTTTTAATTTTATAATGTGTTAAAATCACTAATTAAAAACACGTGTATAAAATAAGAGAAAAATCTTTTAATAAGTGAAGTGACAACATTTGTGACTAATTCCCGTCTAAAAATATCTTCTTCAGCAACGAAAAAGTTGTTTCATTTTGCAAATATCTTCAATGTTATCCCAGCAACGAGAAAGAAAAAAGACTCCAAGACATACTCAAAGATCAGTGAGAGAAGCCTGATAGAAAAAGAGAGACTTGAAACACACGCTTGTCTTTCTTCTCCTATTCAGGCGCAATTTAGTACAGCTCTCAGTCAATATTGTTCGGAGAGAACGTGACGGATTCCACGTACATTCCAGTGGATAACGCGAGAGATGACGAGATTGATGGGATTCTGTGACAAGGCACACAAACAAGCAAGAAAGGGGCTCAAAAAGGGGCTTTTCCCCTCACTAAAAAAGTATGAATTTGCAAATTAAATCGTACACAATAAGAAGTTTAGCATATTATGGAAATGATTGCTATTTTTGCCACCTTCTGACCTTTCTTTGATGAAAAACATACAGTTTGTGTGGTGCAGAAAAAAACCTAAACAAGGAAACACAACAAATCTCGCTCTTATCGAAAAAGACCCCAAATCAAATGTAATGTGATGAAATTTCGCCAAAAAGTGGCGGTGATTCAAGACATTCGAGTGGGTTTAATCACAAAGAAGATGTTTGCATTTGCTGTGTAATTTGTAAACGTGGACATGCGGTAAAAACTGCTGACTTTCCATTCCACACTAGCATATAAGTTTTAATGACTGCAAATTGTGTTATCACACAATATACTCGTATGCCTTTCGCCCTCAATAAATCATTATTTTCTCACTCTTTCAATTCTCCACTCGCCTTTATCAGTTTAAGCACTGTTTTTTCCATCCATATGAACATATTCAAAACAATGAGCCATTCTAATAAAGAGCAGCAAAACATTAGCAACTGAGCGCCGTGTGTATTCCATGCAAGAGACGCACAGCAAAACACTGTTTTTGCCTATCTTTCTACTGATTAGATCTCAATGGGAGGAAGTGAGAGACAATGAGACTCCCAAAGAAACACTGAGTCGTCAATTTGCAACAGTGAAACACTCAAGACGCCGTTCATCAATTGACTTTGCTAAATTTTAATTCAACAAATTGGAGCCACTGTCCCGAAATATACACCAGAAGCTGGCTTTTCTCTCCATCAGCGCGACATCATAGAATAAATAGCCAATTTCCTCACTCACTATACACACTCTTAATCAATTTAACTCATTCCAATCAGACAATTTTGCCTCCCCACGAGTCAGAGCGCGTCTCTCTTGCATTCATGAGTCAGTTGGAAGCACAGAAGGGCAGTGAATTCACATTCAAATCATACTCCCGACCATTGCATGCAACATTATCCACTTATTGTACTTCTTCACACCATCGCGAGGCTATTTTTAGCTCCCTTCTCTCTGACCAGATTAATGCGTGGTGTCGCGGCTATTTGATTTAGATGAGGGCAGAGAAGCACAATTTGAATTGCCCGAGAGACTTAGAATCACCATCCGTGTCCACCGCTCAATTGCATCCGCACAGAAAGAATGAGAAGCAAAACTGGGTTGATAGTTTCAGAGTCTCAGAAGGTGAAATGCAAGCAAACTTTCCAATTTTCTGCAATACCAACACACATTTTCCAGCTCTCGTGACGCGCTCAAGGGTTAGAGAGGGAATTTCGGATGTGGGCCACGGAAAAGGCTATCTAATCAGTGAATTTTTTCCCGCTATCGCGCGCCCAACATAATGACTTTTCCCATTAGTTTGCTTTACTTCACAATCAAATAATTTGTATACACAAAGAGATTCTCTTTTCGGCTCTCGAGAGTGCAATAAAATAAAAGCCCGCTGACTTTTTTTCTCCCTCTATATTTTGTGTAACAAGGTTAAAATGGATCATGCGGAACCTTTGCTAAATCATAACACTTTGTAGGTGTTTTGCAAATACACATCCACGCACACAAACATAGTGAGAAATCGTACATGAAAAGGCCACAAAATAGGGCAAAAAATGAAGAGATCTGTTGCATAAAACATTGCAATATTCTCTCTTTGATATTGAATCACAACATCTGAATATCGCGCACATCCCACACTGCAATCGCTCAGCACTGATTGTCAAAGGGACAATTTTATCACATCTCGCTTGATTATACGTTCGCGAGTAATGAATATCAATCACAACAGTGAAGATTGCGGCTTGTGTATGCATTTCAATAACAAAAAGTAACATGATAATTGCTTAATTGCAGATACATTTCAGTAAATAGAATTATTTGCTAAAGTGGCCTTCGCTCTGAAGATGATGCATAACAATGTTGATCATAATATTCGCAGTGTTTCACTCAATTTGTTTTTTGGCTTTATCAACATTCCGTGACCTTTAGCAGTGAATTCTTGAATGCATGCTTGTTGATTGCTAAAAATTCCAATCATTCAGGAAATATTAATATTCATCCTTCTTTCAACTATCAATTTATAGAAGTTTTAATAAAACTTCACTGGCTTTCAGTGTGTAGGTAAAGAAAATTTAAAGTAAATAGATGTAAATAATCGTGCGAAGATAATGAAAGTGTTGAAATATTAACGAATTTTATTTCACATAAACTCGTGTGATGCTATTTTCCGCTAAATGCATATTATTTGCACTGAAATATTCCCCATTATATGACAAAGTGCTAAAAGCCTTTCGCTTTTTAATTGCCCAAAACATCATCTGGTTTTTAAACTAAAGGAGGAAAAACATGAAGATAAATCTACTGCGAATTGAGGAGTTAAACGACTGAGGAGAGCAAATTGAAATTGGTAGTTTCTTGCCAGAAAATATCTCACTAAAAGCTCCACAATTTGCATTCGAGTCTCGCGTTTTTCATCTCCCCGTGAAAAATTATCGCGTAGATGCGTAGAGCAGTTGTGAATGAGCGGCGCGATTTATTGTCAATGCTCTCTCACTCTCGTGCTTGTAATTGCGCATAAAGTGTGTTTGTGACTCGCTGAAAATCGCGGAATTCTTCTTGTTTACGTGTTTCTGCCCATGGAGAAAAAATAATCCCACTGAGGAAAATAGATGATAATTCAATTGTCGGACCCACGAGAGGTGATAACATGTTTTTTTTCGCGCTTTTCCATGCCTTTCTTTGTTGTCTCGCGTGGTATTTGCATGTGTTTCTTGCTGAATTTCGCCACATAAAGCAGGATTTTGCTATGCATTATGGAAAGGTCGCAGCATTGGAGAGAAAATCCCCTCTCCTTTGCATTCCAGAGCTTCTCTGGATGGGTTTCTGGTGAGTGTTTCGCCTCAAGAGGCGAAGAATTTTTTTTGTCAACTCGAGAGCTTTGAGATATTGCTCAAGGCACTAATTGGGAATATGTGGCTAGAAAGGGGCACAGATAGTCATAATTGCTGAGTTCACCAACCTCCGAGAGACAAATCATCTCCCATTTTCGCTGGAGTTGCCATTTGGTACTTGTTGGCCAACGAGAAACTCCCTGCTAGCTTCCAACTCGCGAACTGCGCCGTCTTTTCACCAAATCTCCGTGTGTGCGTGTCCAGAAGATGCCTCTCCTCTGCTCTTCCAGTGGCCTCCGCGGTCTCCTGGAGCCCCTTTTGCTACGCACTACACTTCTCGACGCCCCCGCCTTGTTTCAGTCTCCACAGGCCCTCGAATGCAGATTTGCAGAGAAGAACAAAGAAGTTTCTCTCTCTCTTCTGTGATTTGTTTACAAAACAACTTCCGCGAAGTGCGTCTCTCGAGCCACAATCTTCACGTGGGAAAATCGCCTAAATGGGGTGACTTTTTCACACACAAGACTTCTCCACCGTGAGTCAACGTGTCAATATTCACTGAGTCACTGGAAAAATCGCCTTTTCCGCTGCCAAACTCTACAATATGCTCTCCAGTTGCGCAGCAGAAAAACAATGAACGGGAATGGCGGGTGCGACAAAAGCAATAGCATTCCCGCTGAGGGCGCTGGCGATGTTCGAAGAACACGCACGCGCCCTCTGGCGATGGAATTTCGTGCTGTGAGATTTGAAAAGTCCGTTAAATTGGTTCAATTTATATAATTTGAATGGACTTTCACCTGAGATATAAAAATAGGATAAAATGTTATTTCCAGGAATTTTCAATCCAGATACCCTCTCTCTGTGGCGTGCTTGAATATATTAGCCAGGCGAAGACGTCCTTCCTTCGTGCTGATTGGTTTCAGAACCCAAATTTCCTGCAGAGGAATCGCCTCATCACCCTGAATGGAGTCCAGATCGAAGGCGTCTGACTCTGGCATGATGGCAAAAGGCAAAGTCTCCATAGCCATACCAACGCCAGAGCGGGCGAATATTCTCATCTCCTCTTGAAAGGCGGCGTACGTGAAGATGTCTGCATTGGAGCCGAGATCTTCGATCATGCGACAGCAGCTGGAATGGTAGATTTTTAGGAGGTCGTCATAATGCTTCTCCCTAAGATCCTGGCTAGTGCAGGCGTAGATGAAGAAAGAGAGATCCATGGCCAATGTAGAGTATCTCAACAACTGGAAATCAATGATCTTCACGTCTACAGGAATTTTCTTCTCCGTTTCATACTTAACCAGAATGTTTGGAGCCCAACAATCTCCGTGACTGATCACTGACAAAGGACTCTTGGTGTGAGTGATGTCAGTGAGGAGGTCAAATAGATCATTATCTGTGAACTTCAGCACTTTCTCTTCGACCTCAGTTTCAGGATATTCCTTTTCGACAGCATCTCTGGCGACAAGTACTTGTGACTTCACAAAACCGTTGAGCCATGACTTGAAACGGGCAGTGTAATAAATCTCTTCAATTTTCCGTGCGAGTTCAGTGAATTCTTCGGGCTCTTGATCCTTCATGGCCAGAGAAACTCCATGAAATTTCCCCAGAGCTTTCAAAATGAGACTGCAGTGGGCAAAGTCTAGTCCATCATGTCGATCTGCGGACCTGAATCCGTACTTACTCAAGTCATCCAAAGCCACATAATCTTGATTCCCATCACAGAAGGATGAAAAACAACTGAAAAACAGAGAATCGTAGATTTTCTCTAAAAGAGCACAAAAAATTATAAAGGATCACTTTGGATATTCCGTGAAGGGATGCTCAGGATTTCTTCTAGCCTGGAAATGCTCAAACACCGGGACAATTTGTTCATAAAAAATTATCTCATTCCTGAAGAAATCGGCTGATCTGAACGTCTTTCTGCGTCCGATGTTTCTCGGCATGCCCTTGACCACAAAATTGAGACACTTGATTTCGCCGGAAGTGGAATTTTCTCCACTAAGTCGGAGTCTGTACACTTCACTCAGGTAGGAATCGCCCTTCTTCTCAAAGCCGTCAACAAATTCGTATTCTTTGAGCTGAAAATCACCCTCCTTCCGGAGGAAACCTCTTCAAGCGACATGATATTGTCAACTGGTTTCGTTACCGTCATTAACTACGATGAAGACGAGTATTGCGTTGCATTTATGTACCTTATAATTTTCAGCAAAAACTATATTATCTTACTATGCCGATAAAAAATTACATGTTCATTTTCGAGCTTAGTTGAGATACCCTCTCTCGGTAGCGTGCTTGAACATGTTGGCCAGACGAAGACGTCCTTCCTTCGTGGCGATGGGCTTAAGCACCCAAATGTTCTGCAGAGGAATCGCCTCGTCACCCTGAATGGAGTCCAGATCGAAGGCGTCCGACTCTGGCATGACGGAGAAGGGAATTGATTCCATTCCCATGCCCACACCAAAGCGCGCATACTTTCTCAGCTCCTCCTGGAAGGCGGCGTACGTGAAGATGTCTGCCTTGGAGCCGAGATCTTCGATCATGCGACAGCAGCTGGAATGGTAGATTTTCAGGAGGTCATCGTAGTGTTTCTCCCTGAGATCCTGACTCGTGCAGGAGTAGATGAAGAAGGACAGATCGATAACCAGACTGGCATGTCTCGTCAGCTGGTAATCTATTATCATCACTTCAACTGGAGTTCTCTTCCCTTCAGCTGTGCTGTACTTCATCAGCATGTTTGGAGCCCAGCAATCTCCGTGTCCAATCACTGACAAAGGACTCTTGGCGTGAGTGATGCCACTGAGAAGGTCATAGAGATCGCCTTCGGTGAATTTCAACATTTCCTCTTCGATCTTCGTTCCTGGATACTCCTTCCCTACAGCGTCTCTGCTGATGACAATTTGGGTTTTCTGGAATTCGCTGTACCAGGACTTCAAGCGAGGAGAATAGTAAGTCTCCTCAACCTTCTGGGCAATCTCGGCAAATTTTTCCGGCTCCTGGTCTTTCATGGCCAAAGAAACTCCATGGAATTTCCCCAGAGCTTCCATTATGAGACTGCAATGGGCAAAGTCCAATCCATCGTGTCGATCTGCTGATCCGAATCCGTACTTGCTTAAGTCATCCAAAGCGATGTAATCCTGATTCCCATCGCAAAAGGACGAAAAACATCTGAAAAGAAGAAAAAGTCAATGACTTTTCAAAAATTGCGTATTTTCAAGGTCACTTTGGGTAAGCCGCGAAGGGATTTTTCGGCTTTCTCTTAGCCTGGAACGCCTCAAACGCCGGAATGACGTTCTCATAGAAGGCAATCTCATTCCTGAAGAAGTCCGTTGATCTGTAGGTTTTCCTGCGTCCGATATTCTTCGGAAAGCCCTTGACAACAAGATTGAGGCTTTTTGACTCGCCGGAAGCGGGTTTTTCTCCGTCAACCCGAAGCCTATACACTTCACTCAGATATGATTCACCCTTGCTGCCGAAACCGGCGACAAATTCGAATCCTTTGAGCTGGAAATCGCCCTCCTTCCTGAGGATTTCCCTCAATTTCTCCTCAGTGAAGGCCGCGGAAACCACTTCGAGCGCCATTGTCAATAACCACGTCAGAACTGTTGTTCGCGTCTGACAAATCACTTCTTTTATATAAAAGCTTTCCAGCGGCGCTATCTTATCTGAACCATAAGTATACCGAAAGGCCTCTTCTCTCAAGTGGGCGAATTAAGCTAATTGGCAAAGCCAGGAAGAAACTCATGCCGTCCGTTAATATGATAAATTTATTACAGATCCTCCGTGGAAAAAATATACAGAACAATTGTAAAAATATCTTGCTTCATAGGCAATCCAATGACTCAAAGTGGTCTTATAACAATTAATTACAATACAATAGGAATTTAGATGTAGTGGGAAATAAATTATGCTCCTTTGTATCATCGTGTTGCACATTTTGGCCAGAGATTTGACGAAAAGAAAAAATATTTGCACATCTTGTGGAAGAAGAGTCCATAAAGTTTGACTTTAGATGGCCGAAGAAATCAGTGCCGTGTAACACAGAGACCTAATCCTGAGCGTAGAATCAAATCTTCAGACTGAACACCATGCTTAAGAACTGCTCGTAGTGAATTGTGATCACGCCATCCATGTCTGTATCGTATTGGCGGAAAGACGATGTTAGAGTCTGCAAGAAAAGGTGATTATGGTCATTTCATGCTCTCCTCGCAGTTCAAAGTGTGTTCTTACGTATAGAATTATGCAGCACTGGATGAAGTCATCGAAGAGAATTGTTCCACGGCCGTAGCGATCGAATTTCCTGATCAGGAGGCCGATAAGGTTGTCCGAGAGGCGGTAACCGAAAGCCGTCAGCGCTGTTTTCAACTCATTCCTATCGATGTTCCCTGAGTTGTCCGTGTCGAAGGATCTGAAGCAGTTCTGCCAGTCTGTCACGTATTTCCACAGCGCCCCAAAGTCCTGAAAGTTCACTGTTCCCGTGTTCTGCTTATCGAACATCCCTGGAGAGACAGAGAAAGAGAATCCGGGTAAGATCAAAACATGTGATTTGTGTTAGAACAATGAGATTTATTGAAGTTAAGACACTGCCCTGTACAAGTACTTAGACTTCTTAGACAGAGTGAGAATGGTGTAGAGACAGGCGCCCCAGAGGAGGGCTATTGTAACCAGGACGACCGTGTCCACTGGAATTTGCATGGTTGCAATTCGCCGCCGAATCATTTCGGGATCATAGAGGAAATCGAGGTAAGTCTTACCGATCATGAGACGCACAGTCTCTGGGTTGAAGGGACTCCACGTGCCATTGGACAGAGCCTGTTGCAGCTCATCTGCCGAGATGTGACCGCTGCGATCCTTATCCACCCTAGAAAGAGCAGAGAAAGTCAGCACAAGATAAAGCCATTGAAGTTATCAAAGTTTTTATGTTTCTAGGGCGAGTCACAATGCTAATTTATCCCAGTCAAAACCGGTCAAAGCACGCTGATGACTCATCGGAATACCGCGAAAGGGGGCGCCATCCGTGAGAAATCACGGCTGGTCGTGATGAAACGCCACTAACCTTTGAAAAACGTCCCAGAGAAACTCTTGACTAGGCATTGGAGATTGAAACGCCATGTCTTTTGCAAACTCCTTTCTATTCTACGCAAATTATCCTCTCAGGAGATACAAAATTCGCCTAATTTCACTTTTAAAAACCACCTCAAATTTCGCACTGCTTTCAGCAAAATTCTCTCGATGCTCTTGACTTTTTGACTCACTCTCGCTGTTCGAAAAGTCACATGACTTTCGGAAATCATTCTCAAGGAGCTTTCGCGCTTCCGAAAACTCCAATTTGAACACTCTGATATGGAAAGAAAAATAATTTTGTATGGAAAATTTCAGAAATATCTATAAAATCATGGTTTGTTCCTCTTGTTCCCCAGTGGTGGCTTCTGCAGATTGAAGCTGTTGTCATTGCCTCCGGAGAACAGGCCGCCAGATCCCATTCCGAAAAGAGAAGAGTTGTTTCCAGGCATGCTAGAGTTGCCAAAAAGTCCCCCAAAGGAGCCTCCGGCTTGAGTGTTTGGGGCTGAAGTGGGCGCACCAGTTTGCCCGAGATTTATACTAGTCAGCGTGGAGAAAGGCGTGGGTCCTTTGGAAATCTTGGACAACTCTCGAGGATCTTCTCGCTTCTCCGCCTCCTCGAAGACATCTGTAAAGTCTTTCAGACAGAACTTCCTCATGTTCAAGTACTGCTCCTTCTGCACTTCCACTTTCTGGTGGATTTCGTACAGACGCCCCGCGAGGGCGATAAAGCTCTCATGGATTTGATGCAGCCCTCGCTTGAGATCATCCGCCGTGGAGGTTTGTGGCGTCATCAGGGAGTACATATGCTTCTCCGTGAGCGCCACCTGATTCCTGAACACAATCATCTCGTTCTCGTACTTCTGAATGGCATCCAGAAAGTATTTCAGCGGCGCCGTATTCTCAAACTGCAGCCCACTCGGTGTCTCGTGCGTGCGCTGCGCCATCTCGGCGTTTTGGATCGCCTCGTTCGTGTCCGCCTTTAGCTGCTTTATGGCAGAGTAGTTCTTGGCCACATTGTTGCTGATCTCTGACAGCGTCCGTCGAATGGCCTCAGTCTCGTTCTCCACCTTCTTCAGCTTCTGATCAAAGTTCCGCGCAATGTCTGAGCTCTTTCGCTGCTCTTTGATGTGATCCTCCAGGCCTTTCACAGTCACCACGATTTCCTGTGGCAACTGCGCTTCCTTGATCTTCGCGGCGTCTGTTCCTTCATTCGTCTTCGGCTGGGTGGCAATGTCTACCCCGCCAAGGCCAACAGACTGCGTGGAAGTGGCCGTTGTGGCTGTCGGCACTCCCCCGAAAATGCCCCCTGTGGATTGTGTGGGAAAACTGAAGGAAGGCGCTGACGTCTTGGCGCCCAAAATTCCTCCGATAGGAGCCTGAGTGGCTGTTGTATTGAAATTGAACAGAGGAGCACTGGTTGCTGCCGCAGGAGCACCAAAATTCAGCCCTGTCGACGTACTCGGAGTGTTAAAGGACAGCGTGGGTGCGGATGTCGTTGCAGCAGCTCCAAAAGGCTGTGACATCCCAAAAGTGGTCGTCGCAGGCTTCGCTGCATTTGCTGCTAGGCCAGAGAAGCCTCCCAGTGGGGCTACACCAGACGCTGGAGTTCCAAAGGTAGGAAGAGCTGCAGTTGTCTGGGTGTTTCCAAATCCAACTGCAAATTTAACAATCGGAAGTCAGTGAGAAAGGTAAACAAGGACACATGCAGATATACTCACATGAAGGCTGAGCCGTTGCTCCCAGACCAAATCCAGCGGAAGTCGTGGTGGGAGTTGAGCCAAATGCTAAGCCAGGTGTGGGTGCAGGATTAGCGGCCGGAGTCGCCCCAAAACCGCTGAAAGAAGGCGCGGGTGTGCTGAAAGAGACACCAGAGTGAGGTTATAAAGCAAGCACAAGGCATTCTGTGGTTTTCCATCAGTCTGGCTTACGGTGCGCCGAAGGTTTGTGTTCCAGACGCCGCGGGCTGGGTTGTGGATGGCGTTCCAAACCCGAATTTGAACATTTTCACGGGTTTTTCAGAAGAAAAGCACGGGAAAAGGCAATTTTGCGGGCAAAACAATCACGATTGTGCTTGTTCGAATTCGAACCCGACTGTTTGACTCCGATCACTATATTTACATGGTACTTGTGGAAGTGGGACTGTTCAGTCGGGAACTGTCGTTCGAAGGTTAGAGATGAGCTGTGTTTTGCTTGGAACATCGCTCAGTGAAGATCTGTGGCAAGTGGCGAAATGATCAGGCGTGCTCTCGTGAATCTGGCCACAGCTGCCCGTGCCTACAGTGTCCAAACTGAGGCAGCCAAGGCGAGGCATCTGCAGGAAGTGGCTTTGCGTGAGAATTGCATCCTGGTGGATGTGAACGATCGTCCTCTTGGCCTGGCCAGCAAGAAGGACTGTCATCGCGTGAGTCCCGAGGGACGCGTAAAGCTTCATAGAGCATTCAGCGTGTTCCTGTTCAATAGCAAGGGAGAGATGCTGATTCAGCGACGGTCTCCGCACAAAGTGCGTGTAAACTTTCTTTTTCATGCGCGCCACGCATCTGACTTTCACCCTATTCTCTTGCAGATCACCTTCCCGGACACCTACACGAATGCCTGCTGCTCGCACCCCCTGTTCGATATCGACGCGGAGCGAGATGAGCTGAACGCCCTGGGAATCCGGAGGGCGGCGCAGCGACGATTGAACTACGAACTTGGCATCCCAACTAATCAGACGAGACCAGAGAACTTTCACTATATCACGAGGATTCACTACGAGGACGTGGGAGACGGCGTGTGGGGAGAGCATGAGATTGACTACATCCTGTTCCTGCAGAAGGACGTGGATCTGAAGCCAAATCCGTCGGAAGTAAGCGAAATTCGCTACATCCGAAGAGAGAATCTCGACAGGTGAAATTTGTGAACATCTTTCTGAGAAGATTTTTCAAATAAGCGCTGCTTCTTTCAGGGAAATCGAGTCTCTGGACGCCCCCTTGACGCCCTGGTTCAACCTCATTCTAAATCATAGGCTGAGGACTTGGTGGGACAATCTGAGACATCTCAAGAAGTTCGAGGATCTTCAGAATATCCAGCGATTCTAAAGCTTCCTCAAGAACACTCATCATTTTGCTCTCAAGGCGAGATTTATTCTAATATTTTGTCGTCGTGCGGACGTAGTTTATGCCGGACGGCATTGAGACTCTGTCGACGCCCTTCGGGAACAACTTCTCAGCAATTTCATCCGTGACCTCCGGGAGGATCATGACTTTTTCACCGGGCTTTAAGGGAGAAACAAAAACCAAGCAATATAATAATTTGTGAGTAAATCTATCTACAATCTTTATGTACCGTCCAATTAGCCGGAGTTGCGATCACTTTGAGCTTATCAACGAGCTGGAGCGAATCGATACAGCGGAGAATTTCACTGTAAAAGACATCAGCGAGTTAATTTCTCTGACAAATTCAGGGCCACTAAATTTGCATAGCAGCAATTCTTATGCAAAACTCACTCGACATTGCGGCCCGTTGACGCTGGATAGGTCATTGAGAGGCGCAATCTCTTGTCCGGGCTGTTGGAGAGAGAAGAAGTCGTGAAATTTTCCACTCATTGATGAATATCAGTCGATTAATTAGCAAAAATGTGAAAGAGCCAAATACAGGTCGAGAAAGCTTTCACGCAATTTTAATGATGCAACATGCAGAGAGTGACAAAAAGAGCATCAAAACAAGTTTATGGTCAAAAATTGCCATCTTTAGATATGTTTTCTACACGCACATCAATCTCTGTTAAAGACGCAATTCAGCAAGTACTTAAATGTTATATTAGGTAAACAAGAATTATCCATAAAGTGCGCAGCAAAGGTAAAGAAGTATTGAGATAAAATAAATATTTCAATAGAGTTATTTTTGCACTCAATACGCATTCAGCGGGGAGAAGTATTCATTGCTTTAAATTTAGGCGTATTATTCAGAGTGAATCCAAGCAAATATTTGCTTTGAGCTGTTCAGATGATTTATCCTGATGTTTTCTATTGAATGAAGCTTCTTATCATTATTCTGATTGCATAGAAGGTCAACTATTGCAGTACGTAAAGCATGAAATATGCTAATTTATTAGAGTTCACACGTTTTCATATAAAATACGTATGAAAACCTTATATGCAATTCATATGAGGTTTCACACGAAATTTCATATGATGTTTTCTATGGAAAAACGGCGAAGCCTCACATGTTGCCATTTTACATTTGGTGTTTGAGCTAGAAGGAAGCATAAGTGGATCCAGAAAAGTTGAAAATATTGCAGAAAAAGGTACGTAAATTGAAAAAAAGTGTATTTTTTGAATAAATATTTTAAATAAATTTTTTTAACGTATTTTTTGAGGGTTTTTTTTTTATTTCCGCTGACGTGTGAAAAACCGTGTAAGTCCTCACACGAATTTCATAGACACTGTGACAAGTCAATGAACATTCACGAATATGTCATAGCCCAACGACCACCGGATCGTTTGTCCCGCATGTCAATTTCTCACCTGATTATGAAAAGAGCCCGCACGGTTTGAGCCATTTCTGGATCATTGCGCTGTTCGGCGTCAATCATGCCAAATTGTACTGCCAAAGTGCGCTCAGGATCCGCCAGGATGGGATAAGGAAAATCCCCAGGAATGTCCAGGCAGTAGCTCTTGATGTCATTCACCCAGTCCACGTGCTTGCCCAAATCGTCCACCGAATGAGCGAGAAGTTTGCAGTTGCGCTTCGCGAATTCTGGATAGTGAACAGCAATTCTGCCCAGTTCTGTTGTGCACACAGGAGTGAAATCCGCCGGATGTGAGAATAAGACACACCAACTGCATAGATATATCACATAGAATCACTGCAGATGCACTGAAGAATTCACATGCACAAGACGAACTTACGAGTCTCCCAGCCAGGAGTAGAACTTGAGAGGCCCTTGAGTGCTCTCAGCCTCAAAGTCTGGTATCACTTGTCCAAGAAACATGTTCACTTGTTGCACTGCGATGTCACGATTGGGTGGGCATGATTTTATAGTTGATCGCGCGACAGTGCAGTCGGTGGGAGAAAATCCTCGACCGCTATTTCGCTGGCAATTGCACCAGAAACAGGTCTGCTTGCCTCACTCGATCGTGAGCTTGCATCTGGTGTCATCATCAACTGTTGGCTTCCTGTTTACCGGTGTCTTCGTTATTAGATCTTATCACTGCACTTGGATCAATGCAATTTCCTCCCCTTTTCAGGTATTTTTCCGGGAAATTCTTTTCGCGTGGCACGATTCTGCCATTCTCTGTGGGCGACTGTTGACCTTTTGTCTGGCACGTATTGGTTTCAGGGGCGAAATTCAATGCCTCAGCCACTGAATCGGGATTATCCAGCCACATGGAGTATTTGGAGTTGATGTGGTAGCGCTTCCGGAATCCACATCTCCGGCAGGAGATTATTGACACCTTCTGTGGAGTCTCTTTCACATCAATATCAGCTGTTTCTCCTGGTTTCAGAAAAATTGAGCATTTCTTGCACAAGCTTCTCTTCACAGCAGGTTCCCTGGAAATCGAAGAATTAAGACTTAGCACCGCTTTGTCAGTTTTTACTAGAAAATTCATACATTTTAAGAACACTTTTCTTGCCAATCGCCTTGCATTGAGTGCCAAAGTAACTCGACAGAAAATCATTCCTGCCGGCCATCAATTTTGAGGCCTGCTGCAGATAATTCATCCTGTGGAATGTATCTCTGCCCTGGCACTGTTTTTGCTTTTTCGACATGTCACTACTGCTGGTAAAAACCACGCAAAAATATGCTCGGAAAATCACAAACTCCCACTTCCACCACGTTGTTTTGACGATCGCAGCGCCAGCTAGCGGAATTCAGTGGCATTATCCGTGGGTGGGGAAGTTGAAGTGTAGCGAACTTCGCAGTGTTCAAGTGACGTGCGGAGAAGCTTTTTTGGGGGTCCGAGAGAAAATTTTTCTCGCCTTTTCACCGTGAAAATTCAGCGTGAAGAGTCATGTTTAGTGCTGCCCACCAAGATGACCTGAAGATCTGTGAGTATGTGCATCGAATGGTGGGCGGAAGTGTGTGAAAGCGCGGAGCTGAATGTAATTTTCGGGGGTGGAAAGTTGGCCAGCGTGCGTGCTTGTGCAACACTCTGGATGTTTTGCTGGTTTTGCTTGAGAATCAAGTTGAGATTGCAGCAATTTTTCGCGATTTTCTATCACGCATTCCTAGCTCTGGGGAAATGTCAGGTGATGGTCAGGATTGCTGGGCGATTGTGAATCCGGCAGTCGAGTTCCGTGGTTATCTGGTGGCGTGACTGTGGCCAAGTCGCGGCAGCGTCAGTCCGTTTGCGCCTTGCCTGGAGTTTGGGTGTCGCGGTTGTTTTTCTTTCTTTTCCCACTCGCGCGGCACGCAAGAAACGCTGAATTGCCCACTCGGTTTCACATCATTTTCCCGATATTGAGCCCAATTGGGCGCGCCAATGAGGCGACGGAGTGTGGAGAATTAATTGTCGTCTCTCTGGCAGTGATTTCCTCAGTTGCCCTGGACGGAAATTGAGCACGGTTTTCATGTGAGCTGCAGCGCCTCCGGGAATCATGAGGACGAAGAATTTCCTGATCATCCTGTGCTGTGTCATCGCCACGAGCCTGGTGCTGATCATTCTGGGGCCCACGGGCCAGCAGAATCAGTCCATCAAGGACATCATCGATGGGACACAGTCGCAGTTCAGGGAGCTGAAGGTGAGTGCTGGGATCTCCAGGCGCGCCCAGATCTGATCTGGAGGAGACCAAAGAGTGGTATTTATAGGCACAAAGGTCGTTATAAAATAATTTACGATACCTTGAAGTGAAAAATCTCAATAATGCCTATTCACACTATTAGAGCGAATTTTCTGGCAGAGATTCAGGCAGGCTTTTTTGATAAATGGCTCTTCGTCTGAAGAGGAGTTGCGACGAAGAAATTCAATCTATCGCGCGCGATGGCAATTGCCAATGCTGGCTTGTGCAAAAATCAGAAATTTATAGAGGCTAGATAAATTACATGGAACAATTTATATTTATAATGCTCTACAAAAGACGAAATGGCAGGGAATATGTTTTATTTTTATGCCAAGAAGCATGATTATTGAAGCTATAAAAATGCTGTTTAGAATTGCTAGCAAATTCCTAGAAATACTACAGCTTTTTTACAACAGGTTTTATTGATAAGAATGTGGAAAAATCTAAGACATTTGGCCAAATGCGTTTCTGTTTATGTAAGAGCGAGTTGAAGAGTGAAGAAAAATGATGAATCCCCGCAAAAGTGATGCAAAACAATAAAAAGGATTACAACTTGCACAGAGGCAATTGAAGAAATATGTATGTATTCAATTTGTAACAAAATCTTCAGCTCCTGAATATCTGAAGGATAAGTTTTGTCTTTAGCGTTTTCATGCAAGCTTCTGTTGTAGGATAAAAGTTTAAAATTCTCGATAAGTTAATTAATACGCAGAGTCGCAGTGAAAAGCACGTGTAGCAAAATTTCGAATGTGTCTTTAAATTACGTTGGCCATTAAATCATGCTGTGTTTTTCCAATTAGTGTGTTTTTGTGCCATCATTATTTGCCTTAACGAGCTTCAGAATCTGCTGACGTTAGAATGACTGCCTTTTCGGGTGGAAAACTCCCGATATTTTTGTGCAACCTCCAATTAACACCTTCGTCAGAAAACTCGCCATTGTATTTAAATTGCTACAAAAGAGTTCTTAAGCTGTCGCACAATGGAAGGCATTTGTTTATGCCTATGGAAGGCAGGGGCCATTAGGGTGAATGGGCTTGAAATTTAAGCATTTTATCGCTGTGCGATGAGTGGAGAGTGAATGGGAGGGAGTTTTCACATGGGGAAAATTTGGATGGAAATTATTAAAATTGAGGGGTTTGTGTATGAGAGAAAAGTGCAGACTTTAGTTGAGCACTCAGCATTTTCTATGCGACATTCAATTGGCCAAAAGGTACCTTTTTGGCTAGAACTGGGTCATGTACAAATTTATAGTGTGCCGCTACATTGCCTGAAATGGGAAATGCTTGCAGTGAAACTCTGACTCAGAATTTTCAATATTCAAACGTCAATATAGCATGGATTTGCATAGAGAATGAGAGAGCAGGTATTAAAAGACGACAGGGAGTGAATTGGAATTCTGTGTGTTTATTACAGGAGCAGTTGCGTGTGTCCGATGAGAAGAAGCTGGACATCGATCCCAAATACTTGGCCCTCCTTGGTTTCACGCAGACGATCTATAATGGCACCAAATCGAATTTCTCCATAGTGACTTATGCGCTCAAGGGCCAGGCGGCGTCTGTGATCCTGCTGGCACAGAACATGGCGCTGCGCCTACCCAACGAGCCGCTCATGATCTACGATCTGGGCCTGTCGGAAGACGATTCACGTGCTGTGAGTGGATTCTGCAATAGTTCAAAGTGTTCTGTGATACCCTACGACCTGACATTGTATCCCTCCTACGTCAACGACGAGGAGATGCACGCCTTTCGGCCGCTCGTGATTAAGGACGCGCTCACGCGGGCGCACACGGTGCTGTTCATCGAGAATGGTGTTCGCGTGCGCGGCAGCAGTCGCGATGTGCAGGATCTCGTGAGGATCGTGAGTGTGAGTGGGAGTGGCGTGCTCGGCTGGGTGACACGACAGGCCGTGTCGGCGCGCACTCATCCGAAGATGTTCGAATACTTTCAAGTGATCAAAGACAGTTTTCTGTTTCTGCACATGGTGGAGATGGACGTGGTGTTCTTCATAGATACGCAATTGGTCAATGAGAGAATCCTTCTACCCTGGATCAAGTGTACTCTCACACCGGAATGTATTCATCCAATTGGTGAGTCTCTCTGCAGTGTTACAACAATTTTCCACTCTTGCTTATGTGAAATTTTCGATTAATTAACCAAAACCCCATCAAGCGTATCGTGCACTATATTCATGAAGGTTACATTATGTCTATAATCTCTGCACATTGAGAATAGTTTCTGGCCAGAGTTGATGCGGAAAAGACAGGAGGCTTTTCCAACTGACATACTCATGGAAAAGTGCTTTTTGTGTGTAGGTTTGACATCTCTTCAGCTTGAAAGGTAATCAATGTGCAAAGATTCTATCAGAACATAATTTTTGTACATCAGCTTATCAGCTTTTGGATTTGATTGTGCATTACTCTTATCTAGTATATTTATCAGTCTGTGGTCGAATTGTTGAAGTTTTTAGTAAAATTCACTGTTGGGTGATTCACTCGAGAAAGAGAGAGAGCGAGAGAGAGCAAGAGAGAGAGGGAGAGAAGAGCTAATATGAGGAGCAAATATTTGATAATTTTGAGTGAACAAACACATGCCAGGAGAGAGAATTCACAAAAGCAAACGCCTATTTTTGCATTAAACGTCTCATGTGCTGAGAGTTTGTGTTTAAATTATCGCCAGAGAGATTATTTATGTGCTTTTGTAATAAATTTAAAGTCATACTCTGTATGTTTTCCATTACAACTTATGGCATTTCTTTCTTCTAACATTATCAGAAGGGAAAAAAACTGAGCAATTGATGTCGTGTTTGTGATTTTACAAATAGGCGATTGCTTAAGTTGCACATAATGCATGATGTGTGGCGGATTTGCTCTTGCGAAGGGCCTTTAACGAAACGCTCGATACATTTATTATGCACGTCTTAAATTCATGTCGAAAGGTCTTGTGGCTTTTTTCTTCGTTCAACGCGATGAAAATGTAATGTGTCTCTGCGGGGCCAAGGCGGGTGGGTATGAGAGTGTGAGTTAGGTGTGTTGAACTAAAAAACCTCAAATGTTGTATTGATTTCTGGTATATCGCATTGGGTTAAGTAAGAAAAAAAAATTCTCATATAATGGGAAAATTGTTTCGTGTAATATTGAATTGCATGTGACGACTTTGGGAGAGCTTTTCTGTTTTTCTCCTCACACATGTTTCCACAATACACACGCGGTGAGGAGAGAGAAGTGGAAAAATCTCGAGGGAATGAGAACGATGATGCACAATTTCCACTGAGATATCGTGGGTCATGTTGGGGAGATTTATCGAAGGTGAAATTAAAATAACAAACATTTGTAATCCAATTGGAGGTGGAATCATATAGCAATTTCCAACTCGCAGGAGGGAATAAAGTGTCATATCAGACAATAGAGACAATGAGGGGATTGTCTTATCATTACACCTAGTCTATCATTCATTAATGTAGTTGTGGTTCAATGAATTGTGTCGCATTGAGGAACGGAAAGTAATTATATAACGTAATTGTACCACTAATTTTGGGCTCCCACGAGTCACCGAAGAAATGGGTGATGGTTTTTTTTACTGTTTAGGGCCATGGCAAGTGACTAAGTTGAATGCTCGATTGAGTGACCTTTGGATGATCTTGCGTCTGTGTTGCGATGTATTATTCAAAAAATGCTCCAACGGACGCAATGAACATATTAATTTATACATTAAGACAGACGAACTGAGAGAGACCAAAGATTGTCACATTTTGAGGAGTGAAGTTTTGGTGGAATTCTATAGAGCATATTCGACTCGAATGCACGAGTGTTGACAAAGGCTATGATATGTTGGTAAAAAGACGACTTAGAGATGCGGGAGAAAAAGATAATTTTTATGTGTAAATGACGAGGAGTATTAAGTAATTAAGATTTCTGCGCACAATTGGAAAAGTCCCCTTTTTTCTTGCCACGCGAACGAGATCTTAAAACTACTCCCAAGTGTATTTGATTTAATTAGGCCATGTTAATTATTATCCGCTGGATTAGTCACTTGTGAGACTATGTGGGAGAGACACAAACAAATTCCTCGAGATCAACTCCACAAAGAAAATGTCTTCTCGTCAACAAGTTGTGTTTTGTGTGTGTTATGCAGTTATGGGATAAGGAACGCAATGCGTCAACGACTCTCTCGAGGGCAGTCAAATAAGAAATTGTTTGAAAATTTCACGACTTGATGATGTTGGAGTGATGGCAAATAAATCCACCATGTCATGATGGGGAGGAATATATTATTCTTCAATGGCAGAAAATTGCCCCATATAAAATTTACTTTCAATTCATTCTGTGTATTGCAACAACACGATGTGAATTTGTGTGGGGAAAAGAGTAGAAGAAAAGTTTATTGAAAATTTTATTTATTCTTCAGTTGTGCTCTCGATAGACGAAAAAGTATAATAATTGGGATATTTGTGACTCTCATCTTTTTTGTGTGTGTGTGAATGGACATTTTACCACTCTGTGTGCCTTTTATTCAGCTGATATGTCAATCAAAAATAAATTAAATATGAAATTGAAATTTTTTCTTTTCTATTGATTATCTCGTGGGAAGTGGACTTTCTCTCGCTTTGTCAAAGTTTCAATATTATTCTCAAGGGGATTTCAGAGGACAGAATACATGACTAATTTCCTCTCGATGTGATTTAATATTGAGAAATATTACATCAATTGACATTTTCGTGGGAAATCACATGGTATTATTACCGTGGCAATTGATTGTGGGGCGAAGCGTATTTGATCATGTCATTTTCACTCTCCTGGGAAATTTGAGCCGTGCGAATTGACTTATCGGCTGTAAATTGAGTTGTTGGGTAAAAGTTAGAGTAATAAAATATCCAAGGATTTCCTTCCACTCCACTTCAGTCTGTTGCACAATACATCACAGAATTATTGGGTTTCCCCAAAGACAAGCACTCTCTCTCTTTCTCGATTCCCGCATAAACCGCGACAAATTATTATTCATTAAACTGCAAGATAATAATCACAATTTGGCCTATTAGTTCTGGCTCAGTTGAATTTCCCTGAGAGACGAGACGGCAAATGTGAAATTGCTAATGAAAGAGAAAATTGTTGTGCAGTGATTTTATGCTGCACAGAGTTCATTTTTTGCATAGGAGAGAGTGGAGCAAAATTATTAATTCTTCCAAGTACGATAGTTTGTGTTTTATCATTCCTTCGGGCTGTCTTTTTGATTTCACGAAGTCTGAATATATGAAATTGCTTCTGAAATGCAACAGAATCACTTCTTGTTTGTGACTTACCTTTACTGTCATTTGGAAAAAAAATGATGCCACACTTTTTAATTACCTTATGCCCTTCACTCCTCTACATAAAGTACTTGCTTCTTTCACATCCTGGCCGTTTGTTTTTCAGAGAAGTCCTGAGTGAATTTCCGCATAGAGTATTTTTCTTATTTTCCCATCAAAAAGAAAGAGGGTGAAAGGAAGACAATAAAAGAGGATTGGTGACATGTGGCCTGGCCTTTTCCACCATACACACACACACACACACACCACACACTCATACAAACACACACACATTGAATTTTTATTTGACTTTTTCTCTCCTTTCGCTCACGAGTGTCTTTTGGGTTTAGTCAATGAAATATTCAAGACATTTTATTGTCTGAGGATGAGAATATAGTGGAAATGCTCTAATTCCTCTTTGTCTCGAAACATTTTCACTCTCTAAATTATTTAAGCAGTGAAAAAGAATGCCATATAGTGTAAACATATGGTTGCTGTAAATATTTATTTGGTGTGCAATTAAAAATTATGTTAATATTTTGCTCCACTGTCTCTTGTGTGCGAGTTTCGCTAGAGTTGTTTGAGTTGATGTTAGCACTGAAACATTCTGCACGATATATGTAATGTAAATAGCAATGCTTGGCTCTAACCCGGAATTAGAGGGCAATTAGTGTGAATGTTGCTTCAACATGGGCTGTTATCTACATGTGAGTGGCGTTCTTTCAGTCAAATTCGAAGATGTGCTCTTTGAAGTGAGTGAAAAATCTCATGACTCCCATAATGCTTTCAGGTGCCCAATCTGGCGGTTGTAAATTCAATAAGAAGCCACAGTATCGGTATTCGGGATGCCACAGCTACGATGCGTCCGCCTTCAATATTGTACTGGGATTAACATTTGGCTTCGACGAGAAGAAGTACTCGATTGTGGAGCCGAATATTTTCTACATGGAAACACTCGAGCAAGCAACCAAAATACTAGAGAATAAACGAAGAAATATTAGTGATACTTCGGAACATCCGTTCACGGAGGATTGAGAAGAAATGAAAATGTGTGCGGAAGGAGAGTGGATTTAACAAAAATTTTAATTTGACCCAACAAGACGACAAGAGAGATTGATGAGATTTTGCCGAAGTGAACAATTTTGTATTTTATCTATTTTATTTTAAGCTTTAGAACGATAAAGACTCCATGATTATTTCATTTATTCCAACATATCAAATTTTACAATAACTTGCGAAATTGAGTGAAAAGACATAGAACAAATTTTAATCAGGAGAAATTATGGATATGATTCAATTCAGCTGCGAACTGATAGAGTTTTATTTGCTGAGTGAGTTTCATTAAAGGGTGGGGCTTTCGAAGGGGCATGGCTTATTCGGTATATAAAACTCTATAAAATAATAAAATGTTACGCATTAGCTGAATCAGTGCCCAAAAAATTTATTTGCTCAATACTTACTTAAAGTTACTTTTACATCCACTCACAGTGTAAATACAAATAGTGACTTAAAAGAGTGTAAAATATTGAAGGTGTTCCACGCCCAAAATTGGCGTCACACCAAATTACAGATGAAATTGAGCATTGAAAGTGTAAACTTATTCAATGAATATATTAGGGCGAAACTTACCAGTGGAAAAAGTGAAGATTTTAAGGCGAAAATTTAAAGAAATACACTTTTAGAGAGTAAAACACATATCTTATCTTGAATATTCATATTGAATTAAGATTATAGAGGTGGAATAAGAGGATAAATTCATTGATATGACATGAAGATAACACAACGTTTCTATTTAGTGAAGAACAAACCAAACAAATATTAAAAACTGATGCGTTATTTTGTACTTATTGAAGTAAAGTCCGTGAAAAAGCAGAAATGGAAGGTAATCACCATAAGCATAATTTGCTTGCCAGTTTTTCTTAGAAAGACGATAATGAAGAAATTGATAAACCTTAAGAGAGATTTATTGAATAAACATTTATGCATAAACTATTACTATTCCAGAGAAGTAAATGAAGCGACCAACATTTTCATAAAAAGAATAACATGCAGCTACAGTGGAAAAAATTGCTTATTACATTTTACACTTAAACATAGAGATAAATTCTAAGCGTTATTGCAAGATGATAAGAATGTAACAAAGAGAAATATTGAAGAAAAGAAAACAAAAACTTTTGATAACATTTTTAGTGATGGAAGAAAGAAGAGAAATTAAGGTCGTAAAAGACAACATTTTATTCTGCAAAATAGTTAGAAAGAAACATTTTAGAGCGAAATGCGTAGCTTAAATCAAAGTGAAGTCATTCTTTGGCAGCCAAAATAACAACAAAATATATTTTAAGGCATTATTAGGTAGTTTCCACAATACGATATATATATTTATATATATTGTTAGAGTTTTGAAACTCTCAGAGAGATTTCAAGAAAAAAAACACTATAGAAATAATATTCTCGAATAGTAAATGAAAGAATGGAGAAAACTTCAATCCGATTTGTTGAACTTTTACTGTAGCTTCCGACAGTGAACATGTATTGCTGATTTTTTTGTATGTACTGCTGTAAATATGATTTCATTTTTGTAAATTTGCGTCACATATTTCTTTGAAGTAATATAGATTTTTCCTTTTGCTGTTTTGCGAAACACTGAAAGACAGTTGAGAGAGGGCAGTTTTTGTGTGTGTGTGTCAATTGGAGGCAGATTGATAAGACGCGATGTGTATAAAGAAGACTATTTTGGGGGGGGAAAAGAAGATGATAAAGTGCTATGTTGATGCTGTTTTAAGCATAAAGTATTATTTGATGAATAAATCAAGAAATTCCTCACCAGCAAAAAGTGAGAAAATAATATTTTTCTTTGTCATGTGTCCTCATTAATGAAATGATGTAAGTTTTTACTAGATAGGCGAGACAGAGATGCGTAAATAAAACAAATTGGTTAATAAGTTGAATTTTCTTTCACTGTTTAGGGTTTATTCATGTTCTTTGCTTCCATTCTGGTTTCTTTTTTTTGTACATTTATTTAATTGATGTAGAGATTTTACACCACAAACATAATTGGAAGGACAACTCTAAGAAATTGAAGCAACGGCTTTGGTACACAATGATATAAGATAGAAACAACGATTAATATTTATTTGTTCAACATGAAAAGGGAGGGGAAAATAGAGGAAAAATATCTAACAAGTATATTATAGCAATGATTTGCAATATTTACAATTGACTTTTGTATTATTTTCATATGATATAAAATGCGCTTCGTTTACATGTTTATAATGTACCTGTCATCTAAAGTACTTATTAGAAGGGTCATTTTCAATGTCTCATTCTTGATTTCTCAAGACTTTACCTCAATTTTAATTTCGAATTTATTTTTTTTAAATAGGAATCTGAAATGCATTAATTTTTTTTTTTAATGTTTGTTTAGAATTTGAAAAGTATGCTTCTGACACTGATGCTTAATTTTTGTATATGTATAAAAATAGAGTAGGTTTCTTAGTCATCAGGATTGTCTCCGAAGACATCGTCGACATCTCCACTGTCTTCAATCAGGGGCTCAACTGTCTGGACTTCGGGCTCTGGTGAGGCCTCGGGGGGCTCGTCGGTAGACTCATAGGCCTTGTCTTCCTCCTCCGTGACCACCACAGGTTCCTCAGATTCTTCTGCAATTTGAAAGTACAGGTAAGAGAAATGTTCATCAGAGGACAAATTTATCTGACAATTTAGTCAAACTCACCTCCATTATTCAGATGAGCATCGAGTTCAGCCTCTTGGCGAGCAAGTTCAGCCAATTCGGCGGCTTGTCTGGCCAATTCGGCTTCCTGTTCTTCAGCTGCGATCTTCTCCAGCTCTTCAAGACGAGCAATTTCCTCTTCGCGCTGCTTTCGCAGTTCCTCAGCTTGTCTAGCCTCTTCCTCTAGCCTAGCTTCTTCGGCAAGGCGGGCCTCTTCGGCCAGACGCGCCTCTTCGGCGAGACGAGCTTCTTCGGCCAGTTTAGCCTCCTCTGCCAGGCGCGCTTCTTCAGCGAGGCGAGCTTCCTCAGCAAGTCGGGCTTCTTCGGCAAGTCGGGCTTCTTCGGCGAGTCTCTCCTCTTCAGCCCTCCTGGCCTCCTCGGCCTTTCGCTTCTCTTCAGCTTTGCGCGCCTTTTCGGCCTTCTTAGCCTCCTCAGCGAGACGAGCTTCCTCTGCCACGCGAGCCTCTTCAGCCTGGCGCTCCTCTTCGGCGCGTCTCTCTTCCTCAGCTAGACGGGCCTCTTCGGCACGCTTCGCCTCCTCGGCTTGGCGCTTCTTCTCGGCCGCCTTGGCCTCCTCGAGAAGAGCGTCTTCCTCCAATTTCGCCCTAAAACATTGGGTTGGGTGGAATTGAGAGAGAGACGCGTTAGCTGAGAACTTCAGCCTCACTTGGTGAACAGACTGTTATTTTGTACATACATCGTTTGGACTCTTATTTACAACATTCCCATTATTATTTACACTTTTATTCGGTTTTGTGTTTAGTGTGGAAGAATTGAAAAGCTGACTTCCTTAGACGTTCGTCCGTGGCTTCCTGCTGTGTTTTGAGAGGATTTGCTTCAAGAGTTAGTTTGTGGTAATGAAGTGGAAAAAATGTTTGTATGGTTTCTGTAGAGTGAGTAAAATCACAAGAAAGGAAAAGGAACACATTCTACCATCTACCAACACTTTGGTAATATTGGGCATTATCTACTATTTACAACGTTCAAAGCTTTGTTACTGGTTTTAGGACAAATGAAATAAAATAAGATAAATGAAGTAAAAGAACAATATCGTAGTATTTTTAGGGTATTCAAAAACCAATAATCAAAAAAGGTAAAAAAAATGAACGATTCGTGAAAAATGTGAAGTAAGGAAACAGTGGAGAAAAAGTTATCAACTCAATGTTTGTTCCGTTTTATTCACAAGAAAGTGTGAAATGTCGCTGAGGTGTTTTTGATCCACTTAAAGCTCAGTAACAAGTGTTTTGTCCAAAAAGCAAAATAACTTCATCACTCCGTCACAATGTACCTCATTCTATTTTTACGCTCCAACGTAAAGTCATCAATTTCTTTAGCACCAGCTTTCTTTTCGTCTTCTTCGGCCAGTGTGGGTGGTTTGTTAAATTTACGTGATGGTCTCATGGGATTCAGCATGGGATTGAATGCTTACGGGCGCAACAGAGAAGAAGAAACACATTTAGAGAGACTTGTTCTTTCGAAAATCTCACTTTTATTTCATATTTATTTCAAAATATATGTATATATATATAGAAAATTTATAGAAAGATAAATCTTTCATATATTTACTTTTTATATATCGATTTGCATACACACCATGTGTCACATTTTGTAAGGATGATTTTCACACACATTTTGATCGTATAACAATTTTTTGGTTTACCATATTTTGCAAAAAATTGTATATTTTGTTGAAGGAAAAAAAGAGAAAAAATAAATTACAAATGGTGATCAATTGCGATGCCGGAAGAACAGATAAATGGTAAATGGTTCATGCAGGGCGTTATTTAACATTTTCTTTTTTACCTTGGTCATCTTTCGCTGGAACTTGCTTGTTCTTGGCATAGTATGAGAGCAATTTTATATCACTTTGGACTTTACTAGGGAAAAGATCTTCTTTAAGTGGTTTCCTCTTTGCGTAGGCTTTATTTCCCACTATGCGGATAGATGCCAAATGGCTCTTACCTTAAACACAATCAAAGGAACTTTCGTTAAACTTGTACCCTTTTACCAAACAACTATTGTAATATTTCATTTCGCTACAATTTTGTATATTTCTGTGGGTGTTAATTGCCATTTCTTCCGTGGGTTAATGAGATATTCTGTTACTTTGGACACTAGATTGTCAGTCTTGGGAGTTACTTTTATTATTTAGCTTCTCTCTTTTTTTTTTTAAATATGCCACAATTATCACCCGGAACTCCTTTTTTTGTATTATTAATCAATCTCTCTCCAATTTATAGTATTAGGAAAATCATTTCAGGTGGTTTTATATATCAAAAATAACCATCATCGATTCGTTTTTAGTGAATTTAGAAGGATGGTTTAGTAAATGTATTAAATGACTTACTCCTTGTGCCTTCCAATCATCGATACTTCGGTAATTGTTCAGCAAAGTAAAAGAAGGTATAAAGCGCACATGGAATTATATACAGAGATCTTCACTCTTTCGGCAACACTTCAAGCTTTAATCGAAAAAATCCGGTTTAGGACATTAAAACTGTTGGAGCCACAAAAATCATTTGAAGAAAAAGTCGACGTCACAGACAAAAACCCGCAGTAATTGATTTTTAATAAGATTAAGTGAAGTCCGATAAAGCAGCTGAAGCGCGATTTTGAGTGACGGTTATTAAATTGGAAGCAATGAATTGTGATCAACCAATTGTGTACAGTGGAATTTATCCATTAGAAGCTTCAATCGGTCGTTTCTGTATCTGAAGTAATCTGATCTGGCTTTCGAGAGTGGACTTGGTTCAATAGAGGACTCACCAACAAATTTGCGCGCTGGTTCGGCATAATTTGAGAAGAATCTGATGTCCCGAGCAACTTTTCGCACGGGATTCAACACATCCTGGATGTAAGAATCAAATCCACGATCGTACGGAGCTGGTGATTGAAGACGATCAAGCCTGTAAGATGAAGATGTCATTACACTCTGATTAAACATGAAGTGAATCCTGAAAAACGGTCGATGATCTCTTTGAATTCGCCAGTGGCATTTTGAGAATTTGGGTGCGACTATAAATTTTCCTAAATGCGCAAATTTTTTGGTGTCATAACTCCGCAAAAATTTCCCCTCTAATTTTAGTGGTGAATCTCACAAGTTGCTGTCTGTCTCGATGAGATGAGAAGTATGGCGAATATTTTTAGAGTGATCCCAAAATATTTTATAACCTTTGCGTCCGAGGAGACGTTTTTATGCGGAAAATTATTACATGTACAAATTGATGAATAAGCTTAGAAATATGCGTGTCGTGCGACTTTGTTGCAAAATAAGTGAAAAATGTGGCGAATTCCTTAATTTTCCTAATTTCAGCGGTGGAATACATTTTCTAGATATTTTATAGAATCCATCGGAATACTAATTATCTCTTCCTTTGATCTATTTTTCAATAACCACGCCCATGTTTATGCCCCGCCTTATCGTGAAGCATAGAACATATTTAATACAATTTAAACCCTTGAAAAGTCACTGAACATCGCTATCTTTCCTGGAAACGAATGATCTGTACCTGGAGTAAACCACTGGAGGAACGCTAGCTGCTCGTGGCACTTTAGTGTGGCAGGTCTTGAGCAGGGCCGTGGTGGCATTGCGGATGTCTCTGGCTTCATCGGCAAAGTCCTACCAGGGAGAAGACACTCTTAGAATCGGACGAGAGACGGAAAAGGGCGAAGCAAAGCACAGAGGTGTGGGAAAATGGGTTTCGGGCACTGTTCACACTAGGGGAGATGCTCTAGCTGGCGCTCGATCCTTGCTCTGTGTGGGGATCACTTACCAGGTGCGAGGAAGAGTTTAGGTAACTCGATGTTGGCAGATACCCGGGACTCGAACGGACCTTGTTTTCAATGCGGTACAGCTCTCTGTGGATGACGGATGGGCGAACGGGAAATGTTAGGGGGCGAACAGGTGAGGTCAGTCTCACCGGTGACGACCGGATCACCCTCACTGGAGACGAACGATACACTCGTGTTGGATTAGTTACGACGCGTGTTCCCGGCACAAGGCGTTTGTGAGCAACATAGGGGAGTGTGTGGAATCGAACTGGTGATGTTACAATGGGCACTGAGTAACTGAATGTGTACACCTGAGGGAGTGTCCATCATTAGATATCTTATGCGACATACATAAGTTGCGGTGGCGCGAGGGCAGATATTCAAATTATTTCGCGCGTAATTGGCACATATGATTCATTTGGAGAATTGCTATTTCTGGATTTGTTTGCACTGAGCCAAAATTCCTCAATCACTTCGCGGAATTCAAATATATGCCCCAACCCCACAGTATTTGCTGTCTTACACAAAATCTTGAGCAATATCTCTTAACATTTCAGCGGGAAGTTGTGGTTTTTACGTTTCAGAGGCTTGTGCCAAAAAAATAATTGCCATTCTATTGAGAATGTTGTGCTCATAAGATTGCATTTTCACTTTCTCACGATGGTATAAAACAGAAAAAAAACATGAATTGATGGATGCTTTTTATAAATTCAGTATGTCCCACTTTGCAAGCACATTCCACGGATATTTTCGCTAAAGCTCTGAGACGATTTATTGCATTTTATCTTAGTGGATCACTTTGGTGAAATGCATAAATTTTAAGCGCTGTGTGATCTTTGTCGCAAACGCCATGGAGTACTTGAAAATTGACAGGGTGCTAAATTACTAATTTATGATCATTTGTGGCAAATTCTCAAGAGCACTTTAGTGATTTGGTGTGTTTTTTTCAAATCTCATTCATTAGGCCATACAAATATGAATCATTCAATTGATGGAGTATTTCTGACGGCTTATCACTCTATTCCCAAAATAGATTCGCTGAAGTGCAACTGATATTGAGAAATGGAGAATTAACACAGAAAACATTGAGGATGTCCATTAAATTTCATGCATTGGGAATGAACATTGGGCCAAAGATTTTGTGTAAAATTCAAAAAATGCTCCTTGCGTGCAATACCCTTGTTTTCGGCAGGATCCTCACGGGAGTCTGAAAGAAAGACGTTGAGAGAAATTGTCACAAAGGCCAGACATGAACTGAATGCAAGATGACAAAGTGCTCAGATCAGATATTAACTATTAACGTATTTGCTGTTACAATATAGGTTCAGACTCTGACGTGAGCACTGTGATCTGTAATTTGTTAGATTCGGCACTTTGTCTCATTTGCCAATCTATCAGTTGTGCTAGGTAACCTTGGCTAAGAGAGAAAATCCTTGGCACTGATTTCTCACACGTGAGAAGGTTTTTTGGGGTGCAGAAATAACTTTTCAACTCTCAATTTTCTTGTTGGGTTTCCACAGGAAATTGGGGATCACAGATGAAACGAGTCACTGAAGTGTTCGGAAAACAAAATAAACTCTTTATTACCTCACATGTCCATCAACACATCAATATACAATAATATCTGGTGTGCTTGTAGAAAAATTTTCTGTTAAATTAGTGGCGTTCGAAGCGTTAGGGAATTTTGAATGTGTTCTCATAGTGATATTGATCCAATGATTGAAGCGTGCATGGCTAGGTCAGTGGTAATCATGGTCTACACGCGGTAGGAGTAGTGGCGGTAGTTGGTGCCGTAGGGCAGGCGTCCGGAAGTGGTGGAACTGTAGCTGTAACCACCCGGCCCGGAGCCAGTGGTGGACGTGCGCTCGGTGGAGTAATTGTAGCCACCGGGTCCGGAGCGAGACGACTTCTCAACGTGCGAGGAATAGGACGAGCTCGATGGTCTCGAGTAGGGATCGTTCGAGTTTGAGCTGGACTTATTGGTGGAGCTGTATGAATAGGAGTATTGCTCTTCGGCACGACGCGGACGAGATGGTTCATCGGTAACCGTGTAATAACGTGGCGTCTGCGAAAGTATGATCAGCATGAAATAATCTCAGGATTCATCTCACTCTAGCTCACACAAGAACATAAGACTTTTTTTGGGGTGAGAGATAACTTGAAGAAATTGAAACATTTTCCATCGCGATCTGCCCTCGATATCAAACGCTTTTCGGCTTTGTGGTCTTGTGAGTTGTTTTTTTGTCTTTGTTAAAGTTGGCAAGTTGATGAGTTGGTTAGGCTCAATGAGGTGAAGAATGGTGTGTTAGGAATGATGGTAAGATAATAGATTTGAAGAGATGTTAGAACAGATCACATAAAATAGATCATGATCACTCTATGTACAGTCGGTAGAAGTTGCTAGAAGAAAGAGTGGTTGACTTTTCATGAGTTTTATTGGAAGATTCAGCTGTGTCACATCATGAGTGTCTTCTATGTGGAAATGGGATCTCTTCATCCTCTCTGTCTAGTCGTTCGTTCGCAGTGTTCAGTATTGGGGCGAGACGAAGAAGACCTTTCTGTGGACGGTCTTTGCGTCGGTGGTTCTATGGAGGCGTGGCAGGACGCTGTCCATGGAGTGAGGGTCAGTGATGGCGGCTAGGGAGCCGCCAGCGTCGCGCAGGCCCTCTTGGCGCTTCATCTCCCTGAAGACACTCTCGCGTGTCCTGTCGCGCGCCGAGATGTAGGGCTGCAAGGGGCGCAGCAGGGACTCTTTTGGCTTGATCGCCGCCCGATTGATTGGGTCCAGAATGCTCTTGCGCTCCTCGCGGCGCGGCTTCGTCTTGCCAAATGCCGTCACGGGATCAGCAATGAGACTGGGACGCGGCACAAAGGGTACCTTCTCCCAGGGCACCTCATTTCTCTGGAATAACAACAACCCAACAACAAAAGCCAATCTTGAGACACCATTCGATCTCCTTCTCTGATCTACTTTGCCTTTACTCCAAAGTGGGTGAGAAAGCCACAGCACAACATTCTTCTCGTCTACGCTTTTTACAGTGTGAGTCAGTGAGTGGCGGTTTTATTTGCAGAGCGCGCTTGGGAATCTCTCGAGTTTCTCTAGATGAGTGCTCTAGGCTAGAGTGATCTCTCTGAAAGCTTCTCTCAAAATGACGGAGTTTCTTGAACAGACTTCACTCATGAATAGTTGCTTTGAAAATAGTTTTAAAATGATGACTAATGATATCCTTTTTTGGCGTTAGCATAACTTCTTGGCAGCTGATTCATGAAGAACAAGCGAAGATTTGACTATCAACCAGTGTTAATAATTTAATCTCAGCGTCCATGAAGAAGTTTATGAGAATCATAAAAAGGTGGAAAAGATCTTCAAAATCAATCAAGAATTGTGGTTATAATAGAAGATTGATCGTTGCATTTTCGAGAGTTAATTAATACTCTTCTCAAGTCAAATTAAATCATTTGCAAGCCTTCCGGAATGCCAGAAATGTTTAATTAAATCCTTTGCTATTTCTGTTGACTCATTGAGACTATTTGCAAGCAACTGTAAACATCTTAAGGAGTGTTTTATGGCTGGTCCATTTCTAGTCTGGAGGCCACTTTAACCTTGTGAAATACTCATTTTCTCTCCTGAATTCTTCGAGAGAAAATAAATAATCAAGAGAGATGGAAATCACATAAATTGCCATAATTTCGAATGGCAAATAAATGATGATTGCTGAATTATTCTTGAGTGCATGCTTGTGTAAACAACATTATAAATTTCCATTTGAGACTTAAGAGATTCCCAACACTTTTCTCTTTGCGGGTGTGCTGAATGGGAAATGCAATTTTGGTGCTCTTCTGCAGGGTGAAAAGTGAATGTGATTGATGATTTCTGTGCAGTGTGGGATTCATCAACGTCCTTGCAAATGTGCGGAAAAAGTTGCAGCAGTGGTGAGAGACATGAGAAAGCATTGTGTTAGTCGTTTATCTTGTGTTCTATACAATTCTACTCTCTTTGCATTAAATGACGAGACATTTGGGATCCAAAACACGGTGAATTTTTCAATTGAACCTGCGATTCTCACACATTTGTGCAAGAGCCAGATTTGGAAACGCTGATTACTGGATTTTGACGAATGTAATTCTATAGCTGAGACTAAAATTATCAAAGACGAAGTGATGCTCGAGGATGTTCGTAGCGTTTTCATGTGTTTTTGGTCGAAAAATGTGCGATAATACGCGATTCTATTTATAAATTTGGAAACTTTCACAGCCAAAGCGCGAAATCATGTGTGTTGAGGAGAGTCGAGAGAGAGTTGAACACCGTCTAAAAACATTTTGATGACTTCAGAGAGCCCAACATCCTCCTCAAAGACATCATCATCTATTATGCCAAGCATTTTGCGTCACGAAGAAGCCTTGTGGTAGAAATCCAATTTCAATCTTTACACACTCGAGAGATGACCTTTTTTTCTACATGCTGAAAAGCCCTTCTCCACATAATCGTTGCATCATCAAAAAACAAAGAGTTGTGCCAAGGATTTTTTCTCTAAATTCTTCACGGCGAAGAAGTTTAACACTTTATCTTACCTTCCACAAAAAAAATCGGTTAGAACAGACAACAAAAAGATAAAAAATATGGATTGTGAAAAAGAAAGAAAATTAATACACTTATTAGGAGAATTGTTTAGATTTAAAGTGTGTTGCAGAATAGATAGAGAGAAAGGTTGTATTCTTGGAGAAAAGAAATGATCTAGTTTGGAAGGTATTTTCCTGCTGGGAATTTTATTCTTCTACTTATCAAGAAGTTTCCACTGAGAAAAATACCTCCTTTCAAACTACTTTACACACACGAAGACTTGAAAGGAGAGAGAAAGAGGAAAAAGAAAGTCAGCAAATTTCCTCACAATTGTTAAAATAAAAGTCATAAAGTAGAGAAAAAGTTGGTAGAAAAGTGTAGTTTTTTTGAGCGTTTAATTTGTCGGGCATTCTTTTGCAAACGCTTCACATCCTTTATTTCCTTTTTCCATGTTAAAGGAATTTGTAGGAAGTTTTGCTATATGAAGTGTGTTTCAATTCCTCAAGTTGATAGAAGGGATTTCAGAGATTTTCTTAAAGCTCTTCTTTAAGTGCACCCTTTTTGATGAGAAATTCGAAGAGATTTTCTTCAGTGGGTCTTAAAACTAAAACGGCGCAGAAAAGTTATGAGTTGTGTGAGTAGATTGAGAAACACAGAAAACACGAGAACAAGAAAGAGGGTCAAGAGGGATTTTTCACCAGTAACTCGAGGGTCTTTGGTGGATATGACGAGAATTCAGGAGGTCTGCTTACCGTAACTGTGTACGACGAGACGGTTGATCGACCGTAGGGCCGACGTGTGGTGTAGAAATCACTCTCATAAACCATTTTCAACTGTATTCCTTGTTCCTCCGCCTTTGGCAAGAAATCTCTATTGCAGAATCAATGAGAGAAAAGAAAGGTGTGAAAATCTACCACTGCAAGTGATCTTCTCAAAGATCTGAGAGACTGATAACTTCACTGACCGTCCGTTCGAAGTGTATGAGTTCGACTGCAAAGATTTTCCGAAATTTTCTCCTTTCCCACGATCGCTGGTGAGCTCTGGCGTATTTTTAGCGTCGCAGAGTCATCAGCGTTTCGCTCTTGTAGTAAAGCGCCGAGATTCATTGAGAATATTCAGACGTCTCGTGTGTATTAATTTGTGGGATGCGCGCAATAAGGAAAAAATCTGCTATTTCTGTGGGATGATGAGTAGGTTTGGGACTGCGTGGACAACTTCTGCGCCTTCTGACAATTGACCAAGAGATGAAAAATGCTTGCCTTCAAATATGTGGCTGTTTTCAGTTGCACGCTCACACCCACAATCGGGATTTTCACATTGATCGTGAGAATATCACCCAAATTTCACGAAAATAAGTTTACTGTTTGTGTTTTCTGTGCCAAACACTGGCTCTCTTTTTGCGCCGAAGACCTTCTCGTGCAAGACTCACCCACTTGCATCCTCTCACATGCTCGCCATCGCGTCAGAAATTAGAAAAACCACTGATTTTCCAACGATCTTGTAATTACAAAAGGTAAAAAAGAGAAACACCACGTTTTAGCAAATTTACACAGACATAAACTCCTCAATTCTTCGGCATGAAGCGCTTCACCATCTGCAAAAGAGAGTCTTGGTCCAGCTTGCAGCCCGGATAGAGGATCTCACACTTGGCCACTCTATCGCTTCGGCCGTTTTCCAGTGCCTCTTTTATCGGCGTGCCGTCCAACATGTACTCGACGATGGAATTGCGCGAGATGTCGTGGATGATCTGGTCAATTTGATCGGCAGCTCCGCTTCTCATGTTCTTTTCGGAGGACTTTACATACGTGCAGACAGCGCGCTGCATGCAAGACGCCGTGTCGATGTTGTTCTGGCCAAGATACGTGTCCAGCTTGGCCAACATCTCTCCCAGGCCAGCAGGCTCGCCATCAATGCTGCGGTAGTTGCCGTAATTGCCAGAGAAGGCATTCACGAGTTTAGGCAGGATGAGGATGGCGCCAATTCCAACGAGGGCTCCGAGGAAAACGCCGCCCAAGTCGATCTTCATAGGAGTGTAAACGCCAATGCCGTTGGCGGAATGAGGATAACCCTGGAAAATAAGGTGAAGGAATCAACTTCATCACTTTTCGAGCTTCATTGGAAAACAGCGAGACACTTTTCGACGATAAATCTAAAACGGTTAAAGCGGTGAAGGAATATTAATTAATATGAATGAAAAACAGATGTAAAACTGGCTGTCTTAAGAACTTCTATTTACAAAAGAGTTCAGAAAAGAGTGAGGAATTTTAGCCTACATATATATTTCTAACTATGAAAAACGTGCTTTTTTGAATAGTTTAAAATAAATACCATTGACTTTCAATTAGTTGTTTACCATAACTTTTAAACTTAAATGTAAGTTTATTGGTCAGAAAATACTAAACTCATGAATTCCTGTTTTACACTCTTTTCACGTAGGATAAGGAATAGAAGTAATTATCCAGGAAATTTCAGTACGGTTTCGAATATTCTACATCCCTTAAATCTGCGTCAAAAAGCTTCACTTTTCACACTTTCGATTTATTTACCTGCAGTCCATTGCCATATCCTGTGGTGTATCCCAATCTTTGGCTCCTCTCGTTGGTGGCGTCGGAATTTACAGCGTTGTGGGACTCATTGTAGGCCTTTCTCCAGTCTTCGGCGCCAAAGGAGTGTAGCTTGGGCTCCTTATCCTTGAACGGGACACTCGATGGCAAAGCCGTTGCACTCGCGATGAGGAGAATCACGAGAAATCCGAACTGATTCAGCATGATGGGCGATAGAGGTGAGTTGGGACTGTGCATGAAGAGACGATCACACTTTCACAAGGAGCGCGCGCGGTGAGAATGACGGAGATCCATGATAGAGTTGTCATCTTTATATCCACTCGCCGAGATCATGTTCCATCCCCGTGACTCTGCACAATGCATAATGGGTAGTCGTAATTCCACAGCGTCTCTGCATCGCGACCCAAGAAGATGAAAAGTGTCGTTGGCTTTTTCCCGATGACAACACTTGCATTGTCTTTCACTTTCATCGCGCCACAAGAATATATTGTCATCTTCCCCTTCGCTTGAGCACAATTTTATTGTCTCCGCGTGCAATTTCCGCACACAGCACGCGTAATTGATCGCTTGCAACATCCTCACATTCATTTGCCTTCAAGGATTTCGCCTTGATACACTCATCATTGCATGGGCAAAATTGCACCTGATGCAATTGCAGATCGACATCTTTCTGCCAAAATTGCCAACAGCATCTTCTAGCTAGGCGATGGTTTGTCATGCACGAAAATACGAGATGATTTCCTAAAAAATGTGAGCAAATTGTCATGTTGATTTTATCGTTCAATTTATTATAACAACAGCACAATTGAATCTACACACGCATTATCTACGGTTCTTTAGCGCTAAATCCCTCTTTTGCGTGGCAACAATAAACGCACGTGAGTTGAATGCATCTAATTAATAATGAGAGCGGCTTTTTGTGCGTTATAAAACGGTGATCTTGCATCAGGACTCTTTTCAGTATTATGAGGGATTTCCGCGGAAGATGGTGCACGCGTCACATCTATCAATAGCTCTGGTCGTGACAATTGCAGCGGCTATCAATGTCTTGGCCAGCAGTGGATCAATGACTCGCAACAGAGTCACGCGGAAGAGTGAGGAGAAGCATAAATTTATCTCCTTCGAGACAGACGATGAGACCATTGAGGTGAGTCATCATCACGCGCCATGCCAAGATAATTCACTCTCTTTCACCCTTGCAACCAGATGGCCGTCGAATTCTCCGTACCGTTTCTGCAAGTGCCTAAATCCCTGGGAAAGTTCTCCTCATCTCTGGCGAGAGTGAGTCCAATTGCAACAATCTGAAGTGTGTGATGAAGCCGAAAATCCTGTCTTTTAGGGTCAAAATCCCGCCACAATCAACTTCGGGGCAATTCTCCTGCTCAGCATCATAGCCGTCATTGGGACTGTGATTGGAAATTTCTGGGCACCTGGCACTTCTATGATGAATTCTCCTGGCTTGACGTCACTCTTCAAGACGGACGCGGACTCGAGCACGTCGAACAATTGGATTTGGACTTCCGTGAAAGACTCAATGCTGAAGGAAGACGGGATGCTGAATGACTGCGCGAAAAAGTTCGTCTGTCTCACTACAGCTGAGGCGATCGAGAGGCGGCGGCACGGCATTAATAGTCAGCTGGACAGCCTCATTGAGGGCGTCACGCGGAGAGTTCATTTGCGTGATGTGCAGCCAGGCGTGAGTGTCTCTATGGCCATTGAACGTGCTTTCAGTGGAGGATGCAGTGGACACTTCAACAATTGCTCAGCGAAAATTCAACCTCTGCAGCACTATCTAATCCAATAGGAATCTTCTCACTGAGAGTATTTCGTCAGCAACTCTTCACTGAGGCTTTTATCACTGTCCAGCGGCAGCGACTTAATTTTAGACAGCTTCTCGCTGAGATTCTCCCGCGATTTCTTGATCACCAGACTGCATTTGAGCTGCGGAATCTCCATGTCCACAGTCAAGGGCAGATCGGTGATGAATCTGAGATCTGGTCCGAGAATGATGGAGATGTCATTGAAGATGTCAAAGAGGTCAGACACCTGCGCTATCAGATCATCAATCGCCTGTTGCTGTGACGCACTCCAACCTGGGCTCTTGTCTCGCCTGCTGTGATGTGGCGAAAGTGGGGCCAATTTCATGCCGCGCAATCTATTTAAATGAGAAGTTAGACTAGAGACTTTACTCAAGAACCGCCTAGACTCACCGTGTCCTAATAAAGAGATTATTTTCACGTTCTATCGACTTTCTCCTCTGCTCGCGCGACTGATGATCTTCAGCCTCAGCATCGGAGTCCTCGTCGGAAGTCTCCAAACTCTGCCACAGCGAATGAGTGGAACAATTGGCGAGATTAAACTGCAAATTACAAGATAGATAAGAAAAAAACACTATGCATTGGCTAACAGTTACCTTTTGAATCTTAATTCCTGGATGATGTCCTTCTCCAGTTTCCTCTTCTTCCTGTCGCTCATCAGCCTCCAGTTGCAAACGGAATCTCTCCGCAGCTTCAGGATCCAGCGAAAGACTGGGTCTTCGGCGAAGATAACTTTGGTTGATGAAGTCCAAATCCTCGTCGAATTCCTTCAACTCTTCCGTCTGCTCCTTAATCTTCTCCGCATTGACCGACAGGGCCTTATCAATGCTGTCAAAGGCATCAGCAGAAGTTGTGTACTTCATTAGAGAACCGATGCGACTTGTGGGCAGAGCTGTCTGAGTCTCAGCGTCGCTGGTGTTCAGCAGCTCCGTCATTTGGGAGATCGTGTGAGTAAAGAAGACTGCAAGAAGATAATGATGATATTAGAGGGAATTTGAGGAAACTAGTTGAGCTACTCACGCGTTCCTGGCGGAATGTTCCTGATCGTTACAGTGCCATCCGTGAGAATACCCACATCTCTCTGCCGCACGAGATCTGTCTGCACGTTGAACCACGCATCTTTCATCAGCACCGTGGGCAGGAAATCCGTCTGGCACGCCACCGAATTGGATTTCATGGCCCTGAGCGCTCGCCTTGAAGCGTCCAACAGTTTCGCCTTGAGCAGAGCATTGGTGTTTGGCTCCTTGACGGGCTTCGCGGTGGCGCGCCACGGAGGCCTCTCCTTGGGCTCCACATCCATCACGGATTGCTTCCTGCGCGCTGCAGCCGAAGTGGAAGTCATGTTGAGCTTAGACAGCCTGGAACCCACACTGAAAGTATCCCAAACTTTCTCTTTGCTGGAAAAATCTATTTTACGTAGTTACCTCATCGCGAAGGTTGACATGGGAATTGTGTGCTCATCGGTGACACTCTGCGTCTCGCTCTCCGAAGACGCCCGACTTGGTGGTTGGGGACTCACTGGGGACGGTGGGACGGTCCTATTCATGGCCATTATCCTGTGGGTGATAGAGAAAGTGTCAAAGGAGTGGCTCAACACTTGAATGCACGCAAAGGAATGTCTCAACACTGTCTGTCGTTACGCTGAAATTCCGCAACTGTTTAATCGATACTTTATCTATTGGTTACAAATCACTATTGACTGTAGAAGGTGAAGAATTTCTCTAGAACGCCTGGATTGTAGCCCTCAAGCTGAGGCTTTCCCTGCACATACGCGCAATTCGAGTACAAATTCTCAATCTTTGACTCATGCCAGACATTCTTGTCCCCTTCCTGGCCACACAAGTCGAGAGTGTTGAGCTGAAACACGCCGAAGTGGAAGGATTGTCCGTTGGTGTGTATAGCCTGAACGACAATGGGTTCTGGGAGTGTTTGCACATTATCCTGGAAAATATAGAAAGTCACAGTAAGCCTAGGAATGTACAATCTGCATTGTTTCCCTAAAGATCTCTCTTCTATTACACTTTACACAATGCCTTCGTCTGCGAAATTCTCAAGAAAGCAATCCAAGAAGTTGACTTACCCCAAATTGCCGCTTAGCTTTAGCCGCAGCCGCCGTGAAGGCGTAGAAAAGCGTCCTGGATCGGATCTGGCTCTCATTTATGGGCACCTCATGAAATGTCTTCATTTCGGATGTGAATGTAGGAAAGATGGTGTGAAAACTAGTGAAGCGATGCCCAGTGTTGATCGCTGAAATACAAATAAATCTTGGAAAAGATGACTTAAACACGCTATGCAAACCTACGATAGAAATCCTCCCATCCTTCACTGCCTACTGCCTTCAACGAGCTGGTGAAGTTCAAGGGAAAGAGATCGGGAAGTTCCTCGTGATCCTGAGATACTTCCGCCACTTTTGCAATGGGCTTTGTCGAGGTGATCAACAGGTTTGCCAGCAAATCCATTCCGATTTCTTTGCCATCCTTCTCAAAGTTCACTTTCAAGAATGGCTCATGAATGATCCTCTTCTGCAAATTCTCCGCCTTGTTCGTCGTGAGTCTTTCACAGTGTCTGATCAGCTTGTCCAGGATCAGAATGTTCTTCCTCTCTTCAGTAATCCCATAAACTCGTGGGAAGTTAAAAGCCGGCCGCTGCGGATCGTAAATTCTCTTGGTTTTCTTCTGCTCAGCATCGAAGAGATGAGCTGAGAGGATGTCCTGCTCCATCTTCTCATGCACAGTATCTGAGATAGTGAGATTCTTCAAGAATTTCACATATCTCGAGGGTAGATTCTCTACAGAGACACTCTTGGTCAGCACTTGAGCTTGCCGGACGCCCTCAATAAGCAGAGAATCTGTGCTGTACGAATACATCTTCGGCAGATTCAGTGTTGGGATGTTCTTGGTAGTTTCCATGGATGTGGATTTACTGCAAGCAACATGAGATACTGGATTTTGTAGGAATTTACAGAGAATAGCTACGTTTAGTATACTTTATTCCCAAGAAATGTTCCTCTGCTCTCACGATTGTTGGGTTGACTTTCTCCAATTGCTTAACTGCCGCTTCCATTTCGTCATTGGGCAGTATTTTCTTGGCGGAGTTCAACCAGTGACGCTTCACCATCCGCCCAATGTGCTGATGGCACAGGACTTGCGTTAATTTCATGCTTTTTACGCGATTTTCCGGCTTCAAAAACACTCCTATAAAACTCACCACTGTCACATGGAGGATATTCACCACTGCAGAGTCGAATTCAGGAGAATTACAAAATCTTACAAGAAAAAATCATTTCTCCTATCAGAATGGATATATTTCGTAAAAATAAAAAGTACAATTAATGACTTAAGTTCTATGATCAGAAATTAAGTTTTTTTTCTTATCAAATTGAATTCCGTGCAAGATAACTACTCGAGGTTTTTTTTAAACTCATTCGTCTCTTGTAATCTGTATTTATCTTATAATTTTATCCACGAACTTCAGCTTTTTCAAGACTCTCACTCGCGTCAATTGATTCACATAAGGTCTTGAAAAAAGTCCTGTATTTTCTTACAGCAAAGTCCGGGTTGTGGGGAGGAGGACTGATAAGAATCTCAGGGACAATCTTTAGCGCATTCGGTAGTGATTCTGCTCGTGCATTTCTGACAATTCCCCCTTAAAGTGTATATCAATGTTGAAGTCCAAGTCGCGATTGTTGCGTGCATTTGGCTTCATGCGGAAGGTTCCGTAGATCTCCTCGCCCTTCTTCACCGTCATGTACTCGTCGAAGTAGAAGACGGTTTGCTTCCAGTGCGTGTACGGCGCCTCGGGAGCCGTGCTGAAGCCCAGACGCTTGTGACACTTGGTGAAATCCACTGTAAAGTACGTCACGAGGGCCTGGACGAAGTCATTGCGCTTCACGATCAGCCTAAATGGTGAATCAAACTCCAGATCCGACTTCTGGATCGTGTACAAGTCGATCTCCTTCACCAAATACGCACTCGAGACCACCTGCTTGGGATCCACGATATCCACGAGAGGCTCCGTGATGGCCACCTTGCGAATGGAGCTCATGTTGAAGCCATACACGTCGTCCCACCAGTTGATCTTCTCATCCTTGTACTGGCGGTCCTCGATGGCCGTGATGAAGAGACTGCAGCGGTCCGGGAACATCATGCCGTCCGGCCGTAGCCACTTGTCACGGGCGAAAAGCACCGTGTCCAGCATAGACTCGTAGAACAAGCAGTAGCCCATCCACTCGCTGATGATGATGTCCACCTGACTGCAGCCCGGCAGCTCCACTTCCTCCACCTTCCCTTTCACCACCGTGATCACTTCTGACAAGTTGTTCACCTCGATGATCTTGCGGGCGTAGTCCACGATGTTTGAACACTCCACAGCAAACACTTTAGCTGCTCCCGCCTTCGCGGCGAACATGGACAGAATCCCCGTGCCACATCCGATGTCCAGCACCACCTAAAAGACACGCGAGACTCAGCCAAAGGCACTGGCAACTCCGCACTCACACTCACCTTGCCCTTGAAGAGGTGCTTGTTGTGATACATGGCATTCCTGTACGTGAGCGTCCGCACCTCGTCCTTGAGCATCTCCTCGTGGATCCCGAAGTGAGCGTACGAGTCAAAGTAGTAATCCCTGGACGTCATGTCGCAGGGCGCGATGTCTTTGTCGTCCTTGCCGCCCGTGCTGCACTCCCCATTCGTCTCTGAATTGGCCATTTCTGTGTCTGAAGATGCCTACAAAGAGTGGCAAACAAGCCCATGAGTTTGACATGTTCTCACCCACCCGGAAGCCGGTGCTCCGCCGCGAACACGCGGTAAATCTACAGAATCTCTAGCAAATTTCTCCATCGCAGAGCATTTCAATGAATTCTCCCCACAATTTCACATCTCAGTTCTGCCATCTTCGCATGATTGTGAAAATATTCTCAATTTGTTCTCGACTATGAACGCTTTGTCTAGCGTGGATGCGATGCTCACCATTTTGAAATTCGCTTTTCACTAATTTCCACCTAAGATTTCGATTTTATATTACTTTATACACTCTCGCTGACCACTTTAGAAGATCTTCAAGCACAGTCTTGGCGATAACGTGATGTGTTTAATCGTGAAAAGCGTCTAGGAATGCCTGGGCCGCAAAATTCCCGCTGACAGCCAGAATTTGCAAAACGCACAAGGCAGTGGGGAGATAGTGGTGAGTACTGGTGTGGTGAAAACAACGGGAAGGAACAGAATTGTCGTATGAAAGTTCCGCAGAATGTTCTCAAGTTTTGCGGAATCTTTCGTGTTTTCTCGCTTTTGTGGCTCCACAACACGGATATTTCAGTGTAAGGCGAAATATAGAGTGGGTTTTATAAGTTAAATTATTTCTTTTGGTCATTTTCATTGAGTAATCATGCAAATCGTTAAGAAATAATCCAAGGAACGTTCTTGTGAGATCAGCAATAGGGCTCTAACGCCATCTTTTGTGCGTGCGGATTTTGGCGCGCTGTCTTGTCCAGTGCGCGTCTGTGGACTGTTCTTTTGTGTGCGAATCTTACACATTCTGTGGAAATGGAAGGATTTGATGATGCTGGGCTGTTCTTCTCGGACAACTTTGGTGAGGAACGACCTCAGCAGGTTAACTTGCAGACCATCAAGAAGAACTACAAGGAGTTTTTGCACAGTTTTCACGAGGACACCTTCAACTTCAAATACAGGTTAGATTTCTGGGGTTCTTTTTGCCTCTTTCTGCCGGGTTTCATGAATTCTAAATTACAGAGATAATTTGAAGTTGAACTATATCACCGGGAAGTACTTCCTGGAAGTGGAGATGGAGGATCTGGCGGGATATGATGAGACGCTCGCGGATAAACTGTACAAGCATCCCACTGAGCATCTGCCTGTCTTTGAGGAGGCTGCTCGGGAGATTGCTGATGAGATTACCAGACCTCGACCAGAGGGAGAAGAGCATGTTCATGACATTCAGATCCTGCTGCGCTCCAACAGTCTCCCGACCAGCATTCGCGAGATAAAGTCCGAGTGCATTTCTCGGATTAGCACGGTGGCGGGCATTATCGTCTCAGCGTCCAACATTCGCGCCAAGGCAACCAAAATGACCATTCAATGTCGCTCTTGCAGCAACATAATCCCCAATATCTCCATCAATCCCGGGCTCGAGGGCTACGCTTTGCCCAGGAGGTGCCCAACAGAGCCAGCAGGGCGACCAAAGTGCCCCATGGATCCTTACTTTATCATCCCTGACAAATGCCAGTGCGTGGACTTTCAGGTGCTGAAGCTGCAGGAGTTGCCGGACTCCATTCCCCAAGGCGAGATTCCTCGCCACATTCAAATCTATTGCGACAGAAATCTGTGCGAGCGCGTGGTGCCTGGGAATCGCGTCATGATCCACGGAATCTACTCCATTCGCAAGGTGGGAAGACCGTCGAAGCTGGATGGGCGGCAAAAGGCCACCGTGGGCGTGCGAGCGCCCTACATGCGAGCCGTGGGCATAGTCGTGGACACTAAAGGGCATGGAAGCATCTCGATGCACTCGAATGTATCGGCTGAGGAGGAGGAGGCATTCAAGAAGCTGGCCAACACACCTAATTTGTACGAGAGACTCGCTCAGTCAATCGCCCCCAGCATTTTCGGGTCAGTGGACATCAAAAAGGCCATCGCATGCATGCTGTTCGGAGGGTCGCGGAAGAGATTGCCCGACGGCCTTATTCGCCGCGGGGACATCAATCTGCTGATGCTGGGCGATCCGGGAACGGCAAAGTCGCAGCTGCTGAAATTCGTAGAGAAAGTGGCACCAATTGCTGTGTACACGTCCGGAAAGGGCTCCAGTGCTGCCGGTCTCACAGCTTCGGTGATTCGCGACAGCTCGAGTGTGAGTATTCAAGAAAAGGAGGATCTTTTGTAATGGGATTAAGTAGCTCTTTTTTTTAACTCTTTGACTACAGAGGAACTTTGTGATGGAGGGCGGCGCCATGGTGCTGGCCGACGGCGGAGTTGTGTGCATCGATGAGTTCGACAAGATGAAGGAGGACGATCGCGTGGCCATTCACGAGGCGATGGAGCAACAGACCATCTCAATTGCCAAGGCGGGACTCACGACCACTCTCAATTCGCGTTGCTCCGTTCTGGCAGCAGCCAACAGCATCTTCGGCCGCTGGGATGAGACCAAAGGCGAGGAGAACATCGACTTCATGCCCACGATTCTGTCTCGCTTCGACATGATCTTCATTGTGAAGGATCTGCACGACGAGCAGCGCGACTTGACGGTGGCTAAGCACATCCTCAACATACACGTGAACGCCAACAAGGCGGACAGTCGCAGCGCCGAAGAAGAGATCTCGCTGGCCATGCTGAAGAAGTACATCCACTATTGTCGCAGCACCTGTGGACCTAGGCTGAGCGTGGAGGCGGGCGAGAAGCTGAAGAGCCAGTACGTGCTGATCCGCAAGGGCGTGCTGAGCCAGGAGAAGGGATCCGAGAAGCGCCTTGCTATTCCTATCACCGTGCGCCAGCTGGAAGCGGTGATCAGAATCTCAGAGTCCCTCGCCAAGATGCAATTGCAGCCCATCGCGACGGAGTCGCATGTGAACGAGGCGCTGCGCCTGTTCCAGCTCTCCACTCTCGATGCCGCCATGTCAGGCAACTTGGCTGGAGCTGAGGGATTCACCACGGAGGAGGATCAGGAGATGCTGAACAGGATTGAGAGGCAGCTGAAGAGGCGCTTCGCTATTGGCTCACAGGTCTATGTGCAGAGTATCATCCAGGTGAATTTCTACTATCTTTTCCAGGGAGAGCTTGATTGATTGATGATTCTCTTGCAGGATTTCTCTCATCAAAACTACGCCGAGAGGTCTGTATTGAAAGTCATTCACATGATGATTCGTCGCGGAGAATTGCAGCACCGAATGCAGCGCAAGATGCTCTATCGCATCTGCTGATCTGTCGGCGCCTTGTCACTCTTGGGCGACACTTTGCGCACTACAAAGCCGCGGAAGGATGTCTGGATCTTCGTGGCGGCGTCATTTAACTTTTGTAGACGTTTTCTCACAAGAAATCCCCTCACTTGGGCCTGAATTCTAGTCGCTTCCTCTTCGTGACCCTCGGCGTTTCCCGTATCACGCGGCGAGACGCGCAATCCCGCCCCGGAGGCGTTGTTCTCGCGGGCGAATTTTGAATTTGGCGAACTGGGGTGCACTTCCATGTCTGCTTGGGGAGTTGTGTGTGCTGCTCGGGGAATGTTCAGCGGATGACTGGTGAGTATTTTGCCCACAGAAAGTGTTCTCTTCTTCTGTCTCCGCGTTCTCGCTCCATTGAGCAGTGATTATTGATTATTGTTGAAAGTCACTCAAATGGATTTAATTGACTATTCTTCCGCACATTCAAGTTGCATTAGAGCAGAATTGATGAGTTTACAGATTGGAGAAGTTTTATATTGATTTGTGTGCGTAAATTTCAACTTCTTAGAATCCTGAATTCCAACATTACGAAAGATATGAAAATCTTGTAAACAAAGGTTGGAGACTCATCGGTTTATATTGGATTCTTGGGAAGAATCTTCCACGGAACGACATGTGTTTGCCAAGGAATGACACTGAAATTAAGTGCTGATTCTTATCTAGGATGCCAGATATCCTCAACAACTCTGTCGGCAGCATAATAATGAATGTGTGAGCTTTAATTGAAACTTTCCTTGGGGCTGTTTTCACCCCTTTTGTGTTGTACCCTTTTCAACGTGTGTCAGCAGAAAGAGCGCACGTGGGCGACGGAAGGGGCGCACTGATAACGGAATCCCTCACAGCCAGGAGACACATTCACATTGGAAGAGGAGCAGCGCGAGTGTCTGTGCACGTCACCATAGTTTCGTGTGTGAGGTTTATTTTCGAAATTTCCGACATTATCCACCCCTTCATTCATTATTCAGTGATTGTTTGCTCGCTCTTCACTCCATTTTCGTCGCACCAGCGGAAGGATATCCAGTTTGAGTCGCGCATTCCCCGTGGCATTTACAATGACTGTTCTGGTCAATTTCCCTCAGTCCACCCACGAGCAAGTGGTGCGCTTCATGAGTAATTTAGCGGAGATGGTAATCAGGGAGCCGCCAGGGAATTTCTACCTCTTCGCGCAGAAGTACTTCGAGGACTTACTGATCAAGAGAGACGGTGAGGTGGACAAGGAGTACGAAAAGCTTACTAATTGCGCTAAGTTCATCAGGAATTCACCCGAAGAAGCGCTTAATTTGGAGACAATCGATGCCACCAAAAAGAGACGAATCGATTTTATTGCTCTCTATCGGAAAATGTCCAGTAACCAGGACAACGATCGATTGATTGTCGGCCAGGAGGAGCGTTTGGAAGAGAAAGAAATGCAGGAAGAAGTCAAGATGAAGCCTCAGACGCCTTTCAAGTCTGAATTGAAGCTCTACAAGAGTCTTCAGAGCAGCTTCGAGGCGATCACTGAGGATGAGGATGAGATTTCATGCCAGGAATCGTTACAGGAGGTATTCATTGTAAATCAGATGATTCAACTCTACTTGCCCAGCGCTTTTGCGGACTCTTTTGAGGATGTTATCCAGGAGAGGCACCTGGACGAGGTGGAATTAATTCCGTACAGGAGTTTTGAAGGATACTCTGTAAAATTCTCAATCTTGGCCTGGAACGATTACGGAGTGGTTCTGTCTGTGGCTTGTGGCCACGAATCTGAAGTGATTATTTTCCTCTTGAGGATGCCAGACGAGGATGAAGAATTCAAGGTCCCGCCAAAGGCGATAGAATATGAGAAGAAAGCACCTAAATTTGAAGTGGATTCTGAGGTATTCAGGGGATTTCTTTTGCGGTTTCTGGATTCTTTCTATCCTCGAGGAAATTATCACCAATTCACGTTCATAAAAATTGAAGGTATTATGCAAAAAGTCATAAAGATTTGCAGATTTGAGATGTTAACTTACAATTTCTTCTAGATCCTGGGAATTCCCTATTGACTCCTCCAGACACTCCGGCTTTGCCGTTTCAGGATCACAATGAACCTCCAGAGATGGAGAACTTTGTATTCCTCGAGAAGTCATTGGAGCTTCTGCGCATGGAAAACAAAACAGGATGTTTTGAGACTCACCAGACAATCCGCCCCAGGAGTGTGCCAGCTGCCAAAGTGCCCAAGCATCTCAGACAGCGAGTCAAGAGTGCAAAGTAGTTTAAATGAATGTTTTCCACACTTGTATTCAGAGCTTTTTACTGGTGAATTGCTGAAGATACTCCGATTCTAGGGGATGAAGATTCTTAGCTGGGATCACGAGCGAATGCAGCGGAGGTCCGAGATCTTTCCTTGCCATCTCCTTGAGGCTGCTTACGAAAATCTCCTGAGTCTCGTGGCCAACTCTGGCCAGTCCCACGACGAGTGAATCCTCTGCAACATCATCGGGTTTCTCCTTCACGATGTCCAGCAATTGCTGACAGGCTTCGGCGACTGACATGAATCTGGGAGGATCGTATTCGCGTTTCTTCTTTGTCAGGCTCTCAACTGTGGGCTCGTGTACGCGAATGTCCAGGAGGCAGAGAGTGTGGAGTTCCATTCGGCGATTCTTCAATATCTTCTCGAAAAAACTGTCTGGTCGCCAAGAGTCTGTCCAGTAGGGAATTGAGACAGTCTCTCCGAAGGAGTACAGCTGCAGTCCACAGCACGCCACAGCATTCATGATGGAGGCGTTGTGAATCACTTGGCAAGGGATATTTCTTTCCTTCGCTCTCAGGATGAAATCTGTGTGTGTTGTGGCCCCAAAAGGATCTCCAACAACCAGCATGGCCACATTTTCCTCCTTGGCACTGCTGATTATCTCATCCCCGCTCATCTCAACAGTGTCCCTGTCAGCGAGGATCAACTCTCGGCCATAGAACTCTTCCTGAAAGTAAAGTCAGTGTTGGAATTTGGGGCGCTATCAAACCGGGGGGAGGAAAACTAACCAACTTCTCCTTGCCACAAGAGAGAATTGAGGTGTAATTCTCCAAATATACTTTGTCACACTTTCTCACGATCTCCAGTCCTTTCACAGTGATGTCTTTAGCATCGCCAAGTCCCAATCCGATGAGATATAGCATTTTTGCTGAGATAATTGGGGAAAACACGAGGAAATTGCAGTATCAAAACAAATCGCCCACGCGGAGATGAGAGTCGCAAAGAGTGGTGAATTTCACTCAGCTGTCAAACTGTCAAGAGTTGTTTGACGTGGTGAAAAAGGGGGTATATTTTGCGTGGAAAAGGCTGCAAAATTAGGGTGAAAATTGGTGGTTTCCACGAGAGGAAGTCATGCAGAAGTACGAGAAGCTGGAGAAGATAGGCGAGGGGACTTATGGAACGGTGTTCAAGGGAAAGAATCGCGACACCCTCGAAATTGTGGCCCTGAAAGTGAGTTTTCCTCGATGTTTTGGTTTTTCGGTAGTTTTTCTGTAATTGTGGGGCGCTTTTTTGCAGCGCGTTCGCCTGGATGAGGATGACGAGGGCGTTCCCAGTTCTGCCTTGAGGGAGATTTGTCTGCTGAAGGAGCTGAAACACAAGAACATCGTTCGCCTGTATGACGTCCTGCACTCAGATAAGAAACTAACGCTTGTGTTTGAGCACTGCGATCAGGATCTCAAGAAATACTTCGACAGCCTGAACGGAGACATCGACCTGGACGTGGTGAAGAGCTTCATGTACCAGCTTCTGCGCGGCCTGGCCTTCTGTCACAGTCACAACGTCCTCCATCGCGATCTTAAGCCACAGAATCTGCTCATCAACAAGAATGGCGAACTAAAGCTGGCGGACTTCGGCCTGGCCAGAGCCTTTGGAATCCCCGTCAAGTGCTACTCCGCCGAAGTGGTTACACTCTGGTACCGTCCGCCGGACGTTCTGTTCGGCTCGAAGCTCTACACCACGAGTATCGACATGTGGTCGGCGGGATGCATATTCGCGGAACTCGCCAATGCCGGACGGCCTCTGTTCCCGGGTTCCGATGTCGTGGACCAGCTCAAGCGGATCTTCAAGCTGCTGGGCACACCCACTGAGGAGACGTGGCCCGGTGTCACGCAGCTGGCGGACTACAAACCCTTCCCGCTCTACCACTTGACCACATCCTGGAGCCAAGTGGTGCCCAGACTGAACTCCAAGGGGCGCGACCTGCTGCAAAAGTTGCTCGTGTGTCGGCCCAACATGAGAATAAGCGCTGAACAGGCCATGGCACATCCCTACTTCAGTTCCAACTGAGTCTTTCCCCAGTTTACGTGTATCTTTACTGATAGGCTCTATATTTTACTATTTAATCGAGTATTTATGGCATTTCCTGGCAATGTACCAAATATTTGTAATACCTAAGACGTGTCTGATTAAAGTCCCTTTTGATCCTTAATTGGCTTTCATTGAACTGGAAATTATGGACAGAAATAGAGAGACCTCAAGTGTAGGTATGTATGTATATAAAAAGTCATTTAATAATTTCTTAATCGTCTTTAGATGCACTTGAAAATCTGCAAAGTCTGACTAAACCCGCATTGCTGATGGTTTATCGCGAAAGAATGAAATCAACCCTGAAAATGCACTTAGTTTCGCAGCGGATTTTCTGTAATTACGTTTTTCATGTGAAAAATATACTCCTCAGCGTCACGCAATGCGATTTGTGAAATACTTTCACAATCCTAACAATTATTGAATTAGCACGATTGTTCTTCACTCTGATTGCAATCATCAAAGAATGATTTATGCGCTTGATGAGGCGCGCGAACATTGCGAAGACAAGAGTCTGAGGATTTTTATATAGTGGCTAAAACGCTTTTATTTCCGATTTTTACATCACACATAAAATGACATACACATTAAGTTGTTTTTAAATATAATATTATCATTATTATAATTATTTCAAATTGTTTTAAGTGTTTCCTTTTATTATTTTTTCTTCCTTTTTAAATTTAATCCTTATGTAATGCTTTATATTAGTTTTCTCTCATCTTTTTTTTTACTTTTTTCAGTAGTTCTCTCATGCTTTAGCTTTTTTCCGTTACAGTAATAATGATTATATAAAAAGCTTCTTGATGTTCTTTTCTTTGTTGGGTTTCTTTTTTTTCTCTACCTTCACCTAATATCCTTCCTTATAAGTTTGGTTTATTTGGTGTTGTTTATTTTTTCTTTATTCCTTTCTCAAAAAATGATTACTATATAATTTTTATCTCTTCATTTTCTCTTTATCATTATATAATTCTTCTATACAATATTTATTCTTTGCGATTTCTTCATGTTAGTTGGTATTATATTCTTAACCATGATTTTCACGCATTTTTCTCATCATTTTTTCTTTATCTTTAATAAATAAATGCTTTTCATTAATCTTCATTTTTGTTTGCTATTTCACTAAAGACTTCTTCTTCATCTTCTTTGTTAATAAATAAGAGCTCAGACAGAAGATATACAAATGTTTTTTTTATGCATTGAATGTGTTTTGTGTGTGTGTTTGTGTGTTCTTTTGATGTGTCCTTTCCAGTGTCTCATGAAAAAATGTGTAGAATTTTTTTAGTTTTTGATTTTTTTCTTTAAATATAAAGGTTTTCTCACGTAAGATTTTTTTTCTTTATGATTTAAATATGATGGTGTGATATTACATTTTGTTACTATATTCTCATTTATCATCTTCTTCATCATTTAAATGTTTATCAATAATTTTTTTTTACATTGCGTTTACAGTAAAGAACGACGCTAAACTTGTTTTTCCTGCCTATTCTTTCTCATTCGTCTGAAGTCTCTGACTTTGACTTGATTTTATCAACTAAAGAGGAAAAAAAATGGTTAGAAAAAGTCAAATTATTCATCGGTGATTTATTTTCTCAATTTTTCCCCGCTTTCCTTCATGTTGTGATGGGAAAATGATAAAAAGACTTTTAAAGTATTGTACGAAAAACAATCCATTAAATTACAATCCACTTTTCGCATCTGTAAATTCATGTAATATTCATTTTTTCTTTTGGTTTTCTCCACTTTTTTTTAATAATAATTATTAGCATATTATATGCATACTATGTATGAGTCCAACACGCATGAAAAGGACTTTGATTTTCTCTCTCGATCACTTTTGCCTGGGGTTTCAATTTGCACTTAAAAACTGTGATTTACTCGCTCTTCGCATGAATTTCTGAGAGATTTCACTGTGATTTGTCTCTGCTTCTATTGCCATTCTTGTGTGGATTTCTCTTGTCATTTCCCACCCTCTTCATCTCAATTGGCTGGACTCATGTTTGCACATCCCTTCCTACGAACATTATAAAATCTTATCTAGTAATAGTTAGATATACATATCATTTTTTTTCACCTTTAAGTTAATTCAATAGATTTATTCTTTCTTGTCCATTACTATCGTTAGATTGCAAAAAATCATGTTTTATTAACTCGTCTGCATCGATAAATGCTTTTATTTGAATTCACAAGAAATTCTCCAGAAAATGATCAAGGAAAAAGCGTTTAACTGAGAGAAGTTCTTGAGCGAAGACATGATCAATTTATACTTTGGCGCGCACTGCGTAGCAATTGAAATCTTTAGAAAGTCTCCTAAAGACTTCCCGGCGAATTTCAATTGCTGCGCAAAATGAATATAAAAAAGAAAAAATAGAAAAAGTGGGAGAAAGATGACAGAAAGTCAGCAAAATTAGCAATTTGTAGACATATCTTTTGGTCTGATTTCTTATTTTTAGTTAGTTCTTCTCTGTATTCATCATTCAATAGCTATGATATTAAATATTACTTGAAATTTCACCCCTTTTTTCACACTCTTCTCAACATTCTGCCTTTTCTATTTTTCCATAGTATTCACTTTAATGTATTATATTTTAGTTTAATTATTATACTGAGAACATATAGTTAATAGTGTGAAGGTCTTCTTCATCCAGTTTCTTTTTGCTCACTTAATGATCTTGTGTTAAATAGTTTTTTCTTTGAATCCTCTTTTAGACCACAAACCTACAAATTCTCACGAAACTGCCACAGATTTCTTTCATTTTTTCTCTATCTTTCATTTCTTTTTACCCTCTAATGTTTATATTTAATTACTTAAGTAATGTGTATATATAGAATTCAATTTAAAATTTCTTTCTTGGTATATTAATTTGTAATTTAATAATTTTTTATGTATATAACAACAATGCGCTTATATATGTTTTTTTATTTTGTACAAAAAGAGCAAAGAATTTTTTTTTAATTACCTCTTTTACCACTCTTCCATAATATTAATCTTCTTCATCTCGTGTTCACTTTCATTTGAATTCAGTAATAGTTAATATTGTATTTTCTCTTTTTCCATTACTTTTTTAATTCTTTTGTAGCAGAACCGAGAAGAAAAAAATCCTATTCCTATTGATTTTATCATTTTTTAAAAAAGTGTTTTCTTCTGAAAATTGGGAAATTGGTTAGTTTGACAAATGAAGGATGATTTTTATACAAAATTTGCTTTCTCTCTTGGGTGTATTTTTCCTTACAATTACTTGTTTTTTTTTTATCTTTCTTCCTTTAATTAATGACTAGATTGTTGTTTTTTTGTTGTATGTTCAACATCATATAGAAGATAATATAATTTTTGTTCTTCAAGTGAATTTCCTGAATGTAAAATCTCTGTTATGTTGAAGTTAATGCTTGTTTCTTAAACACTGCTAATCTTGTTTGGGAAGGGAAGAATTTCCTACTATGGCAATAAACTATACGAAAATTTCGATACAACTGACTTAGTACGATATCAAAAATTTTTTACATTATCTCTTTCCACTTTTACTATAATATTCTTTATGCAATGTATGTTTTTTTCATTATTTTTCTTTATTACAAATCTTTGGTCTCCAATTGTGTGTAATTTAAGAATTAATTAGAATGCTTCTTGTTGTTCTTCACTGAATGTTTTTTTTTCCACTACATAACTCTGTAAATTTCTCAACTACACGTTTTTTTCTTCTTTTTACTATAATCATCTTTTTTTGCCACCTTTAAACACTATTACAGTTAATATTGATGCATCAATTTGAATGAATGACTAAAAGGAGGGAAAATGGAATTGAAGCAATGAAAAGGAAAAATAAACACGAAGAAACTCACTTAACATCTTCAATGGCTTTTCACTTAAATAAGTTTGTTTTCATCTCATTGGGAAAAACTGTTGAAGGCAGTGAATGTGACTACATTAGGCAGTTGATTTTCACTTCTCCTGCAATACTCGACTCTTCGTCCTCTCTTCAATCACCTTAATTACACGATTCGTGGTGTTTCACCGGCTAAAGAAATCTCTTTCCCTTCTCGACTGAATAATAAGGGGATAAAAAATCACTTTAGCAGCACATTTCTGTATCATATTTTGCATATTAATGGTATTTGGGCGTGACTTTTGAGAGGGCGTGGCTTAGAACGCTCTCGTCTGTTCAATTGCACACTCTATGCAAAATATGCCAAGGAAAGTGATGCCAAAGCTAAAGATTCCCCGATAAATTTGAATTAAGACACAGAAAAAGTGTAATAACAGCATTTTCAATCAATTTTTCCCAATTAAACATTTCTTATCATCAAATTTCTAAACCTTTCACACAATGTCGTTCTATTTAACGTTTCTAATATGTTTTAAATTTATTTTGGTATATTCTTTATCTAGATTTCACCCTTAGTACAACGATTTATCTGTGTATGACTCTTTAAATTGTAAAATAGAGACAAAAAATACTCATATTAACACTAATAAAAAGAATTTTTACGGTATTTTGTGCAAAATAATGAGCGTCAGAGTCAATTATATCCACAATTTTTGCCCGTACTCTCGCTAAGGTTAAATAGAATATATTCTTCTCACTACTGTCAGTTAATGGTTTTCTTTGTTGCAACTTTCACTATCATAGAGAAAATATAGTATTTGTATTCAAGGATTCTTTTCTCATAATATTGGCATAGAAAAATAAGAAGGAATTGTGTATGTGTATTTATGCGGTGTGTGAAGAAATTATGCTCTTTTGTTGCGCGTCTCAAATATGTTTCCAAATTCCAAATTTTTCTCTTGTGTATTTGTGTCCTTGTGTTATCATTCTTCTTTAAATATAACCTTTATTACTTATTCTCATCTTCTTTTTTTCTTTAAGTTATATAAAAATACGTTAAATATATGTTCTTTTTTCATCATCAAACACAATTTGGTCAGTATTTCCATCATATTTGCTCCGTTTTCTATCGTGTTCTCAATCCTTTTTTTTGTTATTTGGTACGAATATCATTTTTATTTCAATACTTTTCTTGATTTGTTTTTACTCAGGCGTAAAATATGTGTTATAATGTCGAGAATATTGAAATAAAGAATTTTGGTATGTTACTCTTTCTTTAAATTCTTGTCCACTTTTATTACAGTACGTTTAAATATAAATATTTGAAACTTTCTCTTTCTTTCGCCATCCTCAATAGTAAGTTATGTCCTTTTCTTTTCATCTCTGCAATAAACTAAACTATTTTGTCTACTCTTCATTTATCATTTACTTGTTGTTTTTAATTCTTCACTATGTTAAATAGATGAGCTCGTTTTTTTCCTCTCTTTGTTACACATTTAAGTTTCTTGTATTTCTTTCTTTCGTCATTTTTATCCTCTTATAACATTGATTGGCACAAAATTTATCTTTTTAAACTATTCCCATGTTGGTTAATTCAAGAGACAATAAATAAATAAATTATTCTACTAATCAGACTGATTAATGACACTGTTTGTTGTTTTGACAGAAATAAGAAGAAAAAAAATGTCCACTGCTTGAAGAATGTGTGTTAAGTCGATATAATTATGCTTTAAGAACTCATTTTTAAAGTACTGCAAATTGAGTTTTGTGTATTCTATCAAAACATAAAGCTACATGTTAGTTCTTAAGACATGAAAATGCATTTAAAAAATATTCTCAAAGTCTGAACACTATAAAATACATTAGAAAAAATACATTAAGAAATCATCTTGAGGTTTCCAGTTGCTCAGTGTTGTGTGTTCTTTTACTCTGCTTTATGTAAAAATTCTGCAAAAAATAATCTCTCGCATAATTTGCAATGACAAAGGCATGAAAAATAAAGTTGAGAGTAAAAATAATCATTCTCTCTAAATCTCCTTATTAGAGGTAAATTCCTTTACTTGGTTGTTCTCTTCTTCCTATCGACTGTTGTGCTTCTTGTTTTCTCTACATTTAACACTGCTTCTCACGTTTTTCCTTCTTCTCTTTACCACTTTTTCTCCACAATTCATCATTTTCTCTATACACAAAATAAATAATAAATTAAAAATGCAATGTTCAAAACAGGAATGTTAGACATAAATGAAATATTGTGAGTGTTTTTTGCTTCTCAAGTCACTGAAAAAATGTGATCGACTGAAGAAAAATGTTTCCAATTGATGAAAATTTTCCGCTAAGATTTCTTATACACTTTTTTGCCTAGTTCTCTTCACCGTTTGTTCTTAAAATTGTTTTTTTTTCTCTTTTAATATTCTTTCACTAGACTTTTCACCATTTTTTTTAACTAGTTAGTACACTCTAATTCACCTTATCATGAAGAATATAATTGTTTCCTCTTCATGTTCTCTCTTTCATCCTTCATATTCTCCATTTAAATATGTATCTTTTCATCATCTTTAGTAAATTTAATAATTAATTTCTTTAATGTTTAATGTTCATGTGTTGTTTTTCCTCTCATTCACTTTGTGTGTTGTATCGTGTTTTGTGTTGAATTATGTAGTGTTTCTCTCTTTCTTTCTCTCTTCAATTTTTTCACCTTCTTTTCTAATTATTCTCTAGAGTCGTTTTTAATAGTTCTTCCTCTGCTCTTCCCCTCTCTCTCCCTCACGCGGTCCTCATTACTTTAATAGAGACCACAGCCCCTAAGGTTGTTCGCTATGATAACGTCAGTGACTGCATCAAACACAAATTGTATATTGTTCGTATCTGTGGCACATGTCATATGACAGTAGATCTCCTTTGATGTTGACTTATTTTTAGCCTCGAATTGTGCTTGAATGTATGCAGCCGCCTCTCCATACTCTTGTCCACCTGATATTTAACACCAATCATTGTTAATTGCTCACACCAATCAAATCGACATAGCACAACTCACCTGTGTACTCGGGGAAACAGATTGTCAATGGGCTCTTGCGAATCTTCTCCTCAAACAAATCCTTCTTGTTCAAGAACAGGATGATCGAAGTGTCCGTGAACCACTTGTTATTGCAGATCGAGTCGAACAACTTCAGTGATTCTTGCATGCGGTTCTGGAGAGAAGATGAGAAGAATTATGGATCGTAATGAGACAATTGGACAATTTTTGGCATTGATAATTGTTAAAATTTCTTACCGTAGTTTCATCCTCGTGCAACACTTGATCGTATTCCGACATGGCCACACAGAATATAATAGCAGTGACATCCTCAAAACAGTGAATCCACTTCTTTCGCTCCGACCTCTGACCGCCCACATCGAATAATCTGCCAAAGAGACATCGTAGTGTAATTACTCACAGACGGCGAATTGTGGGAACTTGAGATACTCACTTGAAATTTAAGTTTTTGAATGAAAAGTGAACTTCGACTATACCAGTGGTTTTAACTCTAGTCCGGAGAATATCTTGCTCTGTCGGTTGATAATCCTTAGCCCCCAATCTGTCCAAGTCATCCAAGAAACTGCGAATGAGAAGGGGGGAAAGTTGAGGGTCAGAGAATTCTGTGAGGACAGCATTTTCATGTTAACATCGACAGTGAAAATGAGAATTTTGGGACAAAATTCACCTCATGCAGGGCTCTTTTTCGGCACACATTTTCCACGAACGTATAAATATATAAATTAATTAAGTAATTACACTTGCGTGTTGACGCGATGTATATATTTGATTAGAAATTTCACAGTAGTGTTGTTAAATTTAATGTATTGCGCCCAAGAGTGTCTCAAGGGTGACATTTTTAGACGCGCGCAACACACGAAGAAAGTCCCCAATTGATCACTTGATATTTAACAACGAGTGTTCTCAACGCTTTTAATCGATTGTGTGAAGATTATTGACCTAAGTTACTCATTCAGCATCTCGAGTGTCTTCCTTCTTACACAAGATTGTTTTTTTAAAGCGGAAAAAATTCAACAAATACTAAAAAAAAAAAACGCGGAATAATCCGACGTTTTGTCTAGACTCACATGCAATAGGTATGTATGTAGTAAGAAAAAGACTTTACTCTATGAATGGTGTCATTGATGTAAATCACACCTTCTCGACTAAACATTAACCAATTTCTCGCCTTCATTCATCCGCCCAAAGAAGACAAAAGTGACGATCTGACAGGCGTGTGTTCTTCATCACGGATATTGAAAGACAAATTTACACTTTATACAGAATTATTAGTGATATTTTGTCAATAAGCTCAAGTCTTTCCTGTGAATTGAATTAGCTACACCACGACCAAAAGAATTCCCCTTGTAAGTTCAGCATTCTTCCCTCGTCGTGACCATTGAAAAAGCCCTAATTGTTCTCTGGAGGTGAATATGCAAGTCATGTGTGGCAACATAATAATTTCCAATATGTAATCTATCAAACCACGACGAAACTCACCCTTATCGAGGACTTCTGGGACTCTCAACGAGGGTGTCTCGAGCGGAAGACCACTTTAGATATTCCACCAAAGTCACGAAATATGATAGAGTGCTCAGAATTCAATTTCATAATTCCCCAATAAAATTATGGTTCTTGGAAAAGTTACAAGTGCATCACTAAAACTTCAATATTGCCTTCTCTTCCACTCACTGGCTCTTCGAAAGCCAATTTTAAAGCACTGAAACATTGTGCAATTTCTGAATAATTCAAGAGAAATTAGGGTAAAACTACCACGAATTATTTATTATTCAATTGATTAGTGCCTCATTGTCACAGTGAAATGACTTTATTGAGGCAAAAATCGATGAGAGCATTTCTCTTCTTCCTCCACAATATTTCTACTTTTTTTTCAGCAGCGACATTCAATTTTACTTCAGCTAAAACAATATAGTGAAAAGCGGGGCATCGCTTTTCCCTATACATGAAATCCTCTTAACTCTGTGTACACACAAAATCACATATGGATTTTTTGCGGCAGAAATAATCTGTCTTCGTGGTCGCTTGCCTGTCCGCGCGATAAAAAGAATCATTGCCGTGGTGGTTGGCAAATGACAGAGGGTGGAAAAATATGAAAAATATTTTCCTACAACTTTTCCATTCGTCAAATTTGCACGCGATGCTAATCCCTTCCTCTTCTTCCTATTTCCCACAACTTGCCCACACCCTTGCGGCGGCTTTTTTCCTCACTCAGCACAGGAAAGACTATCGATAGAAGAGTTGTGGAGCGCACAAAATGTTAGATAAGCCCTGCGGTTTGCTGAAAAATTCGCATTTGCGAAGAAAAAGTCAGTCAATTAACCTCCTTTCTGTTCAACTTTGTTATTAATACCCCTGCAACACACCCCGCAATTGTACATAGTAAATGGGTAATTAATCAATAAATCACTCTGTGAGATACACTGTCTGAACACATTTATGCAATCTCCCTCTCTTTCACTCTCAAGTCCTTTCATCACTTTATGAGATGTGATCAGAAATCATCACCGCGTAATGTTGATATAGCAGAAAGAAAGCAGTGTGGCTTCTCATTCAATTGCACGCAGTGTTTAGCGGATGAAAGAGGCCTAAAATGCCACATATTTATACATTACATAAGAGAGACCTATACAACTCGAGAGATCACTATCAATTATTTGGGCTTGAAATTAATATGCTCCAGGTGAGATAGTTTATATTTGAATATGTAATAGGCGAAAACGATCAAAAAGTCCGCACTTTTCTCACTCTCTTCAATATTGTGCATATTTTGTGTACAATTCGGTCTGTTGTTTGTCAGGAGAAAAGCCAAATATTGTGTCGTCTTGCGCTCATGTTTGAGCGAAAAGAGATTGAAAGGTGACAATTTCGGGGCCAGAGACCCTCTTTAGCATAAAATTTTATGTTCCAACAGCCTCATCATCATCAAGACAAGTCACTTGCGCGTACGACTTGACTATCAATTTTACATCTCATGGAGATTCTTATGTCACACGCACAATCGTGTTGGATTACAACGAGGAACATGGGAATAATTTTTCGCCAGGCTTAAACAATGTTTCTTAGACACTATTAGACAGTCATCGATAAAATATAGCATACGAGTCAGACCCCTTAGGGCTGTCCGTGGTTCAAACTATGCGTGCAAATTGGTGTTTAAATACAAATATCTCGCTAGCATGTGAAAGAATGGAAGAGACGAAGAAAGGCACGCATTCACTCCACACTTTTTCCACCCAAAATCCAAAAGATTCGGAACAAGTATCTAATTTGTAATATAAATTGTAATACCGCTTAAAACGTGAGTGTCTAAAACGAAAGTGCCTTACAATTGTGGACTTTTTTCTTAGCTCCATTAGATCCTCATTATTGTGGCGGGAGCCTTACAAATTAGACCACACTCTCATTTTCAACGCAGAGATGTGCAATGTTTCCTTATGTAATTATCCAATATCGGTCAAATAATGAAATTTCCTCCTTTACGCTGTATTTATCGAGCATTTAATGGCAAAGAAATATAATCTCTCACCCTGAGCCAAAGAGCATGGGATTTATTTCACTTTTACTACTGTTTCTCTTTACATGTATTGACTGCATCGACTCACAGTCATTGAATAACTGGGCAACAATAATATCGAGCAGTGGAGTAAGTGGGTGGTTTATTGATCCCATTTTTCGGAATTCTCATCTCATTGTGAGACTTACTTGATATTGAGGTGAAATTATCAATAAAAATAGCAATATTTCTCAATATGGACACACTTTGTAAGTAATATTACACCCTGCAAAAGTGTTAGAAACATGTTCATTTAAATTATATTTTATATGTGAGATAGAATGACTTAATTGTCAGTTACATCAACAATCTCTCCTCAAATCCCACTACAGCCGAACATGTTGATATCTTTTATGACTTTAGTGTACTTTTGTGCAATTTCTGCGTCAAAACATCCACAAGAGAAAGAAGGCGAGATGTTCAACCCACAATTGCGCGCTTCATTCATACATGATAGCAATCTTTCGCGAGCTTCGCAAGTGAAAATACCACAGTTAGCACTACCCATCTTTCCATCATTATTTAATAGCTATTGAGAGACAAAGACCATCTATTAAACTATCATATTGTTATACAATGTTAGTCAATTGCACATCTTGTGCAGAAAAAAAAGATTGTCAACTCTGTGTGCTTTTCATGCTCAATTATCCACAAACCCTTCCTCGTGAAATTACACCGGAAAGTTACAAAACTTTAGGGTTTTGCAACGTGTATTTATTAATAACATACATTTTAAGACTTATTGCCTGCTGTAGTTGAGGGATTAGCAAACTAGAGGAGAAAACACAAATCTCACGCTAGATCGGCATTGATATCGCGAAATATCATAATCAGGCTCTTTGCTGAACCCTTGAAATGTATATTAAATTTATTGGACATCAAAAACTGAAGGCAAGAGTGAAGACTCTGTGAATTCGCCCCTCATTTCTGTGGTGTGTATAAATTTTATTATATTGTGATATCAGTTAAATATCGTCTCACACTCTCATATGATTGCATTATAAGTTTAACTAGCGTGTTCCTGTCAAGCACATCAATTTTGAGCTTCCTCTTTTAAAAGCCTCTACACTCTCGGCGCGCCTCTCGATTCCCAACATCAACATCATTGTTTCCAATCATGAGCACCGCCACAACTTATAGCAACAACTCAATTTTGAAGCCTCAGCCAACGAGCATCACCTTAACACCATAATCTCGCACAGGTGATCGATGGTTTATCAATTAACTGATTCACTGACACCTCGTTGAGGCTATGTTGCCTTGTGGCGGAAGAGCTGTCGGGATAATTATATCAGCTTCTTTCAACTGTTGTGTAATGGACAATAGGGCAATTTGGGCACCATAATTGCAGGTTAGACTTACAAATGAGCACCGTCAGTGAGCATATTTGTCAAAAAGCTTGCTTTCTGATTAACTACACGGTATCTGGCGCAGATAAAATCTCCACATAATTAGAGCCTTGTCACAGCACTACAGAGAGTGTCACGAAAATGCAGGTGATGAATTAAATAAATTCCTGGGTGTCGTGACAAAAGTGCCACCGAGAAAAGCACAAAAAATCCGCATGATTTTGCCTCAAGGTTTGCTCAACGCACTTTTATGTTCGGCAAACATTGTAATATGTATATAAAAAAAATTTACTTAATTCTTAAGTATGTGCGAAAAGTGTGAATTTTTGAAGTCACTTGTGTGAGTGTGGAAGTTATTTTTCGTTCAGCTAATCTTTTGAATTGCATGATGTGGCAACTTTGCCATGTGCAATGCAATAGTGCAAATTGCAATTTATCATTTTGGCAAGGTGGGTAAAGTTTTCCACCAAGTCATCATCGACTTCTGAAAAGTTTTTTGAAAAAAAAGGCACCACAGACACTTCAAATTGAACATTGCCATTCATCAGAGAGGAATTCTATACATTTTCTTCGTCCGTAAAGCATAGTGTGCGGAGGCTCTCCTTTCTGCCACAACATGTTGCATAATAAATCCATTCATCATCAAACACCACCACTTGTGCCTCGGAGAATAATATTTAATAAAGTCCGCGTGGACTTGGGTTGGCGGAATTGAGGGAATTATAAGCTCATTTTGTTAAGATTTTCCATTAAGTCACTCACTCTGTCTCAATTTTTCCCATGGAGCTCAAATTAATGGCAGAATAATTGGTCCAATGAATGGGCAAAGTGTTTCCGAAGATTCGCCCCTTCTTCAGACTTTTCCCTTCATGCATCGTGCTGAGCATTTTATTTATGACATGCGGATGCCAAATTGCATTGCGAGAGAATCTCTATCCATCAGCGACTCTCTGAAACCTTCTTCTGCTCAGCAGTTCATCGTACAATCACTTTTCGATTTCAACCCAGAATTGAGTTCTCTTGCATTACGAAATATTCATCGCACTCAGCCAATGTTCAAAGCCGACAGATCCTCCAAGGCATGTTTTGCACGCCGCGAACGGGTTTCAGATGGAAAATTCACTTCAAACGGTGGTTATAAAAAAGCAACGTAGGTCACCTTATTTGAGACGTTACCACTCAATCTAGTGGAATGTCTAATGGAGAAAATTGCCTGCTAACATAGTCTCTGCATCGCCCATACTTCTTACACACGTGTTTTTTTTATCGCTTTGCAGTATTGAAAGGAAAATCTCTTATGTGATTCATTATTGAGAAGTGCGCGCATCTCAACATGAATTACCATCGTCAATGTTAGGTAATTTGTTTCTGAGAAAATCTCCATGTCTTTCTTACTGATTTACACACTAGATTTAATGATGCGGAATAAAATTTCAAGAATCTTAATTCCAACTATTTGCATCTCGAATGATCAAGATTTTAAGAAATCTTGATTACAGACTCATTTTCGTCTACTGAAAATTCACTGACATTCACCTGCCTTTCGGCTATAGAACATCCTCAAAATTAAGTGAACTTCAATGAAACCACCAAGTTAAACACACAATTGCCCTGCTTTCACACTCATAGATGAAAACTATAAGCAAAACAACAATTTTGCAATATATCTTCTCCATGCCAATGAATTCTGCATGACTCGATATTCCCTTGCAATTTCTTCTCTCTCTTTGTGTCTGTGTCTCATCAAGAAAACGGCAAAAATTGAAGTGAATTTCTAAGCTCTCATGAGCACCAATAGCACGAGTCTGTCGGAGAAGACAAGAGCCGCGGAGCAAGAAAGAAAAATGATAGACTCTGAGAGAGTCCATGCTCTTCGGGTGAGTGTGTGAGTCTCGGAAAAAAGTGAAACACACCGGTGCTCAAAAAGCCACGACGAAGAAGGAAAAAAGTTTTGGCGGGGCGCAAAACAGCCGCATTAGGCTTTATTTAAGCTTTGTGAATTTTTCCTACCCATTTCATTTGCGGCAATCAACGCGGTGTGGCGATCGCTCCATCGACTTGTGTGAATATTGATCTTTGCTGAATCAGTTGCCAAGTGATCAATGTGACAATGTGAAGTGATCTCAGGAGGAATTCAAGTGAAGTGTATTTGAACATTCGAGAGCAACTTGTAAAGAGATATTTTCTCTGCAAATTCACGCTTATTTTGGACCAATTTGAGCTCGGATTATTTCCACTCAAGGTGTTTCGCCCAAACAGAGTGTGTAGTGCCAAAGGAAAAGTGACTGTTATGCGGATATAGTGAAGAGAATAATTTGCACAAATCATTAGTTGAGAAAGGTACATCATGGTTTTTTTCTTCTTAATGTACGAAACCATCATCGGTCTCCCTCTATCACACAAAGATAACCTTTTCCATATTCCATCAAACCACAAAACTATTTCTCTTTTTTTCATAATCACACACGCACACAATCTGAGATGAAAAAGAAAACCTACTTTTTCATGTATAGTGTGTGACTTTTTTTTTCTGCCACTATAAAATACCCAAAAATATTATCAATAAAGTCTCGATGATCGTCGCGCATTTCAAAGTCAATCTGTTGTGTAACACGGACACATATTTTATTAAACTCGTCTTTAGGAATCGAAAAAGTTTGATTAATGCCATGAATTTTCACTTCTCTCAATCTCACAGCTTGGAAGCAAGTGTGGATGTTGAAAAACCGCATACATTTGCTAATAAAATCTTCCCACTTTGTCAGTCTTCGTCAACTTATTGCACTCGGATGCCATACAGAAGCACGATGAATTAATTAATAAGGCACGCAATCATTCTCTTGCATGTTCTCACCTCTTTTCGGGTTAATACAACCAAATGGGTAATGCTATTTGCATATCGCGTTCAAATGCAGACACTTTTCTCGTGCAAATATTTGGAGTGAGAGCGAGAAGACAAAAAACAAATACTATTTTTCAGTGATAAATGTTAACAGTTTTCACTTTTTCCTCGCCCATTCTCATGTCTGATGTCAGTTTTTATGAAGATGAGAGAGTTTCCCTCTATTGTAGAGACAGAGTTGAAAATGAATGAAAAAAGTACTTTTTATATGTCACACTCTTTCTTGTCACAGTCAAAACCTGTACGAATTGATCAGATATTACAACACTGATGATGATAATTTTATTCAAACCAAATAAAAAGGTCAGTGTGCAAAAATTCGTGGTTTCTGTGTAATTTCAAGAGCATCTGCCAAGGCTTTCAACCTTCACCATCCGAATCCAGGACTTTCACTGCATCCTCGGCACAGAAAAAGCTCCCAAGTCACTTTTCTGGCACATTCATAGGCCATCAACCCATCAAGAGCCGGACAAAAAAGAAGTACATACCTTGCACTTCACACAAGGTTACTTCGCATGGCAATCACCGAAAAAAGAAGTGCCTTTATTGCTCAGCCAAAATTCACTCGAGCAGTGTCATTAACTCACCAAAAGCACGTGTATCCGAAAAAAGAGGCGTGAAATGCACACCTGGAAATACTTTGTGCAACACTGGAATGTTTCTCCCACAGTCCAATTGATAAATTTGTCTCTCTGTGCCCTTTTCCAGACAACGACGCAAAGATGTCGAAACGAATTGCAGATTCTCTGATGAAGAGAACCACATACTCTTCAGCAGCCAACATCTTGGCTAATGATGTAATGGGTGTCGATGCACGCTCACACGGTCAATCGGACTTCTCCCTGGCGAAGCCCTACAGTGACGTTCCAGGACCCAAAGAGCTCCCCTTCATTGGCAATTCATGGAGATTCCTCCCAATTATCGGTGAGTAATAACAGATTGCACAAGCATGCATCCTCTCGGCAATTTGCCCGGAGATGTTAAGGCATTTTAGGCATGTATGCACATAAATTGAGAACTTCTCTCACACTCCATGTCGTGACTTCATTGACATTTCCATTGCAATGTGCATTAGAGACCGATTCTACCGCTATTGGTTACATCAAAACCAGTATCTATACCCGCAAAAGTCACTTCCCATCACGTCATCACATTGAAACCCAATGCATTTGTCATGTCTTCTCCACAGAATAGAGTTAAATTGTCGTTAGATAACAAATATTTTCCCACTTTCTCAGTGGCCTATTTTAAGTGTAAGTCAGAAAAGTGCACAAAATATTGCAACGACAGGTCAATGTTCCGAATAATAATAGCACAAAATAAGTTATTTTTAGCTTTTTCTGTTATGGGCAATATGAAATTTAATTGTGAATAAAAACATTTGTATAAATTGTTTGTGGGAACATAAATTGATTGTGGGAATTAAACTCACGAGAGATTCAATCACGAAATTTGGTAATTGCGTACTCAAATGCACTTTCAAAACAATAATATAAACATATAATAAACGACAAGTAAGGCAGTAGGACGGATTTATGCAATTCTTCTCAATTGCAATCTCTATCTACAGTGTCACATTGAGAATCTTTATCAACTCTTCATTGTGGAGTAATACAATTTCACACGCTCTCCCTTAAAGTTCTCCGCAATCACTGTTCAATTTTAGTGAATATTTGCTAAAGATATCACACAAAATGTGAGTCCATTATGAGTGATTTTGTGATGGTTTATCCCTCAAAAATCACTCAACATCGTAAATTTGCTCTCATCATTTTTGTGATATGAATAAATAGCCATTAAACTAATATGCAAATTGCCTTTTCGTATGGGATGGCGAGTGTGGCACACTGGAGAGCCGCGACATATGGATAAAAAAGAGTTGCGAAAATCGATTTTCCTGCATTATGCTGATGTGTATATATTGCTAGGGTATTTTAACACAAAATGGAAATTTGTTTGATTACACACATAAGAAAGAGAGTCTCAAAACGGTACAATGTTGAGCGAGAGAGATATATAACGCTCTGTGTGTGTTGCCGTGTAACCATTAGTAAAGTGACACGCAAACTTTTCCAGAGAGTTCCACCCTCAATAGTTTTTCCCATGCCATTTGCGCAATCATAAAAAATAGACCCACAAAATCAACTTTGGCACTTACAAGAGAGTGAGACCCTTTTGGTGACTCTCGCTCACACTAAATTGAAGACCTTGTGTGTCTTTACAATTGCACAATGGTGAGATGATTCCTTTTCGCTTCGTTCAATATTTAATTTATAGAAAATCCAACGGCGAAGCACAAACATAGGAGAGTCCCTTGCCACTTTTGGCCTGTAATCATCTCACATTAGTTGTCAGTAATAGAATTTTGACGATGGTAATCTTTTACTGAAGGTTTTGCCGGTGATTTTCTCAACAACCTCCTCGCGAGTTGTTGACTCTCATTAGATCATATTAAAATACCCATGGCAATTTATTAAACAACTCATACTAAATGAAACCATGAACATAACCATCCCAAAATAAGGCCGCTTTTCCCTTTCTAGAGAATAACAATAAATCAAAACTCTATCAATTAGAAATGCTTCAATTGCCACTTTTTTATTGTAACTTTATATAGTGATTACAGTGCTAATGAAACGAAAAAAAAAATTATTAGATAATTTTTCTTTCTGGTTTCTTTTTAATTCACCGACACACACAGCGAAAGGAAAAAAATTCAATTTGTCTAGACAAAAAAGAATGTCTAATATTTACAAAATAGAAGTAAAACTATATATGTATAAGAAAGCAGTTTAAATTGCTTATGCAATTTCCCCAAAAATAAACTCTCATTTTAACGGACATGCACACACTCCCTCATGGAAAAAGCAATTAATATTACATGACACCTTTTTTCTCCCTTTTTCAACCGCGTTCTTCTCTGATCGCCATCTATTGAGATGAGACGCGACGGATGATCAATGTGGAGAAATTTCACTTTTACTACCAACCATTTTTCTCCACAATGCGCACCTCTTTAGCATAAGCGGCACACATAAGGAGAAAAAAACGTGAGAATAATGTGTGAATCAGCTGACTTTGAACTACGCCAGAAGCGATTTTTTCGGCAGGCGAAAGATAATTTTTTAGCAATACACGCAAACACTTCCTATTGTACAAATCATATAGATTGAATCAGAGTGGAATTTACTTCCTCGCGCGATGATTAAATGTCAATTATAAAACAATTTGCAGTGACGATTTGAAAGGATAGAAAAGATCATTCGTCAAACTAAATTACACCTGACAAAACACAAACCGCACCAACAAGTTTCATACACTTTCATGCGTACAAAAGTGCAGTGGCAATGATTTTGTTTGACCATCTCATTGGTATAAATTCTTGCACATTGCAACAGTTTCAACGTGCTCTCGAGAGCAAAAGTGTGATCTTGTGCGCGCATAAGTTGCACAGACATTTCACCTGAAAACCCAACCCGTCAGTGTGTCACGCGCATTAATGCTCGCACAAAAGCCTCATAGACAAAGTCCGCTTATGCAACACCACGACATGTATCAAGATGCTCATGTTGAGATAGACAATCTTTATATAATATTAGATGCGCAGGTATTTAACGCATCACAGAACATCGGATACAGATTGAGGAGATTGAAACGTGAGTTAAGCGCTAATGCACATCAAAAAGTCCCTTCGTAACACATTTTAGCTAGTTCACACCCAAAGAAAATTTCCAAAAATCCCCATAAACAGTGCTCAAGTGTCCTTTTAATCGGAAATCCAAGCGACAAGAACTCGCTGACATAACTCATATTTATGCATAGGAACAATTAAATCATTCATGGCAAACCGGCCATGTAATGAGAGACCCCAATATTGAGTAACACGAGAATTGAATATACAAAACTGATATAACCCACTGTTCAGGTGAAGCATCTTTCAATTTTCAAATAGAAAAGCCATCATCAAAGAAATTTCAACTATTTGTTTCTATACCATAAATGCGTTTAGATTATCCAAGAGACTTTTACGACGTGCAAAATACACTTGAAGCTCAAAGACACCCGAACGATTCTCAGCACCTTTTTTCCCCTCTGAAATTCATACCATGCAAAATTAATCTTTTACATAATTCATCATCTCGTGGAGACAGTTTTTTTCTGTACCTACTTCTGCGGCTCAGAATCAATTGTTTGCGCTGTTTTTTTACAACACAATTGCTTATTATACAATAATTTCAATTGATTTACACAGTGATCATTTTCAGTCAAGTATTTCAGTGGGTTATTGAACTTTATGAGATTTGGGTGTTTTGTTGTGTTGATTGAAATTTAACTGGGAGATAAAAGTCATTTTTTTCTTGTCTCATTCTCACAGGCCAGCATCGCATTCAGGATTTGGACAAATTAATGCTAACACTTCACGAGCAATATGGAAAAATCGCCAAAGTCGGTGGTCTTATCGGTCATCCAGATCTACTCTTCGTATCAGACGGCGATGAAATCCGTAATGTCTTCCGTCGTGAGGAAGTTCTGCCGCACAGGTAATTTCCTTACACTTCCACCTTCCATCACTAAAGTCCACGCCAAACAACATTCAGTCTAATTTCCCCAAATGGATTGAAGGAAAATCATGCTCGACGCTCTCCTCCGGAGACTCATAATCGATTTTCATGCATACATATATTAAATTTTGCAAATAAAAAAGGGCCCCGACAAAAAATAACACTCTTTCCCCACGCACTTTCTACCTTGTTTTATTGGTAGTAAATCCGGGGTATAAAACAGTAAATTTCATTGCCATAAATCAATATTATGCTCCGCCATAGTCTTGCCTTCCCCACAGCAAAAAAACCAGCGATTGATATCGCGACAAAACAACGTTTGAAGACATAACCCATAATCCTAATAGCAGAAAATTTCCACAAATCTCCTTCTTGAGCAATAACGCAATTTTATTTTCCCAAATATCATCTTTTCAGACCATCGATGCCCTCTCTGCATCATTACAAGGCGCACTTGCGACACAATTTCTTCGGCGAAACAGCAGGATTGATTGGAGTGTAATTATTATATTCCAGAAAATGGAATATCCTTTCGCCAACATGCAACACCACACCCTCAATTGCAATTAAGTGTGTGTTTTGCATGTTGAAGAGGAATTATCTGCTATTTTACCGTATTATTTTCTTATGGCACATTTTATTTACCCATTTTACTATTTCCAACAACCATTTCTAAACCATCTCAGCCTGTTCTTCCTGTCCTCCACACACAATTAAATTGCGACAACAATTCCTCAGTGTTTCAAACCCACAAATCCAAGTGTGTGAATTGCGCACCGTCCACGCAAAACAACCATCACAATATGATAAGAGATGTTTCTGTCGTAAACAGCAAAATTTACATTTTAACAAATATTCTATTGTGAAATAAGTTAAAGATTTTGCCATTTTAATTGAGATTTTAATGTTAGTTTGATTGCATTTGATATTTGCTAACCGCACAAAAAGTCTTCACTTCAATCGAAGCGCGGAAATATCGAATCTCCACAGAAAAACCACATTTGCCTTATCAAATATCACACAACGGTTCAAATTGAATAAGCAATCTCTCAATTGACTTTCGAACGGATGGTGCGGAAAATTCACACCACACCTCGTTTGCTCCGCACTGGCATATTAAATAGATGATGTTATTTTGCAGACACGGTGAACGATGGGATAAATTTCGTGCACAAGTTCAGCATGTGATGCTCCAACCGACCACAGCTCGCAAGTACATAGCGCCACTTAATGAAATTGCTAGTGATTTTATGGAGAGGTACGCTTTACCCATGAATTGACTCCCCCTCGACTCACCATTTTCACTTCTTTTCCGCGATAAAATCAATTCCGTTCGCTCTGATATGCAATTCTGCTCTTCCTCATGGCTATAAGCTATTTTGCAATCATTCAACTTTTTCTCCATTCTAGAATCCATGAAATGCGAGATGACAACAACGAATTACCAGGAGATTTTCTCCATGAACTCTACAAGTGGGCTTTAGAATGTTAGTATAAATCACACAAGTTATTATTTCCACATTCATAACAACACAATTTTAATCATTTTGCCACAGTTGTGAAGTGAAAAGAGTAGCGCAATATCATGCAATCAAGACACTTTTATGAATTATTCACTGCAGAAGAACATAGCAGAAAACATTCTGATGGAAAAAATCAATAAGAGCCTTTCTTGAAATACCACTGCAAAATAATTCATATAAGGAATGTCTGCAGTGCTAACAAATTCCCTTTGATTCACCCTTCTCACACCCAATTTCAGCTATTGGGCGAGTATCTCTGGACACACGCCTCGGTTGTGTGACTGGAGATGGTAATCTTGAGTCAAAGAGAATAATTGAGGCAATTAACACCTTCTTCTGGACGGTTGCCGAGGTGGAATTGCGAATGCCAATTTGGCGGATTTACAAAACAAAAGCCTACAAACGATACATTGGGGCTTTGGATACATTTACAGAGTAAATTAATTTGTCTAATTGCTCAAAATGCTCAATTAGTCATCTCAAATGCATTTCCCTTGTCCTCTGCACAGACTCTGCATGGAAAATATCAATCGTGCAATGGAGAAAATAGCACAAGATCCAACTGTGAAGAGTGAGGAGAACATTTCCTTACTCGAAAGGATCGTCGAGAAGACAGGCAATCCGAAGATTGCAGCAATTCTCGCGATGGATCTGTTCCTTGTGGGCGTTGACACGACATCAGTGGCCGTCACATCCACAATCTATCAACTGAGTCAGAACCCAGAGAAGCAAGAAATCCTCCTTAGGGAGTTGGAAAGAGTGCTACCAAAGAAAACATCACCAGTTGATATACAAACACTTGAGAAGATGCCCTACTTGAGAGCGTGCATCAAAGAGACCCTGAGGTATGCCAAATTCCTTCTTGTCCTGTAACTTTCTCATGCTCCTCCTTTGCAGAATGTATCCCGTAACCATTGCAAATGGACGAAGTTTGCAATCGGACGCCATCATAAGCGGCTACCACATTCCGAAAGGAACCCATGTTATATTCTCCCATTTGGCAGCATCGAACTCTGAGGAATACTTTCCAGAGCCACACCGCTTCATCCCCGAGCGCTGGATAAAGCGCGGCGAAATGGGTAAAAAATTTCCCAAACATTTTTCCACACTATTTTCACACAGGCTTTTTCTCCCACAGAGGTTTCCTGTCCGCACGCCGGTCAATCAATTCACCCATTTGTGAGTTTGCCCTTTGGATATGGGCGTCGAATGTGCATCGGGCGACGCTTTGCCGAAGCTGAATTGCAAATACTGCTCTCAAAACTCTTTCGAAAGTATCAAGTGGAATACAATTACGGAAAATTAACATATAAAGTCATGCCAACGTACTATCCAGAGCAGGAATTGAAATTCAAATTGACAGAACGTCTCAATTAGGATCGCTTTCATTTGATTATCCATCAATTTAAGTTGCTCTTAGTTTGTCTATTCCAAATTATCTCTATATTGATGGATAATAATGAGACTCTACAAATCGTTCTTAGGCTATATTAGGCTACTCGTCTGTGCACAAAGCACCCACAATTGGCAATGAGGAGAATTTCGCTTATAAATAAAATGATCATGTAGAAAAAAATGGACTTACTATTTAGCGGAATCGTTCAATTGATATTCGTTGCTTCTTGAGAAACATTCTTGTACACCGGAGTCTTGCCACAGTCTTTTCATAGCCGCTAACAGGTCTTCTGAGAAGGGTTCCGTATCGTGCATCCTTTGGACAACATCAAACACCATTTTTGCATCACTCTGCAAAAAAAGTCACACATGAAATCATAAATTTTTACCCATTATCAAGACAAAAGGAACACGAAAGAAAGAATTACAATTGTTCACGACAGGAAGTCGTGTTGGTTGTTGAAAAAAGTGAAATTTAATTGGAAGAAATATTGTCGAAAATTAACTCTAAATATTCATTTTTCCACCCATTTTCTGCCCATTTACTTCGCCAAAAAGTACCCCAACAACATTCCCTCTCACTCTCTCCATCTAGAGACAGAGAAAAACACATGAATAATTTATAATCGCTAGTAAACACACATACAAGAGAAAATAGGCAAATTTTGGCACACGATCCGAAAAAGGAACACAACCCAAAATTGTGGGGTGAAGCACGGAAACTTACCTCCCGCTCATTGTTGCCATATTGAATATTTAAATTGGGCATCGCCCTTAAAATTGCAACTAGTGATTGTATTGTGTTGCTGTACACGACTGGTCGATACTGTTTGAAGTCTTCAGACGTGAAGCCACTTTCGTGAATAATTCTGCAAAAACACAGAGAGAGAGAAGAAGAGTATTAGAATTAGGGCACACAAAACTTCCTTCCAATGTGCGCCGGAAATTGATGAGGAAATCTTTCGGTGTGTGAGAGAGAGAGAAGAGAAACAAAGATGAGAATTTAACTATTAATCAAAACTATTTTTTTCCTTTTTTACAATAACACCAACTCAGCTCACATTGTGTGCCACTGGAAATTTATTTTTATCACGCCACTCATTCTCTCTCTCACACTACTCTCGAACCCACCCTCGCGTTGCCCACCAACTATTTGTTGATTTCAAGCGCGAGGGTGGCGAGAGAAAGAAACCACACATAAATAAATAAATAAAACCAAATTTGGTCTTTTGTACTTTCGCCTTTACCCACCCGATCATAAAACACCCACTCTTTCACAAATTGTCCCACAATTTCTGGGTATATTTTTAGGCAAACCATAAAAATTAAATAGACTTTGAGGGTGATTTTTCACATCTCTCACATATTTTTTGGATAAAATACTAAACTTTATGAAAAAATAAAACTTCAACTTTGCTTAAACATCATATTCACCAATAATGACACTCTCATTATAAGCAGATGAGCTCAGAAGTCACGTGACAAAATATGTTGCTGGCAAAGGTTGCGATTCATACGGCAAAAGCCAGCACTTATTACATATTTATGAAGGAGGACTGGTGAAAATTGAGAAAGTGGAAAAGTTAAAAAAATCTCCCCACTTGAGCATATTTTCCGTCACAACAGTCAAACCATTGACAGAAAGTTGTGTGTTTAATGAATGAAAAATCTGTCCTTGCACAAAGTGTGTGTGTAAGTTTGGCGGCATGTAATTTATCTGCCATTAACTCTCTAGTTGGTTCTCAGTGACTTTCTTCTTCTTCTTCTTCTTCTTCAACGGCAACAACACAACAGAAAGACACCGCAGTTTGAGAAATTGTATCACCAAATTATTCATGCGTTGCCCAGGAAAGGCATAAAAAGAAACATTAATTGACGAGGAAGTAAAAGCTTCCACCAAATCGTCAATCATTCTCCCCCATCAGTGAATTGTATTTCAATTCGAAGGGTGTCATTAGATGCTATTATTTTAATTCACTCCTCTTCTAAGTCATTCACGTGATCGTTGGCCTCTTAATTGACTGACATTTTTGTGGATCAAACTTTTCATATTGTATACTCACTTCATCTGTTTAACGATTGTACTTTTTCCTGATTCGCCAGCCCCTGAAAGACAGAAAGACAACACATTAGAAACGACAAAAATGACATAGAAATTCATATAATTTATCTCATTTATATAAAATTTGCAATTATATTCTCTGCATTAAATGACCTGCAATGCAGCAGTCCAATGTGCACATTTAATTGCACATACAGGGAGAGGCGGGACTTTTAAGTACACTGCACTTTTCAGCAGCACAAAATCTTGTCACTTTCACATAGAAAATATCTTTTTTCAGCATACCAATCATAATTTTGGGGTAAATCCAAGAATCTGCCTAACAATTTAACTCAACCTTTTCACTTTTTTCTAGAATATGTCGTCAATTCAGCATCGTTGTATGGGATAATTTTCCTCTCAGTGTTTTTCCCACTTAGCAATACTTGACCATCAAATTCCTCTTGTTCGCTATAAGAAATTTTTACGCAATATTTATTATTCCAATTATATCCGCACGCAGAGGTGAAGGATTTATATTTAGAATGTCACTCTCTTAGTGGGGAAACAAAAGGCGACGGAAATTATCATTGAATATTTAATTTTCACGATGTCAAGTGGCGAAAATTCACACAATTCTCCGCTCAAAGCGCGCCCAAAGTGATCAAAAAATATGTGAGATCACGTTGGATAAAATAGCCCAAAATCTCTGCTCACTGTTTGGTTATAGTCCCAAGGAAAAATTCATATCGCCAGAGCATTTTAGCACTTTTCACCTCAATCGATTGCAATTCTAATTTTACACACACACAAATTTTACATAGAGATTTGAATGAGGTGAGAAAAGTGCTCAAAATTACATTTTTTTCGCTTCTAAATTGAACCACATGTACCGCATAATATGAGAATAATCATCTGGGAAGCCACATATGAGGGAAAAGAAAATTGCTACACACAGAGGAGAGTCATTGAAAATATCTGCTGTGTGACTTTATAATCATTAACCATTGACGTTATATTTAATGTTCTCTATGTACATGCCATAGCGAGAGAGTGGAAGGCAGAAAAAAGGCATCAACTGTGTACATTGTCGACGATATGGGAAATAAAAATCAAACTCTAGTATCGCTCGGGAAGTGTGAGAGAAAAAAAATCATACTGAACAGTCAATCTAGAGAAATGATTCCTTTTTTTCCTCGTCCCATTTTTTTTTCCTATGCTGTTTTCTCATGGTGTTTTGTACAGCCCCAAAACCGCCAAGCATACACATAAGTTACAAATAGGAAAGTGTGCAGAGAGAAAAGAGCAGAAAAAAGCTGCTGATTCTGCGCGGATAATTCAACAATTTAAGAAGATATAGCAATTTTTATTCTTATACTCGCTTCTCTCTCCCCAAATGTGAATTCATGTATCAAATGTATAACTAAACCAGAGACTGGTTTTTTTCCTCAAAGGCAAGGAAAAAATAATGAAATTTTCCCCATGTCTCACTCACTCTTTCGCATATTAAGATACAGCACTCCAATCGCCTCTCTGGAGTACATATAGTGAAAATGTGACTCTATCTCCGTCTAGCGCGTGTGTGTCGTCAAGAGACGTCGATTTTATATCTCCCAATGTAAACGATCTAACTCTATTTTAGGATGTCGAATATGTAAACGGACCTTCTCTTTTGCAATCACTCTCTTTTCTTCTGCACATTGCTCTCTATTACATCCTGTGAGGATGCCTCTGAATTATATCGTTCAATTCACGCAGCTTCTGCCCCAAAAAGGCACCCTTTCAACGGGTTTTTGCACCATCTGTCGCCTAAATAGTGCCACTACACTGTCGTACTATCTAGAAACTGTGATTTTAAGAGCTGACATTTCACATCACAGCTTCTCGCTGTGGATCAACTACAAACATCAATGATGTCATAAGGAAAATAGATGCTTAACAGACTTACAGCTGAAGCCGAAAAGCGGATAAACTCGTTTATAGACAAGTAAACTTACTTTTCGCATCACATCTGTTTTGTGATGATGTTTGATGTTTTGATTTGTTGCTTTTTGAGTGAAAATGTGTGTTGTCTTGACTATAAAAGAGCTTTATCATCTCTCAGTTTAAAGCAAAAGTCTGGTGAGTATATAAGCTAAGTTTTCACTTATTGCTATAGTCTTAATCAATGGAAAATTGCAGACATATATGTATTCCATATCGTGTGTAATCTTGTCGTTGATAGGCAACCTTATCATTGCATGGCATATCAGCAAGACTCACCGAGCAGTAGGAGTTTGATATCTTTAGCCGCTTGAATTCCATCTTCCTTGAGGTTGCGTTCAATTAACCGACTTCGCGCGGCTGCTGCGCGCTCTTCAGCTGATTGTGCACACCCCATTGTACGTATTGCTTCGATGCAGAACGTCTTGACCGCTGTGATGTGGTTTCGGCCAAAATTAATTTGGCCGAAAGTCCGTGATAATAGGAAAGAAGTGACAGAGACACCTTCTCCTTCTTTTCTACTGTGAAATATTCTGTTTCTTCCTCTCTTTTTTCTACTTCTCTCCTATCTTGTGGAGCACTTCAAACACTGGGAAACCACACAATTTCCTCCAAGAGTGCGCCTCTATAATTTCTCACTTGAACACTTGAGCAAATCTGTTGAATAAACACCATGTGAATGTTTTCACAGTGAATTTCTCTGGGGAGAAGCAGAAGATTCTTTCGATACACGAAAGAAGGCTCCTCTTTGTTGGCGTGCCACCCCCTCCGCGATCCCGTGTTTAAAGAATGTCTAGTGGGATAATTGAAGGAGCAGCCGGTGATTTTGAGACACAAGCACACATTTCACACACATTGTGCAACTGAGGTTGCACGAAAACCACACACGTTTCCAACTCGGAGCGATGCTGATTATGTGTTAAGCCACATTTTGAATGGGAACAAGATTACTCTCTCAGGACACACGCAGACATCATTCACTTTCACTGGCCCCCAAGCCTGTGCGCTCCTATCCCAGAGTGACCCCACAATTTCGAGGGAAAATACGTTGACGTTTATGTACTTTGACGCATAATGACGCAAAAAGATGAGTCCGTGGAGAGTGAGACATAAGAGCGATTTATACTTGAGATTATACCACCCCACACAGTACATAAGTCACCCATTGAGGAGCACAGCCTCCCGCACAAGACAATGATGAACCCAACGAGATAAGACTGGAGGAAAAAAGCGCGGCCATACCTCCAAATTCTCGTCACACGCAGACAAGCACTCCTGTGTAAATGGGTGGGAAAAGGCGAGTGAGAGTGTGAGATGTGGAGCAACATTCCAAACGCTCGAGCGTACAGACATTTAATTCTCAACAGCATCCCAGGCCGACCCATATGATTCTCTCTCTGTGTCTCAGAGGCCTTGTCTTTTACTCTTCTTTAATCTAAATATACCAACGTAACACCCCATAGTAATAACAATAATTGTGTATCACGGAACTGAAAATCCTTCACACTACGATTATCTTACATCGATATATACAAAAAAAAAACCACACATTCTCTGTACAGCTCCATGACTACTGGCCTCTCATGAGTGGAGGAGACACACTGTGGATTATCTCACTAGCACTTCATATTAGAGCTTTTCTCTTCTCGTTTTTTCCCTCACAACTCCCAGCTTTTCCTCACACCCACACTGATTTTTGCACGTATTTCTTGTTGAATTACAATAATTTGCTGCGAAAAAAACCACAGATTCACAGTGAGAAAACACCCTTGAACTTGAGATGTTGGCTTATTTATTACATAAGTCAATAATAATAGGTTACTTTAATGAATAAACCAAAGCTATCAAGCTTGTGCTGATTTTGCGATATAACATTATTCATTAAACGTGAAAAAATAATTATAGGTATTTTAGAATGAATTGAATAATAAAAAACTCATTTCACTCGATTTTAAATAATAGATTTTTAACACCGTCTATTTCCTCCACACCCAATCGATACTGACTGTATTTTCTCGCTCTACAATTTGCTAATACCGGGATTGTTTTCCAATAGGGGATAGCAGGGTATAATTGTGGTGAATCACACCCGAAACAGACTAAATATCATTAGCACTGGCTGAAGTTTGAGAAGCACAGCAGATTCGAGTGTCAGTGGAAGAGGCCCAGAGAAGCCAAAACTCATATAGTGAAGAATAAATGAGCAATAAGCACCTTATGCTGCATGCAATACCCATTATAAATGCTTATCACGGAATTATACTGTGTGAGGTTAGCGTCTCAAACATTCACAATTCACGTACATTTGCCTTATTATTATTATTACATAATTCGCCTCTCGAACCAGTGATAAAGAAGGCCGCAATTTTCTCATTCAAACCTCCTGCTTTTCCTCTCCCACCACTCCTTGAATATTTTTCAGGGGAGATTTTTCCCTGATGATTTCTTTCTCTCTTTCTCCGTGTGGACTTTCTGGAGCTGACTTGGGCCTAACATGGGTGTTGATGGTTAAAAATAGTCTGATAACCCCGTAATTATATTTAATCAGGCAACTTCCCATGCCTCAAATTTCGTCCACGTATTATTCCATGTTATATTTGCATCCTCGCGATAACACAGCAGATTTCTGCCGGCATTACACAAGTAGATTGACTAAGCATACAAGTGAAAAAACACCAGGGCCCTATAGATTGTGATAAAGGTTGTTAATTTCCATCACCTATCACTCGACATATCATAGGGAAAACCTTGTGTGCTGTTGGGAGCGCTTCGATAACTCGATAAGAGAGAATAGTAGCAATTTCCTCACTTTCCACACTCACACTCTCTGGGTCACTGCCTTTTTTCGGCGGACCACCAAAGGCCAAAGGGTGGGCGCGCTTCGAGACAAACAACACCGTGGCGGAGAAGAATGTGTGTACGGAGAAACACAAGAAAACAATATCGGTCCCGGAAAATTATATTTAACCAGCCAGCGCCCTGTTGAATGTCCTGTTCTCTATTCGCGTTTTCACTATACTCAGTGCGGTTCACTGTTTTTCCCACCCCCAAAAATCTTCTCCGCTTCTCTCTCTCACACATACACCCACTCTTTCTCACTCTCACTCTCTCCCTCTCTCTATCGCTCTCTCGCAAAATGGGGAGAATGTGTGGAAAATCAAGATTTTCGCCCTTCAACTTTTTTTTTCCTTCTGCTCAACCCAACACAATACCCATCGTGTAACCACATCTTTCCCGAGGACATGGTGAAAATTTCTTTTCCACCCACTCACACTGACCCGGCTTTGGTTGGCACACAGAAAAGCTCATAAGTTTTCATTAAGTAGAGGAGAAAGAGAGAGACTTTGCCAGGATCTCCTTCAATTCAGTCACATTGCGAGCCGCCCAAGTGTTGAGTGAATTTGCGATATGGCCAAAAAGAAGATGAGTTCGCATGGAAAAAGACACACATCATAGATTGAATTGCAGGCAGTTGATGAGCGAGAGAATATTTGATGGCAGAGAAGAGAAGAGAAGTAAAAAAGTCATGGAAAACTTTATCATTTTCTCTTTCTCACTCTTGACAAAATTCAAGGGAAAAAATCGATAGCATTACTGGCAATATGGTTAAGAGGTAGGCGAAAAAACGCACTTTTCCACCCGTTTTTCCTCCCAATTCACCGTGGATTTTTCCACCAGAACGAAAATCAACTCACTCATAGTCTCAAAACCACCGACAAACCTTCAATTTCATAGCAATTTGCGACATCACACGCTCTTCAACCCCAGAGACAATTCACATACTTCCTGATGTTCCTCCGCATTAAATATCTCCTATTTCCACACCTTTCAGACTCGCACGTCTTCCTGGCCAACTGCTCTATAACTACACACACCCACAATTTGCGTGAAATTTCCACCTCGCGTTTAATCTCCTCTTCAGCCAAATTCAGGTGCACCTTCTGTCCTCAAAGCTCTGCCACTCTTTAAATCGCCCCCGCGCGTGCCGTATTTTCTTCAAGCTTGCAATCACTCACTATTGACCACTTTTCAACTTACACATTTTCCACACTTGTCCCTGAGTGCACAAATCAAATGAAATTTACCACTGAATGTGAAATTTTCACTGGACTTTCCGCCATTTTCCTCCGTTTCTTCCCCAAACCGCACACACAAACACACACTCTCAATCCCAGTTTCGGCAGTTTTCCACAAATTCACACCCTCACAATCCAGTTTCCAGTCCACACAAACACACTCACTGACTTTTCCAACCACTCTTCCAATGAATTTTCCAACAAGTGTGCGCCTGTGTGCGTGCCGGAGTTGCGTTAAACTGCCATAGTGGTTGAATCACACCATGATGACGACAACCGCGCCTTTCGCTGGATTTTCCATGAGTTGTAAAAATCGCACCGTAAGCCGAGAGATTTTTCTCCTTGAAAATCTTGCACCTTGTCTCTCTTTTTCCTCTCGTGCAATTCACCTTCACACCATTCACCGTCGGATGCGCTCCACCATATGCAAGAAAATCCCTCTGGGAAAATTCACACCTTATTGATTCATCATCACACCCCAGAAAAATGTTCGCTAAACACCCTCAAGAGAAAAATCTCTTCAACTTCCAAGCACTACTTGCGTGACGAGATGACACGGCAAAAGTTCACAGGTGAAACTTTTGTCTCCAAGTGTGTTTGCTCTGGAGCCGCCCAAAAAGCTTTTCACTCTCCGTCACTCTCGCCACTTCTTTGCGACGAGAAGAATTTTCACGGAAACGCTTAACCGGGCAGAACCGAATGGAATGTGCCGATGTATTGGTTAGAGAAAACTACAGAGAGACAATCCTTCTGTTCTCCTCAGACACCCTGGAGAGCCCCAATTGCCGGATTACGCCACTGTCTCACTCACTTATGGAAAAACCACCCAGAACGTTGGAAAACTCAGCACGAACAGGCGTCGTTCGCCTCTCGGCACGCGCATGCCAGGCCCAAAGCCCTGAATCTCTCTCTCTCTCTCTCTCTTCCTCTCGCTCGCTACTCTCATTGCAATCTAACGGACATACTTTCAACTCCAGTGGTGAATTCATGACACTTTTCCACCCCTCGAAACTATGAATCACCTTCGCGATAGGCAGGATCGAGACGAAGGAAAGAGAAAACCCCACAAAATTCACCATCTTCATAGCCACACACACTTTTGGAGGTCAGTTAAGTGATTAAAGGCTATCACGTAGGGGTTGAATGTATCCTTAAACTCATCCTAATCAACTAGTGAAATTATTTGTTATTCCCTCCAGAATTATGCACAATATAGTAAATAATTATGATTGCCTATTCCACCTTTCGCCCCTTTTCATTTTTCAATGACACCAGCGAGTCACTTTGTAGTGTGCAATTAGTGACAATAAAAAAAGCCATAATTATTGTGTTCTAGTAAAATTCTTCTTAGAATCATTCTAGCTTAGGGGAGAGTGGGGCATTTTCAGTCTATCTTAGGTTCAAAACTGTTTCAGCCATAGAAAATTTATCTACTATTGACTTCCTGGTCATATTTGCTGAATGAATGACTGAAATGCTGTAATTGATTAATTTCGTTACTGTCTCATTGGTTTCTTAACTAACTTTGATCCTCGCACTGTTAGGAAAAGATTTATTTTCATCTGTTAATTAAGGCTCTGGAATCCCTTTTCAATTTTAGCTTTGCAAAAAATCCAAAACAGGACAGAAATCCGCACGTAAACAGTGTGGTTCTCTGCGTCCTCTCGCCATGTGTCGCCAGAAGCGTCATTGTCACAGCCGGAGCCACAAACACACCATCTCCCTATGACGTATACATGAAATTTGTCCGAGGGTCCGGTAGCCACACAACACTTTCCGGCTATTCTCCGGCCGTCGATGATGGGTCTATCGAGGGTGCGCTGATGGGCCGCTGTGGGGAGAGAGGAAAAATTCTGCCGGACAATCTCTCTGTCCAGTGTGGGATCTAGAACATTCTCTGTGTTGCCTGTGCGCTCAATGTACGGCTGAGTCGCGCAGTTTATTAAATAAATATTTAAATAGTGGAGTCCTCGCATTTCGGCCAACACAATCACTCATTTCGCTTTTTCCTGCTGGCACTTTCCCGTTCATCCCCTCGGCAATGCGACCCCCTTTCTCTCTCTCCCTGTCTCTTTTTGTCTCGCCTCTAAACACACGTCCGGAATGGCAGGGGAGCCCAGAGAGGCGCCAACGTGTGCGAGGATGGGTGAGACAATAGGAAAACTTGTACACAATTTATGGGGATACTCTAGAAAATACACACTCTCGCTCATGGCCCCATATTGGATTCCATCGGTAAAAATAGTCGCGCCGAAAAAGAACCCCTCGCAAAACAGGAAGCAGCGAATGGACAAATCCCACTGGCGCACCTCAACAGCAATATCAGTGACGTATGATTGCATAATTCGATGATCTCGTTATACAATTGACCCATGGGGGGAAATCTTTCCTATTGAATCTGCCATGAGTGGCTTTTTGGATGACTTCCTCCCCAATTGTGAAATCATGCCAGCCCAGTAACGACCTAATCTGGGTCAATATGAAACTATTATACTACTTGCCTTCATGTACAATCCAGATGAATTTTATATGAAATTATACACCTCGTGTGGATTAAAATCTCTAGAACCAGAAAAGTCAAGTGGCAAAGCACTGACTGGTAAAATCCTCGAGGAACAATCTTGAGAATATTGTTGAAAGGCATTTCCCCAGGTGAAATCCTTTTTACAACTCTCCCTCAGACACCCTCGTTTTTATTGATTGATATTTCAGTGGATAACCGTCGCGACGCTCTCCATTCATAGTGAAGAGCTGTTCTCCTTGGCATTTTTCCACCACACAAATCCCGCCTCCAATTCATAATCCATAACATTCATGCAACATAAGTGATTTGTGCAATCAAATATGCAAAACTTGCAAGAATACCGAATAAGGGGGAGTTAAACAAATCACACATTGTGGAAGCTATTCACTATTATATCTCACAAATCAATACATTTCGCACGACGCTGTCTTTCCTCGACATTTCCTCAAGAGTGGAATTGGAAGAATGCAGTGAAAATTGATAGGGGTAATCAAAATTGACTATCAATTGATCAAAATCATCGTGAGAGCACGCCATAATGGAAAGGATTTGGTATAAATCAATCACCATAGAGAATACAGACATAAATTAATATTTTTAGAACAAAGTCGATGACTTCTTGCCATCTCTCCATCATCATCAATGCACACACTTTCTCGTAAACATTCAACATTGAAGCATAATTGAATAAATATGTTCCGCGATGTGGTGACAGGCATTCAGTTTACTCTCCACCAATTGCAATTTAACGGGAAAATTTCGTGAAAATCCTCGAGAACATGAATATATTACTGCATTCTGCAAAATCAGTATCTAAACTTTCAATTCTCTATTCTAAAACAATCTCCAGAAAATGTGCTGAAACCATTTAAACTTCTTCTGTACCTATTTCAATAAATTTCCAGCAGAGTGTAAATTTAGCAATGACAGCGAAACACATCTGCATGAGCGAATCCCTCCAACACGGTTCCACCATGATATCCAGCGTACATCAAATCATAGATGCATTCGTGAGACAATTTGCCAGATTTTATTCACGCACGAACTCTCTGCGATACTCGCATTCATTGTCCCTTTTGCGTGTGTCGAAAGGATGCTCTTTATTTCTGCAAATTCATCTGTTTAGAATTTATGCAACTCCACAGCTCAAGCGAGAGAAGTTCGCTGGGATAAAAATGACCATCGTGATAAAGTTTTCACTCACGTTGTTTCTGCACTCGACATTTTTCCGCAACCACACACATTGACTTTTCAGGGGTGGGAAAGAGACTTCCTGGGACATCTCTTCCTCCTGTCTCGTCTTGCAAACCCAAAAACCATGTACAGAACAACTCATATAGAGAAAGCACACACTCTTGGCGGATGTGAAAAATTTCCTCATTCACACAACTTCTGTGTGTGTCTCTATATTTAGTTTTTATATCTCAGCACTTTTTCATCCACTTCTACACCCTCCAATTCACCATCCCTGGTCGCTTCAGACTCCACCGCCCTATCTCTCCCCATGGAATGTACTTAAAAGGAAATAAAGTTAAATATTTAAACATTGTCGCTATTTTCATCCTTCACGGATGCATTTCAAGGAAATATTTTTATCCCTAGAAAGTGCTGCTCTTTGCGAATGATGTTTGCGTTTGCAAGACGTCACATTTTCCTTCTTTTCAATGCAAAAAAAAACGATAATCTTCTTTTGCACATTGTAAGGACAGTATTTTTTCTACTTCTCCATAATCAATACTGTCAAAACCACCATCAAGATCACCCAGAGTTCAATGTTCTCTATAAATTTTCTTTCCTTTCCTTTGCGCTCACCTTTCTCTAACCATCGGGATGAGAAAGACTGCTAAAATCCCTGAAAATTGACGTGTTGAGAGATAAAAATCATTTTAGTCTCTCAACTGAGATGCACTGCAAAGTTAATCGATTGAAGATTTTCTCAACTGAACCTCGCGAAAATCATTGAACTCACGCTGCGACCCTTATTAATACATGTACCACCTTTCCATTAATTTCCCATCGAGGGGAAATCTTTGTGTACACAACTTCCGTTTCAAGGGATGTAATTTGTACATAGATAAGCGCACATAGTAATTATTGGTGGTTGACTCTCTCTAGCCCCCGCCTCAACCCTTCTTCTGTGTGCAATTTCCGGCTTGTCGGATTTATCTTCATTGGGAATCATCATCAATTCCATTTTATAGAGAATTTTCTGCACAAATCCGCTGCGAAGCGCCGAAATCCACCCACAAAAAAGGTATAGCAAAAAGAGACAACTTACCGAGAAGGAGCAATTTGATATCCTTGGCGGCCTGGATGCCATCCTCCTTGAGATTCTTCTCAATTTGCTTGGATCTCGCTATGGCCGCTCGCTCCTCCGCCGACGAAGTGCATCCCATTTTTGAGAACGTGATTGATGCCGTGACTCTTCAAGGGTACACACGAAATACTGCTTCTTCTTCTTCTCCTTCGGACTTTTAATATTCAATTAAAGCCACTTTGTGACGTATCTCGCCAACAGATAATTATAACACACACTCTTCACGCAATCACACTTTTCTTCTCACTTTTTTTCCTTCCTCTCTTCACTTTCTGCCTCCGCGGCCCAAATTAGCGGCTACCTGGGAATTGGTGCAAAGACATGAATATTCGTTGATTGGCCTCTGAAAGGGTGCGTTTTTGACTCGCACTTGCAGATGAGTGGTGGATTTGAGCACATTTATTCTCTCGGACAACCCATTTTAAATTCCAGAAAGGACCTATTATACATAAGTCAATAACTGATTCTAGCTACAATATTTCGGTGTGTTCGTTTGGTTATAAAAGCCCCAAATATAAGATTTTATGAACTACTGAAATACTTTATCCCAAGAATTTTTGCCTTGTTCATACTGAAGACTACTCAAGTCTATTTTAGTTTTATGTCACTGTTTGTGACTTTTTATCGACCTGGGATTTCTTTTTACAGCGCTGACCATAAAAACAAGTTAAACTAGCCTTCAAAGTACATTTTCCATTGTTTGTTAGTTTCTTGAGATGACAATTTAAACGCCACGCCCGCCTTCATGCTCCGCCCACTAGAATATTTATCGATCGTCCATATCAATTTCTTTTACTTTAATTTATCTATTCATACTCAGTTAGATTTTCTTCTAATGCCATGTGAAACCGCCCTTGCTGTACATTACTTGGTAGTTTTAGCAAAATTGCGCCTGTAAATTCCGCGAATTAGGCGGGATTAGTTCTAAGAAACCCATTAGCGACTTATTCAAAATTATCTTCTCTAATAACAGCTTGAGGAGCCCAAAACTACCGATTCTCATGCCACTTGCCCCAAAAAATAGGGCTCTCGGGCGCCCGGCGTCGCGCCGGGGCCTCGTTTCGATATGACAGCGATTAGACAGCGCGGAAAGTGCGCCGGGGCGGCTTCGTGGAGGGTTTGGGGTGGGTGGAGTGGAAAATGCGTTGTCCGGAGGGTGGGAAAAGTGGTCTCAGGCGCAGAAGAAGGGTGGAGGTGAAAAATCTCTTGTCAAATCCATCCGCCCTTGCTGCTCTCCGCCACTCGCTCCGTAAGACTGTGGTGACAGCCAGATGGCCGGCGGCACCGCCCTGGGGCCACTACTAACCTCCAGTTGCAGCACGAGTGCGGCAAATGTGGGAAAAGTGCAATCTGTGCGACACTTTTCCTGTCACCTGCAGCGAAACTTGCGCCCGAATTCACGCGCTGGCACACTCTCAGACGCCAATCAAACACCACGGGATGAACACTGACTGCACTGGGTATCACTTTGCAGGGAAATATGGCGATTTTCACGCTCTTTTCCACCTAAAATCACACACGCAATTTTATCAGGCGAATTCCTAGTATCGCATTTCAGACGCCATTTTTCAACCGAGAAAATTTTGGCAGCTGTCACGGCACGTCTCGCGGTGGACTTCGCGTGGTGAAAAGGCGCGCGCGCCCACGTCGATAATGCAGGCGAGCGACGAGATTTCTCGGGAAAATCGCATTTGAGATGAGTAATTTGAGATGTCTTGAATTTTCAATGATTTTTTTTATTTGTATCAAACCACATTTAAATAATTTCCTCAATATCTTGTTTGAATAGTATTTTTTTGCTTTCTTTTTCATGTATTTTCCTTTTATGTAACACGTATGATTTTTTTCTGTCTTCTAATTACACTTTCTTGTTATCTATGTATATCAGAATTTTTAATTAATTATGCTTTCTTCAATAGTTAGTAAATATTTTATGTACTTAATTGAATTTTATCGAGGTGTATTACATTTACAAGCTACAAACCGTCGATTATCGCACCTTATGATAAAATAACGTTAATCTTCTCTCTTTTCTACTCTCCTTATCATCTCTCTAAAATATGTTTTCATATAGAGTTTTTCTCTTCCTTAATATTTTTTTCTCATTAGGTATATTTATCAAGTGTTTTCTTGTGTTTTCTCCACATTCTATTTAAATATGCTTTCTGCTTTACTTCCTTCTATATATTTACTGTTCTTAATGTACTTCATCTTTGTATTGTTAAAAAATAAGATATAATGAATTTAACACTAGATTGTTTGCTTCTGCTTGTTTTTTTCACATTTTAGGAGGCAAAATTATGTTTCCTGGTCACGGGATTGACTCTTTCCTGCTAAAATAGTGCTCTTCTCCACATTCTTCTCTACACATTTTCTGGCAGTAAAATATACTTTTCACACTCTTTTATACACAAGGCTCGATGATCCCAGAAGAAAAGAATTGGTTTATCCAAAAGATTTCAAACAATACGCATCAAGCGTGCAAATTTTAGAGAGTTTTTACACAGTCTTCACGATTCTTTACCCTTTTTAGCGGGGTTTTAGCAATCGTGAAGTTGCGATTGAAAGAAAAGTCACTTATGCTTGAGAAAGTGTCCATTGAGAGACGAATAAATAAATAACTACAGGAAATTTGCTCATTTCTTTGTATATTGCATTAAAACTGATAAAAAGAATTATATACATATTTGAAGAGAAAATTTGAGAACGAACAATGTCAAGACTCTTCCTAGAAACGCCTACGCATCCACAGAAATCTCAATAGCTTTATCGCGAGAACTTTACACTACGACAATCTACACTTTGCGCAACATTTTCTTCTTTAATATCCTCCTCAGAAAACCTCTTAAACACTACACCATACTTGCCTTTCTCACCAATCATGAGAAGAATTACTACTCAAAGGAAAGGTGATTGCAAGTGTATTCGATCTAAAAGTAAATTTTCGTTTAAACATTACAGCAATTTCGCATTCCGAATTTCAGTTAAAAAAAAATTAAACATTCTGATGCCTTAAACCAAAGAATTTCGCATTATAAATATTCCTCAAAGGAAAAAAGATTAATTTCAATAAGACAACACAAAATCATTCGCTTTTCTCAACATAAAAAATTGAATTTTGATATTTCTTCTCTTTTCTTTTTTTTGAATAAATCCTATCAATGATTTTATACTTCTTCTGCCTAAATAGATCCTTTAAACATGTGTGTTTCATCCTCCAATCGCCCTCTCTCTCTCTCTCTTTCTAATCAATAATGAGTGTTTTCCTCCTCTCTAGCCATCCTTTTAAACTTAGATGTTCATAAAAATAGAAAATATTATGTCCGAGATCGTGGTTTTTGTGTTTGGTCAGTGATAACGAATGACATCGTCGACAAACGCACACGCCCCAAGTGAAGATTTTGCCATCAAATTCCGCAACTCGTATCCGTGGGCCACGCACACGGCCAGTGGTGATTGCCAGGGATAATTCATAGATTCTGCAACGAAAACACTCCATTAGAAGAACATTCAGCTGATTAGATATGCATTCAGTCACCACAAAGCGTCACAATATGATAAACAAGTCATTTTCTACCCTTTGGGTGAAATATTAGAGAGGGCGGAGCTTCAAAGAACAAAAATCAAACTAAAAATTGGTAAAACCTTCTTTGTTGTCTATGAATACTGTTCAAATTGCAAAATTTTGCAGCACAAAAAGATCAAAGAAAGCTTTAGAATACAATTCAAATTAAACAGGTGTAAAAGTTTACACTTCGTACAATTCATTTTGAATATCAAATCAATACCCAAATCAATTTGCTTTCAATGACTCACATTCAAATCTTTAGCAACCACATAAATTGAATTGAATTATCATTCATTCCGCATAAGATTTTGCTGAGTAAACTCATCAATTTAAATCTTTAACTACTTTAGAACATCAAATGAGAAGTAATTTTGCCGAAACTCCGCCCACTCTTATGTTCCGCCTTTTCAAATTATCTCACATTCTTTCCTTCTGTCTATTTAACTGTTGACAATCTCACATAACTTGATTTACTTGGAAAACATGGTAAAGCCAATTTGTAATCAGTTAAATTATCAATGAACCTCTAAATTATCTCCCTCTAGAGGCCACACAAAGGTCAACTGATTACGAAACGGGCTCCAATGAACTGGAGAATGTCACAAATATACCCAAAACAAATAGATTTTCTCTCCTTCTCACCTAGTATGGCAGAGTTGAGAGCGGAGCAGACAGCTTCTCGTCGTGACGGACACAATTGCCACCCGAGCGGACTCGACCATGGATTCGAATACGCCAGTAAACTAAATGCGTCCTACAAGAAAAAAGTTATTGAATCATAATTCATAGTCATTCCGAAAGGGGCAGAACTTTACCTCAAGCATTTTTCGATTTCCCTCATTGGGCCCATTGTCCTTCTCCAGTCTCTGACTCATTTGAGACAACTCCCGACCAAACTCGAGCATCCTCTCGACACCGGACTTGCTGGACTTATTGCTAACAGCACTATCAACATCTGCAAAGAGAAGAAATCCATGAGTGTCATGCTAAAGAGGCCTGATAAATCACTCCTTTTTCCTTACCCATCTTCTCATCGCCGTCTATCGAGTCGTTTATATTGTCTGAAGTACCATTTTTATAACTATTACCTGCAAATATACAGATAGAGAGAGAGAAAGGCGGATGAATGTGAGTTTGAAGATCAATCTGGAGAGGCTCAAGAGTCCCTCACCATTGGCAATATGGCCATTCTCCATTTCGACATCATTGCAATAGTCACTGGAGGTGTGTGAATTTATTTGGTTGTTGATCTCCACATGATTGAGATGGGCATCAGTCAGATTGTTGTTACTTGGAGTGTAATTTGAACTACTATTGCTGTTCCGGGAGACGTTTATCAGACTAATGCGCATAAACAGACATTACTTTACCGGACACTCACCTTGTTACGCTGGTCTTCCCTTCGTGATTGTCGCTGATTTGATCGGATATGAGCGTGCCATTGCTCTGTGCGGCCGCCGCGCCGTTCTGATACGCCTTCGTGGACTGAATCACCGACGTCTGCACAGGACTCGTTCGCGATGACGCTGATGCCGATGAGGAAAGCGACGGACCATCAAAATCACACCCATTCACCATCTCAATGAACTGCCGACACTTGAGCATGAACAGCAGGTTTTGGTTATTCTCCAGCAGGCCAGGATATGAGCGCATCGTCTGCTCGATTGCATGGCCCATTCTTCCCGACATGATAAGCTTGAGGATTTCTACAACAAAAGTCAGTCAATTAGAGATTAAAAGCTTATTTCTTAAGCACATATGGATTGCTTACTCTGTCGATTCTTCACGGATTGCATGTCTTCCTTGCAGGACTGTCCCGTGGCCTTAGCAAACGCCTCTGCAGTTGCACTGTAGCCGTGGTGAATGAGATACGATTGCACCATTCTGCAAAAGAAACGCCATTCATTACTAACATGATGAGTTTCATGACTGCGACAATACTCACTCATGCAGGATTGTCGTCCAGTCGCCCTGATCGGCGGGCAGCGGGAACGAGTAGATGGAAGCTTTCGTGGCAGCTCTGAGCTCTTTGTGCATATCTTCGATGTCAAATTTGAACGGGTCCTGACCAAAGTTGGCGTCCACAACCTCCCCAGGCGTTTGGAGGCCCACAGTGGGATACAATTTGGCCGGCAAGTCTCTGAACGCGATGCCCAAGTGATGGCCGTTCTTCGTATAGAAGCACGTGTTGTCCACCAAATTCACGCCACAACCTATAATGTCGCCCGTCGTGAAAGTCGGTCCGTATGGCTTTCCAGCTCCGGACGATGAGAAGGAATTGCCATCGTCACCGTGATAACCGTACGATTGCTTATCCCATCCTGCAATCACACATAGAAAATGGCATTGAAAGTCAAATTCCCCCCATTAATTTCGCCTTCGATGGGCCAATTGCCTTGAATAGAACACATGCAATGTGAGCAATTTTTACAGTTGTATGCAATTTTCCTCACCTGGAAGTCGATTCATCTTGAAATTCTGGGCCGTGAGTCCGATGCCCATGTAGCCATCGCGCCCCTTTGATATTATTTTCACTTCGAAGTAGTACAGGCCACATGTGGCCGGAATTGGATGAGCCGTTCGCACTGAGGCTGCATCATTGTGTGACTTTCCAATTCCTGCAAGGAAGAGCGCATTGAGGGAATAAATAAATAAATTAGCACAAAATCATTACTCCTCGCGCACACATTCGTGAGGCCAATCATTTGAGTATGTGTCTCTATTTGCACTCCCTTTAGCCATCTTTCCACAAGTTCATTCACCCTCTCTGCTCTCTCATCAATGGTCAGAACGCCACTCTTCTTTCCACAACGCGCTTTTATAAAGCGCCCTCCACACACAATCATCCTTTTCGCGCCCAGCAGCGATTGAAAAGTGCACTTTCAGAAATAATTAGACCAAAATAGAGAGATGACAAAGCAACAGAAACAGCTCAACACTGCCTAAGCAGCAATTCTTCTGACCATGACCCACTCTTGAGGCCTCTCTTGCCTTACTCTCTCGGCCAGCGACCACGATCAGTAGCAAGAAATCACTCCGCCACTGTACCAACTCCCTCATGAGGGCCCAATCTGCCCTCGGGCACACGCATTAGAACGGTAAATGAGCCCCTCTCTGGATATCTGCACAGTAACAATGCTGACTGGCAATTCAATAGTAAACAGCAACTGTGAATCTTGAGCTTATTTTTCAACTTATTTTATATTTTTCTACACTTTTCTCCATGTCGTCTTTATCATATTTCTCTCTTTTTCACTCTCCACACACCGCACGATATTGCCTTTGAGAGAGTCGCACAACACAAAACACACTCACAACACAGTCTCTTTGCCAATCTCTCTCACTCTGCGGATGCCCAACAAAGGTGAATTTTGCTGAGATTCATCAACTTTTGCCTCTTCGTCCCATCTTCACAGGTCTTAAGTGCCAAAAGGGAAACAAAAAAGTCGACTGGTTTCATGGGAGACTAGGATTTGTGAGGGCAATTTAAAATGACTTGAGAAACTCAAGAAAGATTAGGAAAAATTATTACAAGCTCTGCCCCTATGAATACTCCGCCCACAAAAATTCCCTTTCACTACTTTTGAGTATTATTGTTCCAAAAAAAAAAAAAAACTTTCATACTCACTCACTTTTCCCTGATAAAGTGTCACAAGTGCTTCAAAACATTGATTATGAATTAGCTCAATAAGAAAACCAAACCTTAATTTACAGTCCAATTTTGCTCTCTGCCTTTGCAAAACCACTCTGCCCTAAATCTAAAACCCAAACGAAACACTCAGAGTCACCCACGCATGATTGTGGAGTTCTAAGTCATTTTTTCCACTCGCTTTTCATGTGATTGTTCAGAATAATTGAAGTCAGTTGAGCATGTCATTTAGTTTAAGGTTTTATAGTGCTTCTCACTCACTCGGCGATGCAACACAAAATCATGAATATACAGAGAAAATTGATTTATCTCCTCAAAATCAAACGGCACCCGCATAACCCAAATCTTTATCGCTTGTGAATTTTGATAAAAACGTTGGGCATACGAACAGTTCCCATTTTCTGTCCAGACAATCTCAACTCTCTACCTGAACATCAACCTTGGCAATTGCAAAAAATTCCAAGTATTTGGCAATTTGGAGTTTCTCTAAACCCATTTTCGAGAGATTCAAGCGATAAAGAAAATAGTCCAAAAGTAAATCAATATATGATTGAGAAATTTGCATGCTAAACTGCGTCTCAGACATTTTGCCAACTCCTCAATCGCATTTTATCATCACTATATAGTCGTGAAGTGCAGGCGAATCAATGGGAAATATATTCACTGCTGAATTTCAACCGAGAGCGACACAAGTCTAGTTTCACATGGAATTTAATGGGTGATTATGGTATATTTTTATCACTCCAGAAAAGTCTTCTCGCCACTGACGTTCCCGCGAAAGCGAGAAGACTCAAATGCTTTTCTCACTTTCTCAGGCAATGTTTGAGTCTATTTCGAGACTCTGTGGCGAGTATTTGTAAACATTTCGAGTGATTTGGCCACTTCTAATTGCCATTTTCAGATTAAATTAATCTCTCCCATAGCAGAGGAATCCAGGAAAATAATTATCCATTGACGAATGGCAGACACAAAATGGTCTGCTCACCCTAAAAACCACCTTGATGAATGGACTTTGGTGACTCTGGTCAATCGCCCATCTCAATCAGAGCCTCAGCAAGACAAAAAAAACCTCTCGCAAAGCACTTCACAGGAAAATTTAACAAAATTAAAGACTCATTGACGCCACTAGATCGATTTCTTCACCAGCAGAGAGACTCTTTGAGTGTCTCTTTTTGCCTCGCCTCCGCCAAAATGTGAGAGAACTTGAATTGGTCTGCTGAAAAAATCCCACTCATCCAGCCAACAGAGATTTCAACGACAAGCAGGGAATTTCCCTGGTGGAAAACTCACCACGAGACAAAGAGAATCTATAATTTCCAATTAAACCAAGCCACACACAGTGTGTGTGGAATGTTTCTCCACATTCAATCGCATTTGGAAGGAAGGACATTGAGATTTTTGGCCTATGCTGAAGGTTACCAAACAACAAAACACACACACAATCGCAAAAATTGTAGATTGACGGGAAAAAATGCAACACACTTCCTCAAACACCGCTTTTGCTTCTCTGATAACATCAAGAAAAGTCCCATGAATCTTCAGGAATGCGGAGAATTTCACAGAATGTCTGTTCATACAATAATAATTTATCTATGAAACTTTCTCAATTAAATCGAATTGCTTTCAATGATCTAATATTAAAAGAAAACACACAATTCTGAAGCTCTACTTAACTACGCATAAAATCACAATAAATTACTCATGAGCAAATGTGCGTATTTTATTGTTAATTACGCGTGTGCTTGTTTTAAAATTCGCAATTCATTTATTTCTAACTAAATAAATAAAAAATACTAGTAATCATAATGATTAGTCATTGCTTCGCGGCATTTGAGAGGGCGTGACTTCAAAGTGGGCGGAACATCGAGAGCATTTCCCTCTGCAATGACCTCTCAATAAGTTTTGAACTTTGAGTCAAGAAGAAAACTAGATGTTTTATGTAGGCAAGTAGGAAAATCATTGAAAAACCATTGACTAATTAGCAAAAATACCCCACTAAATGTGTATAGGGTCTTAAAATGACCATATAAATTAAATTTTTTGAAGTTAAGAATGCCAAATTTTGAAATGTTTTTGACTAACTTTTCTAATTTTTCACTTAAAACTATCCTTAATGTTAATTTGAATATTTATAAACAAAATTATAAAAAAAACTCAATGTTTCGTCATTTTTTTTGTTATCTAATCAGTTAACAAAAAAAAATGCACAACATTTGAAGCATAAAAAAGCAGTCTTTTGCCTTTCAAAAGGCAAAACAATCAACGTTGCAGGAATATGTTCCACAAAAGAGGTCAAAAGTCCCGAAAATCCCCTATTTTTCGCAATACACATTTTTAGATGACCTTCTGAGGTCTTTAGCGAACTTTGGGGCACTGAGAAAGCGCGTAGAATCCGCGAAAAGTCCCTGCGAGGCGTGCGACAGATGGAAAAGAGGAAAAGTCTTCCCAACATTGAAAATCAATAAACAGGATGAAGACAGATGGGAACAAAGTGACTGCAGGCGCTGACGAGTTTTCACCCTTTCCCTGGGACGCTGGGCGCGCTTTCCCAGGACCGAGGATGTGCTCCCGGGACATCACAGCTGACGCAGAGTCGCGTGGGTGGGGGTGGGCGCAGGGCAGACAGATTCGTCCAGAGGCGCTCCCGCGACAGTCTCGAGCGCGCCCCAGACGTCCGGAGAGCGAGTGGCGCGAGGTGTTGGGGCCAATGCGCCTGGACGGACGGTGTGACAGGAAGTGGCTTGGGCGAATCAGCTGATGAATCTTTCTCTATTTACGCACTTAAATTTCTCGCTCTCTGTGAAAATTCGCTTTGTCACAAACACACACAAAAGAAAAACTCTGAGAGCGTTTCATGGCTGAAAACGACACAAAGGCTGGCGAAAAAATCGATCTTGTGGGCGATGTCTGGACACGGGAGGTGGTCAGGGAGTGCAAATGGGAATCTGGGATGTTCCCACTCATGCTTCTGCATGCATTTTCACGTCACCTTTGTAGTGAACACGCAAATTATTTTGGGTCAATCCAATGGTGTTGCACTTGTCCTGAGAACTCCAGCTTCTTGGCAGCGGAGTTTCGTCCTCGTTTACGTTCATGTAGAGCAACTTGAATCTGTCGACGGGCTGGGCGGACGACTTGCTGCTGGATTGGCTGCTCTGTGAATCCATCTTTCCATTTAGCGCACACGAAATTTCCTCACAAATTTTATCTCTCGAAAACTCACTTCGCCATTAATTAACATTTGCCACGGATTGCCTGATTCGATGATTGCCCGATGCGAGGCTGCCTTCGGGCCACGCTTCGGTCGCGATCGGCTGGGTTCCGGTCAGCTGTCAGCGGGTTTTGGCAATCATGCCACCCGGCTTGCTGGTCTCCCGTATACGATTAGTGCGTGGTACTGGGAATGGTATATTTCTTCACTTTTATCTTCACCTTTTTTTAGAATATCTTTAGATAATTCTCATATGCAAGCGTAATGTCTGTGAGGTTTGATTGAAGAGTCTGAAGGCACAATATTTATTGAGGAATTCATGGCGAACAGCCGAAATTATACAATTTACACCTATAAATATATGATTTCGTGTAGCTTTTGAGTGGCAAATAGAGTGGTCTGCTGGGTTTACAGTGAGCTGCCAACGATTTCTTGTTTTGGTTTGGTTCTGTCCAGAAATTCGAGATGAGTGAGAAGAACTCAGCTCTGGCTTCCCTGACAGCAAATTACACAGATTCTGAGAATGAAGAGCATGCGGAGGACTTTTCGCCAGAGTCGAAAGGCTCCCAAGAGTCAGAGGTGAGTTGTATAACCAAAACAAAGAGTTCCGGCACGCTTCCTCATGCCACAATCCATTTCAGACACCAGTTGGGGCTCTCAAATCAGCCGGAGGGACTCCAATGCCAGTCAGCAGAGAAGTTTCAGCTACACCTCCCCTGGCGGTGACACAAACAAGACCTCCACCGCCAAAAAAAGCCCTCCGCTTGGTCAGCTACAACGACAATGACGAGATGCCGATCTCTGACGAGGAGAATGTGTCGCCCAACTCAGAAATTAGTGCCATGGACATTTCAGAGGAGGAGGATCAGGTGGAAAAGGAAAAAGAGCCTCCAGACACCAAGGACCGTTTCGCGGAGTATGGATTTCAATTGCCACCAGAGCCAAAGGGGAAATGCGCTCCGGAATTGCAGGAGAAGATCAACAATCTGTATGAGAAGATGAAGAACAGCAACATGGACATGAACAAGGTGATTCAGGAGAGGAAAGAGTTCCGCAATCCCAGCATCTATGAGAAGCTCATTCAGTTTTGCGACATCAATGAGCTGGGAACAAATTACCCGCCGGAAATCTATGATCCTCTTCAGTGGGGAAAGGAGAGCTTCTACGAGGACCTGGCCAAAGCACAGAAGGCGGAGATGGACAAGCGGGAAAAAGAGAAGAAGGACAACGCCAAGATGGAGCAGGTCGCAGTGGCGGCGCGAAAAGCTGAAGAAGAGGCGAAGAAAAGGTTCCTGACAGCCTTGTTTGCATTTTATCGTGGCTTTTATTGTGCTATTTGTGTTTTTCAGGAAATCCAAGTGGGACCAACCTGGCCCCTCAGCCAATTCAGCACCTCTCAAGCCCGCTGGACTCGTGCAGCCGTCATCTTTGACGACCAGCATCACTGGCACGAAAGGAACTGTGATTTCCGCCTTCGGCTCACTGCCCAAGAAGCCCAAAGTGTGAGAAGGTAAATCGCCGACTTTTTCAAAAATCGTTTATTAATAAAAAAAAATCTCTCAACTTACAAAACATCTACAGTGGAATTTGAGTTAAACAATAAAAGACATCTCATAAAATTAGCAACAAATCTCTTAATGATAAGCATTGACTTAAGCTACCTTTGCCACCCACACCTGATTTTACACTATTCTGAGATTGCTTCCCGACAAAATAGAAAGATTAACATCATTTTTGCGTGTTGGCAGTGAAAAACGATTTAATATTCCTATTTAAGTAATTGATAAAATAGTGGTTGGATTCTGTGCACCTGTCTTAGAGAATTTAATTCCTACTTATGCAGGTACTTATGAAGCTATGCGACTCGATAGATCCCTACAATTGCCTATAAAACAACTACAGCTATGAATTGCCTAATTCTACGGAATGTTATTGATATTAAGATGAATTTTATTCCCTTTTTGGATTTATAGCTGCATCTGGAGCTATACATTAACACTAAATATTGGAGGACAATCATAAAAAGTCAGTAGAAAAAAAAAACACAAAGCATATTTAAACAATATTGGCTAAATAATTTATATGAACTAAGATTAAGATTGCCGAAGTATGTGTAAAAAATATTGGAATTTTTATACACATTTTATTGCACATCCGGCCTTTATCACATGAACTATTTTTCACTGTCTATTCCTTAAGCCTTACAAACATTACAAGCTAGAAAGAGAGCATTAAAAATTGCACGATAAAATTATTTGGGAAATTTACAACATCACTTAAAATTACAATGTTTTAAAATGACCAAAGAACAACCTTATGAGTGAGCTTTTTGAGGGATTTTCTGGGAAATCCACTCGTGATTTTTCCAAATATAATTTTTGTATTTATTTCATAGTAAAAAATAACTACATTCTTCACTCTCAGGTACAAGAGAGACTCCCGAACGATGAAAACATTTAAAAATACATACAAAGTCTATCTCTTATTGCACCAATTTGTCAGCCCATGTTTATTTATCTACATATTTTTACAATTTTGGGCCTTTCCTCGAAACGCAGACAGACTCTTCTTAATAAATCAGCATCTGTCTTTTAATCGCAATTTAGCGTACGGAAACTGGCCTGTGCTTGCTCTGTTCACTGCAAACACCATCACTAAACGTAATAATCTTAAAAATAGAGTTGCCTAGAGGTTAATTTTCTATTAAACAATTCCCTAAATTTGACTACTGACGCATTTGCTTGAAGAAGACCGAATGCGTTTCCACACTTTCAGCTCCAGATTCGCACAATTCATCCGCATCGTCGTCACTTTCCTCCTCAGAGGTCGATAATCCGCTACTGTATCGTTCTGTATCATCATCAATGTCCTCTCCAACTTCCACGATCGAGTGGTTATTCTGCTCCTCATTGGCATTGTCTGTAATCTCGAGTGTAATCTTGTTGGTGTGCTCCTGAATCATTGAGTACTGATGCTCAGCCTCAGGCTCAGGACACTCCACGATGTCGATGTAGGAAGCTTCGTTGATCTTGTCCTCGATTGCCTTGAAGTTGAAGCGATCGTAGTACTTCCGGTTAAAAGCTTTCGATTCATTGGAATCGGCACTCATGTAACCACTGTCAGGTTCGGCCTTCCGGCGCGATTGCGGTGGTGAGATTTGCATCGCAGTCTTGTTCTCATTCATGTTTTCGTCGATCAGCGAAGAAATGCCCTCATCGCGATCGACAACTTCTATTTCGTCCACGAAATTGAACTTGATGTCAGGCTTCGTTGGACTGCTCACTCTCAGCTTCGAGCTCGCCATGCTGACAAATCTCTTCCAGGCATTCTTGATGTCCTTGGACTTTTTGGCACGATCGCGCATTCCCATCGCGAGCTTCATGGCATCACTCTCAGGATTGATCTCCACCCTGAAAATCTTTGGAGCTTGCAAGTTCGAGTGCTCCTTTAAGTTCATGAGATTTGATGTGAATTTGGCCGACTTGAGAGTGCTTTGCTTGGAGGAATTGGTCTTGATTGAGTTGGTGCTGATCACTTCGATCCGATCAATTTCACTCTCTTCCTTGATATCATCCATCTTCTCAGAGTCGCTGCTCTTCTTCTCCGCCACTTCTTCAATCGTCATGTACGTGTCCATGATGTCCACTGGCTTCCCTTCCATCTTGTTGATGTAGCATCCGTCGTTCTCCGCGATGTAGTCGTTGTTGTCGTAGAATCTGGACAGCTTGTTGATGGTCGTGTACTCCTTCGTGGTGGGATATTCGAGATTGTTGGCCAGAATCCGCCGATCGTGTTCGAATTCCGAGTTAGCAATGGTCTCTGAAACGCCGGTGAATTCAGTGGTTTCGCTATTCGTGCTCCTCGTCTCGTACGTGTCGGTGTCGTGCTCGAAAGTCTCCTCCTGACAACTCTGATCGGCTCCGCTGAATTCCTCCGAGTTCCAGACCGTCAGGTTTTTTGCCATCGTGTGACTCGGAGAAACCGCGACCGGTGGCTTGGGATGGTCATAATGGGAATTGTAGGGAATTACGTCGGGTGGCAAAAGTTTGTTCTTCTTATTCAGCGTATTCTCTGTCATTGACCTCTGTCTTCTCGCATGCCTCTCCTCAAGTGTTAGTAGCTTTCCCTTCTCCATGAAGTCTATGTTGGTCAAGGCTGGCCGTTGAAGATTCTTCTGAGTCTTTGCCTTGTAGATTTCCCTCAGGCTGCCAAAGGTCTTGGGGCCACTGATCAAATTGCCAGAGATCGGACTGATCGTGTCACTTTTGAAAGAACCAGTGGTTTTCAAAACCAACTGGTTCTGTCGCTGTTGCATGTGATTCAGGTCCGGAAGAGAGGTCATATTTTCGAGAGAGGAATAATTGACATTATTATCGGGACTGTTGAGGAACTCTGAAGATTTCACCAAATGATTATTCCAGGCTGTGATGTTGGGATTTTGAGGCGCTTGATTCCTCTTTGGTTTCCTGTCCAGAGTGTCGGGTTCGAACTGATCACTGTCCGTGGACAGATCGTATTCATCAGGACTGGGATCCAATTCGATGGTCATGCTTCCAGCGTAAGGCACGTTGTATTTGATCTTTGAGCTTTGCCTGCTGCGACTGGAGAACGCGGTGCTTCCGACATAGACTTCAGACACCAGAGAGTAGTCAGTCTTCTTCTTGTTCTTCCCCACATTTCCAATTGTGTCCTTTCTAAACCCCTCCACCTTGTCATAAACTGCGTTTCGCATCTCCACTTCCTCCTCAAGAGGCAGCGCAGCACTTAACGAAGGACTTGGTTGGGAGTCACTGCTGCTATTGGACGAGGATGGGGAAGAGAATGTCTTCTTTCTGTTGCAAGGTGCTCTCTCTAAGCTGTCCGTTTCGTAATCCACTATCAAGTAGTGCGGTGACTTGCGAGCATATATTGGCGATCCTGGCGGGAAGTTCTTGTTCCTAATGCGAGATAAGCTGTGGTAATCTGGAGTGGGAACTGAAGGGGAATCTCCGGGCTTCCTAAAGACATGCGCTTGGTAATCTTCATCGGTGTAATCAGGCGTGGGAAGCTTGAGAGTGCCGAAAGGACTCTCAATAGTTTGCGTTCGATAGCGAGAATCCTTGGTTAAGGCTTCATATACCATGTCTGGCATATTCTTTAGCATCTCCTGTTTCCTTACTTGCACGTTGAGAGCTGACACACTTGCATACTGATCCTGAACTTCCATGTGCTGCTTCCTGTGACCACGATTCAACGGCCTCGACGGATGTGGATTCTTGGGCGGCAGTTCTGGGCTCGATTGTAGGAACTGAGGATTGTTGTAGATCTCCGATTTGGCAATCTTATTGTACAACTCCACAGAGGGTTTCTCAATCCTTGTCGGTCTGTTGATGACTCGAGGTGGATTGGGCGGAATCGGAGGAGCGCGTCTCTTTGTGCTCTTAATGCTATTCGCTTTGATAGTATCAGAATCTGAACTGGATGAGCTTTCGCTTCCTAGATGTTTAAGGTTCTTCTTCACCAATTCCGTCGTCTTTGTTCCCTTTTCTCCTACATCGGAGTCCTTCTTTTCAGTATCTGAAATTGGGCTTTCTTCGTTAACACCCGAAGACACTCCTTCTAGCCACTTCCTGATGCTGTTCCTTTTGTCGCCGCAGTTTCTGCAATTGCCATCGTCTGGAGTCGATGACAATTGTGGTAAAGGCGCTTGCTTGGCTGAAGACACAGAGGCAGTCTCGCATCCTGGACATCCTGAGCACGGAGGCTTCTTCTTTCCAGTGCCCATAACACTACTCTTCTTGCTTGACGCCGCTCCCGATCTGCCATAGTAGATCTCCGATCCGTTCTGCAACTCTTCAGGCAAAGCTTCAAGTGAGGGTTGAAACTTCTTCGTTGCCATCTTGAATTTGGCTATCGTGATAACTTCTCGGATCTTGTGGAGGAATTCCAGGGCAGCTGGAGGAGGAGAAACCAAGAGATCGGGTTCGAAGTAAGCAGGATTGAAGTACAATTTCCTCCTGATCGTGCCATTTACTATGGCTTTCATGTTCTCTAGTTTGTCCTCTGCCGACATGTCTTCCACTATAGAGACATTTTCCTCGGGAATTCTCTCCGTGTCTTGAGTGCCTGACGAATTCTCGTGAGCTTCATCGCCACATTTTGGGGAATTCCTTCCAGAAGCCAGATGAATTGTGGCCTGAGTCTTCTCAATGTCAATCTGTGGGAGATCTTCGTCGAATTCCGAGTTGGAATTGGATTGATCACTCATGAAGCCCGAATTGTCGCTGAGATTGGGGAAGTGTTTGAGCAGAGGATTGCTCTTGATGATACCCATCTCCTCACCTACGAGATTTCCTCCAGTGACGTTCCTCATGTTGTTCCCCTGATTCCTGGGTGAGTAGGACTTGCTTCCGTAGATGCTAGAGCTGCCGTTCCGGTGGAATCCTGGTCCGTAAGTCACCTGATCATTGGGTGGGAAAGTGAGTTCGTTGTTCTTCATCGTGTGTCCTCCAAGTGAGCCATTTGGACTCTGGTTCTTGCGCTTCTTCATGTGCAGATAGAGGAACACGGACGCCACATATATGAGACCCAACAGAAGACTACAGAGACCAATGACGACATATTCTCGAGTGGTGAGACCTTCAGAGCTAGATGAGGTGGACGATTCAGACTGGAATGAGACTTCGGTAACGTCTGGAAGAAAGAAGGAAAAGGCACGATTAGAGGATGATAAAGTCGGTTATTTTATTGCGGGAATTGAAGTCAATGTCTGCAGAATGTGCCAAAAGTTCACACATCTGCACAAGTTCTATGACTTCACTCTGATTAACCTGTTGAACGGTTAATTGATGGCGTGAAATCAATATAGCCAGAGGAAATCTCTGCTCTGTATTTTGATAGACAGCGTAAGCGACTTTTACTTTCTACGTCCGTGAGATCTCATTAGTGGTCAGAGACATGAATTTCCCATGGTCACTTTTATCATCATTTGTCCATTGTATGTTAAAACTGTTTGGGCCCTAAAAGAGGTGTTTTCTTTGCGAGATATTGCGCGAAAAATGTCAGAAATGCGTTCTGTGAGCACTTGAATAACACAATGCCTTGAACTTTTCCAAGCAAAGAATGAAATATTTCACATATTCTCCTCCTTGTCTAATGAGATGTGCGCTGGTCAATGCAATTACACAAACTCTCTCTCGTATTTCTCTTGCTTCTTTTTGCATTTGGATTCCAGGGAGGGCATTACAAAAAAAGATCTTGGGAATGAGAACTCCTGCATCACTTCACTTTCCCCCTTTTTCACAGACACTCTTTCCCCACATTCGTCAATCGAAAAGCTTCCCATCGTGTGTCTCGTGTGCCACATTGTTCTCATCTCGTGTTTGGAGGCAGGAAAAATGATTGTTTCGCTTCTCTGGGACACGAAATGCTCCGCAACTTCTTCACCCACGAACACAAATCAATAGCGCGACCTTGTCTTCACGCGCGCAGCATTTCTTTTCCCGCGAGAAGAAAGAGACTAAAGAGGTGGCGTTTTGTAGCACTTCTCATCTTCATCTTTTTTTTTCTTCCTCTGCCCCGTCAATGCCTTCACGGTGAATTTGTACAAAGTAGTTAAAAACATCGTGTTAAGAAGAGAACATTAATAATAATATTGTTGTAAGTTGCACGCGCTAGAAGGCGCGGCTTCTTGAATGAGCTTTTCTTGTGAGAATGAAACACACATGCGCACTGTAATTTGGCGAGACGCAGAAAAAAGGGCGCCCGGCAAAAAATGTCGGCAGAGAAGAAGAGAAATTCGAGTGTGAGCTACACTTCATCTTCACAGAACACCCCCAATAAATTAGTAGAGAGTTAATACTCACTATTCACATGCTTAATTGGTGTTCCAACGACGCGAAAAGCCACACAAGGTGTGAAGATATTCTGGTTCGGCAGTAAATCATCGTCCACAGATGCGACTGCAATGAAAAGTACGGGAAAATGTTATTAGCCTTGTCTCTTCGGGGCGAAAATTTCCCATCAATACTCGTATGTTTATTCAATCTTAATTTACAGTACACGATTATTTATTTCCTACACATTTGTCCACCTCAACTTAATCTTCCAACTCTCATCTCTCTCGGGTCACGTATGAATGGAGTGGACAGAGAAAAATTGCGACGACGCCAAACAAGATCCACCATTCTCAATCAGTGCCGATTCCATCGACAAATGTGACATTTCTGCATTATGTTCTCCTATGTGTATCTCATGCTCAATTACAAAATCAACAGTAATTCCTTATCATATCATCGATTCCTTGGCAGTCTTTCTCTCTCACTTTTCTACACGTTGACCGTTGAAAGACACCACGCAACAGTGCCCGATCGGCTTCTTGAGTTACAAAAGCGCACTCATTTAGCGTCACTCTGTGTCACGTAGTAAATTATCGGGCATAAGTTCAGTTACTGCAAACTATATAGCAAAATCTCTAAGGAAGAGTAAATGAAATATGATCTTTAGAGACAAATTTAGCGTTTGAATTCTATATTCTTCAGCTAAATTCCACGTAAATCTCTTCTAAAATATGAATTTGTCTCTCGCTGACTCGAAACAAATAAAATTTGCCGCCCGATCTTGCATGAGTCAATCTGAGATCTTGCAATTTGCATGATGATCGTCTTATCTCACGCATAATAATTAATATTTCAACTTGGGAGGTGCATCTTTTTCTACAAGACACGTCTTTTAATCACCATCGCGCGGGTTGAACGACTGCGCTGTCCATCACGAGAGATTGCGAGTCTCCCGATGTCCTTCTGTGCATCATAAATAATAAACCACCTGTGGCAGAAGTGGGATGAGAGTCTGGAACTCACCTCCGCCGCTGCTGGAGCGGTTGTTCGGTGGGAAAGCCGCGTCCGGAGGAGTCATATCGCGACACAGCAAATGCACCAAGATAAGCCGCCCCTGCATTCGGAGCCGTAATTCCGCCTCTCCGGCCCACTGGAAATTAATTATGGCATTTTATTGTGTGAAGCCTTTGTGTGGCATAATCATCATAGCGCCTCTTATCGCCGAGGTACGAGGAAAGACACTCTCTCACCAAATTCTAATGGCTCTCCTCTAATCTCGTCGTAATTCTCACCTGCAAGAACGTCCGTCCCTCGTCGCGGAAGAGTGCAAAGGGGACATCGGTATCGATGGGATTGCGCAGCTCTGACCAGCCGGTCTTGGTGAGGTACTGAGATCCCGTCACGGCGCATATTGGATTGAGGATGCCTAGAAGAGTCGCGATTCGCGGTGTTTAATGGAATAATATAAGCAAAACTCTGGTAATTCCCAATATTTTCTCATAAATAAAATTAGTTATTGTCTATTATGTGCAAATTAGACTGTATTAGAAAGCGGATAATCTGAATGAATTGGGAAATTGTGATAAATTTCACACTTTTCACCGTTTCATTCCTTCTCCGAACTCGTTCGCTCAAGACATTTTTTATTGTGGGCATAAAGTCGAATTTATGAGATATTTATGGCATTCTCTGAGACATCACCTCTCCTAAACACACCAAATTGATTCGTAAATAATCATTGTCACTTAGAGATTCTTCTGTAAGATATCAATGGATTCTTGGACAAATCCTGGGCATTCTCTGCCCAGCAACAAGTATTTTTCTCTGCTCACTGAAATTCTCGCGGCAGGAAAAAAGGCAATTGAAGCAGTAGGAAATCTTCTAACTAGCAGCCAATAATCGGGAAATACAGCGTGATAATTTCGAAATCTAACCATCATCGTAATATTCTCTTATTTATATATTTTGAGATGGGAGAGAGATGATTATGCAAAGGTGTATGCAATATGGGAAGATTGAACTCATCATCATTGCAGAGTTCAATGTACAAGCTTGCCTTTTTTCTGCTCCACAATCCTTCCTCAACTTCCATCAGAAATGCTGTAATCTTCAATTCTTACCGGAGCAATTCCTCCTCAAACCATTATACAAATTAGATCGTGTGTATGTGGTTCTTTTATGCCCTCTTTTCTAATCTCTGATCGCATTTTTTCCATAAGTGCCACTGTAAAAAGTCCGAGATCTCAATCACTAGAGTGCAATTGCAAGAAATTCTTCAGCTTTCCTCCATATTTCCTCGTCTCTTGAAGCTGTGATCGTGGTTGCATTGGCATAAATATCACAAAACTGCATTTGAAAGTCAGAGAGTTGAGTTTAGAACCACTCAAAATGCGTTGATCAACACCGAAGACCTTCCCAAAATGATCGAAATCTTCAAATGAATTCATGAGAATTCTATGATCACATTACAACTCGATTTCTGGGTTGAACCTCGGGTTATCTGGTGGGAAATGGCGTCAGAAGGGATAGCTTTCTGCTGGCAAAAAGAATTCTTCCGTGTTTGCGATGCTGTGGAACGTGTAAATGTTTTGCTGGACGAGTCAAAAGAGTTGTTCTATGGGCAAAAAGAGGCATTTAATTGGCAAATGCAGAGATAGTTTGCCTTTATTGAGTCATACTGTGCCGGAGAATGTCCATATCGAGTGCAAAACATGGGATGACTCTGTGTACAATTCCTCTCCCCATTCTCAGGCATCTCTCATTAGAAGGTGTTCAACAATGGATGGCATGGAAATGCGGGGGGCGAATGTTAAGGAATTTACACGTGTTTGGAGGCCACAAAGTGATGGAAGAAAAATCTACACTCGCATATCTTTTTATGTCTTCATCGGGCGACCAATTCACGCGCTCGGTGGGATAATTTATTGGCAAAAAGGCCATTCCTGAGGGAGAGAAGAATAAATAGGCGAATGAGCTACGGCCCTAAATCAAACACTCATCTCATGGAGAAATTCTCAGATTCTCAGTCATACTGAGCAGATGAATACAAATGAGGGAATTATTTTAATGACACCTCTGGAAATCCAATATTGTGCCCGAGCATCGATGAAGCTGACCAAGAAACCCGCTCTTCAGCTGCGCGCGCGCTCAGTGGGGAAAAAATCCCGCAAATTTTGCTTTGATCAGAGAAAATAGTCCAGAGGAGAAGTCAATGACTTACAACTCCATGATAAGTGATTTAGGATCGTCTTTTCAGCGATTTCTCGACACTGCGGTTTTTTTTTCTGCACGAAGGCTAGAAAGTCAGACAAAAATTTGCACATTTGACCGTTAAAAAGTTAATGTGATGTCATTTATCGCCAATTTTGCAAAGATATCTCACGACTGCAGTATAATTTTTGCGAAGAAAATCTTCACCATCACGGCATCAGAATTGCCGCAGGCGCGCTGAAATTATCTTTTACAGTCAATCGCCTATTAATTATCTCTAATGAGAAATTATAGTGTCTAAGAGATCATATAAAAATTAAATAAACATCAATGGGCAAAGGAAACACTTTGTTTGAGGAATACATCAAAAGATGCTCATTTTATGCTATCCATAAACACACTTTTCGCCTCTATGTGGCTGAATAAAAATGTTCTCTGCCCATAAATCTGTCTCTCTAACGAGGAACACCCACCAAAATTTTTGGTAAAAGCTCTCAGGCTCTCACTGCTCTCACCATTTCTGGAGATTGTGATTGAAGTCGGATCGAAAATGGGTGATTTTCGCTCTTGTCACACCCAGGATTACTTCAGAAATCGATACTAATTTCACAAGATTTACGATTGATGAAAATGGATCGAAAGAGTCTTCTAGAAATTGGTATTTTTGCCTTGTATCGCATTAATCTTCATGAAGATTAATTGCTGAGCTGTTATGTTAATCCATTCCACGCCTAAAGTATCAATCAAGACTCAAAGTCTTATCAATTTCAGTGCGCGGTAGCTTCAATGAGTCTTGACCTCCCAATTCTGACGATGAAGACGCACACCAAGTGAAAAATGACTTGTGTGCACTGCAGTGCGGAAATTAATATCGGCAGATGAACTGTTGACACCACAATCGCATGTTTGGCAGTTAATCTCACGCTGCTACAGGGCAATTAATCAGAGATTTTCCATTAAAAACCTACCTGGGAAATTGATTTCGCGACTGGGATGAATAATCTGGCCGCGCAGAGGCAGGAACACAAATGGTATCTTCTCCGTTGATGAACCGCTAACGAACGGTGCCAGGGTGCATTCTGTAAGTGAGAATATCAATTAATATGGTGACAATAATTGGATGCTTGGCGACCACCGAGTGCCAAATATATCATCAGCCTCACCGTGACAATTAATTTTCGATAAAAGGCAATTTCCCTCGCTCAAGAGCCCCCAATTATCCGCCCAAGTGCTTCGGGTGGCGGCAGAATTAAGCTATAGCGCGACGCTTTGTTGCCACGCCGTGGCAATTTGCATACATTGAGATGAAAATTGAACTGCACCTAATGTCACAAGGGGATCGTAAATTTTATTTGATAATTCCTCCCATAATTCCCAGCAATTTATGCTGAATTAACGAGATGCGCTGCTTCTGGGCAGTAGTTGCGCTCATCAGTGGGGCGTTTGTCATGCCAAAATGACCCGCAATTCGCGCCAACGATCTCTGGAACCCCCTGAAGAGCATCAGCAAACATTTTATTGTATGACGAATGCCAGCATTACATTTTTGTGGGAAAAAAACCAATAAATTTCCATGGAAAGACCATCTCGTAAAACAATATTGAATTTCTCTTGCAGTGCCATTCGGCAAAAACGCATCTCTCGGCAAAGAGATGCATTAGATCGAAATGAAGGTGAAAGTTAATAATAAAAAGAGATGCTTTTCAATAAATTGTCTGGTTTTTGCGCATGTGAGATTTGCATTCCCTCGCAGACGGTGAAAATGGCAATGATTGCAAAAACGAGCTTCTCGCAGAATCCATTAAATCGTCATAAATCCACGCAATTTGGATAGTAAATGGGAAAAACATATGGACCAGGTAATTTTAATTAAATTACCACTGAGTTTCAATAGGTTTGCCGCGATAGGAATATGAAATCGGGTTCGTCGCTTTAAGTCTTACGTTTTGTTCTCCGACTATTCTCTGAATTCTTTGATGCTTTGCTTCTGTCAGGTGCGATTAAAGAACAATTTCGAGAAAAATTGCTCAGTCAAAAGAAATCAGAGCAATTATTGTGCCATTTGGTGGAATTATTTGTATTGATTTCGTACACTTTAGCCAAGCAATGCAATAAAAGTCTAATTATGGCGAGATTACAGTCATTTTTACGGTATTCTTAAGACCTCAGCAGCAAGAAATTGACTGAAATCTTATTAGAACGTCGAGAAATTTAGCTATAGAAGAAGAATTTGTACGTAAGCTGACTGGAATATGACCAGTTTTTGCATTTACTTTGTGCCGACTTCAGTTTGCTACTTGAGTATTCAGTAGATTTACTTTGTCGAATTAACTTTCAATTAGAAAATGCTCATTTGAGAGATTTTTCCAGAACGTTGAACCCTTCACAGTGTCTTTCAGACAAATCGTGTGGCAATAATGGTCTCATCTTCACTACATCTGCTCCAAATCCTAAGCCATTCTTCACGCCCAGGCAACAATAGTTCCCCGCATCTTGTGATTAATGGAAATATTCTCTGAGCAGCGCGAACACCTCAATCCGACAGGTGCTCTCAGTGAATTCTAGGCGAGATCAAAGAGAACTTGCCACTTGAATGATTTTCATGATCTTCAAAGTCATGCTCTCATATGTGCTTTACGCACATTGCCATCATTTCGAGCTCATCCTTCTCTTTCTCAATCATTCGCAGCCTTTTTCCACTTTGGCCACGGAAATTTCATGTATGTTCAGCCACATTATTGGGTAAATTGGCCATTGTGCAGCAATCGATGAGCAATTGAAAGACTCAAATTGTGCGGCGGAGTTATGAAAAAAAACGAAGTTTGCGCGTGTCTTAATTGACGCTCGAAGGTATGGATAAGTGTTGCTGAAGAAGTTGGTTGTATTTTTGCTCCTTTGATGGGTAAATAACGATTTTGTGAATTATCAATTTGTGGAAGAGAGCAGTGTTCTCACTCTCTGGCAATGGCACGCAATTAATTTTATTCTAATCGTATGCAAACATTGAATCGCTCCGTTTGAGTGATGTTGAAAGCATCTCCGGTGGAAGGGTAGAAAAATTAGACGTACACGCAAATATAATTTATAATTGAACTCCTGTCGAGCTGAACACGGCGTCGAGGAGGGTTGTCTGGCCGGTGCAACAGGAATAGGATTTGACCTTTTGCTCGTGGCGCGTATGAAATTGAATAATTGAAATGGTGCTGCGATGCTCACGCTCGTCAATTTGCGAGGCACCACATCTTTCTCTCCCCATTCCGTGTCATGCCATGATGAACATTGTGCACAGGACAAGAAACTGATATGCACACACGCGGGCATTTCAATTGCACTATTATAAATTTTGCACAATTGCCCATCTTAATTGGTGCAAAAGATGCGCAGGGAAATCGGAATTTCACCAATTCCCGGCCTTCGTGCGTATGATTAAAATACTAATATTCTATTATTCTGTCACAAAAAGCCTAGGCTTTTGTGCCTATGGAATTCTATTGAGTGCACCTGAGAAATGGTGAAAACGTGAGATCAATATCGACATGCATCTCACTGCGGACAATGTATTGAGATATTTATATTAAAACAATCTCATTGTTCCACAATTAAATATCGATGCGGAGTGAATTCTATTACATTCTTGCTACTAGGCTAAATTCCAGATGGTCTTCATAGATTCCAGAGGAAATGCCTTTTCAATGCAACATTTTAGTTCAATATTTTTTCGGGTTATGAAGCCTTGTTCCAAGCTTAGCGAGAATTTAGCACGAATAAGATTCAAAGCCTTTCAATACGGAACAGGGTAAATGAAAATTTCTTGGTAAAATTGCAAATTACACGTTTAGAGTATAAAGCATTATAATATACACTTTGTCTAGTACTTCACGCAACCTCTCGCTGAAACATCTGCTAATTCTTTCATAATTTATATCCACTGATCACCAGGTCTTCCGCTAGATAAGACACAGTTGCGATGAAAGTCTATAAATTCATCAGGCACACGGCGTCAGCTTCTGAAAATGTTGCTGAAAATGTGCGCAAGTCGTAAATCTGGACATATTAAAAGTAAATCACAGCCCGATGAAAAATGCTGCTTCTGTTGCACATGTCAGACTATCTAGGGATTCTTCGGCAAGTAATTGGTGGTTTAATTCATTGGAAATTGATTCGAATGTCGTGGCTGATCACAGTGTATGGCGAAATGTAGGGTGAAGAGGCCTTCAATTGCCTTCAATTGCATGCACGCGTTTTGCAGTTTGATATATGGCGGCGCTGCTCGTAAAAAGGAAGGCACTCGAGGCACCTTTTATGTGAGGGCAGTGGAATTGCCTCCACAAATACACGCGGGGAAATGGAGGAATGAGTTAACGAGACTATTAATTTCTTCATGTTGCCCAGAAGAGACCACGTGGGCGCCACTAAATGACAAAACAAAACGATGATGGAGGGAGCAACAAAGTCGATTAAAGGTGCATTAGAGATCGGGTGACTGTTTCGCGAGCGATTAAATTTGCATTTATTGCCCGGGTAAAATGACAACATTGAGATTTAAAGTGCACCCTTTCCGCTCAGAATACAATGGGGCACTTTGGAAGTATGCGCGCTGCATTTATGCTGCAGACGCAGCGCAAAGAGCCCATCGGCAAGATCATTAAACTGAGACTGTGACGTCACAGATGGTCTAGCTGACTCGTCCTGCAAACGAGTCGCAATCAGAGAATTTCCCACACAAACAACCAAATGATTAACAGGCATATCAAACGGCTCTTATATTCCTGGATCGTCGTTATGCCTTTTTATTGATCGTCGTGGAATTTTGCAGCACGGCAAATCCATTTCCCAGGTGTCGGCCAGGCTATAAATCCGCACCCAGCGTGGCGAGGAATTTTGGCGGGAGCCCAGGGTGTGGGAGTCGTGGGAAGGAACCTCATTTGATACTATCAATCATCACTGCAATTGGGAATGACAATGATTTCACACTCTGATGTGCCATGGCGAGCACACAGAGTCATTAATCATAGGTATTTCTCTGTCCAGCCCCCAAAAGGCCGTCGCGGGAGATGAAATTGATCTTGAAATGTTACTTAAACAGTGTAAAAAGGCATGTTTGATTGAAATTTGAAGTGGTCGTCGCGGTTGGATCATTAATCATCGAGAGCGCAGAATAGAGAGATTGAACTAAAACTGTCGAGATCAAGTACAGTTTTCTCTGGCGATCGACTGAAGAGATCAAGAGTGAAGTGTGCCGAAAAATCTTCTCACCAGAACTCTGTGTATAATCAGTTATGAGACGTCTATTCGAGACACTCTATCGCCATCCCACACGCAATGGTGGCGATTTACATTTAAAAGATCACACGATCGCATCATTTGCAGTCGGTGGAACATGGAGACCATTTAGATTGAGGTTTATCTGCAGCCTGTCTCTATCAATACATCCTCTGCAGTCAAATGCGCGAGTCTCCTGAACAAATAACATTACCCAACATCTCCTCAAGACGGTCATCTCACGTGTCTTTATTGAGGGGATCATCGGCCAAATGCGTCCGCCGAGTTGAAATGTACCCAGAGATGGAAGATAAGGCTTTAATATCTATTATTTCATCCGGAAAAGAGAGCGTCTGATGAGAAAATATGGAGCAATGGGACATTAAGAGCCTGACTTTCTCACTGCAATTGTCTCATCTCATTTCCATTCTTCGATATGGTTAAATAATGCCATATCTAATGATGTTTTGAGACTCACTTGGAGATGGGGAAAGCACAAACTCTTAAGTAAAATGTTGGGTAACAAGAGGCGATAAAAATGCAGAGGAGATCTTTGATTGCCAATAAAAACATTGCAAAAATTATTTTTTTATTATCATGCGCGAAATTATCGTGGCGCGTGTTGGTCAAACAATGAGTCCAAATGTCTCCAAATTAATCACATCTTGCAAAGGGAAAGAAAGATAATAAAAATCTCACCATAAAGTAGAGGTTAATTGAAAATAAAATTTCGCGACAGACACCAAAGTCCTGTAAACTGACTCATAAAAGTGTCTCAAGCAATAATTTTTATTTTCAATCACACGCGAAAGTTCTGCAATGGGAAACAGTGTGTCCTAGCGGCAGCATCATATCTTAATCCTCTTTGAATAACTCTTCTCCACCCATTCAACTCTGACTCTTCGCGTCTTTGGAGGGGAAACTTTTATGATTGTGCGTTTGCAATAGGATAATTTACTGTACGACATCCTATAGCCAACAATATTCATGGCCAAAGTTAGATTTATCGACAGATCATTTATCACGCGGGCGAGGCGATCGCCAATAATTCATTTCTCTATCTATTCTTGTTCTATTCCCCCGTAATTAGATGCATCGGCGCGTTCGCGATCAATAGTCAGGGAAGCCTTCTGGAGGATGATCGCGTGATAAATGGCCAGAGCCGGTGCACTTTGCTACCAACACTCTCGCCAGCGCACAGTTTCTGAAATATCAGGTAAATTAATTGGGCGACTCACCGTGAATATCGTCCACGCAGATTCCGGCGTCTTCGCGGTAAGTGGACAAATGCGGCAAGCATTGGCATTTGCAATTCATCAGGTCCGATTTCGCCGACATATCTGGACATGAGAGCGAGAAGAGTCAATTCGGGGCGCGTTTCTGTGGTGGACATGCGACTTACCGATTTCTTTGATGTAACTCTTGAACAGAGCCGCAGTGCCACTGGACAGCCCGATGCAAACATCTGCGCTGCACTCGGACAAATCTGCGGAGAGATTCGGATCAGAGGAGAAGCCATTAGTATGCAGAAGTGGTGATAATTGAGTCCATTTGAGATGAGAAGAGTGATCAGGAGTAGTAGGAAAAGGCGGATTTAGTGGTCATATTAGAGACATAGTACAAGAGGATTAGTCTGAAAACTCTCTAAGATATGCTCGACTTCATGCAGAGATGAAATAATGCATTTCAACAGAACATTCATTAAATAAACCAGTGGCGTAGAAATACAAAAGATTATGTAGAAAAATTGTTAAAATTTACTTTCGGATATTAACTTATAATTTATGTTTTTCAGGTATTTTAGTAATCCTTACATTATTTTGAAGAGTAAAATATTTTAAATTTCACTTTCACTCTGATTAAAATTTAAAGGTCTTCAAGATCAACGAATGCGAATAAGTTAATTTGCCAGGAGGTTTAAAGAAGTTCAAATTAATGAAATTGTCTATAAAACTGTATCGAGTTGAGTTTTAATCCAATCTGATAAGAGAAAGTAGTTGAAAAAAGTGTCAGAAAGACAAGCCATGCAAAAATCAAGTTTAACAAAACGTTGAAAAGATCACGCATGTCATTTCACAATCTGATATATGATTCGCGACTTTTTAATGCTTTCGCAATATCGCGAAATTGACATTTTTGACCAGTCAAGATTAGATTGACAATACAATTGCGAATTCTCCGAATCATTTCCGCTAGGAAGAGAGATAAAACTACGCCACTGTGCGGTTCTCTTCCCTCAATTACCCGCCCCGAGGCTCTGGTACTCACCGTAGGCATCGAAAACATCACCTCCGTGCTGTCGGGTCAAATTGGCCACACGATCCGTGGATGCGGCTCGCTTCAGCGGGGACGCCTTGAGTTCTGCCGCTGAGCAGAGTTCATTGAAACTGATCCAGATCCAGATCAAGTGCACCACAAGTCCGCCTTTGTGTCCCATCCTTCAGTGGTCAGCCTCCATCACGGTGCAATCCTGCGAAGGAGATAATTGGCGGGGCTCTATTAATAGGTGATTAACAGCCATCGCGGGCGAGAGTGAGTATTAATTGCCAAACATGATAACTACTATCGCTCTGCCTCCGTCCGCCCATCGATGATGAACAAGTTGTCTCACACGCACGATGTGCGCGCGCAAAAAAGTGGAGCTGAGGGAGGTTTTATGATTGAATTTTAATGACTGCAACATTCACTTATGCAAGAAGTGCATTATACAACAGTGTGACCATAAAGGTAACTGTTTGCTCGCGATATTCTTCATTAAGGCAAACATATTGCTTTTTATGACAGCCTTTTGGCCGCCTCGACCCCTCTTGGCTCGGGGATGACGGGCCAAGAACTTCACAGAGGATGGTTAAGTGTGTTTTTATGGGATCATTATTGGTGGCATCATCGCGCATCATTTCAGAAAATGGCACTGTTTGACTTGCAGTGGATGCATTTTGAAATTAACGAGAAATCTGCATCTTGTCCACTGCCTTCTTAATTTTATCTCACGATCCTCTTGACCATTATATGCCGCCAATTTTCATGCAACTTGTCGCTTGGCAAAATAGTGCCCTAAATTTTGCATAAAATCAATATTTGTCCACCGATCGCCTCCAGGTGGATTCATTGTGATAAAAAACGACGACAGAAAATTGCCAGTGTGATCATATGCATAAAGCGCATCCCACACGCCATACAAACGAAAGGGAGGCCAGGAATTTTCCTGCTGCATGAATAAAAGATGCGACTGTTAAGTGGGAATCGTGCTGTAATGGAGTGTATAATTCCCGTTTAAATTGCATTTTATCAATTGGAGCAGAATCTACGATGAGAAATTGATTCTCTCTCGTCGTTTTCATTCATAAGTGCACATCTGCGAATGATGGGGGGATATTATTAAATAATGGGCGGTATTTTGAATTCACCTCAGAGGCAAAATTGCTGATGCACTTCCACTTTAGCCAACACTACCAGTCTTACCCCAAGAATTTCCATTTCACCTCCATCCGTTGTCGATTGAGATGTAGAATCACAGGTGAAATGCTCTCTGCAACTTTATCAATGGCCAACAGAAGTGCATTTCACTTCTTTTCCACGTGCGATCGTGGTGAGAATCAAAATGTTGAATTGCATGATTGAATGGAGAAGATTGCTTTTGGTTTAGGTAATCTTTTCCTTTTAAGGAACTAAGAGAAAGGGCTTTGCATTCTTATCGCTGTAAATTTAACTGCTCTTTTTGGCGCACGCCGCATAACAAATCTTTAATGCTGCCGAAATCTGTCAGTCGCTTAATCTCAGAGTTAAAAAGACGCTTTTCTAATTAACTCCTCATCAATCATGCGCTCTTCTTCTATGCATTCAATCTCACCCACTTCTCAGAATCTCCTATGCATTTCTCCAACCTACGTTAATACAAATTCCCTTAACACATGGAGACATGCAAATGCTTTTAGGCATCAATCGGTCGGCTTAAGATGCCAATGAGAAGCGAGGTAGAAAAAAGTTGTAGGCAAGAAATTGACTAGCATTCTTTCTCGTTAGACAAGAATTCGTGAATAACTAATTCTTGACCGAAATTCAAGGATAAATCATTTAGAATTCTAACCCGAAACATGTTATGCTAAATAAATTTGCCTCTCTACAAGCCGGTTCACGACACTGGAGGATTACATTTCTTTCTTCCCAAAATCTTTCAGAAGCGCAATTGATCGGACATTTTTCCCCATCATTTGTCTGACGTGCCCAGAGAACAGGTACAAACTGCCACACATCTCAATCATCCAGCCGAGGAGAGATGTTATACAGACATGTCTTTGTCATTAATTTCACTCTGCCTAATAATTTTTTCTGTGCGTTCCAGTCTGACTAACTTTTGGGAGAGCAAGAAAATAGGCCTGAGAAATTGCTCTCCATTACCAATTTGACTGTGGTTGCTATGGCAGAAAAAGCAACAACTTCAGCGACGGTAATGAGAGGAATTTCGGCCTAATTTTAATTGTATAATTTAGGAAAGATCGCTTGAGGGAACACAAATAGCAGCCAAGTAATTCACACCACATAAATTAACATGGAGAGTCAATCTGGCGCAATGCATTAGACATTAGGAGATGAATTAGATGTCATTCTTGGGCGGGTGAGGAAATGTAATTAGCCGGCTGACGTGTAATTTTTCCGCGCAAATTAATCCCACCTCCGAGTGAAATGGACTAGAGAGAGAGATTCCCCGCAAAATTGGCCGGGAGGTGAGATGTGGTGGCATTAAATTACCCGTCATTTGCAAATTGTTGCATAAATTGCGCCAGAGCAAGAGTGATAAAAAAGGCATAGTCCGTTACACATCTCTCGCCAAGATATGAAAATCCCAACAGTGTTGCGTGAAGAAAGTCCAGCTTTTTTCCAACTCTCTGCAGATGGGCAATTTCCTCTGCCTTCCCTCGCGAACCGTCTAATTGATTGCTTTATATTCGCAATGCCTACGTCGGTGTGCATATAATTTAATAAGCATTTTAGTCAGCTAGGATTTCTTATTTCTTATTCTGCTCACTTCTGCAAGCGATTGAGGAAATCAATAATTGCAGAGGGAGAAATTGGATGGAGAAAACTGTTGAATCATCTCTAAATGTTCTAATGATCGTTATATAAACAGAATTCATGAGAATTTCTCGGGGTTTTTGACACCTTTAAAGCATATGCAAGAGAGTGAATTTTAAGTGTATTTTCTGTTGGAAAAATTTCACTTATGTCCGGATAAATAGATTCAATATGTTAATTATGCATGGATCAGCAATCAAAACGGTTGCGGGCGAGTTTTCTTGGTCGACCGATCGAATTGGACAATCAACATATAAAATTCACACAATCAACAGATTCAGTCTCATCTGCAAAAATGATGAAAACATTTGTTGATCATTCATTAGTTTGGTCAGTGACTCTCTGGCAGAAATGAGACTTTTATTAACTCGAGGCACTCTTAGAAATCTCAGCGTCGCACAAGCAGAACTGAGCGCTTGCCTATCTGCATTTTACGCCTCACCTCAGCTCTTAGGCCTCCATCATCCGCTCGTCAACGGGCTGCATAGCAGGTAATTTTCACTGGATTCCACGCACGCGGAATCAAGTTCAAGGAGCGCTCTCTCGCCTTTGTTTGCACCCAATTGCATCACCATAAATGCTATCATTACCATGGTAGACCCACTCGCCGATCTGACCCATGTTCATCTGCCACAGATTGACGGACAATGCTGTGGAGGAAGTTGTTACAGATCATGTCACGCAGAACAGGTAAACGCGAGGGGTTTCGTCGTCTGTTTGAGGTGTGCTCACACTCTTCAACGCCCCTAGCGGCGAGTGGGCCACTCGAGCAACGGCATCGGTTATTACCATTTGGCTTTGCCTAAATGAGGAGGAATTATTGGAATTACGCGGGCATTGCTTTAAAATTCAATCGCAAAAAGGTGTGAAAATTGACTGGTAAACACGATCTAGAAAATCCTCGGGGCGTGTAATGGATCATAGAATTCACCACAAAAATTGCCATAAGTCGAGAGTGATTAAAAAGCTAATGGGGTAAAGTGCGAATTTACCGGCTAAATTACCCACTCATAGATCCACTTTGGCCATAAGCGCACTCAGCAGAGGAGGTGATAAAGAGACAAACGGTTCTGTGTGGTCTCGCGCGGGAGAATAAACAATATTTATGAATATTTATTTATTGGCAATTACGTCGGGAACGGTAAATATGAGGAGTAGAAACCCCTCAACGCGAAGAGGCCAGCTAAATAGATTAAGGAGAAGCCTCCTTGTCACAGTCCAGCTTGATTTACCATGTCTTCCATGTCTTTCACCGTCATCTCTCTGTCTCTCGATGCGACTTCTATGAATAAATTTGTAATGAAAATGAGATACATTCTTCTGCGATGGTATTCAACATGAAAATACCAATGATAAGTTATGGTGAAAAGAAGATGTTTGTGGCAATAGGAAGCTTTTATTTCACTGCGCGGATTGTGCCACAGTCCAGTATGTTAATTCCCCTCTGGCTTATTGCACACACAAAAAATGTCCATTAAATTGGCATGGAGAGAAAGAGAGAAAAAACGCACGACCAAATTTCCTCATTGAATATTGAGGCTTTCTTGACCACCAAAAAATTGGATTGGTGTAAAAATAAATATTAAATTTCATTATGTTGCCCGACCAGAGCGACAATGTCCGAGGCAATTTCTCCGCCATTCACCGGCAAATGTGCTCTCACCGGGGCGCAAAGTGCTGGAGGAAGAAAAGAAACGACCCTGCCCGCCTCACAAGAAGTCAAGGTGGAAATGGCAAGGTCTAAATAATGAGCTCGATGACACCTCGAAATGCAGCCTTTATGTAAATTTTCCCAGCAACACAAGCGCGAGATTGGGTGTGATTTAGATGGAAGAGCGCAAGGAGGAATTGTTTATTAAAATGTGATTTCTTTATGACGATGTTTGTCACTCTGCACGCGTTGGGCTTCTTGTTCTTCACTCCCTCTTCAATCAATAAATTACCAACATATTGGATGAGTTTTGTCCAATATATTTTCTATAATTCTGACCGGCGTGGAAAATGAAATCACTTGTGGCTTCTTCTCCAATCACTCTCATAGATCAGAGTTGCGCGTTTCTATAGATAAGACGGTGAAATGACACAAGTTTCATACTGAGGATAATCTATTGAATCTTCATGAATTTAATCAAATTCGAAAACTTTTAATGGATCGATTGTCAACTCAAATCTAATGTACAAATCTGCATATTCAACAGTTTCAAGTCAATTGAAATTCGCAGATCATATTAACAGATTCCTAAGACAAAAAAACGCGATTATCAGTATGTTGAATAAACCGTAATTTCTGTTGATTCGAAATGAACAGATCGAACATTTTTATGTAAATTTCTACATAATTTTCTTGCCATATAAAAATCATGT